ATGTGTGTGAGCCCTTCGTCCTCAGTCCCTCCAGCCCCTAACCTCTGCCTGCCCTTGGCTGTCATCCTCCTCCCTTTCTGTCTCTATTTTGCTTTAGTTCAGTTTATTAAATTCCTCATATGAGTGAAATCATACGGTATTTGTCTTTCTCTGCCTTATTTCCATTAGTACAATCTTCTCCAGGTCCATCCATACTGTTGCAAAGAGTCCAACTTTTTCTTATATAGAATGTTCCTGACTTTGTACTGTTTTGTTCACTTGCGGTTCTGTTGTTTCTTGACTTTGTGGCTTACCCAGTTTATTGAACCAGAACACAACTGCTTGGGATAAAATTAGAAATTTAGAAATATTTTTGTTTCTGCCCTAATCCCTAATTCTTTTATAACTTTTTGTTTTCACACCTTGGCTAGAACTTCCATTACAATGTTCAATAAAAGTAATAAGCATCCTTGTAATTTTCTTAAGGGTACGCCTGTAGTTTTACCATCACACATGGCATGAAGTCATTTTTGCGCACACACTCCTTGAAGGAATTAAAGGGGTTCATTTCCCGTCCTAATTTTAAAATATCTGTAGGTATTAAATTACATAAAATGATATATCTATACATATTGAGATAATAGTAGGGCTTTTCTTTATCTGGCAGTGTGGTTGTTTTTTATCAAATGATTTTCTACTATTGTCTTCCAGACACCCTAGTGTAGGATCAGATTCAGCTGCATGTAACAGAACCAACTCTTCCCGATCCCTGAAAGGTGGCTGAAACAAGGCAGTCTAGTTCTCTTTTGTGTAGAACATACCCAGATGTTCGTAGCATACGGTGGCTATGGCAGCTCCATCGTAACCAGAGAGCCCGGTCACTCTTGCCATTGCATTCTGCAGTTGGCTTCTTCCTCCACAGGGTTTCTGAATCTAGGGCGGCTCCTGAAACCCAACCGTGACCTGCTGCATATTGGAGATTAAAGTACAGTAGGGGCATCTCCCAGGAGTCTCTCTTCCTTCTGAAGAACCTTCCCATTAGACACTCTCAACAACTTATTTCCCGTTCACGCATGGTTTAGTAGTGTAATTATACTTAACTGCAAAGAAAGTAGAGAACTGTAGCTTTTTGGCAGTTCACATTGCCATTAGGAAAAATACTGCAATTCTGTTGTTAATGAAAGAACACCAGGCTCATTATTAATTAGTTGTCTGCTACACTTAACACTGTCAAGACTTTTAAAAATATACATGATTACATGGAATTTTGCTAAAATTCCACTTAGGATGTTATAATCAATGTTCATAAATGTCTTAAAAGCCCCCCCCCCCATGTCTGTTTCCTGAGAGATATTGTAAAATGTTGGAATTATCTTCCCTTGAACTTTTCTGAAATTATCAACTGTTACAGAAAAGTCTCTGGAACCCCTTTGTCTTCTGGGGCTAGGGCAGGGTTGGAGGGACTATATAGATTTCCACAACAGAGATTCAAAGTTCTCTTTTGTTTACTGGTTGTTCATCTACTAATTTCTGCTAAGTGTCAAATATCTGGTAAGTTTTCCATTGCATTTACGATTAACATTGAAGCCAGCACGATCCTTTCCCACATTATTTGATTACTGTTTCAAGATTTCATGTGGATTTGCATCACACAGTATGGCTACTTTAAAAATTGAATTGACATCCGCAGCAGTAAACTGAATGCAGATCTTCCCTTATGTGCTCACTCTTACTGTGTGTGCATCTTCATCGGAACATCAGTGACAAAATACATATTCATGAGATTTTCCAGATTTAGGGGCTATCCTTTAGCAAATATCTGAAATTATTTCTTTATCTGAGCTTTCTCTTCCCTTCTGTGAATCATCATTCTTCATTCCAGGTATCTTGAGATTATATCCTGTATAATGAGCTGAAAACAATAAGGATTAGTCACTCAGAAATTATTACATACCTCCTTCAAGGAAGAAACAGGAGACAGATTCCCTCCTGAAGTAAAGAATACAAAGTGGAGGGTGCTCCAGAAATGTTTGCAGTTTTGAATCCTCATATTCTTCAAAATAGTGCTAATCTAATTGCCAGGGACCCAGTTCTTTCCACATTAATGCTCATTCACATAAGGAAATTGGTGAGACTGTGAAGCAAAGACTTCATAAGCAGCTGACGAAGTGGTTTCTCACCACCCTGACACTAGAGGTGTGTGTACATACTTCAGCATCACTTAAATGTATTACAAAAATACCGCATAGCTGAAGTAAAGACAAGTGCACAAGGATTAAACATGACACTTGTGCCCTGTCCAGATGGTTCAGTTGGAGTGTCATCCTATGTACTAAAAGGTTGCACTTCATCTCCTGGTCAGGGCACATACTTAAGTTGTGGGTTCAATTCCCAGTCAGGGCACATACGGGAGGAAACTGATCAACATTTCTCTCCCTCTCGCTAAAATCAATAAATATATTCTCAGCTGATGATTTAAAAAAATGACAATAGCTAAAGCTATTCTGGGTAATCAGTACAGAAGGAAGTACTTAATAATTGAAAGATGATAAAGAACAAGAGCTCTGTTTGCTTTACTGTACTTAAGGAGTCCATTACAATTTTAAAGCCTAGCATCTCCATACGTTGGTGAGAAACCCAACCTGTCGGCAGAGCATGTTCACTCTGTGCATATACTGTGACCGATCCTGAACCTTACAAGACATCAAGGTATCCTGACCACTTAGAAATGTGCACCATATTGATGTGTGTCACTAAAGAGGCAGCGGACAGGCCCACTTACAAATAATAGAAATGGTTTCTATTTATTTTAGTAAGTCATTTTGTTCTAATAAAAAGTTGCATTTGTTAAGAATATTGTATGCAAAGTAGAAATTTTCTGTCATTAAAATCCCAGTGGTTTTTGTTTTAATTTTACTTACTTTTTAAAGGGAGGGTAAGGGAGGGCGAAACAGAGGGAGACAAACACTGAGGTCCTCTCCTGCACCACCCAGTGGGGACCTGTGCCCCAGACGGGGACTCGAACCAGCGACTCCGGGGTTCACAGGCTTCAGCACCTCTGGTGCTCAGTGCACTGAGCCGCACCAGCCAGGGCTGAAACCCCAGTGTTTAATAAACCATTGATTTAAAAAACACCTTTCTGGGGCCCCGCCCAAGTAGCTCAGTTGTCACAGTGCCATCCTGATACACCACGTTTGAGGGTTTGACTCTGGTCAGGGCGCATACAGTAATTACCCAATGAAGGCATCAATATGTGGAACAACAAGTCGCTGTTTCTCTCTCCCCACTTTCTTCTAAAAATAAATACAAATTAAAAACAGCTTTCTGTGGATGCCCTTCCACATGCTGTACATTCACAATGTCTGTATTCAGTATGAGTTTTCTCCTGTGATTGACTTTTGAGAGAAAGTTTCTTACAGGTTTCTCATATGCATGAGTTCTTTGATGCATAATGAGCTGTGACTTCCAGCAAAAGGCTTTCCCACATTCATTGCATTGACAGGGTTTCTCTCCTGTGTGAGTTCTCTGATGTACACAGAGAACTGACTTCTGAGAGGTTTTTCCACATTCTTTACATGCATAGGGTTTCTCCCCTGAATGAGTTCTGTGATGTACAATGAGCTGAGATTTCCGAATGAAGGCCTTGTCACATTCACTGCATTGATAGGGTTTCTCTTTTGTGTGCATTCTCTGATGTACAATGAGCCGTAATTTTCCACTGAAGGACTTCTCACATTGACTGCATTTATAAGGGTTTTCCCCTGCATGAGAACGTTCGTGTACACTGAGTAGTGACTTCCAAATGAAGGCTTTCCCACATTTGTTACACTCATGGTTTCTCTCCTGAGTGAGTTCTCGTGTGTACAATGAGGTATGACTGGCTACTAAAGGCTTTCCCACATTTGCTGCACCTGTAAGATTTTCCCCCTGCATGAGTTCTGATGTGAAACGAGATGATCTTTCCTAGTGAAGGCTTTCCCACAGTCACTGCATTCATAAGGATTCTCTCCTGTGTGAATCCTCTGGTGTACAGAATTGAAACTGAAGATTTCCCACATTCATTGTATTCATGTGGTTTCTTGCCTATGTGGGCCCTCATGTGTATAACGCGGTATGACTTGCTCCTGAAGGCTTTCCCACATTCAGTGCACCCGTAGGGTTTTACAGCTGTGTGACTCCTGTGGTGCACAATGAGCTGTGACTTCACACTGAAGGCTTTCCCACACTGGTTACATCCCTAGGGCCTTCCCCCAGTGTGTGTTCCGTTATGTACAATGAGCTGTGACTTGAAAGTAAAGGCCTTCCCACTCTCACTACAACGGTAAGGTTCTTCCCTGTGTGGGTTCTCTGATGAACCAGAAGGTGTGACTTTGTATTAAAGGATTTCTGACACTGACTGCATTCAAAGGGTTTCTCTCCTGTATGAATTCTCTGATGTATAGTGAGCTGTGAGTTCAAACCAAAAGCTTTCCCACGTTCATTACAATCATAGAGTTTCTGTCCTGAATGAGTTCTCTGGTGCGAAACAGGCTGGTGTTTCCTACTCAAAGTTTTTCCATGTTCACAGCATTTATAAGGATTTTCACCTGTGTGAATTCCCTGATGTATAGCGAGTTGTGAACTGCAATGAAAATTCTTCCAACATTCACTGCATTCATATAATTTCTCCCCTGCGTGACTTCTGTGGTGTTCACTGAGGTGAGACTGGAGGCAGAAGTCTCTCTCACAGCCACCACATTTGTAGGGCTTCATCTCTGCAGGAGTTCGCCGATGCACTACGAGGTAGGACTTGCTGCTGAAGACATTTGTGCAGTAACGGCATTCAAAGGGCTTTCCTCCAGTATAGATTAGTGGGCACAGGAGTTGTGACTTGTTGACAATTTTTCCAGATCCATTACTTTGACAGTATTTTATTCCAAAAAGAGTTTGTTCATGTTTAGAATGGAGGAATGATTCCCTTTGTGCATAAAACCCATTAGGATTCTTTCCAGCATAATTACTGTTGAAGTCTATGCTATATTTCAAACTCTTTCCACATGTGCCACATTTATAAGGCGTCTGTCTTGAAGAAATATAATTTGTAGTAAGAAGACATAGTTTTCCAAATGTAGTACACTCAAAGCAATTTGCCATGCTTCCCAACTTGTCTTGATTTTCCTGATAACATTCCATGTGATTATAAATTTTACAGATTTTGTTTACAAATAGAAACACGTTACAAATAAAAATATGCTTCTGGTAGAGCATAAAATTGCCTTAAAAATGCCATGTCACGAGGTTATTGTTTTACATTCAGATATCAGACCTGAATATACATCAAATCTGAAGTATAAATGTCCCCAAGCTCCTGGGCACTGGAGAAAGCAAAGCAAAACCAAAACTGAAGATAGGCAGGGGCAAGTGATGATAATAAAGACTGTTTTGTGTTTAGAAGGTTTGCATCATGGGTAAAGGAGGCAAAAGTAGGCAACATGAAAAATGAGCAAAATACAAAGAGAATGGATGAAATCTCTAATGATTAGTATCATTTAATAAATAATTGTTGAACACTTTGTATATTCCAAACAGTGCAAAGCTCACGAGAAACAGCAGAAAACATTGCAGATTAGTACACAGTCCTCTTGGAATACCAGGCAAAGAGATGATCATAAATGCGCCAGAAACACCGTCATACCGTTTCAGAACACTAAGGACAGAAAAAAGAGCAAAAGCTTCCGGATGGCCCTGCCCAGGGAAGCTCAGTTGGTTAGAGTGCAGCCCAGAGAGGCCAAGGTTGCAGCTCTGATCATCACTAGAGAAGGGGGAGACAAAGGGAAGGAGAATAAGCTGGTTACTTAGACACATGGAGGTAAATACCATTAGACCTGAAAGAGATGAAAAGTGGTTTTCTCTGGGGGTTGGGGGGAAGAGCAAACAAAGAGGGGGCTGGGTAGACAGAAAGCTGTTTAAAATTTTTTAAAATCACAAAGCCAAAATACAAATTAGATAGGGAAGAAGACCTCAGGCACAATGACAAAGACTTGGAGGCTGACAGCAGGGAGACAGGGCAGAGTTGATCTAGATGCCCTAAAGGGATATGCCAACCATGACAGCAAACAGAAAAACGTATTAACAGAAAAAAGGAAGAACTAGAAATGTGCAAGAATGAACAAGCAACAGTCACAAAGGTGAGCAGGTAGGATGTGGCCGTGCAGCAGAGGGAGAGATGATGCCAGCTTCTGAAACTGAGATATGGGAGTGGCTCAGGCAGGCAAGATGCAGTGCGGACAAGTCACACCCAGCACCACAGAGCAGATGCCAGAGGGATGGCCTGTCAATCACCGATCGAGAAAAAAGAGCTTAACTCTTCAGAATGGAAGTCTTTTAAAAGGTACACTGTACGAGGCAAGTGGTAAATAGAAAAAAAGACTCCTTTGCACATAGAACGGCAGGAGCAGCCAATGGAGTACGAGCAGATGTAGGAGCAGATCCATGTGCAGTACGAGAAGGGGTGCAGCGGGCTCCGCCCGAGGAAAGGGGGGAATTCTGGCTACAGGTGGGAAAACCGACACTCTCAACTGATGCAGGAGTTGTTTGGCAAGGACAGTGAGGACATTACAGTGATCAGCACGGAGAAACATGGAAGGGGTGGTCTGAGGGAGAAGGAGGGAGGGTGGGGCTGCCGTCATGGAATGTAAGTGTAAGGGATATAAAAATGTATTTAAAAACCGGGAAGGAAGTTGAAGGGATGGGGAAATCACATCAAGATGCGTGGGAAAGTAAAAGACTAAAGTCAGGGAGGAGAGTAAGAATGTTTACAGGTGAGACAAGAAGTACAAGCACAAGGTGCACGTCACTTCAGAATTCACACCAATTCTACATAAAAAGGAGAAAAATCTACGTCACCTGAATGGCCTTGACTTGGAACTTGGGCCTGCATCATCCACAGCTCCCGTGTCCCAACCAGAAGGTGACACTGGCCAGGCTTGGTGGGCTGACCCCTGTGCACGGAAAACCACAGACAACCTCGACCACAGCTGCCTGGGGTTCAGGGACACCTCAGAAATGGGGCGATTCGGTTAAGGGGCAGCATGAAGAAGCTGCCCTTTCGTACTCTGGCTAAATAAGCACCATCCAAATAGAATAACCTGATGACAAAGGGAGACTAAGAGAACCTGGCGTCTACAGGGAAGTCTAAAATCACTCGGTATTTTACAAAAGCCACCCCCCAGCTTAAAGCTGCAGGAAAGCAGCCAGGCGAGCACACGCCCCCGCCCCCCCGCCCCCCGGGCAGCAGCGCTCACCCAGGGACGGCAGGTGACTGTAGTTCTCCAGCATCACGCTCCTGTGCAGGTGCCTCTGAGCTGGGTCCAGCAGCCGCCACACTTCCCAGGTAAAGTGCACAAACACACCCGTGCACGGCAGCGACCCCTGAAACCATATATTCCCATGCAGTTTCGGATTCTCTCATTGAGTTTGTGGGCAACAGCAGACTGCTTACTGAGAGTTTCCATCAGTAACATTTTACTTTGTGATAAAACCAGAAATTTGTTGAAAACCTTCCCATCAATATGTGTGGTATTAGTCAGCCTTTCATGCAACATGAGAATATCAGGTACCAGGTGTTCAGGTAGTACAGGGGGTGAAACGAAGTCCTGCCCAAAGGGGTTCGACAATGCACAGGAAAGCAAAGTTAAACACGTGTAAGTGCACCTGGGAGGCAAAGAAGCCAGGACCGAAGAACGTGCAGAGTGCAACGTGGGCACAGAGGAGGCAGCAAAAAGGCTGCTCGTTACACACACATGGGCATAGCCCACGGCACTGCAGGCTGATTCCAGACGGCTGCCATGGCGCGAGTATCGCAATGAAGAGCCACATAAATGTGGTTTCCTAGTGCATATAAAAGTTACGTTTACACCACACTAAAGTCTGTGTAACAGCGTTATGTCAAAGCCAAAAAACAATGTATAAACCTTAATTAAAAAAATGCTTTATTGCTAAAAAATAATAACCAGTATCTGAACTTTCAGCAAGCCATAATCTTTTTACTCGTAGGGGGTCTGGTAAAAAATGTAGTATCTTCAAAGAACAAAACATGAACTGCAATAAAGCCAAGTACGCCGGTATCTCCCAGTGTTTAATCTATCCTGGGAGCCACAGGCACAGGGCAACCAGCTGCCTCAGTCTGTGCAGGATGAAGAGATTTTCCTAGACACAGACAGGTGCAGGCAAACGTGGATGGTTGGTCACCCGACTTCTGCAACAGCTATTGATCTCTAGCTGCTATGTATGCAACTAGGCGCAGAGGATATAAAAACGGATGGAACACAGTCCTGCTCCCAGGAAGCATCACAGAGAGTAAAGCAAAGAGTGAAAACACACAAATGCAAGGATGAGATAACAGTGCACAAGGGGCCCGGAGGGGGAGGGGAGCAATGCTGCTTGATGGCGCAGGCGGAGTCTGCGAAAGGCACCACAGAAGTGGCCGCTGCAAGAGAGGATGTGTTAGTTCTGGGGCTGGGCGGGGGGTGTGGGAATAGGCCCTGGCCGGCTACCTCGCTTGCAGCATCGTTCCAGAGCACCAAGGTTGCAGGCTCGGTCTCCAGTCAGGGCATATATAAGAATCAATGACTGAATGCATAAAGCAGTGGAACAATACGTCGATGTTTCTCTCTCAGCTACATGCTGTCTACAAGAGACTCACTTTAGATCCAAAGATGCATACACAAAACATTCTACCCAACAACGGCACACCTGCTCTTCTCAAGTGCACATGGGGCATTTTCTAGGATAAACAATGTTAGGCCACAAATTGTCTCAACAGATTTTGAGATACAAATGTTATCCAACGTATTGGCCCTGGTTGGGCAGCTCTGCTGGTTAAAGCACTGTCCAGATATACCAAGGTTGTGGGTTCAATCCCCAGTCAAGGCACGTATGAGAACTCCAGTGAGCCATGGTTCAGTGGAGTGAGTGCTGGCCTGCAAACGAAAGGGTTGCTGGTTCAATTCCCAGTCAGGGCACAGGCCTGGGTTGTGGGTCAGGTCCCCAGTAGGGAACGCTTGAAAGGCAACCACACGTTGATGTTTCTTTTCTTTCTCTCTCCCTTCCCCCTCTCTAAAAATAATAAATAAATAAAATCTTTTTAAAATAAAGTATTTTTAAAAGTCAACCAATGACTGCATCAATAAGTGGAACAATAAATGATGTTTCTCGCAAAGCAATTTAAAAAAATTATCTGTTAAAAAAAATTTGTTTTTAATCTTTGCTTTTAAAAAATATCCTAACCCTGGCTGGTGTGGCTCAGCGGATTGAGCATGAGGCTGCAAAGCACAGGGGAACATCAATTGGTTGCCTCTCACGCCCGCAGCTGGGTAGCTGGCCCGCCACCTAGGCACGTGCCCTGACTAGGAATCAAACTGGCAACCTTTCAGTTCGAAGGCCGGTGCTCAGTCCACTGCGCCACACCAGCCAAGGCAGTTGTATTTCTATACACGAACAATTACCAATCTGAAAAGCAAATTATGAAAAAAATTCCATTTATAATAGTATCAAAAGAATAAAATACTTACGAATAAATAAACCTTGGTAGGTAGGTAAATGACATGTAGAATGAAAACTAGAAAACCTTGCCGGTAGAAATTAAAGACGACATACATAACTAGAAACATACTGGTGGGAACATCGAATGCTGTAGCTGCTATGACAAGTAGTATGGGGGTGGGCAGTCCTCAAACAGCGAAGCTGATGGATCAGATAAGTGAAAAGAGAAATCAGTAAATAGTTAGACTTGAAAGAAAACCAGACACAACACACCAAATACATGGGACGTGACAAAAGCAGTGTTAAGAGAAAAGTCTGGGGATACACCCAGAAGGACTGAAAGCAGGGTCTTGAAGAGACACTCACATCCATGTTCACAGCAGCAGCACTGCTCACAATGGCCAAAATGTGGGCGCAGCCCACCCGTTCATCAGCGGGGTAAGCGTCGTCTGCACATAAGACGAAGTGTGACTCAGCCTTCAGAAAGTGGAAGCAATGCATCACGCTCCATCCCGGACAAACCGCAGACATCACGTCCCACGGAGCAAGGCGGACGCACCGAGACACCGGCTACACGCGTGCACGGACAGGGGCTCCCGGGGCGCTGAAATCACAGGGAGAACACGGAGAGCGGTGGCTGCCAGGGGCTGTGGGGGGCGGGGGTGGGAACTCAAAATATAAACACAGCAACAACAATGCAAATGTTATAAATGCATAAACAAAAGAATATCCGTAAGAAACAACGTAATTTTGGGGGAGGTGAAAAGAGATGGAAACAGTATGGGGACATCGGGGAATGTGGGAAGGCAGGCAGAGACTTCACAGGAGCCACAGTGCTCAGCAGGCCACAGACCGGGGAGTGATGGACTTGACCCTTCAAGCTAAGAATCACCTCCCTCTCCCCACCAAAAAAATTAAGCTAATGAATAAAAGCAATAAAGAAGTGGGTATCAATAAACAATCAACTCACCTGGGACTTGGTGGATTTCGGCTGCTCCTGGGAAGTAAACAGCCAGCCTGGGGCCTGCTCTGTCCGGTAACTCTTGTGCCTCTGCTGGGGTCCTCTTGGGAAAGGCCTCTGGTCAGGGGTCCCTTGACCCATGGTGGGTTCCTGGCCTTGGAGCTTTCTGATCCTATTGCTTGAACTGTCTCGTTCCTGAAGGGGTGGGACCTGTAGACTCGAGAGCAAACCACTTTATCGAGCATCTGTCCTCTGGGCTCCAGCCTTGGTCTCCTTTGCCAGAGACCATGTTTGCAGGAGGCCAGGACGGGTGGTTCTGCTGACTGTGGTCAGTGCCACTGCGGGGCAGAAGCGAGACACACGAACACAGGAAACCTAGCGCACTGAGGACAGTCTCCCCACCCCCAACTCTGCAAGGGCCCCAGAACCCCACAAGCACAATGACCACCCTGAGAGTCAAACCACCTTGGGCAGCCACTTAAATAAGAACCAGATGCCAGATGGTCAAAAGTAAACACTGTTTTAGGTGGGGTGTACACAAGCAATGGATTTTGAATGAAACAGTCTGTTTCAGTTAGAGTTCCTCCTCTCACCATTCAGATGTTCATGAATAAATTCACTTCAGCCCTGGCTGGTATGACTGCGCTGAGCACTCGCCTGAGAACCAAAGGGATGCTGGTTCGATTCCCAGTCGGGCCACAGGCCTGGGCTGTGGGCCAGGTCCCTGGTGGGGAATGCACAAGAGTCAGCCACACACTGGTGTTTCTCTCCCTCTCTTTTTACCTCCCTTTCCATCTGTCTAAAAAGAAATAAATAAAATCTTAAAAAAGAATAAATAAATTCACTTCACCTCTCTCACTGACTGTTACTTCTTCTTAAAACATTGAGAATAGGATGAGATCAGGGCAGCAGTGTCATCATTTAATCTCCCAAAAACTCCCAATAAAAACAAGAGACCAGAAAAACCCCAGACACCTACAATGAACAAGACCCAGATGACAGGTCTCCTCGGAAACGGAACAGTTCCCAGCAGAGGAAGTGTGGGAAATGACGGAAGATTCTGCTGGCCCACAAGCTGCAGGTCTCCAAAGTCACCAATGAGTGTGCATCCCCAACGGGAGAGCACCTCCCTGGAGTGGACTCTGAGCAATGTTCCTCAAGTTGAGTTGCAGGCAACTGAAAAATACATTCCCATGGCGTCACTAAGTGACCTCACAGTGCTGTGGGCATGTAAGAACAGGTGGCTCAGTTGGGTGAAGCACTGTCCCCCTGACCCAAAAGGCTGGGGGCTCCATCCCTGGTCTGGGCTCCTATGGGAGACAACTGATGGGAGTTTCTCTCTCATGTCAATGTCTCTCTCTAAAATCAATAAACATATCCTCATGCAAGGATTAAAAAAAAAAACACAAGAAGATCTAAAAAATGAATCAAGAGGAAGAGAGGGACAGGAGGATAAAAAGAGGGAAGTGTCCAGAGAAGTCTTATTCCAGAAAATTTCTCAACAAAATACAACATGAACATGTGAGACAAGGGAGGCCCAACGCTAGGAAACGGCCTGTCAGGTCAGGGGGTGGGTGTGCGAGTGCACGCGCCTGCTTAGATCTCCAAAGGAATCACTGCGAAGATGAACTAGAAACTGTAAAAATGGTCACCTCTGGAGGAGAGAAACAGAGCAGAAAGAGAGTGAAGCACCATTAATCAACAGCAATAAACAGGTAACACCTGAAGAGCGTTTAGTGTACTGTAACAACGGCCGTATTTCATTTCCACCCTATTTTAAACTCACCAACAGAGTGAACCTGTGATGCGAACACTCGTCCACACCAAAAAAGGCAGAACCCCAGGCCTGTGTGTGCACCCCCTCTACCCTGACCTTACTGTGTGGCCCTCAGGGGTGCCCTGTGCCCTCCAGGACCTGAGTAGCACACCTTGTTTTCTCAAAGTTCCCTGATGGCTGTTGCTGACGTGTTTCTTACAATCACAATAAGAACCACAAGGGCCGGTCCAGCCACAGCAGTAGATCCAGTCAAGGAAATGGTCCCGGGTGCAGCCCGGGTGAGTGCGCCACACACCCGGCCAAGAGCATCATCACTGAGAGCAGCAGTCCGAGAGCAACACAGAGCAACCGTGAAACGCGCTAAAGGAAAGGAGCCCCATACAGAAGGCCACACACGGAATGATTCAGTTGACATAGAAATGTCTAAAATAGGTAAATGCTTGAAAACACGGAGTAGATTAACGGTACCCAGGGGACAGCGGCAGGGAACGGAGAGTCACCGTGGGTTGCGACAGGGCTGCCCTCAGCAGTGAGCATGTTCTGGGACGCGGGCGCGGTGACCCTTGCGCTGCCCTGGGGAGCCAGCCGTCTCCCGCATCTGCTGTTTCACTTTCCAGGGTCAACTAGGGTCCAAAAGCATTAAATATGAAATTCCGCAACATAAGCAATTTATGAGTTTTAGGTTGCAAAGTGGTCTAAGCAGCATGTTAAAATCCCGCGCTGTTCCACCCTCTTCCACCCAGGACACGGATGACCCCCTTTGCCCTATGTGCACCCTGAGGGCTGCAGTGGCACCACACTCACTGTGTTCAATTAACCCTTCTTTTTACTTAATGGCCCCAAAGCACAGCAGGAGCAATGCCGGTGGTTCGAATATGTCACAGAGAAGCCGTACAGTGGTTCCTTTAAGTGGAAGGAGGTGTGTGTATCAGTGAACACTCGTCATATACAGGGTTCAGTACCGCCCAAGGCTTCAGGCAACCAGTGGGCGTCCTGGAAGCCTCCCGACAAAGGCGGGGGGGGGGGGGGGGAAGGCTACTGTACCAATGATTGGGTGATACATTAAAGATCTTATTTATTTTTGGAGAGAGAAGGGAAGGAGAAAGAGGGAGAGATACTCTTTTGTGTGAGAGCTACATTAATCGGTGGCCTCGCGCGCCCCCCCAGCTGGGGACCTGGCCCGCAACCCAGGCAGGTGCCCAGATTGGGATCAAACCGGCGACCATTCTGTTCTCCGGCTGGTGATCAATCCACGGAGCCACACCAGCCAGGGCAACATGATATACTTTAAACGGATGGATTCTATGGTATATAATTTACACCTCATGAAAAGAGTTTTTAACTTCAGTGACCTTTAGTAAGGTAGTTTTGCAACAATGTCATCAGGAAACGACATTTCCATCGCCCTGGAAGAGCTGGCGGGTACACACGTCCGCTTCGGGGACGGCTCTGCACAAAGGAGAGAAAGCCCGACTCACCCACAGGGCAGCCGTCCGGACCCTGGCGCCCATCCCCGCACCGTCCCTGCCCCGCGGGACGCGGCGGACCGAGGCAGCCGCTGGCTCCCCGCCTCCGCCCCAGCCGCGCACACGGCGGACAGCAGGAAGGCCGCGCTAGTCGGTACCGTCCACCGCCTGGAAAAGAGGGGTTCGGCGCGTCGGCTCCTCGGATCCCTGAATGGGCGGCGGGGAACGGGAAGACTGGCCGCCTCCACCCACGGACCTGAGGCCAGAGCGACTTCGTCCTCGCTCTTGACTTTCAGACGCCCAGCGCGGGCGCTGCCGCGACGCTCCTCGCGGGGAAACGAGAACTGCCCACTGCCGTTTGGATGGCCGCCACGACGGGCAACGAGTGACGGCCGCAGGCCGCGGCCCGGGCTCCGCGGCCCAGCGGAGGCCACGGCGCCTGGGAGGGGCGCCCAGGAAATGCGTCAGGGAGACCGAGGGCAGAACGAACTGCAACTCCCAGAAGCCTCTGCGGCAGCTCCCGCCGCTGGCACGTGCGGCGGCCGGAGGCCCCGGCTCGCCAGCCCGGTGCTAGGGCGCGGGCGCGGCGCGCTTCAATTAACTTAAAGAATTAAAGAAATGGGCAGTAAGAGCACTAAGACGGCAATGGTACAAATTAAGTGTACTAGGGTCTCTGGTTTTTTACAAAAGTCCTAATTTACACTAGAAATAATTAAAAAATGTGTATCATATCAACGTTTTTATAAAGCTCAAGTTTTCTACTTTTATAAAGCTCAGATTAGGGGCGGCATTTTAAAACTACTTTTTGGAGGGGGGGGAAAGAATCTTTGAAATGTGTCAGCCAAAGGTCAGGTGTATTACTGTTTTATATAATGCTTAATTTTTAAAGTCCGTCTGCTATCTGCCACACGGGCGAGTTCTCAAATGAAGCTCCATTTACCAGCTACGTGAACTTGGGCAGGTTACTCAAAGTTCCAACTGTAGCAGCCTTAACTATAGGGAGTATCACATGTTCCTCACGGGGCTCTAATCCAATGCATTAAAAGGCTTAGCAGATTGGTTACCCCGCGTTAAACCGTCTGCAGTTTTAAATATCAGCCACTATTACTATTGTCATGAGCATTCGCTTGGAGCTGCAGCTGTTGTTTCCCCAAAGTCCCTGGTTTTCTAGGTATTTTCAATCAGATTTATTGAGGTATAATTACATACAACCACCTGGGTCCATAAGAAGGGAGTTTAGCAAATGAGCGGCCAAGAAACTTCCACGAAGATAGATCACGCGTGGTCCTGTCCACAGTCCGTTACTCCCCCACGCACAGCCACAGGCAGCACGGATGCACCTGTTCTCCCAAGAGCCTGTTTTAGAACTTTGGAGATGGGGGTCGTACAGGGTCTGCTCATTTGTGTCTGACTTCTAGTACTTACAAGCGGCTTGGAGATTTCTCCATGCTATTGGGGTATCATTCGTTACGCTTTACTGCGGAGCACTCTCTCATCACAGGGCTCAACCACGATTTGCTTCTCCATTCAGATGTGGAGAATTAGTATACACATCCTGTTTACATGTTGTCAATTCAAGGAATGGAACTGATGGGTCATGTGGTAGTGGTGTGTTTAACATTTTAAAGACATGCCGAACTGTTCTCCATAGAGGCTGCTCTGTTTTATCATCCCACCAGCCATGTAGGGGCTTCTGACATCTCCCTTCCTTACTAGCAATGGTTATGCCCGCGTTTTACCGCAGTCATTCTACTGGGTGTGAAATGCTATCTCAACATGATTTTGACTTGCATTTTCCTGGTGACTAACGATGTTGAGTATCTTTACATGGGTTGACTGGACATCCGTATGTATTCTTATAGGCGAAGCACCTGGTAAAATATTTTTACTGGTTTGCCTTCCTGCTATATGCCTTACAAGGGTTCTTTGTCTTCTGGATACATGGATTTGTCAGGTACGTATATTGTGAATATATACTAGTCTCTGGCTTGCATTTTTATGTTCTTGATGGTGTTTTAAAGAGATCTGAGGTTTTTAATTTTAAACAAGTCCAATTACCAACTTTTATTTTATGATTCATGCTTTTCCTGCTATCAAAATCTTTCCCTAGACCAGGGCCATAAATATTTCCTCGACGTCTTCTGGATGTGTAAAGGTTTTAGCTTTAGCATTTAGGTTTGTGATGACTTTTGAAAATTTCTTTTTATGTAATGTGAGGTAAGAGGTTTTTTCTCCCCAATACAAATATTCAGTTTTTACACCATCATTGGTTTAAAAGAGTATCCTTTCCACATTGAATTATTTTGGCACTTGTATCAAACTGTAGTTGACAATGTATGTGTAGGTCCATTTCTGGACTCTTGTTTTATTGATCTATATCTATACTCATGCCAACACTTCATTAGTGTGGTTCTACAAAAACTTTGAAATTAGGCAGTGTAAGCCCTCCAACATTGCAACATTGTTCTTTTTTAAAATTGCTTTGATTATCCTGGATCCTTTAAATTTCCATATAAATTTTTTATTAGCTTGTCAAATTCCTCGCAAGTGCCTCTGAACTTAGTATTTGGGGAGAACTGCCATCTTAACAATATTTCGTTTCCCAACCCTTGTTCATGGCATACCACCCCATGTGTCACCTAGTATGTCTTGTTTATTATGTGTTCTTGAATTTCAGCAATGCTTTACACTTTTTACTGTATAGTAACTTGCTCGTTTCATTAATTTATTTCACATTTTTGTATCACTGTAAATCAGACTATTTTTTACTTCATTTCCAAATTGTTCAATGCTAATATGGAAATGAAATCAATTACTGTATGTTGATTCTGTCTCCTGTGACCTGGCCCAATCGCCTTACACTTATAGCTTATGTGTAGATAAGACCTCTGGAACAGAAAATATTCCATCACCTTCAAGATTGTTTTCCTGATCCTAAAAGTAATAGGTATTCTTTGAAGACACTTTGGAAAGAACAGAAAAGTTAAAAAAAAAAAAAAAAAAAGGAAATGCCAAATCTCCTAATATACAGATTAACTGCAATTAAGCTTCTAACAAAGTTCCTTAGAGTTTTAAGAAAGTTTCATTTCATTGTTTACCGTTCATTTATTTTTTTACATATCTGAGTTTATTCCACATTGACAATTATTTATCATGCTTTTTCCTAACACATGACAGCATCAACATTTTTCCTGTTATCAGACTTTCTCTTTGCATAATTTTGATGTCTGCATATTACATAGATATACTATAAATAACCATTTTGCTATTATACATTTTTATATTGCAAATTTTGCACTATCGTAAGTAATGATTCAGTGGTCATCCACAAACACATTTCTTCCCATATTCCAACACATACAGTACTTACTATGTGCCAGGCACTGCTTTGTACACATTGTACACATTATCACACTAATCCACACAACTCTCTGAGGTAGATACTAGTAGTACCTCCATTTTACAGTTGAGAGAAAAGTGAGCCATCGGCCATCAGAAAGCCTGCAGGGCTCAGTGAAGGGACTACCCTTCTACTCCCACAAAGAGCCACGGTTTACAATGAAAATTGGCTCTGACAGGAATATGTCACACATGTCAATGGTACATGAGCACTGAGAGAGCAGCAGTAATTGAGGGACCTGCGACATAGGACTGGGTCTGACTTCACTCAAAACGTTGCCCCTGACCCAACTCAGTGTCTCAACTATGCCATGAACAGCACGAGTTAAACAGTTCCATGTTCCACGTAGTTCTGAGGTCTCATGATTCTAACAATCATTTCTAGATTTTTCTCCTGGGAAAGATAAAAGATCTTGTTTGGTCTCAACAATATTTATCATTCAAAAACCAATCTCTGAGCATTTAACATATACTTCGTTTGCTATAAAATGGCAAATAATGGTCAGTCCCTGCACACAGGAGAGCCATTTATACAATAAAACAGAATTAAAACAGATTCTCTTCCTAAATCACAGACTTACCAGAGAATCTGTAGATTAAGATTCTCTCCCAAGAAGAGAAAAACCTTTGTATGAACACAATGATCACAATGATTTTGCATAAAATGTTAAAATTTGTTAACTGATTCTCAGAAATGAACCCATACACCCACTATGGGTGAGTGATATCCTCAGGTTGATAAGTTCTTATTATCTAAAAGGGAAAAACACACGTGACTGGAAGGGGATTGAGAACTCAAGTTCTTTTTAGCACTCAAGAAGTTTTAAATGACAGACACTAGGGTGAAGCAATGACAATATTAACAATCACAGTTAATAACTGTAAAGCACTTAATATTCCAGGCACTATTCTAAACTGTTTATATGTTTACTGATTTAATTCTCATCACAATCCCACAAGGTAAGTAATATTTCCCCTGATTTATGGAGGATATCCACCAGTTAGGCACAGAGGAGCTAGATAGCATGCCCAAGGTCACCCAGCAAGTTTAGGGCAGAGGTGGGATTTGAACGTAAGTCTAACTTAAGCTTAATCCTTTTAACCACCAAGTCTTTTTTTTCTAATCCTCATCCGAGGACATGCTTATTAATTTTAGAAAGAGGGGAAGAGAGGAAGAAAGTGAGGCATAGCAACATCAATGTGAGAGAGAAACATTGATCGTTTCCTTTTCATAGGCACCTCAACCAGGGACTGAACCTGCAAGCTAGCCATGTGCTCTGACAGGGGATTGAACATGTGACCACTTGGTTTGCAGTACGAGGCCCAACCAACTGAGCCACACTGGCCATGGCCCACGTGTTCATGATAAAACCAAAAGGTTATTTGGAAGGAAGGTGCTTTTGTGTAGTGCTGGGTTTATATCCTGAACATACTTGCTCCAAGTATTACCCAGTTACCTGCTCCCACTCAAATGGAGACCCTTCGTGGTGTGTTCGTAATACCCAAAATTCCTCTAGGTCCCAATTTCCAGAGAATCACTATTTTCAAATTCACAGGAGACTTTAGTTGTTTAGTACTGTTCAAAACAACTCTATGACATAAAATAACTTGGAATTAATGGCAAAGTTTGCTAAGATGCTTCACAAACTTCCTTCATGGTGGAATAGAGAAACTAGATATCCTTTTTTAATATTTAAAAATGCCTTCAAAAAAGTACTACAGTTAACACCAAATAAACTATAAAACTCACTCATTATCCCATTATCTAACAAATCAATTCTATTCATTTATCCCTACTTTTTCTTTTTTTTAATGTTCACAAACTATACCTCTAGACCAAATGCTCAAACTCCAAATCACTGCCAATGAGAAGACTATCCCTACTTTTTCAATTCTCTTTCACATGCTAATATATTTTTAAGTGGGTACTACTACTACTAACTGTTGCTTTTCCATTATAAGCATTTTCATTTTCCTAGCTAACCAAAATGTGGTTACATCAGACACATAGAACAGACTAAACAACATTAAGTGTCTGAGAAGAGAGTAAAAATGGCATATTAATTCACTGGAATATTATTTTCCATCTTTTGTTACAGTAACTATCAATTATTCTTCTCAGCAACAACTCTCATTTATCTTTTTGAAGCAGCATCATCATTATGTATTTACTTTTTTGAAGAAGGTAAGAAAGCTGAATCATCTCTCAAAAACTCACCTACTTAACGGTGCCTTCTCAGATTTTAGCATTCAAGAGCTTGATCAACAATGCTTCCAGGCCAATTACTTACATAGCAGTTTGTGGAAAGGAGAGACTCTAAATATGTATTTGTGTACTAAAGTGAAATCTGTGGGGTTCCCCCCCTTCCAAGACCAAGTGTCTAGCACACAAAAGAGTAACAACACGACTGAAAGCATTTCCACATGGATTACATCTGTACAGCTCCTCTCCAGTTCTCCAAAGCTAAATAAAGTTACTGTTCTTTATGCAAAATTTTACAATCATTATATTAATAAGTATTTACTCTAATATGTATTTGCCTGGTATCTAATAAGGTTTGGGTTGTTGACAAGCGCTGTCCCACACCGATTACACGTTAGGAACTGCTCTCCAGTGTGAGCAATTTGATGGACTATACGTGGAGAGGTCTGGCTGAAGAGGATTCCACAACGGTTACATTTATAGGTCTCTGCTCCAGTATGGATCCTCTGATGCTTAATAAGGTCATTCTTCCGAATGAAGGCTTTCCCACACTGACAACATTCATATGGTTTCTCTCCAGTATGAATTCTCTGATGCACAATGAGGGCAGAACTCTGGCTGAAGGATTTTCCACAATCATGGCATTCATATGGTTTCTCTCCAGTGTGGGTTCTCTGGTGTGAGAAAAGGTGAGAACTTCGACTGAAGCACTTTCCACAGTCTTTGCACTCAAAGGGTTTCAGTCCAGTGTGAGTTCTATGATGCACAACAAGGTGAGATCTCTGGCTGTAAGACTTCCCACATTCGTTGCACGCATAGGGCCGCACTCGAACGTGAGTTCGCTGATGCAGAATGAGATGTGTGCTCTGTCTGAAAGATTTCCCACATTCAGAACATTCATAAGGTTTCTCACCAGTATGAGTCCTCTGGTGCCTAATAAGCCTGGAGCTATGAACAAAAGATTTCCCACACTGATTACACGTGTACAGTTTGTCTCCCGTATGGGTTCTCTGATGGGTGACAAGGTGAGAGAACCAGCTGAAGGATTTTCCGCATTCTTTACATTCATAGGGTTCCTCACCAGTGTGAGTCTTCTGATGTCCAATGAGGTGGGAACTCCGGCTGAAAGATTTTCCACATTCTTTACATTCATAGGGTTTTTCTCCAGTATGAATAAGCCGGTGCCTAGTAAGATTAGAACGCCAGCTGAAAAATTTTCCACATTCCTTACATTCATAGGGTTTCTCTCTATGTATACCCTTCGATATACCATGGGATGTGCCATGACTATGAGAGTTACCACTATCAGGGCATTTGTAGGATTTCTCTCCTGTTTGAGTCCTTGCAAACTGAATAAGGTGAATGTTCCGACAGAAGGGTTGGCCACATTCACTATTGTTACTTACATAGCTTTCCTGATGACCACTAAAAACTAAATCATCTTTTAAACTTTTAGCATGTGAGTCATGTTTATGGAAATATTCTGTCAGTACTAGTTGAGCAGGAAGGAGACAGTTTGCCCCAAATTTACCATTTTCACTGACTCTCTCTGGAGTAAGTACTTTCTTTTGAGTGAATGCCACTTGCCTCAAATGTCTCTCCTGGTTTTCTTGATACTTGTCCAACGCGCCTTCACATTTCCACACTTCTTCTAATGAGAGATACCAGAGATCACTCTTTGCCATTCCTTCCATTTTAATGTCACAGGATTGCTTATTTTTAGAAATGCTCTTAGTGGGAATTGACTTAATTTCAACTGCAGTGTCCCAATCTGAAAGAAATGAAAAAGGCTTGCATAACTAAAAAAAGTATTAACATTAAAATGGTGGGGTATATGTGGAGACCAAGTATGAAAGCCAGGTAGAGGTGCTTTCAGACACGGTTCTACAACCCTGATAGAGAAGAACACAGCAGCAAACAGGAAATGCACTGGGCAACACAGCACAGAAGAGGAGCAAAGAGAGGAAGGAGAAGCCGCAGGGCTGGGTATGACAGAGGGTTGGGATATTTAGTGGAAAGGGGGTAATAAAAGAAATCCCACAGGAAAGGCTGCACTGCCTTTTTATAATACGACTATTAATGACATTAAAAACCTAAGTGACTTCGTGTTGCCAGGCACCCCCCGACATGCCTTTTTCACACTACAACCAGTTTAATATTCCTGAGCTACGAATGCAGCCATGTCAGGCAATGCCTCTTATCTACATAACAAGAGCACTACAGTGCAATGCCCAGACGACCAACACGGTGAGCCTCAGAGGGCCAGGTGGCTGGCTGGAGGAGCCACCGCACAGAAGCTACCCTGACATAGGTGCTAACCTCAGTTTTCTGCAACTAGTGCTGGATTTCAACAAGTGAATAAACTTTACAAAAATCATTTTGCTTATCTGTAACCTGAGAACAGTAGTATTTCCTGTGCAATATTATAGGTATTACATGTGTTTAAGCATGTGGAATTTTAGTTTTCCTTTTGACAACAATCTCTCAATAAAAATCTAAACTGCTGAATCTAGCCAATTATTTTGGGATACTTATCAACAGACCTTTAGTGTTGCAGACATGGCTGCAGCTGAGAACAGCGGACCAAGTTCTTACCAGTGTTTTGAAAGACCTGCCCTGAAGACAGAAATTTGGTACAATCACTTATAAGACCAAATGAAAAAAAGAAGTCAAAAAGCGTCTATGATATTTAAAAGCACAGTTAAGTCCTCAACATCATCATAGGTTCTGCAACTTTAGGCAAAATGACAAATAACAAAACCATTTTCACTGGAGGCTAACTGATATAAATAAGAGTTACATTCTGCGGCATCTCATCAACATTGTCATGAAACAATGTGGAACGAAATGATGTCAATCAAGCATCTGCTGTAGACTTAACCAAAGTGGGGGCTAGGAAAAAGCAGAGACCTGTACTTAATGAGAAGTTACAATGTTTCACAGAGAGAAGATTTGAGGTGAAACTTACAGGATAACTGAGACTGACAAACTTTATGTACATCACACTCAAAGCCTGAGATGAAGGGACACCCAGGTGTGTAGATGAGGTTTCATAAAGAAACACCTACAGGCTGCTCTGGGCTTGCAATGCTCCACAACTCTAGAAAGCTACAGGACTCACTGGAAAGTGTCCCAGCTGTCCTGTGCATGCAAAGTCAGCTAGTAGCAGCATGACTCAGACAAGCAACACTCAAGAGGTATGAGGAGAAAAATGATGAGTGTTGAACTCAGAAATAAAAAGCAGGGAAAAGATCATTTACAGAGAATAAAAGAGGAAAACAAAAGACTACTTTCTATTTGTTGAACTAAAAGGCTGACTTTCTATACACAGGGAAGCTGGGAAAAGAAGTGACGTTAAGAATCCAATAATGATTTGCATTTTACATGTTAAGACTAAAATAAGATAGTTATAAATTGAAAAAACATTAAATAAAGTACTAGCGTGGGGTGAGAACACAGGTGTGTGAGAGCAGTGGTTCTGGAGAAGGAGAGCGAAGCAGCGGGAACAGGAGAGCCCTGCCACAGTTTCCTAAGTGGCAGAGACAACTCAGGACAGGGGCCAGGGCTGGAGTCCCACTGCAGAGCCCACACAGAGGCTATGGGCAGGGAACACGTGAAAGGGAAAAGATAGGCAAAGAGAATAATGGATTCTGTGAAAATGAGAGAATGCGGGTGCTGGAGTTGGTGGTGCTGAGCAGAGATCAAAACCAAGCACATCAAGACAAAGGTAATTTTAATAAAGAAGTAAGACACCATCGTCTTTGAATGCAAACGCCAAGACTACAGAAAGGCTAGCAGAGGGGAAGGAGAGGGTAAATAAAGTGAGGCTTCTCAGAAATGAGACCAGTGATCACTACCTCCAGGGACGCTGGCCCAATGGATCATTGAGGCTACTGCCCACAAGGCCTCTTCTCTGGTCCTCACCTGGACGGGTGTCTTGGCGAATCCCTCTCTCCGCCAGCCATGGCTCTTCCCCCTTCTCCAACTGGAGGATCACATCTGGCTTGAGAAGCTGATGTCCTGCTCACAGTGAAAGATAAAGAACTGGGCAAGAGTTGGGGAGCTCTGAGGTGGACACAGAGAAGCATCCCAGATGTAACCTGAACCCCTATACCCTTCAAATCCCTGGGGAACTCTGAAGAACAGAGAAGGTGAGGCTACAGAGGCAGAAAAATGGGTCTTTTTACAAATTCAACAAATAAAAACTATTTTCCCCCCCACAAAAGCAGGAGTATAAAAACTCTGTTCTATGCCCCAAAGAAATTAGGTCCGTGAACCAAAGCTCACACTCTGATACATGCTTCAGGGTCTCCACACCTTTTCATCGATGAAGAACCAAAATCACCGCAGGGAGTGCATCTCTGAAAACAGAGGTTAGCCTTACCCAAGGACACCAGATTCTTGTAGTTCTCCAGCATCACGTCTTTGTACATGATCTGCTGAGCAGCGTCCAGGAGCTTCCATTCCTCCCTGGTGAAGTTCACAAGTATATCCTTGAAGGTCACCAGTGTCTGCAACACGAAAAAAGTTCGCAGTAGGCCTGGTGTGTATTGCTGCCCTCCCTTCCCTGAATACTGACAGAAAGACAGATGAGGCAGACAATGCTGGCGCAGGGAAAGAAGACGGGCCAGAATTTACCCGAGTCAGCAGTACGTATTGTGGATGTTGGCCAAGCCCTAGAGGAACAGCTATTAGGTATATTAGGTGACTACAGTCCTAAAGCCAGTTCTGTTATGCTTTAGGTTTAGAAACTGTCAGAAGCACTTTTATTTAAATCAAGTTTACTACAAACAGTTATAGCAAAGAGAACCAGAAACCGAAAGTTCATCTACATTTATATTATGTGAAATACAGAACATAATTCAAGGCAGGAAAAGGGGGGGAACAGCCTTGAGTTCAGAGTAACTTAATGCTAAGAGGCCAACCTAACCATGTTTTATGACCCAAAATAATTATCTAAAACATTTTCTCTAAACATTTATAGACGTAAAAATGGAGAAGATATTATATTTTTATAGCAGCAAAACAATTTGACCAAAAATAGACAAAGAAGCAAGGCCTTTATTATAATGCTACATCGAAAAGAACTGATGCTTGCATATGCGGGGGGAAAAGCCTACTTTAATGACTGAGGATTTCTTATCAAAGGCCAAGAAGGTCAGAAGTAAAATAACATTTTTTTTTAATGCTGAAAGAAAACTGTCAGGCCAGAATTTCTATGTCCAATGAAAATATCTATGAAGAATGATGCAAAATACATTCTCAAATGAAGTAAACCTAATAGCATTTGTCACCAGCAGACCTGCTCTAAAAGACATGCAACAGGTACTTCCTTCAGGCCGAAGGGAAATAATACCAGACAGAAACTTTAAATCTCAAGAGTAAAGGAGAACAAAAATGGTAAATATAGTAAGCTAGTTTTCTCTTAAATCCTTCAAACCATGCAGGACAGTTGAGACAGAGCCTGCATCACTTGCTGGTAGGGTTTTCCCTGTATGTTGAGGGGACAGGTGAGGAACCCTGAAGGGAAGAAGCTGACTGGGGTGCAGGGAGCCCTGCCCCTAATCCAGTCTCTCAGGCCAGAGGCTCCACCCTTCTTGGAGCTCTTTCTGCCTGGGTTGCAGTCGCCCCTTGATAATTATGTTACTTGTCCCCGAGTTCCTCCAGAACGCCTTCCCCCACACAGGGAGGAGTTCACACAGCCAGAACCACACCCAGGACAGCCAGGGGTTAGAGAAGCCCTGCAGGGACCAACACTCAGCTCTTTCACCCTCTTTGGAGCAGAAACCTGCTATGGGCTCAGTTCTTTAGTGTGGACACAAAGGGTTTCACTCCTCAATATCACCTCACTTGATTCCTGCCCACATTACTGATAAACTCGTTTCTTTGATATAAAAGGAAATAAAAACTACTTCTAACAATAAAACAAAATGGTGCTAGTTTCCTAGAGGAGAGAGTCTGAAACACAATTTATGAAGTTGTAGGCAACTTCAGAACCTAAGCAAAGAGATTTTCAGTTGGAAAACAAAGAAAGGCAGTGCTCGACGTACTGGGGACTGGGCAGTCAGGGCCTTGGCTTCCATGACCTCCGCGTTCTTGGCGATGCTTTCCCGAGCAATGACAGATCCGAGAAGGCAAAGCTGGGAAAAGAAAGAAACCTGAAGTAAGTTTGCTGTGGCTGGGATGTTTCACAAATCCTCAGCCTAGCCTCCCTCTTACCACACAGAGGAACCTTAGAGATTCCAAAGCTCCCATGAGGAGGAAGGGAGAGCTATGCAGATTGCCTTTTTCCCCTTCACCTCCAGAGTTCAAAGCCAAATTTCATCTGGAATGAAACTGTTCTACTGCTACAAATTCTCCTTTCTGAGGAAATCAAATAATACCCAAAACCTGACCTGATCAAACACCCTCACTTTACAGCTTAGACAAGTGCAGAAGTGATTTGAAGAACAAGAAACATGCGATGCGCATTGCTGGCCCAAAGGTGGAATGTGCCATGTGGCAAGAGGTGCGGCACCCAGCAGACAGCCAGCAAGGAAACAAGGACCTCAGTCCCATAGTCATGAAGAAACTCGAGCGAGCGTGGATGCTCCCCCACACCCTCCAGGTGAGAACTTAGACCAACTAACACCTGGTACCAGCTGTTGGGTATCTGAGCAGAAAACCCACACAGTGCTTCAGACTTCCACCTACAGAGCTGAGCGCTAGTAATTGGGTGCTGTTTGAAGCTGCTAAATTTGTCACACAGCGATAGTCAGCTAATACCTGGCCAATTCTTTTATGGGTACTTACCTACCTATTAAGAAATAAATATACATTTACTTAAGTACTTGGCACTGCCTGTCATTCTTTCTGGTAGATAATGATTTCTACTTGGTTTCATTTCCTTTCTCCCTAAATGACATCTTTTAACATATCTTGTAATATGTGTCTGCAGGTAATAAATTGTTTCAGCTTTTGTAAATCTGATAATGTCTTTATTTTGCCTTTGTATCTTTTTAAAACAGCTTTATTCAGACATGACTCACATATCATATGATTCAACCAAAGTGTACAAAATCATTGGTTTTTGGTATATTATATTAATCTAAAATTATGGTGAAATATATACAACCAAATATGCCATTTTAACCACTGCTGTGTATAATTCAGTGACATTACTTTCATAATGTTGTACAGCCATCACTGCTAATTACAAAGTTTTTTTCCTCACCCCAAACAGAAATTCCTAAACATTGAGCAATATTCCTCTCTCCCCTCAAACCCCGATAACTTCTTGTCTATTGTACTTTGTTTCTAAAAATTTGCCCATACTAAATATATCCTGTAAGTAGAGCATACAATATTTGTGCTTTTGTGTTTGGCTTATTTTACTTAACATGTCTCAAGGTTAATCGTTGATGTAGCATGTATAAGAAGTTCATTCCTTTTGACGGCTCAATTACATTCCATTGTACAGAACCACCACCTTTTGTTTATCCATTTATCTGGGTTGTTTCCATCTACTGGTTATTGTGATTAATGCTACAACGAATACTGGCACACAAGAATCTGCTGGAGTCTGGGCTTTCAATTCCTTTGGGCATATACCTAGGAACGGAATTCCTATGTCACATGGTAAATTTTTTTGTTTAGATTTTTAAGGACCCACCAAACTTTTCAATTATGGCTGCATCATTTTACAATCACACCAGCAATGTACAAGGATTCCAAGTTTTCCACAGCTTGCCTATGTGTTGTTATTCCATTTTTTAAATTATTACAGCCATCCTAGCAGTTGTTAAGTGATATCTCCTTGTGGTTTTAATTTGCATTACTTTCATGTGCTTTCTAGTTATTTGTATGATCTTTAGAGAAATGTCTGTTCAAGTTCTTTGCCTATTTTTAAATTGGGTCATATGTCTTTTTGTTGATAAGTACTAGTTCTTTCTACATGGTGGATGTGAAACCCTTATCAGATACATGTGATTTCTAAATATTTTCTCCCATTCTGTATACTGATTTACCTTTTTTGTTGAAATATATTTTTGCTGACTATAGGATTTGATGTAGACAGTTACTTTTCCTTTCAGTGCATTACAGATAAAGCTCATTCACAATGATACTCTGGGGATTAGAAGAGTTTTCCTGTCTGGCCAGTAGCGACAGGCAATATTACCCATGTGAATGCCGGGTACTATTTCCTCTCATCCTTCAGGGGATTGTTTCACTGTCCTCAGGTCGTTCCTTTACACATGTGTGGTGACTTGTGTTCTGATAACTTAAGATCTCCCCTCTCTGGTATCTGTCCTTTGAACTCTAGCTGCTTCGATCTCCCCAGATTCTCAGCTCCACATCCTTGACACAGGCAGACTGTTTGGCTCCATGCCAGTTTCTCTGTCCTCTGCTGTAACCTGAAAACCCTCTCAAGGCAACAAACTGGGGTGACCAGAGGGCTTACCTCATTGGTTTTCCATCTCACAGGAATTATTGTCCTGCATTGTCTGACACCCAGCGTCTTCAAACAATTGTTTCATGTACTTTGTCTTTTTGTTGTTGTTGGGTTGTTTGGGAAAGAAGGTAAATCCACTCCCTGTTATTCCATCTTGGCCAGAAGCAGAAGTCTATAAACATTATATTTTTAACTTGTTTTAAATTTAGACTATAAATTTCCATATTTTGATTAATGTGTTTGAATACTTTTGCTATGTCTACATTTGTAGTTTTTGTATTTTGTTTTCTTTATATGATTTGCCCCTTGGTCTTCTGAAGATGTGAATGCTTTCCACTTCAGTTACATGCACATTTACATAAATAGAAGCACTATGGTTTATGCCCCCATGCCGGTGAACAAGTCCCACCAATGGCCCCTGTTACAGAGGGTACTGGTGGCCTCTCAATTGTTCTTGAAGCTCTTTTTTTACTTTACTTCCTCCCTCACCTAGTTTTCCTCCTTGGCACTTCTTAGTCTTTCCTAATGATTTCAAAAATCATGATTTGCTTAAATCCTCAGTCGTTTAGTATTAGTTGCATCCTCAGTCTTTTCTGGTCTCGATTTTCAGCACGCCCCAGGACACTCTCAGGACACAGCACATCTTGCTTTGTCCCCACTGTCTATCCCACTGCAAGGTACACAGTGGAACCAAGTGTTTTGTCTGGAATGAAAAGACAACTCTGTCTTCTAACCCAACCTCATTCCCTAACCTCAAATGCACAGTTCTAACTATGGCTAACAGCATGGATTGTGAGGCGAGATGGCATGGTTTCAAAAACCTGCTCTATTACCTACAAGGTGGTTTCTTAACCTGTCTGTATCTCAGTGTTTTCATCTTCACAATGGGGATAAAATAGTGCCTACCTTATAAGAGTTATGATAATTGAGTAAGTCAATATGTACAAAACACACAGAACACTGCCACACACGTGGTGAGGATTATTTGTTAACTAAGAAACCACCTGGGAGCTTCCAGTTGGTGACGATGTGGAAATCAGGAGGGTGGTGCCCTAGAGAGGGCATGAAGGCTCTGTGCCCCTCCCATACACCTGGCCCTATGAATCGCTTCCATCTGGCTGTTTCTGGGTTATATCCTTGTATAATAAATCAGTGATCTAGAGAGAGATTATTGGTATTTCACTATTTTCCACATGAATGGAGGTAATAAAATGATTTTGCTATTTATGTCAACAGTTTTGAAAGACTTTAATCCCTTAAATAAATAAATGATGCCCCCCCACCCCCACCAAGCCCCAGCTGGTATGGTTCAGTTGGTTGCAGCATCGTCCTGTACACCGAAAGATCTCCAGTTTGATTTCCAATCAGGGCACATGCCTGGGTTGTGGGTTCAATCCCTGGTTGGGGTGCGTGCAGGAGGCAAACAATTTCTGTTTCTCTCTTACATCGATGTTTCTCTGTTGCTCCCCCTCTCTCTTGAGAATAAAAAATAAACCTTTAAAAAAACTGATGCTGCACAAGACATCAGCTAAACCAAGCAGACAATATGAAGCTGAGCAGTATGAGTTGTCAAAAAAAAAGGTAGCTTGTTCAGATCCCACTACGGCGGGAGCCAGCTTTACCATGGCACGGGCAGAAAGGCCTGTGGAGAGTATGCCTGCCAAAAGGATCAAAAGTGCTATCTGAAACTTTCTGCAAAAATAGTTCTAACAATGTGAAGGAGGATAAAGACTGACTCCAACTGGTCAGTTACGAACACTTCCAGTGACTTTGAAATCTGATTATTGCTAACCTTACCCCCTCCTGGAGTAATTCCTTTCCCATTCTAGAAGACCCTCCCTACAAAATGCATTCCTTCTGGAAAAAAAAATGTGACATCTAGTGACTCAGCAATGCTAGTGTCTTTCTGGACCTTGTCCTCTTTAACAACCAATCAGTATACTCTCCCATGTTACTTTGGATTACACTGCTATGGCCTTGGGTCAAGCCCTCAGAATTCTTGACTTAGACATGGAACTTGGCTCCTCTGCCTTCTGTCTCTCCCACTCCCATAATCTACATCAGCGTCATCTCTATGAAACGCAAGTTTCACTCCTTGATTAAAATTCTGCTGGTGTCCCAGGACTGACAGGAAAATTGACCAAGTCAGAGTTGTTGTCATTTTTTTAGATGACAATCTAAGGGAAAAGAGGTCAGTGCTCCTGACTCAATAGTCAGATATTGCATGTTATGAAAATTTTTGTGGCACACAGGTTGAAAATTGCAGTCAGCACAGAGTTTTCAGTGCTCCCAGCACTTTGACACTCTGCCTCAGGCCACCACTATTTACTTATCAGCCTCCCCTAAGAAAACTAGGATAATCTCATTTTAAATCTCAAAACAGGCTAGCATAGTGCTTTACACTTTGATTTGTTCACTCTGGCATTTGTCGAATACTCACTGAGCACCACAATGAAAATGTGTCTTTTCCCAAGATGTCTGCCTTCAGGTCTGTTTGAAGACCCAACACGTGAGGGCCAGGGCCCAGAGACAGTCAGGGCCCAGTTGTAGACAGTTTCTCACTCAAATATATGGAGTACATGCTTCTTTTTTAAGATTTTATTTATTTATTTATTTTTGGAGAGGGGAAGGGAGAAAGGAGATAAGCATCAATGTGTAGCTGTCTCTCGCACACCCCCTACTGGAGACCTGGCCCGCAACCCGGGCATTTGCCTTGACTGGGAATTGAACCTGTGACCTTTGGCTTTGCAGTTCAGCACTCAGTCCACTCAGCCACACCAGCCAGGGCTAGAGGACATGCTTCTTCTTTTTCTTCTTTAAATATTTTATTTATTTATTTTTAGAGAGAGGGGACAGGAAGGAGAGAGGGGAGAAACATCACTGTGTGCCAATTGCGAATAGACTGTGTGGTTGCCTCTCACATGCCCCCTATTAGGGACCTGGCCTGCAACCCAGGCATGTGCCCTGACTGGGAATCGAACCGGCAACCCTTTGGTTCACAGGCCAGCACTCAATCCACGGAGCCACACCAGCCAGGGCTGGAGTACATGATTCTTAATAAACAGAACAGGACCTGTTTATACTCTGAATAACTTCATGAGTATTTGGCATCTGCAAAAGACAAGAAATGATCAGCAAAGAACCCAGCAGCCACACAGTTAGGACTCGGGCCAGCAGAGATGGCAAAGACATATGTAAAAATACAAAAGGAAAGATGATGCATCTCTGAAAACTCAGCAAATGTACACTTTCATTTTCTATAATTCATTTTATGTGAATTTTACATAAAAAGAAAAAGCTAAACAAATATTAAATTCTAGTTAATAACATACATGCATCCTGAAGTACTTAGGGTAAGTACACTGATGTCTGCAATTTACTTTGAAATGCATTAGGAAAAAAGATGGACTGATTAATAAAGGGACAAATAAATATATGTTAATATATTTACAGTAAAATAGTAATAGAGTGTAGAAGAGGGGCTCAAGAATTATTCACTGTAAAATCCTTTTAATTTAACTATATGTTCAAAAGTTTTCATAATAAAATGTTGAACAGAAAAGGCAAGGATAACACAGCAGAGAGGTATTGTGTGGAGGAGGCAAAAATGATGCATGTGGTGTTGGTTCTAAGCCACAGGCACATATTGGGTTGGCCAAAAAGTCTGTTTAGTTTTTCCATAAAATAAAAGACACATTTTTCTTTTCACAAATAACTTTATTGATTTGGATATTTTGAGTATGTTGGCTATCTCCCGCTATTGGCTTCTAGTGGGCAGATGCCAAGAGTGATACTAAACATCTTCCAATGCATAAGACAGCCCCACAGTAAAGAATTATTTGGCCAAAATTTTAATAGTACCAAGTTATTTCGCAAACCACTTTTGACACATTAAATCAGTCACAGCATCTTCTCCATACGCTGCACAAATTTTTTTTGTTTCAGTTGTGTTTTTACCTTTCTTGAAATAATGAAACATAATATGCTGAAAATGTTATATGTCTTTTTCCATCTTCAATATTAAAATGGCTACACAAAAATCCACCAATCTTGTGAAGTTTATTTTAACACAGACTAATATGATAGCTATCACAATACAATCTAACAAAAATTGTTTTGAATGAAGTTAAAGACAACTAGGTGCTTTTTGGCCAACCCAATACAACATGACACTTCTTTCTCCTTAACATAAACATATTACTTAAAACCTAAAATGTTTTTTAAACGAATCTTTCAGTGCATGAATTATGTGAAGAAAACCAAGACAACCCATATTTTCTAGGAGTATTTCTCCTTTAACAAGAATGTTTTCTCACTAAATTACGAAGAAATGAGCCACTTCCAAAACATTTTAAGAAGTTGAAGATAAAAAGAAAAAAGCAAAGTGCATAGGGGTTCTCTTTAAAAATCCCAGTTACATTTTTTTCTTCTTCTTTTTTTTTAATCCTCACCCAAGGACATGCTCACTAATTTTAGAGAGAAAGGAAGGGAGGGAGATGGAAGAGAAACATCGATGTGAGAAATATTGATTGGTTGCCTCTCCTATGCACTCCCGCCAGGGACAGGACCCGCAACCTAGTCATGTGCCCTGACTCAGGACGGAACCGGGACCTTTCAGTTTACAGGAGGATACTCCAACCAACTGAGCCACGTCAGCCACTGTCCAGTTATATTTTCTTGATAATTGAATTTAATCTATAAACAGCAGTCATTATTTCTATTCATCCTTTATTTTTATTTTATATCTATTAAGGTTTTAAAGTTTTCTCATAGTTCAGGCATATTTCTAGTTAATACTCGGTTATTTCTGCCAATTGCGAATAGACTATCTTTTACAAAGGTATGTGCTAACTTGTTGAAGACAGTAAAGAATCTGATAACCTATACATTTCCTTTTCACTCACTTTACTGAAAACTCCTTGATGTTAACTGATCGTACACGTTAGAGATGCAGTTCATTAACTAATAAGGATAATTCTGTAATCTCTCTTTCAGACAGTCCTTGATTCTTTGTAAATACTGTGCTGTCCTAACCAGAATTTTGAGACACTTTTTATATGAAACACTGATAAACAGACACATTCTCATTTAATTTCGGGTATGTATCTCCAATTCTTGCCCTGTGGCTGGCACACACTAAAAGTTCAAAATATTTGTGTTGAGAGAAGAAATGAAAGAACCGGTGAACAGCTTTCAAGGAAAGGCAGAAAAGGCAATTAACCATCCCGGATGCTTCACAAGACAGGGGAAAATTTTACTGGGACAGAGGCGGGTCGATTAGGCGATACCTAGGTCACAGGGCAAGGTCAGTGCGGTGCTGAGGTGGCTTTACAGGAAGCGCGTGCCCTGGCCGGCGTGGCTGAGCGTCCGCCCGAAAGGTCACCGGGCCGCTCCTGGTCAGGGCGCCTGCCCGGGTTTCCGGCTGCGGCCCGTGAGGGGGCCCGTGAGGGGCAACCAGCTGGCGGTTCTCCCGCATTTCATTTCGGTGTTTCCCTCCCTCTCTTTCTGCCTCCCTTCCCCTCTCTCTAAAAAGCACGTAAGTCAAGTCTTCTTTAAAAAGTGTCTCTCGGGCAGACAGGTCTCTCGCCAACCTGACTGACGCGTGTCGGAAGGCACTCTGGTAACACCCTGCCTCCCCGTTTACTCCCCCCTTTTTTAAACAGTATATTCTGCTACTCAAGTACACACGGAATTGCAGTTCTTCATCTTCCCATGCACTCTGGGTGGGACCTATGGACTCCTGACAGTCCTACGAGATGCGCCTTCGACGTTCCTATTAGACGGTGGGTGGCACACGTCATCTCTAGTCAATAACTCCAGTATCGAAAGGAAATAAAGTTATAGTAAATTCAACTGTCTCTGAAAAATAAAACTGGGTGAGACACATACACACCACCGGCTAATCGACTTGAGTTAGAAAGCAAAACAAACAGCAAAGACCACGAAGAACAGGCAGCCGGGAGCTGCCGACGTTTAAGTTCTGCGTGAGGGCCACACACAAACGCGTCCGATCTTAAGCACAGCAAGCGCCGCTCAGACGGGCATTTTAGCGAGTAAGACGGACGTCGCAGCGAGCGAGACCGACCCAGCCCTCTGCTCCCCAGCACCCCGGGCGGAACCCAGCAGCACGCATCTGCGAAAACCAGCGTGAGCACGCGGGGGCCTCCCAGAAACGGACGGAGAAGAATCCCCCACCCCAGCAAACAGGAGGAGCGCGACCGGCCGCAGCACGACCCTTCACACCGCCGGTCCCGGCGGGGCGTGGGGCCGCGACCGCGGAACCGCCTCCCTTTGCACGGCCGAGAATACCGGGCTCAAGGTCACCACAGGGTACTGTCCTTATTCCTCACACGCGTTTCTATGAACACTACGAAAAACATCCAGAAGTACCGTCCGGGGAAGAAGTCACTCACGCGAGCGGTAAAAAAAATCCCCGTTAAGAAGAAAAACTGTTCGCCGATGAAATCACGTCTCCCCAGCACGACGAGGCTCAGAAACCGCGGTCTCACCACACGGGTCCATACGTGTCCGAATACGAGGCACACACGCACCCGGCACCTGCGCGTACCTGCGAGAAGACCTGGAAGGTCGACAGGGAGCAATCCTGTCACGACGGCGACAGCTACGGCTCTTCAATGAGAGCCCTGTCTCCGGGGGCGGCTCCGCAGAACAGGCGTGACGGCCGAGCCAGGAGGGCTCTCCGCGGCCCCCCGGCGCCTCGTCGCGTGTCCCCGTCCCTCGCGCACGCGCGCCCAGACTCCTCAAGCCCACGCCGGCCCGTCCACGCACGAACCATCCGAGCCTCTCGCGCACACTTCGCCTTCCTCACAGCGCTGGCCCCTCAGCCAAGAACCGAGGCCGTGACGCAAAGCCCAGAATCCCTCCGCGAGGAGGAGCGAGGGCTCCTGGGAAATGTAGTCTCGGCCCTCGCGAGACCTCCGAGCCCGGCCATTCCCCCGGGCGGCCTCAGGGTGCCGCCGCCCGCCCAGCGCTGCTCTCCAGGCCTTTCTCGCGGAGGCCCCGCAGTTCTGACGCTGAGAGGCAGGTCCTCAGGTGACAGGTGAGCGCGGTGGAGCCAGTGGACCCTGAGGAGACGCGGCGAGTGAGAGGGGCCATGGGGAGCCGTCACCCAAGTTCTGCTGTGAGCAGGAAAGGCCCTGCCCGGAAAGCAGCCGGGGAAACGGGGGCTGAAAAGGCCTGAAGCCAAGTGCCGGGGTGCGGGATGCGGTCCCAGGGCGGCCTTCTCCGGGGTAAGGCGCTTCCCCGGGGGGCGGGAACGCGTCCGGGGAGCCGCTGGGTCCCGGTTGCGGAGCAGGTTCGACTCTTTACTGACAGTGAAGGGAGCAGAGCCGGCGGGTCCTGGGGACCTTCTTTCTTTACCCAGGAGCTTCCCTGGAGGTCGTAGTCCCTCAGCCTGTTAACGGGATGCGTCACAGAATATAATTTCTGTAAAGCAAACCTTAAATTAAGAGACTTAAAATTGTATTAAAAAATTGTATGAACCTTAGGTGGACTGTGAGCCTAAGGAAATTTTTTTTTAAAACATGAGATAAAAAATTTAACACTGCCTATATCATTTGTATATTAAGGAATTATTACTAGTTTAGTAGGTGTGATAATATCCTGGTTATGATTCCTGAAGGGTTCTTATCATCCACAGGTGAATTCTGAAATACTTACAAACAATATGTCATTTCCAGGTCTGTTAAATAGTGATGGATACAAGAGTGTTCATTATACTATCACATTATAGTAGCAATAATAGTTCTGCTTTTCAACCATTGTTATATTCTTGGTCAGTCCCTGCCTCAGTGGGTTACAGCATTACTTTAATACTCTGCCATATTCATTAATACTTTACTTGGGGCTTTTTCAGTGTGCAGAATTAAAATTGCACTTTAATCTTTCTTTGTACTATTTGTACTGTAAAGATTTTACAAGTCTCAGTAATTTGGGAAGAACAGCTTTTTTCTTCTATTCTGTAAAATATTTTTCCTTAAAGCTTGGTTAAAAATCTGTAGGGGTAAATACTTTACTTCTGATTCCATTTTTTTTCCCCAGTAGTTGATTGCTTTAGGTTTTGTAGTTCTTACTGAGTCAATTTTGGACGCTGAAGTTTTTGCAGACCGTTATTCATATGATCTGAATTTTTAAGTTTGCATACAATTGTTTATGCTATTTTTATAGTAATTTTTTAAATGAGTGCTTTTTAGTGATACTTAAAAATCACTGCTATAATTTTAGCTTGAGTGTAATATTTATCTGGACCATCTTTTTTATTCTTGATTTGTCCTGCAATATATATAACTCTGTTAAATCTTTTCAAAGCGGCAGATTTGGGTTATTTTTTGTGATGTCTTCTGGTTTTGTCTTATATCTTTGTATTTCAGTTTTCTGTTCTCTAACTATTGTATATTTTTAAATTTTATTTTGTTGCTATTTTTCTAATTCTTGATGATTGCTTATTTTCTCTGTAATTTGCTTTCCAAAAAATGTGTATTTTCATTTTTTTAAGTCTAATATAAGTTTCATAATAAAAACAGGAGGCCCCTGTTTCTTTTCAGTGGCAGCCTATGTAAAATGCCTTTCAATTCCTTTTTTCTCAAGGTAAAAATCCATAATACAATCTTAGTCATTTTTCTCTTCTCCTGAATGCATGTTCTCCTACTATATGGACCAGCGATTTTTCAATCTTCTCATCACATGGTACACATACACTATTTATTAAGATTCTGTGCAACACCAAAAAATATATTTTTGGCCTCACAAAAAAATAGGTATAATTTTGATTCATTCACACCGGATGTCTATTGTGTTGGCTCTTAACACTTTTTTTTTTTTTTTTAAGGAAAAGAGGTCAGTGCCCCTGTTAAACAGTCAGGTGTTGCATGTTTTAAAAATTCTTGCAGCATAGTGGCTCCATTGCACAATGGACTTCTAAAAATTCTTGGAGCAGAGTGCGCCACACACTGGTTGAAAATGGCTGATCTAGACTGATGGGTTATTCTTTATGCATGCAGCTCACTAGCATATTGAGACTTCCCTTTACTCTCAGTGTTCCCTCATCTCTGTGTTGGAGCTCCTATTTCCTGGAAACTTCTTTTTTTCCAGGATTATAATCCTAGTTCAGACAAATCCATTTCTATATGATAGACACTGAAGACACAGTTATGTTTCTGGTTTAGGGACATACACCCTACCTGTCTAAATTAAAGTGCCAATTCTAGAATTTTGTCCATTAAAATTGAACTCTGTTGAAGTATAATACTGAGGTAGGAGGCTTGCATTTGAAGGTTACCATCTAATCTTCAAAAAGTGAGACCTGTATAAATACTAGTGTAACAAATTACTGAATGATTTGCTGTGACCCCTAAAGTCCCCAAGCAGTCATTCGTCTTTCGTATTCACGCGGTGTCGTTTTGTTTTTTAGGTTAAAGCTATTATAAAAATTATTCAGGAAAGTTCTATACAATCTAATATTGTTAAGGCCTCACTCCCAAAGCTTGGAACATAGTTCATGCTTCTTTGTTGATCCTCTTCGAGTTTTACATAGACTAATTTATCATAAGGAAATATGGATTTTGGAGAGATTAAATGGAGGTACATAATCAAATGAATGGTTGTTTCAAAGTCGTGTATCTACCTTTAACATCTCCAGTAAAATTCCTAAGTAAGGGGCAGCCATATCATCAGTGCTACTAATCATATGTGAGGCTATTCAGGTAAACCAAGTTATATGTAGAATAAATAAATGTACCTACAACAGTTTTAAGCAGGAAAATTATTTTTCCATTAAAAAATAGCAATGTATGCATGAAATTTAATTAAACAACCATGTCTTTTTTTGACAGGTTCTTTTTAGCTTTAATTTCTTTTTTAATACTGCATGCTCCTTCCACCCTGGACTGAGAAGTAGTCTGCAGGAGAAGCCAGTATAAACAACCAAGATGATGGTTTTGGAAGGTGGCCAAGGATTACCAGATTACATGTCATTACCATCCCAGTAAAGAAAGATTTAAGATGGTCAGACCTTACTGGGAAGTCGGGGGAGGGCATACTTTTTATTTTTTTGGCTTTTCCTCCAGTGGGGACCTGTTTCCATGTTTCTCTTTTAACTGAAACTGCCTCTTTACCTACAGGGAAGATGCTCAGTGAAATGCATCCTCACCTTGGCCAGATCAGAGAAACACGAAAAGAAATAATCCTAATTTCTCTACACTATGTTACTTTCAGACTCTCAAAGTGGCAGCTATTGACCTATGCCCCCTGTGGATTTTGACTGCACAGAACTCTTTCTTAATTTTTTTTATCCTCACATCAGGACTTTTTTTTTCATTGCTTTTAGAGAGAGAGAAAGAGAAGGGAGAGAGAGAAACATCAATGTGAGAGAGGAACATCTATCGGTTGCCTCCCATACACACCCGAATCAGAGATTGAACCTGCAATCCAGGTATGTGTCCTGACTGGGAATCGAACCTGCAACCCTTTGGTTATGGGAGGATGCTCCAACCAGCTGACTCATGCTGGTCAGGGCAGGACTGTGCCTGTTTCTATGTGAGAAATACTGAGGAGGAAAGGATGGTGGCTGGATTTCCAGCAACCTGGTTACAGGGACCTGTGACCTTTAAAGATGTGGCTGTGGAGTTCACGCGGGAGGAGTGGATGATGCTAGACTCCACTCAGAGAAGTATGTACAGAGATGTAATGTTGGAAAACTACGTAAATCTCACCTCAGTGGCATATCAATTATGTGAGCCTTCTGTGATCTCCCAGTTGGGTCAAGAAGAGATAGGAACTTTGAGAAGGAGAATTCTCAAAGGCACCTATCTAGATTGGGAGATTCAAATTAAAACCAAAGAGTCTACTCCAAAGCAGAATATTTTGGGGGAAAAAACATCCAATGGTAAAACAGTAAGATTCACAATGGATGATTGGTCTTCCACATTGATAGAAGATTGGGAATGCCCTAAGATCAAAAAACAGCACAAGATCACAGATGGTAATGTGAAGCAAAAGACATTTACCCAAAAGAAAACAGCATATCAAGAGAGATTCTATGGCTGTCATGAATTAGAAGAAAACTGTAAGCTTAGATCACAACTTGCTTTTTTAAAGAAAGTTTCCATCAGCAAACATTGCCATAAATGTTACTTAGCTATTGAGTGTTTGAAACGTAAGTCAATACTAAACAATTATGAGGAAAACTCTGTGAATGAGAAGATCTGTGAAAGTCATGAATATGACGGAGTTCCCAGGAATCTTGAAAGAACTGAAACAGTACAAAAAGAGTACATGTGCTCCAAACATGGTATGTGCTTCAAACATAATATGCTTCCTGTACATCATGATTTTCATATGGTGGAAAATTCCTATGAATGTAATAAAAACAAAACCTTTTGTCATCATTCACCCCTTAAGCAACAGGAGCAGTCTTCTACTGGAGAGAAACATGAATGTAATCACTGTGGAAAAGCCTTCAAAAGGACTTCTAATCTGATTTTGCACAAAAGAAGTCACATGGGCGAGAAGCAGTATGAATGTAAAGAATGTGGGAAATTCTTCACTGATTCCTCAACTCTAAAGAGACATGTAAGAACTCACACTGGTGAGAAACCCTATGAATGTCATCAGTGTGGGAAAGCTTTCAGTCAAAAAACATCTCTTAAGGCCCACGTGAGAACTCACACTGGAGAAAAACCTTATGAGTGTAATCATTGTGGAAAGTCTTTTGGAACAAGTTCATACCTTATAGTGCACAAGAGAATACACACTGGGGAGAGACTCTATGAATGCAGTGACTGTGGAAAAGCCTTTAATACAAGTTCTCATCTTAAAGTTCACAAGAAAATACACACTGGAGAAAATCTTTATGAGTGCAATGACTGTGGGAAAGTTTTTAGTGGTCTCTCTTCCCTTAGAATGCATGTGAGAACTCACACTGGAGAGAAACCCTATGAATGTAAGGAATGTAGGAAAACCTTCAGTGTTTCTTCTTCCCTTAGGAGACATGTGAGAACTCACACAGGAGAGAAACCCTATGAATGTATTCAGTGTGGAAAAGCCTTCAGTCAGAGTTCTTCACTTATTATACACAAGAAAATTCATACTGGGAGAGAATCCCTGTAAGTGTTTTGAATGTGGAGTCGCCTTTTTCATTGTCTTAGGGTGGACTGCAGTTTCACTATTTCAGTCTTTGTTCTTTAAAACAAGCATTTAAGGCAATCTATAGTTCTCTAAAAACTCCTTTATCTGTGTAACACTTACTGACCTGTGTTAGTTTATTTTGTTTTAGTTCTACTTGTCTAATATTTATTAGGACTTTTTGATCCATACCTGTTTAGAATTATGTGTTTGTAATATGTGAAGTAAGGTGTTCAGTTACCTTCTTACTCATTTCTAAATTGACTGCATTATATTTAAAGTAACTGGACTATAGTATTTTATTGGTATTTCCTTGAAAGTTGCTTTCTGGCCTGCTGTGGCAGATACTGCTGTAGCCAATGAAACAAGCTCATCCTTCCCTCCTGATGACATGTTGGCTCCTAGCACCAGTATGACCATTTACAAAACTTCGCAGCCTTCTTAGAGCCAAGTGTAGCCATATCCCTCATTCCTGATTAATCAAAAATAGAGAGTATCACTAGCTACAGACCTGTTTTTTCTTTTTACCTTTTGCACCATGCCTTTCTGCCTTCCCCATTTCTCTCCCTTTCAGTTTTCCATTCCTAGCGCTGAAGGAACCATCTTGTGACTATGAGAATGACAACTATGGCCTAAGGATGGAATAGAATAAAGATCCTGGTTCCTCAAAGACATCTTTAAATAGTTGTACCAGCACTGCACTGTTATATCTGGACATCTTTTTATGTGGGAAAAATAAGCTTATTGATTTTCTTAATAGCAGTATATGAGATACAGTAATGTCATTTAAAAAAATAAAAGACTGCAGATCCAAACGCATGTAGAGTTGAATATTTTATGTTCGATATACAAATGTAGTCTTTGTGTGAGATTATCTTAAATGATACTTGGAAAGGGGGGTCATGCTCTCTTTGGTTGGGGATTGGAATTTATGTGCAAGTTTTGGCCTACAAAATCTTGGCAGGCCAACAGCTGCAGACTCAGGCTGTCTCACCCAGCACACTGGATTTTATTGTAACAGCCTCATGACTGGGTTCTCAGACTTGAATCTTATTTTGTTCCAGTATATTTCCTATGCAACTTCTACAGTATCCTTTTATTATTTTTTATTCATTATTCTCAATGTTTCTTAATTATGAAACTAATACATGCATATGAAAAAAATGTAAAACGCCTCTGCTCTACACAAGAGAAGGGAAGTCCTAAGATTCTACTGCCTTTGAATTTTAATATTGTAGATGACTGTGTATTTTAAGACTGGATTCTATGTACATACAAGTATATCATTTTACAAAAATTGTTATAGATTGTATTCTTTGCACTTACAAATATATCATTTTATAAAAATTGTCACATCATTCCTTATCTTTTGAAAATGTATGTCAGGCACATGTATATATTTCATTCTTAATAACCACTTAGTGTTTAATTATATGGATATACCATACTTTAATTAATCCATTCCTCCTACAGAACTTTTCTAATGACAAGCAATACTGCAGTGATCAATATTATTTATATTTCTTGCTTTCCTTTCATCTGTTCTTCACACTGCTCCCAGAGTAATCCCAGGTACTAATCTGCTTACATTTCGCTTTTAAATCCTCCCCTGCCTTTTTCCTCCTTTAAGGTAAAATTTTGTAACAAGGCCTTTCATGCTCAAACTGTTACCTACCTATCTTTTCAGACCATATCCCTTGCTACTGCATCTTGTCAGTCTCTCTGGACCTTACCCAGGCCTAGTCATCCTTAACGATGATTTATAATTGTTTGAATAAAACTTTTCACACTTTCACAGTGTTGTCTAATTATGTATCTTCCCCTCACAAATACGAGCTTTAGTAATGTGGGAACTAGGTCGACATTGTTCATTGTTTTACTCCCAGTAGTTAGCCCATAGTAGGAATTCATGTACACATTTAACTTTTTTTTTATTATTATTTCAGTAGTGGCTTAACTTAAAATAAGGCAAAAATGGCACAGAATAAAAATTTTTTTCCTAAGCATTAGAATCACACTTGGCATAGAAAGACACTCTACCATGACAGGCACACGGAAACTAAGACTGACTAGAGAACTGCAGTTAAATGTTTATTATTCTCTCTCTCACTCCTCTTCCCTTCCCTGGTTACAAGCTCATATAGCTTCCTTTGTTACGTCAGTGTTCATATGCGGCTACACTGTATTATATTCAAAAGAGTGAAATGATCTGGTATTGGTGGCGGGGCAACGTTTTCCTTTAGGCTACTGATGGAAGCAGAAATGCAACCTTTCCAGGTGACAGGTAAGCAATATATGTCCAAAGCAGTTATTTTCTGAGCTTTTATAAAATTAAAAGAAAAACAAAACCTCTTTAATTCATGCATGTGTAAGTAACACCAGTCATCTCAATTTCATGCTCTAGTGAAAAACTGGAAAATTCCTAAATTCCCAACAGCAGCTAATCCTAAAGTGGAATATAATGCAGTCATTACAATGTAATTACATATTGTCCTGACCAGTGTAGCTCCGTTGCTTGGGTGTTGTCCCACAAACTGAAAGATCTCCAATTCAATTCCCAGTCAGGGCATGTGCTTATGTTGCGGGTTCTGGATGCATAAAAGAGGCAACCAATTGCTGTTTTTCTCTTACATGGATGTTTCTCTCCCTCTCATTCTCCCTCCCTGTGTCTCTAAAACTAAAGTTTTTTTAAAAAAATGTAATTATATTTACAGATATGTAGGATATAGTTAACATATACTTTTTAAGTAAAATTACAAAATATTAAAGTATGAACATGCTCTTATTAAAATATGTATTGTCAGCCGTGGCTGGTGTGGCTCAGTGGGTTGAGCACTGGCCTGCAAACCAAAGGGTCGCAGGTTCAATTCCTGGTCAGGGCAGATGCCTGAATTGCAGGCTGGGCCTCAGGTCAGGGGTACATGAGAAGCAACTGTTGATGTATCTCTCACACATTCATATTTCTCTCCCTCTCTTTCTCCTTCCCGTACTCTCCCTAAAATCTTTTAAAATAAAATATATTTTGTCAGTGTGTATGTGCATGAGTTGAAAATATCCTGGAAGTGTGTACACACACACACACACACACACACACATTGTTAGTGGTGGTTATCTTTTATAATTTTCTTTAAAACAATTCCATCATGACTTCTTAGCCTGGTTGCCCCTCACTTACCTGATCATAGTCCTCTTGCCACTTTTTTCTCCATCACTCTTTCCCTTGTTCCAATAAGGAGGTCACATAGGGTTAGAAATATTAAGTCCTGCTTATGAGAGAGAAAACAGATAGTTCAAAATATAGTTCTCCTCAGCTCCAGACCCAGTCTCTTAGTAAAGGGAGCAAAAGCTACTTTAAGAACAAAAGCAGGAAGAAAATGCACCCACTTCCTGCTTCTCCCCATTTGCAATCATTTCCTCAAGGGCATAGAATAGGAATTTAGCCTGGCACTTTAATACTTGACCCCCACCCAGTATTTCTTAGGGAGATACCAAAGATACTTAAATTCAGTCTGAATTTGGAGAAATGGCAACCCCCTCAGACAAGCTTCTGATTACCTTCCCCTATAAATTCTTTTGGGCAGGGTCCAGTCAGCCCCATTCCTCCTGAGAAGTCAATGGCCACATCCTTGAATGTTACAAACCTCTGAAATAACACGCTGCTGTCCACTGGAGACCCCACCCCCGGCCCAGCCCACGGTGCAGGGGAAAGCAACAATGCTGGCAGCACCCCAGGGAAAAGGGCGGTTTATACTACGGAATTGTTCCAGTAGTCTGATTCATAGGGTAATTCTAGAAAAGCAATTACTAAGCAGCAGCTATATGTTCTGTTGTCATGCAGAATAAGAAACAAAGCCAGCCTCTCATTTTGTGTAAGATTTACATACACATAGGGGGGAAAAAAAGAGGCACTTATTCAAGTACTAAATAACATTACAAACACTGGATGCAAGGCAAGTTCTTAGGGGAAATCAGTTGCTTCAAAGAAAAAAGTTTTACCTGGGACATTAAAAAAATGGGCAAGGTGTACATTGGAAGTGAACACAAGTTCTTTAGACAAGTATGGTGTTAGAAAATAAATGTTCTTACTATAAATGCTACAAAAGAGGAAAACTACCCTTGCCATTTTCCTGTAATATGCCTTATTTACATTTAGTTCTAAGACATATCTAGTCAGATTCAAGGATAAATGTGAGTTAGCATAACCTTAAATCCAAGCACTAACTTACTTAAAACCATGAGAACAAAAATGTTTCTATAAGTTTGTATAATGTTTCCATGAAAGTACACTACTCTTGTTCGTGTCAATACTGTGATAGTTGTGTTTTCAGAATCACATGTGCTGTGAGGAAAAAAACTCAGAAAATACCAGATTAACTTAAATGAAAATATTTATTTATAGCTCTTTTCTCAATATGCTTTTTAAGACCAAAAATTCCTCCTGTTAAAAAAGTTTTTCCCATATTAATTCCCTCCAGTATGACTTCTCAGAAATCTTTTAAGATTTTTCCACACCCATTATAATGGTATGTTCTCCCCCGTATAATTGTATGTTTAAAATATTGCAGAAAGTCAATCTATATTCAGTTCATTTATAGGGTTGCTTTTTCTCCTTAAAAGAGTATTTTAAAATTTCATAAATATTGCATGGTACATGAAGGCATTCCCCAATCACTGTGTATGAATGACTTTGCTTCACTATAAATTTTCTGATGTCCAGGAAAAAGAGCACCCGCACCCATGCATTCCTCTGTGCTTGAGCTGACAGATGCAGAATGAGAGCTAATCTCTAACTGCAAGCTTTCTCTCATGCATTGAATTTGCATCCCTTTCCTGGTAGGAATTACAATAATTGTAGAGTAAAGGAATCCTACCAGATGAGGAGTCCTCTCAATATGACTGCATTTTCTGGTATTACAAAAAGAAGAGCAGTTTCAAAGCCTTTCCCACATACTTGGGAAATATGTGGGGGTTTTCTTCAGGTAGAGACCACACATCTTCGATTTCAACACATTCACTTAAGGCTCTCAAGTCTAAGTAAGGCGTTAGCTCCTACGTTTTTAAATCCATACATTTTTAGGTTTTCTCAACAGTGTGAATTCCGTGGTGTTCAGTAAGGAATGAGTGGTAATTAAATGAATTTTCATATTCATAGGGGTTCTCTAGAGTGTGTGTTCTCTGATGTTTAGCAAGGTTTGAACTCCAGCTGAAGGATTTATTGCATATCTTACATACATAGGGCTTCTCCCCAGTATGAGTTATTTGATGTAGAATGAGGGAGAAGCTCCGACTAAAGGTTTTGTCACATTCAGTACATGCATAAGGTTTCTCTCCAGTATGAATTTTCATATGCTGTACAAGGGATGCATGCCATGTGAAAACTTTACCACATTCATGACACTCATAGAGCTTTTCTCCAGTGTGAATTCTCTGATGCTTAATAAGGAATGAGTGGCAACGGAAGGCTTTCCTACAGTCGTTACATTCATAGGGGGTTTTGGTAGTGTGAATGCTCTGATGCCGAGTAAGGTGTGAAGAACGGCGAAATGACTTCCCACATTCAATGCATTCGTAAGGTTTCTCTCCAGTGTGTGTGATCTGATGACGAATGAGTTCTGAGCCACTGCTAAAGGCTTTCCCACATTTCCTACACATATATTGTTTCTTTCCTATGTGAATTCTCTGATGTCGGGTGAGGTTTGAGGCACGGCTAAAGGCCTTCCCACATTCAGTACATTCATAGGGTTTCTCCCCAGTATGTGTCCTCTGGTGTTCAATGAGGAATGAAAGGTAACTGAATGTTTTACTACAGTCTTTACATTCATGGGGTTTCTTTCCAGTATGTATCATCTGATGTTTCACAAGATTTGAGATCTGACTAAAGGTTTTGCCACATTCCTTACATACATATGGTTTCTCTCCAGTGTGAGTTCTCTGATGTAACACCAGGGAAAAACGCCGATTGAAAGTTTTTCCACATTCGTGACACCCATAGGGCCTCTCCATAGCATTGATACTAGGTTGAGACAGAGCTTCTTGATGAGAGACTGTCACTTGCCTGATACATCCCTGATTTCTTTGCAGCATCTCAGTAACATCCTCGCATTTCCAGCTCCCTTTAAAACAGGAATGTTCAGGGTTGTGGCTCAGAATCCTCTCCTTTATCAAATACTGGGATGAGTCATCTTCATATATAACACTTTTTGGAGAAAACCCTGTGACCACACCATTTGACTCTGAAACCAAAAAAGCAGAGAAATCTTTCTTATTTTCTGTGTTGAGTGAAATAAAAGCTATCCTTCCATTTTAAAGAAAGAATTAAAATATGAAATGTTTTCATATGTCATATGTGACTTTGAAATGTAAGCATTCTGCTTAGTAATTCAGAAAACATCAAACAGAAGAGAGATTTAGTTGAATTGGGAGAAAGATTAAACTGAAGTAACTGAAAGTGAGGTAAGTGAAGTAACTAAAACTGATATGAAGAAGATAAGTAATTGGAAGAATAGGTTATTAGTTTTCCTCATCTCAGTTCATTTGCTGCCAGAACGACTTGAAAATTAAAATTTCATTATGTCAATAAACAGCAAGTGCTCATCGGGTCCCACAAAGATATCAAGACTGTTCACCTAGTGCTGTTGGAACACCTTGCAGTAACTTATTCTAAATAAAATAATAAAAGGGTCTCTACATATCACCTTCAATGCTGCTCACTTTACCACTACTTTCCAAACTGATACATGAAGCTCAACTTTGCTTTAACAGCCTTTCCACCAGATGCTTTTGATAGACAAGCAAAGGCCCTGATCATCTCCAGGCTAAATTTTAAAAAGACATTTTATCATTTTGGGGGAAGCGAATTTTATAATAATATGAAAGGCTCTAAAAGTATATATTCTCACATATTCTTAATCTTACAAAATATGTAGGGTTAAAAGTCCATGAAAATCCATGATGTATAAAACTTATGCTCAAAAGTTTCTGGAAAAAAATCATATACCAAATTATCTTTAAAAATGGTGTAAAATGTTAGCAAATATATATGGGTATTCTCTGTACTATTCTTGAAGCTTTTATGGAAGTTTAAAATTATTCCCAAATCACACATTAAAAACTCCATTTTTCTCTAAAACATGCTTTGACATTCATTTTGTTCAGAGGAAATGCTGTCTTTTCTTGTCACTAACTCTAAGCTTCTAGAGTGTAGTAAAAATACCTCATATTTCTTTAATATATGTTTAAGCAATGAACCAAGATATTAACCTATATAGCACAAAAAAAGGAAAAATTAGGAGAGGGAAGGTGGTAAATTAGCTGTTAAGGAAATGATCATAGCAATAAGGGAAACTCTTAAACTACTTTCATGATCCTTCTATAAATCAATTCTAAATACACTTAGTATCTCTCTAAGAGCTCTGTAGATATAAACTGAGTAATTCTCTTCAGGAGCTAAGACTATAAATAGGGCAAAGACAGAGAAGAAAACAATGACACAGAACCAAGTATTTAGAATTAAAAAAAGTATAAAAGATCAAAGATAAGGTATAAAAACCCATGTTACAACAGATAAAGAAAGGGCTTCATTGAGATCCTTTTTGAGTTGCATCCTATTTGTCATATGATTTACCAGGTCAATAAGAATAAAAGGCAAAACAAAGGTTATAAGAGTCAAAGAATGACCCAGCAATTCCACTTCTGAGTATTTATCCAAAGAAATCCAAAACACTAAATTGAGAAAATATATACATCTATATGTTCATTGCAGCATTATTTACAATAGTTGATATATGGAAACAACCTAAGTGTCCATCAATAAATGAGTGGATAAAGAAGTAGCACATACAAAATGAGGCTAAAGTAAATTTACAGTTTGTATAGAAAATAATACAATACTAATAATACAATAAACTTGTTTCATGTACTTGCAACTGTAAACCTACTTTTGTCCTACTCTGTATATACTATGAAATAGGACTCAAACATTAAAAAAGAAAAAGATATTTTGTCATTTGCAAGAGCATGGATGGACCTAGAGGGTATTTTGCTGAGTGAAATGAGTCAGAAAAAAGCAAATGCCACATGATTTCACTTCTATGTGGAAACTGAAAAACAAAATAAAACAAACAAAATCATTGACACAGAGAATATTTTGACAATTGTCAGATGGGAGAGGGGTTGGGAAGATGGGTAGATATAGTGAAAGGATTAAGAAGCACAGATAAGCCCTGGCTGGTGTGGCTCAGTAGATTGAGTGCCAGCCAGCAAACCAAAGGGTCACAGGTTCAACTCCCAGTCAGGGCATAGGCCTGGGTTGCAGGACGGGTCCCCCGTAGGGGGTATGCAAGGTGCAACCACACACTGATGTTTCTCTCCCTTTCTCTCTCTAAAAATAATAAGTAAATAAAATCTTAAAAAAAAAAAAAAAAGCACAGATCATTAGTTACAGAATAGTCACAAGGATGTAAAGTACAGCATAGAAAATGTAGGCAATAACATTGCAATAATTATGTATGGTGTCAGATGAAATGATTTATTGGGGTGATCATTTTGTAAGTTATATAAATGTCTAATCACTGAGTTATATACCTGAAACTAATAGCATTGAATGTCAATTGTAATTAAAAAACACAAAAAATTCTAAAAACACAAAACAAAACTGCTCAGTCATCAAATCAGTGAATTGTACCAGAAATCTTTGTAAGTCAGAAACTCAGTGAATTGTTGAAATACTACCTACCACTCACTGTTCCAAACTATCAAAACTAAAACGGGAACCCATTTAGTGTATTTGTGGAGTGTATAAGTCAGTGAAAAGCACTTTGGAAAACATTTTGGCATTATCTAATGATGTGGAGGAGGATCATTATCCTCTGACCCAGCAGCTCCAGTCCTAGATATACCACAGGAAACCTGTGGCAGTAGGTACCAGGATATAGGGACAATCACAACATTGTCTACAACAGCCGTAAATTGCAAACCACCCAAGAGGCCCTCAATAACAGAATGGACAAACTGGGGTATACTTATTTGTACAATGAAACAAACTATAAGAACAATAATTTTCAGAAGCAAATCACAATATATGCATTCTATGTATATGTAGACACTGCAAGTTCCTCTATATAAAGTACACAAAGAACCCAACCTGGTGGTGCGGCTCACCAGCCTGCAAACTGAGAAGTCGACAGTTGGATTTCCAGCCTGAGTTGCCAGCCAGGTCCCTAGTAGGGGGCATGTGAGAGACGAGTGATTGATGTTTCTCTCCCTCCTGTCCCCTCTCTCTAAAAATAAATAGTATCTTAAAAAAGATACAAAAGCCCAACTACACTATACTGATTACACAGTTAATAAACTTATAAAGAAAACCAAGAAAGCTACTGCCATTAAAGTAAGGAGAGGAGCACCTTTGGGTGGGGAAAGGGTGACTGGGATGGACACACACAGAAAGCTTTTAGGGACCCGCAGTGTTCTGTTTACTGACCTGATTGATGATTACATAAGTGTCTTATAAAATAAGCTTCACATTTATGTTTTATGCATTATTTCTGTGTAATATAGCACCTTCCAGAAAAGGTACTGAAAGGAATACACAAAAATATAAGAGCTATATTACAGCAGAGGCAATTTTTCATGTTTGCCTTTTACTTCACCTCCCTTGTACATAATTCTATTGATCTTACTATTTTAAAACATTTGCAAGAGGACACTTTTCTTCAGCTCACGCTTAAATGCAGAAGTCTCCTGCAGTTGCTCACCCTCGCGCCTCAGCCCACATCAGAACTTTCTTCGTACACCCTCCTCTATGTCCCCCAAGGCCTCTAGCATGGGGCACGACGACCACCACCACTGGCCTTCAGGCCAGACCTGTTTTCACGGCACCTTCTCCTGTTTCCTGACTTGTTCTTCCGCTGCCACTTCCCTGTAACGTGAGGACCCTCCTGTGTCAACAGAAGCGCTCTCGGAAGGGCAGCATCCCACCATCTGAGGCTGGCTTCAGAATCAACTCTAGAACTTACGGAACTTTTCACAAATACGTATAATTTAGGCGCCACAGATATTCTCCTCAGAATCTTCAAGGGTAGGGCATGACCATATTCATTTTTAAAGAGCTTCACCAGCACTTTTACTGTCAACATAAGATGAATAAGGCTTTCTGAGAACTTCTCAATCAATCTCACGGCTTCGATTTTTGTCCCTTAAAGTAAGTTTCCCACGTCTACACTCTAAACTAAATTTTTTACTAGGATATATTCCCACAGCCTGTTGCACATCTTCACTTTGAAATAACATCCTCTACTCGCACCAAGGATATTTCAAACCAAGTTATCACCTTTTCTCCAAAACCAATATGTCTTATGTTTCTATAACTACTATTCCTGTCCAGATTATCCAGGCCCAAGACACCAACTGGAAATTCCTTTTTTCTCATTGCTGAACTACCAATCTCAGGACCTCCAGCAAAGTTATGTACAGAACTACTTTATCTTCCTCAGTCACAACTTCCTTAATGGTTATTCCACTTTTGTATGCTTTCTACTCTCAGCAGTGTGTAAGAAAAAGTCTTAAGATTAACATTCATAAATAACTGTAAGAGAATATATGAATGAATAAACAAACCACCAATTAAGTTGAGTAATAAATTAATCTTTCAAGGATGATTAAGTAAAACAGAATTATATATAAAGAAAAAAATACATACTTTTCAATGTAGGCAATAGAAATAGGTCAATTTCAAGAAACAAAGGGAAGAGAAATAAAAATGAAATTAAATCCAGAGGCCCAAAGATCTGACAACAGAAGGAGAGGACCCATGTCTCCAAGGAAGTGAGGGAAAGGCTACGATGAGCTCGGAAGGCGGGCTGGTGAACGGTGCGATGAGCTCACGCTCGGGCTGAGAGCAAGACTTCATAATCTCTGTAGCTCTGGTATCTCTAAGGGAAAACTTTCCAACCAACATGTTAAAAAGTACTGGTTTCTCATTGACTAGTTGTGTTGTTATTTTTCAAAATTTCCCCACCAGCTTCTAACTCACCTGAAAATAAATCTGTTCTCACATCTTTCCCGAGCCAGGGCTCTTTCCCTTGCTCCAACAAGGACACCACGTCTGGCTTGGATATAGTAACACCTGCTTGAAGAAAATTAAATAAATGCAAAACCAGTTCTTGAATCCTCAGAAAACAGGGAGCATTAAAAGAACTGCCAGATGTAAGTATGAAAGGTGTCTAAAGATTAGGTGGCATTATGATCTCCATCTTAAAAACTAGTAAAAACAAAAAGGAACATAACTTCCGTGGGAATATTTAGGCAGATAATCAAGATTCACAACAGTCACACTAAAGGTCAAATTCTGTGAGGGGAGAGGAGGAACACCTACCCAGTGAGACCAGGTGGCTGTAGTTCTCCAGCATGACGTGTCTGTACAAGTCTCGTTGAGCAGGCTGAAGCCATTCCCACTCCTCCTGGGAGAAGTCTATAGCCACATCTCTGAATGTCACTGAGCCCTGAAATGACATACAGGTACCTGCAAAATGAGCACCCGTTCTCCCCAAGGTCCTGACCAAGTAGTGAAATGCGTCCTGCTGTGGAGGATGGACAGTGTATACAAGTAATGGCAACTGGAGTTTTCAGAATTCTGAGTGATTACTGACAGTAGAGCTGTTTTATTTTGCTGCATAATGGAAAAAACGAGAAAAAAATATGTGATTTGTCCTGAGATAACTTATAATTTTGTGAAAGGTAAAGGATTATACATGTGAACAACATGGATTTCTGGCTTCGGTTGTAAAAATTCTTAATACCTTACAGCACTTTATGAATAGTGAAAACAATTCCTTTGTGTTTAATACACAATGGAAACTCTCCTTAATACCAGGGTATTTTACCATGATTTGGCAAGAATTTCTTCTTGATAACTGGCTGTAGCAGATAGCAGCCGTACTCTTGAAACGATGCATGCATTCTCATGTTTATCACACTCGTCTCCATTCCTGAAGAAATAGCTGTGAAATTTAATTTTTTTAAATTGACTTTAGAGAGAGAGAGGAAAGGAGAGAGAAAGAAACATCGATCTGTTGTTCCACTTATCTATGTATTCATTGGTTGATTGTTGTGCGTACCCTTACAGGGGGATCAAACTTGCAACCTTGGTATAGGGATAATGCTATAACCAATTGAGCTACCCAGCCAGTAGCTGTAAAACACAGAGGCAATTTTAGCAGTGCCACAGAACAAGGAAGATAAGCAGGAGAGGTTAAGGACCTCCAGAGGAGAGAATGTAATACCTCCTGCAAGGGAACCTAATGCTTCTTCCCTCCAGGTTAGAGGGAATGATAAGCGCCTAGTTTGGCACCACTTGTGTGATCCACATAATTGTTAGGCATAAAAAGGAATTTTAGCCCTGGCTGGTGTGGCTTAGTGGATTGAGTGCCCGCCTGCGAACCGAAAGGTCGCTGGTTCGATTTCCAATCAGGGCAAATGCCTGGGTGGGGGCCAGGTCCCCAGATGGGGGCATACAAGACGCAGTCACACATGGATGTTTCTCTACCTTTCTCCGTCCTTTCCCCCTTCCTAAAAATAAATAAATAAAAATCTTTTCAAAAAATGCCTTTCTAATTAGTTCTCAGGCGATGCTGACACTGCTGGTCCAGGGATCACACTTTGAGACCAGGTACAGACGCTGAAAAGAGATGCTCACTATAAATATGATGAATAAACGAACGAAGGGCAGCTGGACCAAAAGACACAAACAAACTAAAGCTCTTCTCATTCGAATACAGAAGAAAGATAAGGCAAGAGAACAGCTGGCTCCCGACCTGCTAACCCTAAAACACACCTGCCAGGTAAGAAACCCCGCCCACACCGGAACAGCCTCCTGCCAGCCCCGCGAAGCCCCCTAAGATGCCCGACGGGGAGGGGCGAGGCTGGGGCCGGAGGTTCCGCGGGGCCGGAAGTCTCCAAGGACTGAGAACCACAGCCCCAGTTAGGAAGAGGGAAGGAAACGCCGGCTCACCTGAGACATGGCTCACTGCAGGGCCGAGAACAACGCAGCGTGGAGTGGGAGAGCTGGCGGGAGAGAAAGGGGCTCTGAGCGGCAGGCCCGCGCTGGGGATTCCCGTCGCTCCCCGACCCTCCGTCCTCGGCACACGGGGTCGCGGAACCCGGCAGGCCCGGGGCGCCCGCGAGAGTTCCCTTCCTGCCAAGAGTCCAGCCTGACCTGCACCCCCAGCGCCTCCTCGTTTAACGGGGTCACAAGACGGCGCGCTCCCTCTAAGATTCCGGTAGGGTGGGCGCAGGGTTCCGAGTTTCGGACCGCCATGGCCCGCGCCAGCCACCGGGAACGCTGGCGCGGGCGTGGGAGGACGCCCTTTTCCTACCTCCGGCCCAAGAATCCCAAACTCTCAGGTCTGCGTCGGGAGCGAAAACGGCGGCTTCCGGAGCCTCAGTGACCGAACCCGCGGACCAGGCCGCTGGCTCCAGACAACTGCACTCCCCAGGGTCCACCGCGGCCTCAGCGCGCGTGGGAGGAAGGCTCCTTTCGCACACTACAACTGTCAGAACACCCACCACCTCCGACCACGGCGCCAGAGACAATGTGCGGGTCCTAGACGACTGCTCGCACCGATTCACCACCTGGGCCCCAGAAAACTGCGGCGGGGGGGGCGGGGGGAAGGCTCCCCCTCAAACACTACAACTCCCAGGCAGCCTCACGCCAGCGGCGCGAGACGCTGACCCGGCGAGCCTCAGAGGACTACACTTCCCAGGATCCTTCGGGAACTCAGCGCGCTGTGGGAGGAAGCCTCCCATCACAAACTACAACTCCCAGAACTCCCACGCCCGCGGCCCGGGAGACTGCGGGCCTCAGACAACTGCGCTTCCGGGTCCACCGGCGCCTCAGCACGTGTGTGTCCGCGGGGGGGGGGGGGGGGAAGAGTCTCCGTCACACACACTAAAACACCCAGTACCCCCTAAGGCCGCAGCACCAGGGGCAGAGACCCTGGTCCTCAGCAGACTACATTTCCCGAAAAACACAGCGGCCTCAGCGTGCGTGTTGGGGGAAAGAATCGCCGACACACAAAATCTCCCAGAAAGCCATGCGGCGGAGCGTACGGCGCCTCCAGACAAAGGCCATTGTTCTCAGACAACCACAGCTCCCAGAACGCTCCGCGGCCTCAGCCTCCTGAGACCAAAAGCTCCACCCTCACACAACTACAATTCCCAGAACCGACTGCGGCTCCAGCACTTCCGTTAAAAACCGTCAGCTTCTGACAGCTATGGCAACCAGAATCCCCGCCGCGAGAGACTGCGATTCCCAGAGACCCTCGCGGCCGGCGGAGCGGCTCACGGAAGAGGCAGCCGGGCAGCGACGGGCTGCACCTCAGCAGAGCCTTGGTACTGTGCCCCTAAAAGACGAAGAATACTTGGTTCTCAGGGCCACTGTGGATTCGGGGATGGCCTACCACCATTAGCACGAATCTCCAGCGACTCAGTGTTCTTGGTTACCAAGGGTGACAGACTTCACTGACAAAGAACAAGTTTTCTACTTGATTGTAAGCTACAGGTGTGACGTGGGAAATGTGCTACTTGTGTCGAGACCATGAGGTCCGAAGAGGAGCCGCTGCCTTTTTAGGGGTGTTTGACACTTGCGGAGGAGGAAGGGCAGCCGTTACACTACAGAGCGGGGACGAATATTTGTGGATTCAGGTGCTCCACCCGCTGCTGCGTAGGGTCAAGTCGGGAATGGGAAGGACACGAGACCAGGACTCAGGAATGAGGGTCCGGGTCATGCCACCAAGCGAGCCGCCGATGCCGCCATGGGTAGCGACTGAGAAGAATATGGACTTCATGAGAGAAAACGACTTCAACAGTACGAAGTGCAGTTTGTTCCACTAGTTTTCCCCTTCAGCCCCTCCTCAGACACCTAAAATTGGGGAAACGTATCTAAATAGTGGAAGGGAGGGACTGTGTATTCACCAGATGCATCACCCAGATCCCTCGCCCAGGAAGACTGGTCTGCTGGCTGCCTCCAGCTGCCACTTTTTCAGAGTTGGCTGCCGCTGAAAGAGCTGACTCACCTGAGATTACACTCCTACTAAGACAGCCTGCTTCAGAGGACTGAGCAGCTCAAGACTGTGAAAGCCTAACTTTGGCCCAAGATGAGACACTCTTAGAGACACTTGTTTCGGAGCTCCCTCCTGCTTGGCAAATATTTCAACAACCTACAATGCAGCTGTACTTCTTGCTCTGATCAGTCCATTCCTATTTATTCTCCAATCCCTTCAGAGCCATTGATCCTCAATAAACATCCTGCTCCCAAAAACTCATCTCAGTATCTGCTTCCACAGAACTTATGACTTAATTAGTAATATTTGGGTTGTATGTAACAAACACAACCTGAACCAGCTGAAGCAAACATGGGGATTTATTAGAAGGATATTTCTGATAGCTCATAGAAGAATCCAATGATCAAGACATGAAAAGGACGGAGATGAATACACACATCAAGACAAGAATCAGATTTTGGGACTCAGGAATGTTCCTTGACTTTTCTTCTATAATGGCTTCATTCTTCTCTTATTGCAGATTATGCTTCTCCGTGTGGTAGAAAACATAGTTACTGATAAGCACTCGATTTTATATATTAAAGCTTCAGTTGCTAGAATTATATAGTCAAGATAGTTCCAACTTTCCAGAAGCTAATGGAAAAGATAAAACATGCAATGATTATATTATCCAGTGACAAATACACTACATTCTATACACTCCTTATGTACAGGTTCATATAGGTTGGATAGGCATTAATAAACAAGCACATTTCAGTGGCAATAGATTTGCAAAAAGCATCTGAAAGAGTGTAGAAATTTCAAGGAACTGCAATTAGTTCAAGATGGCCAAAAATTGTGTAGGAGAAAAAGTGAAGTATCCTGAAATGAGAGAGATGTATTTGTATGAAAGTCCTCACATTACCACAAGCATTACACATTCTTAAGTCCACAATAAGCTGAGCAATATTTCAATGTGTGTAATCAGAACTGCATCTTAAAATTACTACATAAAAGTGTGGAAATAGACTAAAAAAGGATGAAGGCAAGGCTGCAAAATAAAACATGCATATAGCTGTAAAGGGCCATGGTTAATTAGCAATTGGCTGAGAACTAGTTACCAGTAATGAACATATGAAATATTGGTACCATATTTGTTGTCTAACAAGCCCAGTGAAATGGAAAAATTGGGTATATATTTCTGGAATAAAGTAAATGACTGTGGTCTCAAATAAAGAAATCAAATGACTATTGATCTATATTCTTTGTGATACCTATTAAACCTGGTACTGTTGAGGTTCATCTTAGAGTTCTACAAGTGATGTTCTTGAAGCCAATATATATCAGGAACATATGGATCCATATAGAGATGTGTCAGAAAACATAAAAGCCCATAATGAAGGCCCACAGAAGGCATTCCTGGGACAGGCCTCAAAATTCACAGACTGGACTCAAAATACCCATTATTTACTAAAATGAATACAATAGAAATGGTCCTCAGGAGAACTGTCTCCAGGTCAGTGGAAGAACCTGGCTGGTAAAAGAGGAAAGATGCTTCCTATTTTGTCTCTTATTTTATCTTAATGTAAGTTTATTGTGCTTCACAAAACTGTAAGCAAATCAACTCTTATTTTAAAACTGCCTTTCTTCTAGAGTGGGCTTTGTGGTAGAAATCTATGGGGGGAAATGTAGAGACTTTTTTTTTTTCCCCATAATTTACCAAGGTAATTAAGAAAACTGAAAATCTCTTAATTTCAGCATCAGAGCCCTCTTGTGAAATTTCCAAATAGACAGCCATCAGGGAGTTCTGCATCAGATATTTTGATAAACCAGACCTCTGTTGCCCTCGCTGAGTAACACCTGATGATTACCAAAATAACATTGGTCCTGGGTATTAAACCAATAGGCCAGTTCCGTAACCTAGTGAGTGAAGTACTGATTGATATTAATACAATCTAGAATGGGAATACACAAAATTCAGAAATGTTTATAGACTACTGACTCCTGAGCTCAATTCAAGACATAATAAATCAATTTCTGGGACTAAGGAAGAGAGTCATGATAAATGGGGGGGTGGGGAATGGGGAAAATCACAAAGTAAAACATCACCCTGTAACCCTTTGTTCATTTACAACAGCCTGTTTCCCCCCTTCCCCCATTCAGGTACTAGGGAAAACGGTAAAAAGTCCACAAATGTTAGAATGAATAAAAATTTGGGAAATTTGACACTTTAAAAATTACCATATGGAAACACATGATTATCTGGCTACTAAAAATTCTGATACAAGAGTTTAGAAAATTCCTCACATTTAAAGTACCAATTTTTCAACAACGATGTAAAATTGGAGGTTAAATACAAAAAAAAAAAAAAACCTCATAGGGTTAAAGGTGCAGTACACTACACTGACAAAACAATTTGTGCATCAAAGAAGTCTTGATTTTTCCATGTTTGGGAACAAGGTCAGTATTAATAGACTTCTCTGAATTTCACCCCTACACAAAAAAATATTGTTGACTTTGTCAAACATTAGAGGTGTCACTAAAAAATTCCAACTAAACTTAGGAATGGTTCATACATTTTCAAAGGGTACCATATTTATATAATAGTAAATTCAAAATGTAAAGTTTCCAATGTGGGTGATGCAATAAAGGAAGGTTAAACAACACAAATATTTCAAGTAATGATGAAAACCTTGTTTCTTAAGAATTGTCTAGTAATCACAGAAATTTCCCAGAAGGCAAAATAGGCTTCCTTGAATACATCAAAAATATAATTCTCACCACGTAATTCTTTTTACTTTACATTTTCTGAAGTGTCTCTTAATTGGTTTCTCCACTAATTTTTTAAAGGTATTTTATGTGATACCAAAAACAGCAGCAGCACACAGAATCCATGACATTTCATCATAGTAAATTAAAAATGCAAGTTGTACTTGGGTTACAAGAGAACTCTATATATGATACACATGGAGTCATCTCAGTAAATGAGAATTAGATTTTTGCACAGCTCTACAGCCATTTTGTTTCAATCCTGAGTAATATAGTCACTCACCTCCTTCCTTGTGCTCACTCAGTGTGTATCATGAATACTACTGCAGTTCTGTGGTTCCTGCCTTTGAATACTTATTAACTGAGTTTTATATAAACTCTCAGACTCTGAAGATGCAGAAGGCTTTATATAAAATGTTGGCTTCTGTCAATCATGACACTTAAGTGACAGTAATAGACCCCTTTTATATGCCAATAAACTACAGGGAAAAGAAATGTGGTGTTATTACTTAAGCTCTTATTTAGCAGTAAGACATGCTACATTAGTTACCATTTGTGTAATATCAGTGGAATAGAAAACCAGTGGCATGTGATGTCTCGACAGACATCAGAGGCACTACAGGCCATGTCCATCTCATGCTCCCAACCATATGCAGCTTCAAAATATGACACACATTTTGTGAAAGAGAGCGATAAATACCACTAAGAAATTCCTTATTTCGATTTTTCCAGTGATTCAGTTTATTCATATATATGTAAAATTTCATAGTGAAAACCTGTCAAGCATTTAGAATTGGGTATTTCTGATACCCATGTGTACAAAAATTACATGGCTTCCCTTTATAGCATTATCTCTAGGACACATACTTCCAATATCTTTAAATTGTTAGGTTTTTCCACAACATGAATTGTCCAAAATACAGGGTGACTGGATTACTTGATAAAGGCTGTCCCATATTTAGTATTTTCACAGAATTTCATTCCTGAGGGCATTCTTATGTACAATGAGCCATTATTTCTTGATAAAAATATTGTCTCAAATGCCACATTCAGGGGGTTTTCCTTCACTCACTGGACTAGGATTTATCCCCAGTGGAAATATTCCTAACAGCTGAGATTTGCCCTCTGCAAAGGCTTTCTAATATTCAGTATTCCTCTTTGCTGTTAATTTCCTACTGTGTAAGGTGTGACTACAGATTGAAAGGTTTTTGAAATACATTGCACTTCATAGGCTCATTCCACTCTATGAATTCTGATATATAAACATGTCAATCTGCTGAAAGCTTTCTCTACATAACCTCACTTAAAGTTCCTACCCCCAAATAACACTCAAGACACCTAACGTGACCTATTTATCTGATTTTCAAACTGCATTTTCTGAAGTACCATGAGGTAAGGTCTCTGTCAAAGACTAATATTCTCAAATGTCTATGATTTCTTCACTGTATGAGTTCTCTGATGATTAATGAGCTGTGACTTTTGGGAGAAGGCTTTCCCACATTCATTGCATTGATAAGGTTTCTCTCCAGTATGAATTCTCTGATGATTAACAAGCTGTGACTTCTGAGAGAATGCCTTCGTACATTCACTGCATCCATAGGGCCTCTCTCCTGTATGTGTCCTCTGATGTGGTATCAGGTGTGATTTCCGAGAGAAGGCTTTGCCACATTCACTGCATTGAAAGGGTTTCTCTCCGGTATGTATTCTCTGATGATTGATGAGACTTGATTTCTCCCTGAAGGCTTTTCTACATTCACTGCATTCATAAGGTTTTTCTCCTGTATGAGTTCTGTGATGTCTAATTAGCTCTGACTTCTCAAAGAATGCTTTCCTACAAAGACTGCATTCATAAGGTTTCTCTCCTGTGTGAATTCTCTGGTGAGTATTGAGTTGTGATTTCTGGGAGAAGGCTTTTTCACAGTCCCTGCATTCATAGGGTCTTTCTCCTGTATGAGTTCTCTGGTGAGTTGCAAGGCTTGACTTCTCTCCAAAGGCTTTCCCACATTCGGTGCATTCATAGGGTTTCTCTCCTGTATGTGTCCGCTGATGTGATATGAGATGTGATTTCTGACAAAAAGCTTTTCCACATTCAGTGCACACATACGGTTTTTCTCCTGTATGAATTCTCTGATGATTAGTGAGGCTTAATTTTTCACTAAAAGCTTTCCCACATTCACTGCATCCATAGGGTTTTTCTCCTGTGTGAGTTCTCTGATGTCTAACAAGCTGAGATTTCCTGCTGAAGGCCCGCCCACATTTACTACATACAAAAGGCTTCTCTCCTGTGTGTGTCATCTGATGTGATATCAGGTGAGACTTCTGGGAGAAGGCTTTCCCACACTGACTGCATCCATGAGGTTTCTCTCCTGTGTGGGTTCTCTGATGATTAATGAGACTTGACCTCTCCCTGAACGCTTTCTGACATTCACTGCATTCATAGGGTTTCTCTCCAGTGTGAATTGTCTTATGTCTAATGAGCTCTGATTTCTCAAAGAAGGCTTTTCTACAGTCACTACATCCATAAGGTTTTGTTCCTGTGTGAGTCCTGTGATGTGTAACGAGTTGTGACTTCCTACTAAAAGCTTTGCTACATTCTCTGCATTCAAAAGGTTTCTCTCCTGTATGAATTCTCTGATGATTAATGAGATTTGACTTTTCACTAAAGGCTCTCCCACACTCATTGCACACGTAGGGTTTTTCTCCTGTGTGTGTCCTCCAGTGTGATATAAGATGTGACTTCCGGGAGAAGGCTTTCCCACATTCACCACATTCGTATGGTTTCTCTCCTGTGTGTGTCCTCTGATGGGATGTGAGCTGTGATTTCTGGGAGAAGGCTTTCCCACATTGGCTACAATTATAAGGTTTCTCTCCTGTATGAGTTCTGTGATGCGTGACAAACTGTGACTTCTGGGGAAAGGTTTTGCCACATTTACCACAGCCATAGGCTAACTCTCTTATATGTCTGCTCTGGTGTTTGATGAGACTTGATCTCTTATTGAAGCGTTTCCTACATTCACTGCATTCATAAAGCTTCTCCCCTAAACGAGTTCTGTGATATATGATAATCTGCGACTTCTTATAGATAATTTTATCATATTTATCACACTCATAGTATTTTAACCAAGTATCAGTTTCCTCAGGTTTGGTATGGAGAAACAATTTATCAAATACATTTAAGTCATCTGGTTCTGTTTTCCTGTAATCAACTTTTGGAAGAAGTAAATCTATATTATGTTTTAAAATTAATCCATCTACATCACCTTCATCATTTGACTTCCTTAAAGGAACAAAGTCTATGCTCGAATTGAAATTTTTTCCAAATGCATCACATTCATAATCTTGTTTCATATTTTTAAGCTTCTCATGGTTATGCTGGTGCCACATCATGTGACCATTTACTTGCAAGACTTGTTCTATAAAGAAAAACAACAACAACAAATCTGTAAGTATTCCTATGGGTGCTCTGAATAAAAAGCTACAAACGCTAGTTGAGGGGATGAATGCTTTTTAAGGTTTAGTTTTCTAATCTGACATAAGCTCCAATAATAGTATCTACACTCTAGATATTAAAAAATAAAAGAAATGCTGTAAACAAAAACAGACTAAGTTACCTTTGGTTGTTGTTAAGTAAGTTTATAATATGGGGAGACTATAAAAAATACATGAAAAGCAATGAGGAATAAAGACAGGAGATTGAAAGAAGCATTGATCCAATGTTCTGAGAACTAACTTACTCAATAGTGACTGAGTACACTCTATGTTCCAGGTGCTATGTGATGTACTACAGACACAAGAGAACAAGCCCTGGCCATCATGAAACTTACATTCAAGTGGAAAAGCTAATATGTAGGTTTTTTTATATTTTTTTATATGTATATATATATACACACATACATACATCTCCATGGCATCTAAACTATAGAACAAGCACAGCAGGACGTAATTGAAAAGGGAGGAAAAGAACAAAGTGGGAGGAATGTTGACCCCATTTTCTATCACAAGACAGAAAAGAGCAGGCTTTCACAGGGCATTTCTCTGAGCATCAAACACACCCAAATCAGGAAAAAGATAAAAAATTTTAATGTACAAGCAGAGGTGTCTTTGACCAGAGGACAAGGGAGGGCAGAAGGAGAGTAAACATATCAGAGGCAGAAAACCAAACAAGAAGTCAAAGCCCAAGAAGTGATAGGTAGGGAGTAACATCACAGCTCAGACAAGCTGGAAACATTTCACTTTAACCTGTAAGCAACAAAGCCACATGTAAATGTGATCTCTTGAGTAGCTCATGTCAGAGGCTTAGAGATTTGGAAAGGAGTTCTCTACAGCACATTTGAAAGATGCCAACCCACTGATCAGCTGAGATTGCACTTCTACCTTCTCCCACTGGCCTGGTCCTCATACACTCACTCACCTGGAGAGTCTGAACTTGGAATCTCTCCATCTCCTATCCATGGCTCTTCCCCTTGTTCCAACTTGAAGATGACATCAGGTTTCATAAATTCATACCCTGTTCAAGGGAAATCACAAAGGCCTTATCCCTGAATGGCTGGACTTTAGGGCCTGAGGAATGGGCAAGGTTTGGTGTCAGAATTGACCCAGTTAAGCTAACCATGTATATATCAACAGAGTAAATAATTCTCAAGGAAATGGTAATGGTCTCCCTGGTAGCTAACAAGGCCTAAGAATCTCTGACTTATTAATTCACATCCCAAACGGTTAAAACACTTCACAAGCTCTGGAGCCGGCCTGCTTGGGTTCAAACTCAGACTATTCCATTTACTTCCGGTTAGTCCTTGGGAAAGGTACTTAGCCTTTCTTAGCTTCAATTTCCTCATTAGAAAACAGAGGGAAGTAATCATACCTGCCACACAGGACTGCCCTAACGACTAATGGAGTCAATACATGAACTGTGCGTGGAGCACTGAGGTTGTATGCATGAGGTGTTCCCACCACCATGACTATCATTGTGAGTTTCAGAGGCTGCACAATGAAATTAAGACTTAATTATGGAAAGATGAGATCCACATACTTTCCCTGGTGCCACAGTCCAAGAAACTTTGATCTCCTTATATTTAGGTCCAAACTCATTAACCACTTCAGAAGCCCCACAAGCTCTCAGCAACTAAAAAAGAAAAAGCAAGGTATTGGGCACAATGAGGTCCTCTGGGAAGCTTTTCTTACCCAGGGCCACTAGGCTGCTGTAGTTCTCCAACATGACATCCTTGTATAAGTTCTTCTGATAGGGGTCTAGCAGTTGCCATTCCTTCTGGGTGAAGTCCACAGATAAATCTTCAAACAAGACCGGCTCCTGTAAAAGCGCAATCCTGCTGAACCCGAGGCAGTTATCCCTCCGTGATGCAGAAAAGCAGTGCCGGAGCCTGAGCACATGACTCTGTCCACAGCAAGGCACAGGCTGCGTACTGCACCTTTACCTTTTTATCACATTGCAGGACAAAATGCCGTAACATACTGTTCCATTCTCTCATTTACATAAGGCACAAGAATTGGACCACACGACGTTAAATCTTCCGAACCAACAGAATATTCACGTAACCTGAAATTTGCCACCAGAAGCAGTAGTAGCAAAATAAAAATAATAAAACAATATCCTAAAAAAACTGCTTAATCTTGTAGGCTACAAACATGCACACCTATAAGCAGGCTGTTTAAGTAGCTCAGACAGACCTGAGGGGAAGGGACAGCATGGGTCAAGCAGGAGAGCATCATTCTTATGTCAGTGCCAGGTTAGGGTCTCCCAAAGAGCTTGAACTTGAGATGAGTTCTAGGAAATTAGCATTTTCCACACAAAAAGGGATGTGAAAGCATTCTGGGAGACAGCAACTCTGAAATGGGACCCAAGATCACAGGTGTGGACAGCGACTGAAGGCCACGACGGGAGGCAGGCACACTGCACCTAATACCTCCAGCTACACTGCAGGTCCTGTGCAGGCCAACGCCCTACAAGGAAGACGTGCGAATGTCGAAGAGAGGCTTTAAAATTGTCATAGACAGTATGACTGGATATGAAAAAAATCCAGAACACCCTACAATTTTAATATAATTGTGGATGTTCTTTGATACCACACCAAGACTAATCAAACAGTGATCTACTACGATAAAGTACAATGTGGATTCTTCAACTTTATCAATGAACTTCTCATATTCTGTCACATTAAAATCTATGGTTTTATTTTGTTCTTTGAGTGACTCACTTATTCACCCATTAATGACTTTGTAATATATGCACTGCCCATGTGGAAAATATTGGCTCCAAGTTAATACCATTTAACCAAAAAAAAAGGCTTTACCAGTTAATTCTGTAAACATTTAATGCAGAATTAATTTCAATTTTACTAAACTATTATAGAATATGAAAGTAAAACATAATTCTAAACTTCCTGATACCGACATAACCTTGGTAATAAGACCCAATAAGGGTACTGCAAAAAAGGAAAAGCCAAGGCCAACTCATACATGAACACTTGATGTGAAAATCCTAAACATGTTACCAAACCACAGTGAGCAACATATAAAGAAAATATATTGAGACCAGGTTAGTTTACCATTAAAAAAAGAGAGAGAGAGAGAAAGCCAGTGATATTCACTACCTTAACAGAGTAAGAAAAAAATATATAATCATCTCAATAGGTGCACATCAAGTATGTCTGCAAAGGAAAGCATGTATATTACAGGAATTTCAAATACAGAAAAACTTAACACAGAGTTTTAAAAAAGCAGGTTTAAACTTTTCAGAAAGAATAGATTCCCAGCCAGGATACATTCCTGGGTTGCAGACCAGGTCCCCAGTTTGGGGTGTGTGAGAGGCAACAGATCTGTGTGTGTCTTGCACATTGATGTTTCTCTCCCTCTCTTCCCCCCTCCCTTCCCCTCTCTAAAAGTAAAAAAATAAAAAATTAAAATTCTGCAGCACACCAAAAAGATGTATATTTTTTGCTGATTTGAAAAAAAAAAAGGTATAATTTTGATACATTCATACTGTACGGCTATTAGTGTGTTCCAGGTTGTCATTTTTTTAGTTGACAATCTAAAGGAAAAAGAAGTCAGTGTCCCCAACTCAACAGTCAGGCACTGAATGTTTTAAAAACTCTTGGGGCACACAGGTTGAAAACTGCTGGTTTATGAGAGAACAAACAAAACCAATCTGCAGTGTTTAAGGATGAATACTTAGCAATAAAGCTGAAAAGAAAAGCAAGAAAATGGCTGTAAGTCAGGGTCCTGGTTGCCTCTGCCAGGAGGAAGGAAGTCAGGACCAGAGAGGGCACCGCAGGTGTCCTTTGTCGGGGGCGGGGGGGGGGCGGGGGGAAGAAGTTATGACTTGAATCACAGTTTTGTGCATATTCAGTTCATAATTAGGTTGCACTTTTACCTTTTGTGTGCTTTTCTGCATGGGATTCTACTTCCCGAGGAGGTAAATAAATAATTATGGTCACTAAGTTCTTCTGTCATTTTTGCCTTGGGTCACACTCTATGTAAAACTATGAAAAATGACCATAAGACCTGTGTATTTATAGTGTTTCTCTTGAGGAAATTACCCACTACATCATTTACTCAAGGGCTTCACCAAGGAATGACCAAGAAATATTTACTTTACATGAAGAGTCAATTTGATTTTTCTTTTACATAATGCAACTCATAAATGTTCATATTTATTTATTTTACAACTGCCAAAAATTTGAGAATCAAGATTGTAACTCTTATGCAGTAACTATGAACATGAATATATTTAATAATTATGGCTTATAAAAATTAAAACCATAAAAATGTCACAGAGTCCAGTTAATGTATTAATGCTCCAACATTTGTCCCAATCAAAATCTTCTCTTCTGAGGCTATTTTCCCAATATCTTTTATTATTATTTTTATTTTTATTTATTTTTAGAGAGGGGAAGGGAAGAAGAGAGGGAGAGAAACATCAATGTATGCTTGCCTCTTGTGCGTCCCCTATTGGGGACCTGGCCCACAACCCAGGCCTGTGGTCTGACTGGGAAACGAACAGATGGCCCTTTGCTTCACAGGCTGTCACTCAGTACACTGAGCCACACCAGCCAGGGCGTGATTTCTTTCTTTCTTTCCCCTTCTCTCCCCCCAGTCCCTGCCGAATGGATGCAGCCCACCTAGGGATGGAATTGCATCCTAGGCATGAGCCCTGACTGGGAATCGAACCCCCAGCCTTTAGGTTATGGGATGATGTTCCAACCAAGCCACACCAGCCAGGGCTCTCCAGGTTTCTCAACTATATTTTTCTATTTCACTGGAAGGCTTACACACTTACAATCACCTGGAAAAAAAAATGAGGAATAAACAATCCACTCACCTGTACCATGGTCATTTTCTGTTCCCTGTGCAAGATGATCATCAAGTCTGAGATCTTTGCGTTTCCTCTGCTTGGGCCACGGAGCTCTGGCGTGTGGTTCTGGCTAGGCCTTTCACATTGGGAATGAATTCTTGGCTCCAGGAACTCCTTTCTTATCTCTCAAGAGCAGGCTCACTTGTGCAGAACCAGGATCTGTGAGCTTAGGGACAAACGTAATTCAACTGGTATATTTACTTATACTGCACTTCAAATCTTCCTCTTGCTATGAACTAAGAATTCATGACCTTCTAAGGCCAGAGTGTATTCTATGTAACTAAAACAGGGCTATTGGGCAGGAACAGGATATACTGTAAAAGAACAGAAGTTCATGTCTCTGCGAACATAAAAAATAGCAGAAATAAAGTAAGTCTGAGATCCATTCAGTGTTCACTGTGGACAGTGAAGTCTAAGTCACTTTAAGAGGCACTGTGAAAACACTCCATTTTAAACAGATGGAATTTTGGGAAGCTTGTGTGGTCTGTATTAAAACAGATGGGATCACTTCTCAGCCTTTTGGCTAAGATCAACTGTAGTATGTTAACAATTTAATGTATGATATGCCCTCTATCCGAGGACTGTATATTAAATGGATTTTTGGAGCAGGTAGATGGAATGAGAGCTTGCTCTGTCTACTGTGCGCATGTATCTGATATCACAATGCCTTTGGAAACAGAGCACCAAAAAAACCCCAAAAACAAATAAATAAAAACAGGTTGGCATTTCAATAAGCCTTTTCCTTTTACTGGCTATGTGACTTTGGGTAGGAACAAATTCATTTTTTAAAAAATTTTACTTATTGTTACTCTTTTAGAGAGAGGGGAAGACAGGGCGAGAGAGAGGGAAACACCAATCCGGAAGAGGAATATCAATCAGGTGCCTCCAGTGTGCGCCCTGACCAGGAAATGAACCAGTGACCTTTCGGTTTGTGGGAGAACACACAACCGAGCCACACGAGTCAGGGCCAAACTTCATTTTTATGATCTTTAGTTTCCTACTATAACCTTCTACAACTTCTGTCCGCCAGTTCCATCAATTTCTAAAGGTCATGTGTTAAATCTCATGATATGATTACAGATTGGTCAGCTTTTCCTTGTAAGTCCATTGATGTTTGGATTACGTGCTTAAAGCTATGCTGTTGGATGTATGGAGAGTATATATCTCTGGAGGATGATTTCTTAATCATTATGTAACAACATTCCACATTCCAAATAATGCTACTTTCTTGTCTTGTAAGTCTCCCTGTCTTCACTGGCTACAGTAAAGTGGTGGAGACCATGGACTTCTGGCTCACTCATGGGGATCCTGAGGAATAGAGGAGGTATTAAAAAGGAAAGTGCCTGGTTCCTTGTAGTAACCACAGCTAACATATGTGTCTTTTGTACATGTAAGACACCACATTAAGCATTTGACAATTTCACCCTCACAGATGATTCAATAAGGCATTTAACATAACCTCCATTTTACAGAAAAACTGAGACCTGGGGTGATTCAGCGAACGCCCAGGACTGTACAGCTGTTACGGAGCATCACTGGAATGTCATGTCTCTCTTGCTATGTTAAAGGCAGTTAATCCAAAATCACAATGTCATTGGGTATGTTTATTTTGTACACACATCTGTACATATATCTTAGAATTAGCTCTTATTTTTATGCACAAATTCAGTCAACTTATTTCCACAAAAACACCGCTGGAAAAAAGCTGCTCACCCCTGCACCACACTAGAGAGCAGCACATAGGAAACCAGGCGCCTCCCTTTCGTGCCTTCCTGCAATTCAAACTTCAGCGCCAACTCAGAAACACCTATTGAGGTTTCTCACAGCTACACCAAAAGTTATTCCTTTATATATTAAGTTATGAAAATATATGCATCTTGGAACAGGAGCTGGCACACATCAGCACTGAACAACTATTAGCCCCAATTATTACTACAAAAGAAAAATAAATATGACAATAAAATTTAGAAATTAATAATAACTAAATAAGAAATTACTATTACCTACAATATAACCACACCACAGATAACCACTCTTAAGAGATGGTGGAAACTACCTGTATATTTTTAACAAAAAAAGAAGTATATGACACATTTAAAAAAGGTTTTTGTATTTTTTCTACTATGGAAAGACCATCTTTCCAGATTAATAAACATAGTTCTATAATATCAACAGCTTTCTTATATAAAACAATAAAAAGTTAAAAAATAAAATATAATAGGAAAAATACATAAAATATGTAGCAATATATTTGACAAGAAATAGGTAAGATCCAGTAAAACAAACTAAAAACACCAATGGAGACTAGAAAAATAGACTTCATACATATGTAATTTGGTCTTGTTCTCGGATAGAAAGACTTCATATACTAAAGATAATTTAGCCCAAAATGATTTATATCTTTAGTCAACTCCAATCATAACCTCAAAAAGTTTTCCTTCAACAAGCAATTCTAATGTTCATCTAAAAGAAAAAAGGTTCAGGAACAGCTTGGGCCCTTTTGGAAATACAAAATAATGAGTGTACACAGGTCCACTTGATATTAACAAATTTTATAAAATTATAATAATCAAAAAACTACTTAACACTGGCTCAAAGAAAGATATACAGATGAATAAAGCATTACGGTTCAAATATGTAAGAATTTAGGATGCAATTAAATCGGCATTTCAAAGCCGTAAGTAAAACTGGATTATTTAATGAACGGAAGTGGTAATATCTGAAAGAAAGTAAAGCTACTTATGTATCTCTTACAGGAGCATCCAACCTTTTGGCAGCTCTGGGCCACACTGGAAGAAGAGTTGTCTTGGGCCACACATTAAATATATTGCAACACATTTGCACAAAAAAGTCTCATAATGCTTTAAGTAAATTCACAATTTTGTGTTGGGCCCCATTCGCAGCCATCCTGGGCCGCAGGTCGGACGCTCTTGTTACTCCCAGGTGGATTATGCAAACCACAGACTGAATGAAAAAACCACAGGTGCGATATACACTTAAGCATTAAAAAATGTAAAAACCTCTGGGTGGTAAAAAAGAAAAAAATCAATAATAAAGAACACACACACCCTCAAGCCAGGAAAATAGACCCACAACAAATATACCATTTCCTTGGAATTATGCTTTCATTTTACCTCATTTCATGTAATAAAACTACGTCCATCACTGAAACCACTGCCTTAAGGACACAACGTGATTTTTAAATTTCCTTTGTAATTTTGACAGAGACTGGTGACGTTTAATTGGGTTTCAGCAAGACCTTGTAAAGCGTAGAGAGGCAAGTCAAAAGGAGGTAGATTTACTACAGAGAACGTACAGAATAGAGAATTTCAGGCAAACAGGGTTGTGATCACTCATCAGTACAGTAGTTAAAGAATATCTGTGATGATTGAAGTTTGTTACTCAGAACAAAGACTCGCGCCTATCTTAATTTTTAAAATGGTTTTGAGAGCTGGCCCTTGCAGAAGTGCCCCCTTAAACTTTTTTAAAAAGATTTCCTTTGTTTTTAGAGAGAGGGGAAGGGAGGAAGAGCGGGAGAGAGACATCCATGCGTGGCTGCCTCTTGCTCACCCCCTGTGGGGACCTGCCCCGCAACCCAGGCCTGAGCCCTGACTGGGGATCAAACTGACGGCTTTCGTTTTGCAGGTGGGTGTTCAAGCCACTGAGCCGCACCAGCCGGGAAACCCCCTGAACCCTTATATCTGGCTCTCACATGTCCCCTCCTCTCTGGAAGCTGAAGCTCTTCATTGGGGTCTTTTTTTACCTTGGCCATTTCCCACAGAACATGGCAGCTCTCGGGGACAGCTCTCACATTTATCTTCAGAAAGAAGTTGCCTTTGACGTCAGCCTGTAGTTCCACTCAGCATCAAGTTCTGAAGGAATTTTGGAAGAAAGGAACAGAATAAAAGGTAACATTTATACTTAGTAGATGTCAGTGGCTCACATACCACACTGTCTTTTTTAGTGCATTTAGCACACAGGGTCAGCAACTTGCCCAACATCAATGACACGTCCAGAAGTGGCAGATCTGGGCCACTCATCCCATGCTGTCCACCACAGAGCCACTGACCACAGCCTCTCAGCAGTACTGGACGGAAGGGACTCACAGCTTACTTTCCCAGTATAGGAGCGATACAGTCCCTTCTGCAGAAAAGACAGCATGGGGCAGACTAAGCATAAAAACAAGAGGAAGAGAGGTTCTCACCGGCCAGCTGAAAACCTCCTCGGGTAAATTTAAACTCCCCACTTGTGACAAAATATTCCAAGTCACAAAAAGATATTCATGACCTATTCCAATAGCTTTAAGCAGCATATGCAGCAAATTCTCAATTTTGCCTTTTTTAAAGTAAATATAAATAAGATGTACTAAAGACACATGCACACTTACGTTGATTGGATAATTTTCATTTCAATGTCAAAATGCCCAAAACTGACTACAGAGAACATATTTTAAATTTGTAATAGAAAAAAGTACAAATATATTTATTTTAAAAAAGATTTTATTTCTTGCCATGGCTGGTGTGGCTCAGTGGATTGAGCTCCAGCCTGCGAACCAACGGGTCCTTGGTCTGATTCCCAGTCAGGGCGCAGGCCTGGGGTGCGGGCCAGGTCCCTGGTTGGGGGTGAAGGGGCGGCGGGGGGGCGGGGGGGGGGGGGCGGTGGTGCATGAAAGACAAACCACACACTGATGTTTTTCTCACTCTCTTTCTCCCTTCCTTCACCTCTCTAAAAATAAATAAAATCTTTTTTAAAAATCCAAAAATATTTTAGTTACTTATTTTTAGAGACAGGGGGAGAAAGACAGACAAAGAGAGAAACATTAATTGGTTGCCCCTGAGGCCCCCCACCAGGCGACCGTTCAGTTTGCCAGAGAAGGTCCGACCCAGGGAGCCAGAGCAGCCAGGGCTGAACATTTCTTAACGTTAGTCCTTAAACCAACAGGCAAGCAGAGCAGTTTTCAGTCTAGCACTCTATGATCCAAGGCGACATAATAATTAAAATAAAAAGTATGTTTTAATGAGATCAAAAAGCATCAAAACAAGAAAAAAGAAGACCCTTTCTTCCCAATCCCTCATTTTCATTTGAAAACTGTCAGACCCAGAAAACGCGCGTGCAGAGATAAGGCCTTCAGGCCAGTTATGTCCCGGCCACACCTGCTGCTGTCAAAAGTCGTTTTTGGTTTTTTCTGGAGTTTGGAAGAGGGGTGTGTTTAATTTTATTTATTTATTTTTTAAGGAGAAAAACCCTTTCAAAACCTCCACTGAAAAATGTACAGCGGGGGTGAGTGCTGCTGGGTGGGAGGAGACCAGGCAACCGGCCCCCTCGCCACCTACGCAAGCCCCGCAGACACTCACGCAATTAGCTCCCGCGGTGTGGCCATAGGGTCGCAGCCCGTCAACCGGACCAGGCCGGGGCTCGCAGCCGAACACATCCAGGGATGCCAAGGGCGGGAGGCACCGCTGTAAAACAACGACCTGAAAGATAATGCCCCAAAGAGGTAAGGACCCAGGGGGCCGACGGAGCGAAGCCTCGGGAGGAAGGGCTGCGGGCCACCCGGAGGCGGCGCGCTGACTCCCCCCGCCCGACTCGCCGCCCGCGCTCCGCGGGCGCCCTCTCGCCCGCACCGAAAGCCCCGCCCGGACGCCACAGTGTCCCCAACACCTCCGGGAGCCTGGGACCTGGGCACGCAGGCCCGGGCCATGACCCAGCTCCCCGCGCTCTGGCCAGATCCCCCGGCGCCCTCGACTCCCCGCTGGCCTAAGCGCGACGCCTACCGGCCTCGAAGCCTGCACCGCGATGACCCCTGCAGTACCCCCAGGACCCCACACCCCCCAGCCACCGGCCCCACAAGAAACCCAGGCCCGAGTCAGAAACAGCACCGACACCCACCCGCAGGCTCCGACCCCGGACGCGCAGGATCCGGACTCACGTGACCCGGCCGCCGCCCCGCCCCCCCAGCCAGCACAACTCGCCCGGCCTTCGGGCCTCGGTGCGACTCCGGAGCCTCCGCCGGAACCCTACCGGCTGTAGCAGTGCGCGGGGCCGCGTCTGCACTCGCTTCTGCGCGGCGGCGAAGGACAAAGAGACGGGGCGCAACCCGCAAGCGTCGGTGAGCATGCGCGTGCGCGTGCGCGTGTGCGAGCCGCCCTCGGACTACATTTCCCAGAAGACTTCGCGGCTTGGGCGTCCCGGCGTCCAGGGAACAACGAGCGAGTTGCGTGAGGAAGCTTTTGGGAGAGAAGTGAGAAAAGGGTTAGAATTTTAAAAGAGTAGGAATGCAAGCCGGAAAGTAGGTTAAAAAAAAAAAAGACAATTGGCTTAAGAATTCGTTTGAGGAAAACAGAAAAAAATGAACACATTATGGAAAGCAGATAGGAATTGAATCAAAGGAAAAAAGCAAAGCTAATCCATATTTTAGGTGCTGTGAGGGGAAAGTTACAGTTAAGTATCCTCATGAAAAAGGGAGAGGAAAGGGCAGGATGAAAAGGGAGAAATAACCACAGACACACAGGAAATTGTATAAGAATCGCCTCGGTGCCAATAAACTAAAAATTCTTTATGACAGATTCAGGGTTCGGCACAAATAACGCCCCCTTGTTTTAAATTACAAAATCCTTTATTACAAGGTTTTAAGTATGTAATTGTGTAACATAACAATATCACACTCAAGCACACCATATGACATTTTAGGAGAAATGTTCACATTAAAACTATAAATTATTACAACCATATTATTACCCTACCAACCACACTGAAGCAGGCGTTACTTCTGCCTGACCCTGGATATCAAATTTGACCCAAGAAACAGAAAACCTAATCAAGGATAAAGATGAAGACAACTTCCAAGATTCTCTGTCGAAAAGCATCACTCAGGAGTTTCTGGTGAATTCTTTCAAACATCCAGGGATCAGAGAATTCTTGTCTAATTAGTTCTACAGGAATTAGAAGGAAGTTTTTCTACTTACTAGATATCATAGGACACCAAAATCAACAAGTGTTAAAATTTTGAAAAGGAAGCTTTGACAAAACTTAATTATGACCATCCATGAAAAATACGGAGCAATTATTAACAGAGAGAAGCTAGCAATGCCTCACCAAAATATACTGTAACCAAGTGAGTTCTGTTCTAGAAATACAAAGGCAATCAGGTTGTCCACTAATATTACCTTATCAGTAAGTCAAAGGAAAATTATAATCACCTTAATAAGAGGAAAAGTTTTAATTTAAAAGCACATTCCAAGGTTTTAAAAATAAATTACAATATAAAAATTTGCGACTTTAACATAATAAGAAAATAGAGACTTTAACCATAAAGCCTGTCTTCTGCTTAATGGAGGAACATTAGAAATTAGGAACAAGGCCCTGGCTGGTGTGGCTCACTGGACTGACCGAAGGGTCCCCGTTTGAGTCCCAGCCAGGGCACAGCCTGGGCTGTGGGCCAGGTCCCCAGCAGGGGGCGTGCGAGAGGCAACCGCACTTGGATGTTTCTGTCCCTCTCCTACTCCCTCCCTTCCCCCCTGTCTAAAAATAAATAAATAAAATCTTTAAAAGAAAAAGCCGAGATTAGGAACAAGGTGTGAATACCCAAGATCAAGATTTTAAAAACTGGAATAATATTTGAAATACAAAACATACAGATAATGTGTTTCCATGATGACTGCTGAAGTATACACATTTCTACACCATTTGGACTTTATTCCATAAATTGTCAATTCTCATTTGCCTATGTTGCCATTGGGTCTATTTTTTTCTACTAGATTCATGGATTTGAATATATATTGTTTACTAAACCTCAATATGCAATATATGTTTTAATTTTTTTCTGTCTATCCCTTGTCTTTGAACTTTGTTTATAAAATTGTCGGTCTCTTAGATTTTAGTTTTGACACTATAAAATTTATCTAGCTTTTCCTTTATGGTTTCCATATGTGTCTTAAGAAATCTTTCTCTGTCTTAATATCATAAAATATTTCCTTGTATTATCTTCTGAGAGTTTCAGCTGGTAGCTCTGACAGTTACATTTCAGTCTATCTGGAGTTGTGTGTGTTCATGCATGCGAGGTACTGATCTAATTTCATTTTGTTTCCACATGGGAAGCCACTTTCCTAACACCTAGTGTATTAGTTTGATAAGGCTGCCATAACAGAATAACACAGACCAGGTGGAGTAAAAAAAGAAATTTTTGTCACAATTCTGGAGACTGGAAGTCTGAGATCAGGGTGTTGGCAGGTATGGTTTCTTCCGAGGTCTCTCTCCTCACTGTGCAGGTGGCTCTCTTCTCCCTGGTTCTCGCATGGTCACCTCTCTGTGCGCCTGTTCCAATCTCTTCATTTTGAGTTGCAGCCATCCAGATGATCTTATTTTACTTTAATTGCCTCTTTAAAGTCCCAGTTTCCAAATACAGTCACATCCTGACTGCGCTGTGGTTAGGACTTGACCATATGAATTGGGAGGGAAGACATAATCAGCCCACAACACCAAGCATCAAATAACCCATTCTTTCTTCAATATTTGTGAATTAAATATTTTGTATCTGAAGTTCCTATATGTTCAAGGGTCCCTTTATAGAATATCTTTTCTGTTCCATTGACCCATTAGTCTATCAATGCATAAATCCCATATTGTTTTCTTATTGTAGCATAAATTAACTCTTGTATCTAGAAGTGAAAATTCCTGTAATTGTTGTGCTTGTTGACTGTTGTGTTGGATACTGTGAGACCTGTAAACTTTCATGTAAATATTAGAATCTGTTTGTCACATTTCAAAAAAAGTGTTCTTTTATTTTTTTATTGGAATTGTATTATATTTTGTATGAAATATTTGTATTACATTAACTCTACTCCATCAGTATATCTTTCAATTTTCTTTTCAGTTCTTTTACAACCTTTATTAGCATTTTATTATTTTATTCATAAATTTTTGGTTTATGTAAGTTTTTAAAAGATTTATTCCCAGATCTCATTTTAAATTCAACATTGTATAAGGTGTATTCCTAAGTAGTTTGTCATGCCTCTTGATATTGTGAAGGTGAGTTTTTTTTCCCCCTAGTATATTTTCTCATTGGCCATTGTGCTATGGACTGAATACGTATCTCCAAAATTCATATATTGAAATTCTAACCCCCAGTGTGGCTCTGTTTGAAGACTGGGTATTTAAGGAAACTAGGGTTAAATGTGGTTATGAAGTTGGGGCCCTGATCCCATAAGATCAGTGTCCTTATAAGAAGAGACACCGAGGAGCTCACTCTGTCCAGGCACACATCCCAAGGAAAAGCCATGTGAGGACATAATGAGAAGATGGCTATCTACAATCCTGGGAGAGAGCCCTCGCCAGAAACTGACCGTGCTGGCATATTGATCTTAGACTCGCAGCCTCCAGAACTGCGAGAAAATAAATTTCTGTGTTCAAGGCAAGCAGTGTGTGGTACTTTGTTAAATCAGCCAGAGCAGACTAAGACAGATGGTAGTAACAGTATTGATTTGTTACTACCTAGAAACATTGCTAAAATCACTTTTCAGATCTTGCCTCTAATAACCATGATTCTTCCTTTCTTTCTAGTCCATATGAGTGTTAATCCTCATTTATTGTCTTACTGCATTGAATAGAATGCCAGTTCATTGCTTAATAGTATGAGAAATAGAGTGAGTAGTTCTTGACTTTAATTATAATGTTTCTAAAGTTTTACTGTAATTATGATGTTTGCTGTAGAGGTTGGCAGCTATTCTTTAGTTACCTTCCATTCTGAGTTTGTTAAGTGTTTTATGATGAAGAATTGCTGAAATGTATTGAATATTTTTCTTAAGCTACAGGGGTAGTTAGTTACTTATTTTTTTAAATATTAACTTATTTCTACATTAACTGGTTAATGGTTATTAACCTTAAAAATAAAAGTCAGTTATTCTACCAGTAAAAATTGGTTAACTCAGGACAGGCAAGCTATAGCAAAAGCCATAGCTAACTCACGCAAACAAAAGACAGGAATGTTATCTTACGGAGAAAAAGGAGGATTGGGAAGTGGTGTTTTGAGTGGAAGTCCAAGCAAGAGTTCAGGGGAGGGATGGCTTCTCGTTGGCTGAGCTGCTGGGGAGGTCAATGTCTTGCAGGAGGTGCGATGTGTGTCATTCCTGTTGGAACCTGTAATTGGTGATTCTTTCCTGTTGAAGATTTCTCCTGTGGGAGATTTGTAACTGGCCATTCTTACGGTAAATGACACCAGCTAGTACTGTGTGTGAGTGCCCCTCTGGCCTCCTGACTCCATTTTGTTGACACTTCCCTTGTTAACTTTCATGTGATGAATACATTAAGAAACTCTTAATAGTGAATTATCTTGGACATACTATTTATTTATAAGGTTGAACAATATGAAATTGTCCTTTGAAGATGAGTCCATTTACTCTTCCACATAATAAATCACTTCAAAACGTGGTGGATTATATTATGCATCACAGTTTCCTGGGGGCAGAAATGAAAGACATCTCAGCAAAGCGGTTCTGTCTCGGAATCTGTCCTGTGGCTGCACTCGGTGACACAGGATCTGGAGCGGCAGGAGCTGGCACACCTGGGGTAGTGACGACATCTCACTCTTCAGGTCTTTACGCTTCTGTCCCTTTGTGGAAGCCACGAGGGCGTCATCGCAGCATGGCGGCCTCAGAGAGGTTGGACCGTTTACCTGAAAACCGCTGAAGCTTTGTCAGTGAATGCTCTGTGAACAAGGGTGAAGCTGCTTCTCGTAGGACCTTGCCCTGGAAGCTACACAGCTTCATTTCTGCTGCGTTCTGTTGGCTACGATCAAATCACCAGCCCATGCAGATTCAAGCAACAGGGAGCACAGACCTACCTTCCTCTGAATGGGAGGAATGGCCACGTCACAGAGTCACATTGTTGAAGACGATCCTGGGTAGGAGATATTGTAGCCACCTTTGGAAATACAACCTACCACAGTCTGCCCTCAGTCTTTAACAATTTACATCCTCAAACTATAATCATCTCTTCTCTCCAGGACCCCAATGCCTCATATCGTCACAGCGTCTGCTCGAAGTCCAGGAGCTCATCCAGTGGGTGCTGCTGTGGAAGAGGCTCTCAGGGCAGCTCCCCAGGGTGCAGCTCTGTAGGTGCCATGTCGCTCAGTCTGATACCTGGGAGCTAAAAGACAAGCCATTTTCATCTGACACCCAAAATGTAGTGGGGCACACAGGAGGACTGCTATAGACTTGTTCAGAACTGGGAACAACAGGAATCCCCACAGAGCTGTCCCTGGTCCATAGAAATTTCTAAACCCAACAGAGTACCTGTCACTAGTTCGTTAATTAGGGTTCAGGTCTGCTCTCTCAGACTTGTTTTCCATTGTTCTGGGCTGCACCCTATGGGTCTTGGTTCTGCTGAGTCACCCATGTTTGCCACCAAGTATCCTCCTCAGCCTCCCTTCTTCCCCCAAAAAGGATGGGAGTCTAAAGATGTCTTTTTATTTTGTACACGGTTTGTCCTTTTCAGGCCAGGTTAATATAGCTATGTATATATTTGTACTATCTTTTGGTTTGCAATGAGCTTTTTTTTTTCCCACTTTTTACTGTGGACCCTAAATTAACTGTACTTCTACCATAATTTTTTCATATACTTTTCTTTCTACTCAAACTCCTAACCAATTTTATCATTTTTCTTTTTCAGGCTCTCATGTTAAGTAATTAGCACATCTCCAACCTCAAGTAATGGAAAATATTCTTGGGAATTGAGTTTGTCATTTCCCCCCAGATCTGTAACTGGGTTCTCAGAACTGAGGGACAGGTCACAGGTTACTTTATTGGTTACAAGCCAGTCACCCAACAAGATTCTCAGTGGGAGGAGTGGCAGTCACAGTGTACAAAGGACGTGAGATGGGGCCTTATTAAAGTTATCTTTGGAAAACCAAATCTGCCGTGTGTCAAAAATGGTTGATTATTGGTAATTTCATATAGTTGAACCTAATACAGAAATATATAAATGTGTGGAGTAAGAAACTGGGTGGTTTCATTCAGAAAATTTTCATCTATTTTATTGACATATAACTATTTTTTTCTAGTGTCTCAATCTGGTATGGTTATATAGTGGTATTGTAAAGTGATTTGGGAGTAATCCTTTAAATTTGTTTTAAAGATTTCCCCAGTTTTACCTACACTTTTGTGTGTTTATATGTGTTTGAGTCCTATTCCATTTTATCACCTTATAGGTTCATGTATCAACAATCAAGATACTGAATAGTTACAACACCACAAGATATATTTTTTATATTTTTTATTTTGATACTTTTGAAAATGGACTCAACTTATTAAATCCCATTTTATAAAGATTTTTAGGTCTGTAGAAATAGAATTGATTGGCATATATTGACCTGACATCCAATTACCTCATTAAATTCATTTTCTTTTGTTTAGAAATGATCTCATACTACTGAAAAAAAGTAGAGTTATAGAAGTTACAGAGTACTAAAGAATTCCTAAATACCTTTTACCTGTACTTGCCAAATGTTAACATTTTACCATGTCTGCTTTCTTTATAAAATAACATTTTTCTTGTAAGGTAGGAAAATGAGTTGCAGACATAATTCCTCTACATTCCTAAACAATTCAGCGTGTAAGTCCAACATAGCCATCCCATAATCTAATCACAGGAAAATGATCAAACTAGAGAAATTAACATAAATGCAGTACTGTTATCTAATACACAACTTATTCCAAGTGTCCTGATGTCCCAGAAACAAAATTTGGGTTCAGTATCCAATGTCATAAATCTTTAGTCCCATTACACCAGAATGGTCTTTCAGACTTTGTCTCATGACCTCAACACTGTTTTTAAAGGTGTTGAATGGCCCTTACCTTGTTTGGTAGATATTGCCTTTGTGTTCTCAGAGAATCATATCGAGTTTCATAAATGAAAAAAAGTTCCATAAATGAGTTTGCAATAATGGCAATATTAATTTTGAGTTTAAGGTTATATAAACGCCATATATCTCTTTTGTAGTTATTTTTCCAATTGTAATTGATAAGTATTTTGTGGGCAGATGTTTTGAAACTAATGAAATATTCTCTCATAAAAACTCTCACCCACCTAATTTTAGCATTCATGGGTGCCTCTTGCTTTTCCTTTGGTATTTATTGTTATATTCTACTGTAAGGAAGTTTTCCCTTCTTGGCTACTTGTCCATACATTTATATATTTATGTCAGTATGGATACATAGATTATCTTATTCTTTGGGTTATAACCTGTTACATTTATTGGGATTTTCAAATTGTTCCAGATCTGGCCTGTGCTTTCAAGCTGGTTGCAGTTTCTTTTTGACAAACTTAAATATTAAATTCTGAGGCTTGTTCTATGGTGTATCATTTGGTCTTTACTGTGTAACATTCCTTGTGCATTTGAGAATGTACATTCTCATGTATTTAGGTGGTGTGCTCCATACGTGTTTGTTAGGTCTAATTGGTTTTGTTGTTCAAGTTGTCTATTTACTCATTGACTGTTATGGGTTGGCCTGTGTCCCCCCAAAAGACATGTTAGAGTCCTAACCCCCACACCTCAGGATGTGACTCTATTTACACAAAGGGTTTTTACAGAGATTAGCATGTTAAAATGAGGTCATTAGGTGGGCCCCAAACCAATATGACTGGTATCCTCATAAAAAGGAGAAATTCTGATGGAAAAATAGACACATATAGGAAGAAAATGATGTAAAGAGAGAGAGATGTCTACAAACCAGAGATGCCTGGAAGATTCTTCCCTCACAGCCCCCAGAAGGAGACAACCCTACTGGCATTTGATTTCAGACCTTCAGCCTCCAGGTCTGAGACTTTAAGTAAACACTCATTTTGTAGTACTTTGTCCCAGTGGCCCTAGCAAGTGAATAAAGATTCTGGTACTGGAAAATAGGGTGTCCTATAGCTGATGCCAGAAGTGTGGACATAGCTTTGGAGCTGGCAGCAGAAGGTAGTGTGTAGAGATGCTTGATAGAAAAAGCCCAGGCTGCTTTGAGAAGACTCAGCAGAAATACGAATGTTGAAGGTGCTTTTGGTAAGGTGTTGGAAAAAATGAGTAACATTATCAGATTGGAGAAAAAGGGGATCTTTGTAATAAGGTGGGAGAGAATTTGGCTGAATTGTGTTCTACTTTGTGAAAAGAATTAAGCTGAAGAGATTTCCCAGTGCTCTGTGGCTCAACGCTCTGTTCACTGAGCCCACGGCAGGTGGTGGGCAGGGGCCTGCTCTCCCTCAGCCCTGCCTGGCAGGCCAGTCCTCTGTATTGAAAACAGCTTCTCCTTCTGGGACCCTGGGAGTGGCCCTGCCCTCTGAGTCATTCTCCCCTTTTCTTTAAGGTCAACCCATGTCTAAAGCTAGATTATTCTACAGCTTATTTCCTGCATGTAGAATCTCAGAAGTCAACTTCCTTTATTTCATCCCTTCTCTGTCCCCTTCAGTCCAAGTTGGTATAATGTCTGCTGAGGCAAATGATTGGATTCACAAGTCACACACCTACTATGTTTAACAGCTGTCCAGCAGCATCCTGGGTGTTTTTCATTTTTAGTAATATGGATAGTCTTCCAAATCTTTAGGATCTAATTCCTTTATGTTTCACTCATCAATTTATCTCTGTCCCCTTGCATCTTACTATTAGCAAGCTGCAGCTGGCTTGTGTCCCTGAATGAAGAGCATACAGTCTGAAGTGTATCAGAGTTTCCTAGGCTGTTCTCAGATTCCTCTGATATCTCTGCTTGAATTATGAGATTGTTTCTAGAACAATGCATGTTTCAGGGGGATGACTTTTTAAATTCACCAAGCCAAATATATATTTGACTTCTACCATCTCAACCCTATAGCGATGAGTAAGCAATTATTTCAGGAATGTCACAGAGAGGTGCAGAATTTAACACTGTGCTTTGAGATGAGAGCTTCAAGTTTGTCACTGTTGAATGTAAGGGCCACTATGACCAGAGGGAGCCATCTCATCTCCCATCCCATATTTCCTCATAAATGTAAAATTCTTCTATGGCAGTAATTCCTCAGAGTTCGCAGAATCTCATCAGAGGCCACAAGGTGTTTGGTATACGCAAACAAGAACACCATTTCATACTATGGGCTAAAAAGTTTCCACCTTGGATCATAAACAAGAACCTGAAAGATTTTCTTCATTTCAGAAAAAAATCTAAAAGACATACCCCACTTGTCTCTACCATTTTGTTAGCTACGCACTGCTCCAGAGCAAGAGTTTATCAATTAAAGCCCTGCATTATAAGAAAGAGAAACTCCTTCTCCTTAACTTTAGCAGGAAAAAAAAACAACCCACTTTTATTACAGAGGTATGAGGAAGCACCCATAAAGCCAGAAAACCAGATTCTAAAAGGGAGCCTATCAAGAGTTGTTCTGGGAAATCAATAGAGCAGGAAGGAACAGATGTTCTCCATGGGATTCTGGGACAAAGACATCCGAGCTCCCAAGTTTCCCTTCTGATTCACGTGAAACTGAATCGAGTCCTGGAAAAGAGGCTACCATTATTCAACAATGGGTGCAGTGCCCACCTGCAGCTAATGGAAAGGACACCCTGAAAGACTCAACTACAACAGAGGTATTTGTCCAGAAAACACTGGGGTGCTCATACCGATGCACGGGAATGGCTACTGACCTGCTAAAACAGGGGTGTCCAACCAGCAGCCATGGGCTTCATGTATCCCAGGATGGCTGTGAATGCGGCCTAACACAAAATCACAAATTTACTTAAAACATGATGATTTTTTTGTGTATGTGATTACGTGTCACGATGTATTTAATGTGTGGCCCAAAACAATTCTTTTTCCAGTGTGGCCCAGAGATCCCAAAAGGCTGGACGCCCCTGTGCTAAAATATCCTCGATGTTCCTCACAGTGAGGTCCCTTAAGCAGCCTTGTAATACCTGCCAGACCCCCATATGTAGATTCCTGAAGTGATCTCACCTGGAGTGAGAACTATGTCCTTTCATTTATTAAAAGTCACATTATATTAGTTATATTACTAAGAAACAGACAATAGTTATATTTAACATTTAATATGGAGAATATTGGGAGATGTTACTCCACAAACTATCAAATATATGTATAACAAATTACATTAAAAAATAAAATACCAAAATTTTTAAAAATGCTATTCAGTGTTGCTCAGGAAAGTCACACTAAATATCCCATAACCTGCAGAATATGTTACTTCTGTTTCCCTGACACTTTATTTACATATTAAAATAAAAAACTTTATATTTCATTATGAAAAAGTCTTAAGTTTATAATTATTTCCTTCCCTCTAAAACGTAGCTTCAAATCTGGAATCTGACCCTCCACATAACACACTTTCTATGGGAAAAAGCTTTCCCAATTTATTGAGTTTATAGTGTTTTCAGAATTGTCCAAATTAAAGCGTCATGATGCCACTACATTTGATACAGTTACTGCTCAATTCCTTCCATTATTCTTATCTATAAAGCTTGTATGTGACATTTCTAAAAGGTTTTGCACACTCATTCCAAATATGATTGGTTTCTCTCCTATATTACTTATATGTATATTTTTAGAACTTCCTGCTTATATAGCCTGTCTATATTATCACCCGAAGTCTCCTAAGGAGTACATTTTTTTAGAGTGCCTCTAATATCTACTTCATTCTAATTTCACTTGTGAGTTTTTCTATGTATGCGGAGCCCTGAATTCCAACAGAAGGATTTCCCACATTCAGAACATTTCCATGGTTTCTCTCCTGTATGGACTCTCTGATGTTCACTAAGAGATGACTTCTGGGTGAAGGCTTTACCGCACTCACTGCATTTGAATGGCTTTTCTCCTGAGTGAGTCTTCTGGTGGATCTGAAGCGACGCCTTCCGAGGATAGGCTTTCTCACATTCACTGCACTCATAGGGCTTCTCTGTCGAGTGAGTTCTCTGATGTATGATGAGCTGTGACTTCCCACAAAAGGCTCTCTCACAGAAACTACATTCATAGGGCCTCTCCCCGGTGTGCGTTCTCCTGTGTATGACAAGGTATGATTTGCTGCTGAACGCCTTTCCGCATTCACTGCACCCGTAGGGCTTCTCTCCTGCGTGAGCTCTCAGGTGGGCAGTGAGCTGTTCCTTCCGACCGAAGGCCTTCCCACATTCACTGCACTGATAAGGGTTATTTCCTGTGTGAGTTCCCTGATGGACAACAAGCTGTGTCTTCATGTTGAAGGCTTTCCCACAATCGCTGCATTGATAGGGCTTCTCTCCCGTGTGCATTCTTATGTGAACGAGCAGGTATGATTTACTCCTAAAGGCTTTCCCACATTCGTTGCATTTATGGGGTTTCACTCCCGTGTGAGTTCTCTGGTGTACAATGAACGGTGACTTCAAACTAAAGGCTTTCCCACATTCGCTGCATTCATAGGGCTTCACTCCCGTATGACTTCTCTGGTGTAAAATGAGCTGGGATTTCCAGCTGTAGGCTTTCCCACATTCACCGCAACCATAAGGTTTCCCTCCTGTGTGAACTTCCTGGTGGACAATGAGCTGTGACCTGAAAGAGAAGACTTTCCCACACTCACTGCACGAGTAGGGCTTCTCTCCTGTGTGAACTCTCTGGTGAGCATTCAGGTTTGACTTGGCGCTGAAGGCTCTCTCACACTTAGTGCATTCGTAAGGTCTCTCTCCTGTATGAATTCTGAGATGTACAATGAGCTGTGATTTGCAACGAAAAGCTTTTCCGCATTCACCACAGATACAGTTTTTTTCTATACTATGAGCTCTTTGATGCTTAAGAAAATATGATTGTTCATATCCACGTAACTTATCAGCATTCTTTCTTAGATAGCTTCTGGTTAAACCTGAGTTTTGTGTCAAACTTTTTCCATGTGTATTATACTTCTGGAGCCTTTGTCTTGAAGAAATATGTGTTTTGTTCAGATGAAGTTTAACAAATGCATTACAAGCAGAGTTTCTCTCAACACTTTCAAGCGCATCTTGATTTTTCTGGTACCATTCTTTCCAAGCTTCTAGAAGAAAAATATTTTTAAAATCATAACATGAACCTGCTATAGAATAAAAGAGCTTTAGAGCTGCCATGTAATGAGTCTCCTTTTGGTAACAGGCCTCTGACACCGGTTCAAACACACACTCACCACGTGCACCTGCACCACAGAGCTAAGTATGGGGGCAACGGGGCCGGATCACACCAAACCATGTCCCATTATAGAAATGGGTAGCAAATTAGCAGTGATCAAAAGTGTCTTTCAAAACAGACGTTTTAATAACACCTAGATTTTTAAATTTGAGAAACATGTGGTCCTGCTCTTTGAGATTAAAAACACTGGGAGGGAAACACGTTTGGAGGAAAAATAAAGGACTTTCTTTTGGACTTTATTACATTTGAGATCTCAGTTAAATATCAAAGTGAAGACCACAAATAGGCAGTCAGACCTAAGTGCTCCATAGAAAGTAGGCATCGAGAGCATACAAAAGGGATTAAATGACAAGACAGATGAGTTCTAGGGAACACGTGCAGATGAAAAGGGATGCCCGCACCTCCCTGCAGCGGATGACACTTAGAACTGGACAAAGAAGCAGAAAGGACAGGCAGGTCCGTCCGGGAGGCCCGAACAGTCACACGACGCCGAGTGCCGGCCGAGCGGCCAGCGCTGAGGGAGTGGCGGCAGGCCCAGCTCTGGACGGCCGCTCCCTCACCAGGCCACCACTGCGGTGGCCCTTCCACAGCTTCCCTCCCATACACCCTCTTCCCCACAGTGGTGGGATGATCCCGTCACGGTTTGTGCCTGGAAGTGGGCCACTAAATTCCAGCGTGAGGGGTAAGGATGCTGAGACCAGTGGCTAGAAGAAGGGATTTCTCAGGCCCAAAGACTATGTATAGACAACTGTGGGTGTTGTTACTGGCTTTACAGAATTAGAAAAAAAGAAAACCGAGAGGAAGCCTGATGAGTTTTGAAGGAAACCCTAAGCCTGGTCTGATAACAGCCTATGATTCTTCAGCCCTAAATGCCCCAAAACTTGTACCAACAGAAGTGGGCTAATGAAACTGTAAGTAGCCCCCAAAAAGCATGTTCTCCCCAAAGCCCATCTCTCCTGTGGCAAAGGAGGATACAAGGAAGGAAGACCCTCTCGGAGTGAAGAGCCAGGAGCTGTGAATCTGGCTAACAAGGGAATTGTACAATCACACCAAAAACGTCTGCCCTGCTCTTTTTTAACAGAGATGCGGTGAGCAGTGATGACCATTGTTTCCCCCCTCCCCTTCTGGAAGGAGGGGCTTCTGTTCCAATGTTCCGGTTCCTTCCCCACCACTGTGTTCATCTGGGATACGGGATCTATCTACTACCTACATGTCACTGTTTGATCCCTGATATCACCAAGCTTCTGAATTAAGTCGCCGTGGAGGCCAGTCTTACCTATCAGATGATGTCACACACATCCCAAGAGATCCTAGACTTGTAACTTGATTCGGATCTAGGAAGAGAACACGCGCTGCCCCCTTTATAATATGGGGAAGAGATGGTTATCGTTCATGTAACTATCATTTTGGAAGATGTACAACTGGAAAGGAGAGCGTGTTGTTGGACTATCCAGAGGTGGGATTCTGACACACTTGTTTGTGTCCCCAAAGGCATCTCCCCACTTCTGCACCGCAACCCTGGCTGGTAAGGACATGGTGCAGGTGGTCTGGCTGGCAGAGGCATGGCCCCATCCCCCACACCACGGTCGGTTTAGGCACTGGCATGTCAGTTGTGAGACGTAGTAAGTTGTTCAGGCTTCTGGGAAAGATTTTGGACATGAAAGAAAGGGATATTTTTGCAAGAGACAGAGGAATTATCCAGTGGTTCCTACTGTGTCTGCATGTGATGCCTGGCACCAAGGCACTTACCCGGCCATGCTGAAGAGAAAAGCTAACACCAAGGCCGGAGAACGGGAGACAGCTGTAACCTTGATACCTGACGTCATCACGCTTCTGAATTAAGCCACTGTGGAGCTGCTCCCCTACAGCAGACAACCTGTCATTTGAGACTATAAATTCCTTCTTGTTTACTTTTTTTTTAACGAGGAGTGTAAGATACTTGGTTATATTCTCAGACCAGTGATGGGATAATTATGAATCCAGCAGCAATAGCTACGGAAAAGACTGAGGTGTCAAATACAACTAAGAAGTTCAAGTATGAGAGAATGCTGATCTAGTCTGGGTGACAACTGAGGGGACAGGAGCTACAAGGGTATTTCAAAGGATAAGATACCAACAAAAATGAAAGAAGCTCCAGGACTAGCAAAGGAGAAAGAAGATGGGATACCCGAGGTGAGGCTACGAGCCAGAACACAAGAACAGCACTGCAAGATCAATGATCATAACAGGAAAACTGAGGGAGAACGCTGATTTCAGAGGTTACTTCCTGCTCCAGATACCGAGGACGAGGGTTGGAAAAGCACAGGGGAGCTCTCTGGCAAGCACATCACCTCGGGACTAGACTGCAGAATTGGAAAAAGGACGAAAATGTTGATTTTGGTGTTACAACACTGAGAGTCATAAAAGCTTAACTTTTCATAATGGAAGGGCTTTTCAATAGTTACAATGTAGCCCTGGCTGGTGTGGTTCAGTTGGCTGGAACATTGTCCTGTAAACCAAAAGACTGTGGGTTCAATTCTGGTTAGGGCACAAGCCTAGTTTGTGGGTTCAGTCCCTGGTCAGGGTGCCTAAAAGAGGCAACTGATCAATATTTCTCTCTCGCATCAATTAAAAAACAAAACAAAACAAAATAAAGTGGTTATAATATGGGACCAGACAGCCAAATTTGGGAAACAAAGGGCTCTGGACAACTCAAATGGGAAAAGGAGTCAGTGGAGAGCAGGTTAGGTTTCAGAATTCTCTTAAGAAAAAAAGTGCCCAAGAAAGTAACAGTTATCGTTTCAAAGTGATCAGTGAGAAAAGAGAATGAAGCAATGAAATCCCCGAAGACAGTCAAGGGAGAGCAAAGGAAGTACAAGGCTATGGGTGAAGTCTGAGCGGTGCCACGGTGATGGCAAAGGAGAAAAGAGACGACCGGGAAGCGGAGGCGCAAGTGGCACCAGGCGAGAAGCTGCAGGCTGATGGTGTCCACAGCCACGGGGAGGAAGGCACAAAACGAAGGTGCCAGAGAAAGGACCCTAACCCGGAGTACACCATTTGGGCAGCGCGCACAGCAGGGCGTGCCTGCCTCACCAAGCCCGGGAGGAAAGCCCAGCTGCGGGCGGCACGGCAGCCATTACCCAACGCGGGGAGCTCACGGGCTCCCCAGCCACCCCAGTGCTTCCGGGGCTTCAGACTAAAGTTTCTACCCGCAAGGCCGCTTGAGCGCCGCCCCGTGGACTCCCGCACCTCCCATCTTCCAGGCCCCGACTCACCCACCTGGACATCTCCGACGAGAAACTTTGGCATTTATTATCCACGGCTCGTCTCCTTGCTCCAACTTGAAGACTAAGTCAGGTTTGGTGCCATGATACCCTGTTAATACAAAACCACAAGGGACGTGGGCCAAGCTGCTGGGCCTAAGGGGTCAGGAGCAACAGCATGAAACTGCTCACGAACACTCCGGAAAAGGTTACAATTATGAGGCGATGGCCAAAGGTGTTCTGGAAGGAAGAACACCTGACCTCTTAGAGTTCAAGCCCATAATCACTATCACTAAGTACTTCAGAGGCCCCAGGGTAGGTCAACAACAAGAAAGGGATGGCAACTTCAGAGTCATGGTCGGGGTTAACAGAGAGCTGTACTTACCCACAGATACCAAGTTGCGATAGTTTTCCAGTATCACATCCCTGTACAGGTACTTCTGCGCAGAATCCAGCAACTGCCATTCTTCCCAGGTGAAGTCCATCGATATATCCTTGAATGACAATAATCCCTGTAATAACACACACCCCGTTGAAATGGACGCAGCTACATTACGTGATGTATAAAAGATGCGGCGGAATGTCCCCAGGAGGAATGCTCCTCCACAGGTTGCCTCCTCCGGGTCAGCATTTATTTAGAGAGAATTGAAAACAAAAAAACAAAAACAAACCAATTTTGAGATTCTATGTGCCAGATGCTTTTTGGGTCCTAAAAATTTCAAGATGAATAAAATCCACTTCTGCCCATGAGAAGCTTTCAGCCTTGCATAGGGAAACAAACATCTACACATGCAAATGAAATAAGGTATTTCAAATCTTTGATGAAAATACATCCAGAATATATTTTGTACAGAGCTAGAGAACAATTCTAAATAAGGGTGCCAGAGACATGGGAAGGCCTGACCTTGCAGAAGTTATCTGTCACCTTGCCAGCTACTCAGCCCACCGTGAGTCTCAGTGGGGATGGAGTGAGAGACTGGAACTATAAAAAGTGTGCCAAAAAGGTGAATTCTCAGCCTTCTTCCAAGAAAATAAGGGCCAGCTGGGGCCCCTTATAACTAAAGCCAGCTGGGGCTCAACGGGTGCTGGCGAAAGGCGAGGGTGCTGGGGCCAAAACGAGGGCCGTGGTTGGCTTCTGAGCATCCTGTGAAGACAGGGACAGAAGATGTCCTGGGGGAGACGCGGCAGCGTCCAGACAGAAGGGTGCGGAGGAGGGTGGCAGACCATGGCGCTGCCCTCCAAGGAGTTTGGGAAGCTTGAGGGATGAGAAACGTGGCGAACAAGGGGCTGAAAATAGTGAAGAAGCTGCCAGAGAAAAGTTCCCTGAAGTGGGTCGCTGAGGGAGAAGTGTCCCCCCGGAGGAGAGCCCCATGGGAAGAAGGGAAGGTGGAAACAGTGTCTCACACGCAGCCTGGGTGTCCGCCAAGCCCTCTGGGAAATTCTGAAGACAGAAAGTGCTGGGGCACTTAAAAGGCAGATGAGAAGCAATGCCCAGAGGAGCCCTGGACGTGATCCCCTCGACAGGCTCCCCGCAAACAGCACCACCTGCGGGGATAAGGCGCTGGAGGGGAGAGCCAGGAGTGCCATTCTGGGGGCACCTGCAGCGGGGAGTGAGCGAGAGACGTTCGCATCGCAGACACACAAGGCCCAGCCCTGCGACAGGCTCCACGCAACCCCGGTGGCTGGGCACTGATGGCCAGACCACAGGCGCGCCTGCCCTCTCGCCGCTGACCCTCCCATCCCAGTCCAGGAGCAGCCCCCACAGGAGGGCAACAAGAAGATGAAGCGGGAATACAGAGGTGAGCCGCTCATCTCCATTCCGTGCCGAGAGGGGGAAGAACTGGCGTTGGAATGAGAGCATGAGCTGGACTTTCTAACGCCTGAAAGCAACCGACAGCCACGTCAGACCGTGACCGGAACATAGTGGGCTCCGCTGAGAGGACCGTCAGGGCCTGGGGAAGAAGAGCCGACGGAGCGGCCTGAGGTCGTGATGGAGAAAACGAAGCTGTGACTTGCCTGTATCCTAATGAAGTCCGTCCAGGCCAGGCCTCAAGCAGACTACTTCATGAGGGAGGGAGGGGAAACAAGAAACTAGGCACAGAGGTGTGACCACAGAAAAGCCAGACAAGGATGCCCCAACAGTGAACGCAGACCGAAGCGGCGGATTCTGCGGACAGGCCGGAGAAAGCAAGGCGCAGAGCAGAGAGTGGGGTAAACCAGAAGGCTTATTTTACTTCAGGTCTTTTACTATTTTTTAAGCTCGATGTGAATAAAAATAAAATACAAAAAAACTATTTAAAAATGTAATTGGCAAAGCATTGTTTAATTGGCCACAACTATTATGACCAAGGGAGGATCCATATTAAAAATTTATTAAGACATTTTTATACACTGACCAGATTGCTGTAATGAGACACGTATGCTACCAAAAAAAATCACTACTATGCAAACTCTCACAGTAAAAATCATAGGGCTTATGAGAAAAATAAAACCTGTGTCAACAACACATAGAAAATCAGGAACCTAATAAAGACAGTAGCAGTTTTACACTTATTTCATGGTTGAGAAACACATGAATTACAATAAATATGGCACTTTATCTTGTAAAACACCTGATGTTTGGATGTCAGAGGGGCTGCAGCTTTTATAAACTGGTAAAAAGAAGGTTGTCTGAAATCAGAAAGCTCACATTTTCCCCTAGGATTCCAATTACATTGAAACAAATTGACATTTTTAAAGCAAACATGATAGCAGAACTGACTGTATTTACAAATTTGTTCCAAAGAATTTTAAAACTTAGAATGAAAAAATTTCATAGGAAAAGGAAACTAACCAAAATTGGCGCAGAAAGAATTAGGAAAGTCCAGCTGACCAGTCAATGATCATGAAACAAACTGAAGTAGTAGTCAAAGGCATACCAGCTCCAGAAGGGTGACGGTCTCAGGCTACACTTAAAAGTTCTATCGATAGCCAAGGAACAGGAAGTCCCCATCATATCTAATCTTATGTCGAGCCAGGAAATGATGTGTACAGTGCATCAGACAAGCCTGCATAACCACACGGACAATATCAGACAAGGACAGCACAAACTATAGTCTAACCTCATTTATTAACTCTGATCAATATGCCTAGAGAAAAAGAACTAGTAAAATAAAATGAATCCTGTACATACACACATAGTAAACTGAGACAAGGAAGTTTATTAAAAAAAAATTAAAGGACAGTCCAGCACATTAAGTACTTTTCTCAAATTTGCGGGGCGGGGGAGGGAAAGACAGTCTCCCAACTTCGGCGTCCCTTGCAGTCACTCCAGTCCTTCCTCACAGCAGTCTCTTCCTTGTCACTACCCTGAGACCTCTACTTGGTCCTTTCGAGGCTCTGCTGGTCATACCCTGAGCTAACACTATCATAGGCGCCTTTCCCCTTAATATTTCCAGTTGAGAATGCCCACTGAGCTACAGACTCGACTAGAGTGCATATTTAAATCTACGAAACTGCCCCGTCCCTGGGTACGTCGTCCAGCAGTGCGCCCCGGGCTGGAGCGCACCGGCGCGCACCGGCGGTCAGGCGTTCAGCCACCGCTGAGGTCGCCGCTCCCGCTCACACCGTCAGCCCAGGTGGTCCACCGGCCCTTTCCTTCTTCAAAACTCCTCTCCCGACCCACTAACCCGCCACTGTGCTCAATGCTCACTTCTGTTTGCCCTCCGTGCTCCAGACCACAGCTCCTCTAAAACGAGAACTGTGCGTAACTTCTCTCTGCACCGTCAGCGCCAGCCCCCGGGTCCAGCGCACAAAAAGACATCCGGCAAACACGCGTTTGAACAAACGGATGAACAAAGAGGAGGGTAACTTCCCTAATGAGGCCCTAAAGGACTGGATGTGAAGACGACTCAGTCCTTGTGCGTGAAAAGCCTGAAGTAATAGCGGATCGTTTCCGTTCCCAAATCCCTCGGAGTTCAAGGTCCGCAGGAGCGATCAGGCGTGAAGTGCCGAAAGAAACGGCCCCGGACACAAAACGCTGCAGGACACTGTCTCTGGAGATCCAGAGCCCGGGTGGAGTGCGGTCCGCGGCAGCCCCCGAGTTCCGGCCCCAGGTGTGACCGTGCAGGGACGAACGTGTCCGCACTCGGCGCCGTCTGCTCTGAAAAGTAAGCAAGCCCCTACTTACCCAACACGAAGCTGTCCGGATCCCGGAGGCCATTCCGCGCTGTTTCATGCAGGCTGCCGGAGGCAGGACCGAACCTTGACGGTCTCCCTGCTGCCGCCCCCCGAGCCCACCCCGGAAGGACCACGCGCCCCAGGGAGGAGGGTACAAGGCTGAGTCGCTCGTAGGGACGCGGCCTCCGAGCCTGGGCACAGGAATGCGGAGAGAGTCTGCACCGTTCCGCGGCCCTGACGCGGGAGGACCGAGGCCGGACGGACCGCGGAGAGCTCAGCTGGACAAGGTCCTGGTCTGCAACGCACGCTCCGGGCCGGGTTAACTCTGCGCCGCCGCCGGCTCGGCAGCCACAGACACTGAGAACGCCCCCTACCCGCGCGCGTCCTCTGACAGCGCGCCAGACCCAGCACCGCCGGCGGGTACGGCCGACAACGGCGGGGCGGCGCACGCGGAAGTACGTCACGAGCCCGGGCGCCGGACGGGACGGCGCGGAAAGAAAACTACAACTCCCAGAGCCCTATGTGGAGGGCCTCACCACCCGGACCCGCTTCCAGAAAGTGGGGGCGATAGAGAGAGGGGCGGAGCCTAACGTGAAAGGCGAGCCGGCAGGCGAGCGGAACTCCGCGAGAGCCCCGGGTCATTCCGCCCGAGCCGCAGCCCCCCAGCTTCCACACAACCCACGCAATCCTGGGAAAAGTCCGGCCTCGGTAGAAAGGCAGGCGTGCTCACGTCTTGATGTCAAACAAGATAGGGTTCAGACCGCAAGGCAGAGCAGAGAGGGACACTTTGTGAGGCTAGAAGCTGCAATTCCCAGGGTTGTAAAACAGTTTTGCTTATCAGTGCCCCCAAATAATAGTTACCAACTTCATAAAGAAAAAACTACAGTAGATGAAGAGAGAAAAATAGAAGTACACCAGTAATAGGAGATATTGACATGCTTCTCTCTGCCCATCACAGATCAAGCGACCCATTCTCATAACGCAATAAAACTACAAATAGCGTAATGTTAACAGGTCTTTCTGTTTGAAAATCGTTTGAAAAGCTTTCTATTGAACAAACAGTGAATGAAATAGGAAAATACAGACAAAACTGTAGACAACGCCATACAAGAATTTATGGAAGAATCCTGGCTGGTGTGGCTCAGTGGACTGAGCACCAGCCCTGCGACCCACAGGGTCTCCGGTTCGATTCCCAGCCAGGGCATATACCTGGGTTGCAGGCCAGTCCCGCATGCCGGGCGAGTGAGGGGCAACCGCACATTGATGTTTCTGTCCCTCTCTTTCTCCCGCCCTTTCCCTCTCTCTAAAAATGAATAAATAAAATCTTTAAAAAAGAATTTACGGGAGAAACTTGAAGCTGTGATGACGGGGAATTTCATAGTCTTGAATAATTGTAACAGTAAAAACAAAACATGTATTTAGTTCTCAAAAAGTCATTAAATAACAACAAAGTAAGCCAAAGCAAAGCAAAGGAAAGGCAATTTAAAGATAAAAGCAAATAACTAGACAAGATTAGCAAGAACAGGAAAGACTCAAATAAAAAATACCATGAATCCATTAAAAGTAGTTGACAGAGAATACTACCAAGACTGTTAAATGTGCATAATTTTTATGAACATATGGAACTGGATTTATCAATTTTTTCCTATTTAATTCCTTAATTTCTGCTTTTATATTCATTAACTTTTTTCTTTCCATAATTGCATTTAATTTCTCCCTAAATTCCTCATTTATTTTCAGTCCTTTTGTTAGGACTGTTGGATTGGATGTATTGGATGGATACCTACATTACTTTCGTTTTATAAATTATTTTAAGGTATGATCATAAATACAAAGGATAGAGAACGTCCCTCCTGTGGACACAACCTGGTTGGCTCCCACACACGTTTTGAGCCTTAGCACCCGCTCCACCCACCTCTGAACCGCGCGCCCCCTGCAGCGGCAGAAAGGTTTCAAACCTCGAACCTATCAATCCTGCGAGGCATACCGCAGAGCCCTCTGGGAGATGTAGTTCTGCAGCGAGCGGAACTCCGGAAAATGTAGTTCTGCGCGGACACAACGCCGTCGGTTGGTGTCCGCGCGGTACTGCGGTCCCAAGGGGAAAGGGTGTGTGACGAGAGGCGGGGCCGTGAGGTTGCGGCGTGGAGCGGCCCCCGTGACCCTGGCAGACCCGCGTCCACCTCGGCGCGCGCACCCCACAGTCCCTGGGGCCGGTGCCAGGCGGGCCCGGAGGACGGCCCCGCGGCGCGTGCGGTTCCTGTCCAGGTGGGTGGGGGCCGCGGGGCTCGCGGAGAGGGCGGGAGCAGGACGCGGCCGCGGTAGCGGACAGGGGTCCGTACGAGTGGATGCGGGACGGCGTGTGTGGGCGGCCGGACGGAGATGTGGGGATCACGGCGGGCCCGCCCGTGGTGGCGGGATGAGGGACTGCGAGGAGACCGTGGAGCTGATTAATCTGGGGACTTTTGAGCGTAGAATCTGTGAACATCACTAACTTGGGGCTGGGCGGTGATGCGTGGTTGTGAACCCAGTGTAAGGAGTTCACTGGGCGAGTGTCCCTGGGCGGGGTTCTGGGGGCCCGTGGACGCGGCGACGGGTGTGGGGGCCCGAGGCAGCAGGGGCTGGCAGTGGGGGCGCCCCGGGGAGCAGTTTGGGCCGGATGATCGGTGACCTGGATGCCTTTAGGGAGAATGGTGAGGCGTCGTAGGGCACCTAGGGGGCTCGGAGCGGTTGGATGAAGGATTTCGTCCGCCGGACGGCCTGCTGGGGGCGACAGCGTAGGGTCTCACCTGCCACCCTCCGGTTCCGGGAAACAGCTCCCTGCAAAGGGCCCCTTCTCCCTTAGCTGGGTGAGGCTCACTCGGGCCCCTGTGTGACCAGTGACAAGGCCAGATGCTGACCCTCCAAATTCTTTCTTGACAACCTATCATTGATTAGCTGAATTGTTCGCCTCACTGATCAGTGGGGACAAAATGCTTGTTAACGCGCCCTGGCTGGGGGCTCGGTTGGTGGGAACGCCGTCCCACACACCAAAAAGCTGCGGGTGAGGATTTTTTTTTTTTTTAAATGCTCGTTAACCCAAATTCTCTCCTTCCGCGAGTTCCCTGAACTTCGGTCCCCACTCGGGAACGTGTCCTGATCCCCCGCCCTTCCACCTGCTTCCCCACACTTGGCTCCTCTAACCTGATTTACCCCTTTCTGTGTGAAAGGAACCAAAACTGCCCTGGCTGGTGTGGCTCAGTGGATGGAGCACCGGCCTGCGAACCAGAGGGTCGCAGGTTCTATTCCCAGTCAGAGCATAGGCCTGGGTTGCAGGCCAGGTCCCCAGCAGGGGGCGCGTGAGAGGCAACCACACGTGGACGTTTCTCTCTTTCTCCCTCCCTTCCCCTCTTTCTAAAAATAAATAAAATCTTAAAAAGAAAAACAACAACAACACTCCCCACCTTCTGCAAATGCTTGTGCCTCTGAGGGCAGCAGTGTCCTGCCTGCGGCAGTGGGCCTGCCCCAACAACCCTTTGCGATAAAATACTTCTTTGCTGAGTCTGCATTTGATTTTCATTGGACCGACTGGTGGTCGATTTCTCAGTGGAGGTGACCGCCAGGTGGCCTGTGTAGTGTTTGAGGCCTTGTAATTGGGGCGTCAGAGATGGGGCCATGGTGTGTCAGTGACAGCCAGATACCAGTTAGCACGTGGCCTGTTGGGGGGGGTTGTGAGTGAGCTGACGTTTGGGTTAGTAATTGGAGTCGCTGGAGGGGCCGGGGCACTGGGCTTTGTGGAGAACCAGAGGCCCTTCCAGGGGGATCACCAGGTGTCAGTGAACAGCGGGTGAGCATGGGGTAGGCTGGAGAGCTGCGGATGGGAAGGGTCGGGGGGCCTGGTGTGATCTGGGTTCTGGGTTAGGGACGCCTGGGGTTTAATGATGGGAGACAGCAGGTTCTGGGACAGCGGGATAGGCACCTGTCAGGGTGAGTGAACGGGTACCTGTGGGAGGGAACGGTTGGAGTTCCATGGGGTTCTTGGGGGTCCAGCCTTTGGGGTTTCACTGACTCACTTTCTATCCAATGAACAGATTCTGTGGAGGTTATTGAACCGGGTCTGGGGAGCCCATGGTGGTGTTTCTTGGAGTCAGCGTTTGGAAGCCTATGGGAGTCAGCGGTCAGGGCCTGCAGGGCTATGCGGGCAGAGGGAGGGAGAGCCTGGAGGGACGGAGTGTCCTGTGGGTGTCCGACTGGGGGCGTGGCTGTGGAGAGGCTTTGGATTTCATTGATCCATACACTCCTGTGAATTGGTTTTGTCACTTGGGGTTAGCAATTGGGGACTTTGCTAGATGATTTACTGGGGACCCACAGTGTGTGTAATTGAAGTTCTTAGAGGGGAGACCTGTGAAATTAATAATTGGGGCCCAGTGGGGGAGGATGGTGGGCACATAGGGTAAGTGATAGTGGGCATGATGTGGTTTCTAATATATATTGGGTCATTCAGGTGGCCAAAAGGTATTTATTCAATATATTTGGTCTTCATCCCCAGTTTCTGGTTCACAGATCCTTTGGAATTTCTGAAGCCATAAGAACACTGGCAGCATCTTTTTTTTTTTTTTTAAGATATTTATTTATTTATTTATTTTTAGAGAAGGGGAGGGTGGGGAGAAAGGGAGAGAAGCATCCATGTGTGGTTGCCTCTCACGTGCCCCCAACTGGGGACCTGGCCCACAGCCCGGGCATGTGCCCTGACTGGGAATCAAACCGGCAACCCTTTGGTTCACAGGGTGGCACTCAATTCACTGAGCCACATCAGCCAGCGCTAGGAGCATCTTTTGTTACAATATTTGGTCTCTCGGTCTCAGTCATTGAAAATGTATCAGGGGCATAAAGGTGGAATGGGTGTCCAGCAGAGTCACTGACCCAAGGCAGGGGTCACGGGAATCCTTGGTTTACGGCCTGTGGGTCCGAGGTACAGGGGACGCCCTGCCCTGTGCCGGGGTCTGAAGTGGAGGGGCACGGGGACCTCCAGTCTGTAGCCAGCGGGTTAGAAGCACCAGTAACCGGGGTTCGCAGCTGGTGTCTGAGTAGAGGGTGGTCTGGCGGGGCTGCGCCCTTTACTGGTGGAATCGGACTCTGTCTCAGGGCAGACTGCGAGCAGTGCGCTGAAGAGAGTGCAGGGAGGTGGCCCGCCTTTGCTCTGGCCGGGGAGGCACAGTCCGTCAGGCACGTTCTCAGATAAGTGATCGCTTGCCACACACAGTCCATCCTTAATTTGCCTGGTGAGTGGGGTGGCCACCTGTGTTAGCTAATCGCCTTTATCCAAAGAAAAAAAGTCATCCTTTTATCTTCGTGATGGAGCTGGGTGTTGAAGTCAGGATGCTGAGGCTCCTGTCCTCCCAGAAACTGGGATACAGCCCATCCACCTCCCAAGAGACGGCTTCCAGGTCCTTAGGAAAGACACTCACGTTCTGGGACTGTTGAACTGGAAGAGGCCCAGTTAGCTTTAGAAAAGATTAATGCACATCTCAACGGGGCAGAGAAAGGATTTGCAATTACAGGTTTCCTAATGTAAATGTCCTTTGGATAGGGGTTGGGAGTTTCTCTTTTCTGCATGAGGGAGAATTAGGTTTCTTTTTTCCTTTCTTTTTTTCTTAGTTTTGATTTACAGTTGCCCTCACAGGCCTCTGAGCTTGTGTTTTCCTAGAGGTGTCAGCCACTCTCGCCCAAGTGCTGGTAACTGGCAGCAGGGAAGCGCCAAGGCCAGGCTTTTGAAGAGAGGGGAGCAGCCCCGTGGAACCACTGGGCAGCCCAGTCCCACCACGGCTTGAAGCAGCCCCTCAAGTCGGAAGTCTGGGGCCCTTAGAAGGAAGCCCTGGTGGAACATTTTCCCTGGGCAGCGGGGGAAGCTGAGAGATGAGTGCAGGCCCACAGGCCACTGGGCAGCACGTGCCTTCTCCTTGGCTCCTGAACTCAGCAGCAGCTTGACCTGCCTCCGTTATCCCCGCGGACCGGTGCTGGGCCTGCTGGGCCCCGGCGGGAGCCGGAGAAGGCGCACCAAGGTTCCCTTAGGCCCCTCCCGCTGCCATCTGCGCAGGGCTGCGCAGGTGTGCGCTCAGGTGCACCACGGCCTGTCCCCCCAGGGCTCGCTTCTTGTTGCTCTTTCCCTTAGTTCCCTGACCTCTGCTTTCTTCTGCTCCAGGACCGATTTGGGGGTAGAGAGCCAGCACCCCAGGCTGCTTCGCCATCTTGATCTAAAAGCTAGTATGCGAGTGCTTTTAAGTGCCCCCAGGAAATGTTGCTGCAGAATGGGTGAGCCAAGATGGCACGCCCAGACTTTGCTGAGGTTTCTGCAGTGTGCTCTCGTGCACGCGCACGTGCACGTGTGTGTTGGAGGGCGGGGAGGCTCTGGGTATGTTTGGTTGAATCAGTGAGGCAACGGCCTTCCACCTGGTGTTTCCAAGTGGGAGCTAGGGCTGCCAAGGGCAGTGTCAGGCTCAGCTGAGACCGGCAGTGGCTCCCGCTCCCTCCTGCTTCTGACTGGAGCGCAGCAAATGGCTCGCCTGAGTTCCGAGTAAGAGAGATGGTGATTTACTTAAACCATCTGAAATGAAATTCCCGCTGCATCCCCAGCCCCGCTCTCAGGAACAAGATGACCGAGGCAAGATAAGGAAGCAGAGGCCAGGTACAGCCCTGGATAGAGGCCTTTGTCAGTGCGTCAGGACACAGAAGGCCGAGAACGGCAGAAAATGACCATGTCACAGGTGAGCCATCTCTTATTCTCCAGTTTTTCCGTGGATGTGGTGAGGCTTACGGGAGTCTCTGCGAGCACCTACATTTAGCCCATAACCGGGAGAGTGGTATAAACCTGGGAAGGGTGTCAAAGAAGCACAAGTGGATGTAGAATCGCACAGTCTTCAAGGTGGAACACAGAAGTACAAGGGCAGCAGGAACAGCTCCAAAAGGCAGAGCAGTTCCTCGGTAGGAGCAAGCACTTCCTGATGATTACATGCAGAGGAAACACGTTGATAGCTGTTTACTCGCTTATATCACAGACAGAATCCTAAGCACCACCTCATAATAAACACATTTATATGGAAGGATTCTTCGAGAGCCCCACCCCTGCCAGTGAAGGGTGTGAATCTCAAGGAGGCCTCAGAGCGCTGGTGTTCAGAGGACCAGCAGGGGGCGTGAGGGACATGTGCTGCGGATGTTCTAGTTTTAGGGCAGAGGTAGGTAGGTGATCCTTATGAAACTCTCGGGCAGCCCTGTAACGTTCTCTCAGACGTGGTTTTGCCTCTTTTGGAGGAAGCTGGGCATGGAGGTGTCTGCCTTCAGCGCTACTTCTTTACATTCTTGACTCAGGGAAAAAAAACGCATGTCCCTTCACCTTTCAAAGCCATTCCTACCCACTGAGTTTTCTTTCTTTAAAAAATGCTGTTGTTTTAACTAATGCAGACTGATACCCACTTTTCCCCTTGGTCAATGTGTGGTTGGGTCAGGAGCCCAGCTGCCCGGCGTCAGAGGAGCCGGTTACAGCAACGGCTGCGATGGGAGTGCTGAACCTTTCACCGGGTGCCGTGGTGGTGCGGCCAGAGCGCAGCGGAGAAGGCACCGACCCCCGTGCATTTCCCACGGTACCAGGCCGGGGGCGGGGGGGGGGGAGTGCATCAGCACAGGCGTGGGGTCAGCCCACTTCCCAGGGATCCCCAGCAGGTTCATGGTCCTGGTCAGGAGGAGGGTGAGGGGGAAGGGCCGGAGAGCTGAGTCAGAATGAGCAGCGACTTCAGGTCCCCCTCCCCCTCACCGCCCCCCCCAGAAGGTCTTGGCTGAGGCACCTGAGCGAAGCCTCAGATAAGGAGACCGAGGCTGCACGAGTTCATGGCCGGCCAGGCCCTGAAGCCCTGGCTGCAGCCCCGTCCGAGTCTGCCCACCAGGTCTGATGTCTGAGGGCAGCGCCCCCCGAGGCCTGCCAGGCAAAGCCTTTGTCAGTGCAGCGGGACCCCCATACGAGTTTTAAAGTGCTCAGCTCATGTGATCGGAGCCACAGCCACATTCCGTCTCTGCAGGCGGCTCCGAGCCTCGCCTTTCTGCATCCCTGACCCTGGCAACGACGGATCTGTCTTCTGTCTCCACAGCTTTCCTCTTCCAGAGCGTTACATAATGGAATCATGTCTTCGCAATTCACCCATGTTGTTTGTTCCTTCTTCTTGCCGAGTGCGTCTGCTGTTCTTTGTTTCACCTCTGCCACATCGGCAAAATGCTTCCCTTTGAGGACTTCTTTCATCTGGGAAAACACAAAAACAGTCACTTCGGGCAAGACTGGGTGAATAGGAAGGGCGGGGCATGGGGTCGTGCTGTGTTTGGTCAAATACTGCTCACCGTTCAGCTGAGGTGGGCAGGTGGGCAGGTAAGTCACCGCCGTGAGATGGGCAAACGCGTGAGCCTTCAAGGGAAAATCCCACTGAAGCCGAGCGCTGCCTCTCGCGACAATGGCAGCTGGTACAGGTGGGCTCCGCACTCACCAAGCGCCTGGCGGGGGAGCCTGTACTTCAAGGGACCCGCCCTCCAGAAGGGAATTCTGGGGTTTTTTGTCCCCCACCGCACGTGTGCTTTCTCACTAATACCACCTCGTTTTCATTACCGTGGCTGTATAGAAAGATTCGAAATCAGGTCATGTGAGCACTGCACCGTTATTTTACAGGTTTTGCTGCCCCAGGTCCTTTGCCTTCTGTTGCTGTGCCCCGTGTGTCCTTGTTTCATGGTCCCTGTGTCACCGTATTGCCTCCGGCCCAAAAAGACGACATGTTCTGGAACATGGTTCTTTTTCCTTCCTCATCTTTTCTTTATACACCTGTCACAGTTCCAGAACCCTTGAGTGTCCAGCGTCTGTGTCTAGGAGGCATCGGAGGGAGCCCGCTAGTTGTCCCTACTTGGGAGCAGAACCACCCCGGGGGGAGGAGGGTGTTTTAGATGCACAGATGGGATTTGGGTTTGACAGTGACAGAAATGGTACTGTCCTTCAGCAGGTAGAAGCCAGGCTGCCTGAAGGTCTCCCACTGCACGGGGCATCGCGCTCTTTGATAAACACCATGCTTATTTAAAGACAAGCTATTCAATATCTTATTCAATGGACATAGGTGAATGAGTTCATAATGATAAATATTTTAATAACATTTTTCTCTCTCTCTCAAGGTATAATGCAAGATTAGGATATTAGTTAACCATGGCTATGTAACACCCTACCCCAAGCCTCAGTGGCTGAGCACACAAAGCGTTCACCTGACCGTTTCCGGGGGGAGGGGGGGGCGGGAGGAGCCTGCCGGCCGCCTGTTTGGCTCGTGATCAGACGGTGAGAGGGGCAGCAGTTGTCTCCGGCTGCAGGAGGTGCCCCTCTCTCAGCTGCCGCAGGGGGTGTGGGCAGGCCTCGGGCCCTTGTCTCCAGGACTCCTGCGCCGGCTGCCTCCCTAGGTGGCATCTGGGTGCCCCAGAGGGAGCAGGAGCGGGTTTCCAGGACGAAGGTACACCCTCCTGTCAGCCACTGCTGCAGGTGACACCCATCACGGCCACCCTGCTCTGCTCAGTGACCGTGGCTGCCCCCTTCTAGGGAGAAGAAAGCCTGCATTCTACAGGAGAATCATTGAAAATTTCACAGGAATTATGCTTTTCTAGATATCTTTTGAGGATGTGGCTGTGGATTTCACGTTGGAGGAGTGGCGGCTACTAACTCCTACCCAAAAGAACTTGTACAGAGACGTGATGTTGGAGAACTGCAGCAATCTAGTGTTCCTGGGTAAGAACATTCTTATGTGATGCAGCGTGTGCCTGATAGCTATCGGACCTCTAACACTTCACTGATTTTGGATTTAAGTTTTGTATGTTATAGGTTCTTTTATACACAGCAGTTAAATATTTTTATTCCCTTTATTTTGTAGCTTTTGTAGTAAAATATTTTCACATTTAAGAGTGCCTCAGTCCAAGCAATGGTGTCCAAGTCCTCTGTGTTTCCAACTAACAGGTTATCAAACTATCAAACCTGATGCTGTTTTCAAAGTGGAGCAGGAGCCCTGGATAGTAAGCGAAGAAATCTTGGGTCACCACTTCTCAGGTGAGAAATAATCACGTGCCCAGCATACCCTGGAAGTGAAATCTCAGGTGTTGGATGATAGGTTGGCACTCTTGAAATGTTATCTATAAAACTGTTGAAAATCCCCGCGTCTTTAGAGTCGACTCGGGACTCGCGACGTGGTTCTGCATGACTTGGAAAGCGCTCTAGGTTCTGGCCTCCACACCAGGGTGTGTCCTCTCTGCGTGCAGTCGATAGTGAGACGCAGCCCCATCCCCCCCACGGCAGCGGCCTGTCCGTCAGGCCCTCGCTTCCGTGGATGAAGCTCTTGTCCCAGCCTCCGCAGCCGCCGTCTCCGCTGCTGCCTCAGTCCAGCCAGCAGAGCCAGGCTTCACTCCTCGGTCTTGAAGAAGCTGTAGGTTTTTCTCAGGTGACACTGATTACCTTTGAATTTCCTTTACATGTATCTTTTCTCCTTCTAGTGTGTCAGATTTCCTTTGAAACCCACAGAGGGTAGGTGACTCCTGTGGGGTCATAGGACAAAAACTAAATCCCTTAAAGAGTGGGTGTACTCTTCCTGGCCTCTGGGCAGATTCAGCGTGACGGTCGGCCTCCGGGGCTTCTCTGTGGTGCACGTGACGTTTAGCTTCTCCGAAGCTTCTCGTTCATCCCATCAAGTGGTCTGCCAGGTGTGAGACCCCCGTTACCTGCTGTGATGTTTAAACTCCACTTATGTAGAAGAGCCTCATGCATGGCAGCATCTTATCTGTCTAGTGTTTCTGCGCCCAGAGATCACGGCTAACTCCATTTGAACTGGTCTCTTCCTGCCATCTGAGACACGTTTTCCCTGAGCGTGGGCCGTTGTGTACAGTGTGCTTTCCCCACTCAGAACTGTTCCCCTTCAGCCTGAGCTCCTTTTTCACCTACAGTGAGTGCTCCTGGTCTCTCAGCCTTTTCTGAACTCTCTGCCCATTTAGCATTATTTTCTAGGAACCCAGGCCTGTCAGACATTATATGGAATTCCCTCTCCAAAGAGGCCTCACTGTGTTTTCCCACATAGAAAGGTGGCAAGTAACTTGTCTATTCTCTATGGAATTTAAGATAGGTAATTATTAAACATTCCATTACTTGGTGGTTGTGGGGTGGGGGAAGGCGGCAACTTTCTTACTCATCAAATACTTCTTTAGTACAAAGGTTTTTGTCTAAGCAAGTGTTTCGTCTTACCTTGGCAAGTGTTTCAGATTACAAATGTCCAGGCCCCATTCCATGGGTGATTAGGTCTAGGTTTGTGTAGTCTGGAAAAGCTGTGAAGATAGATTTTATGTTTCCCCATTAATTCAGAACCACTGCTATTATGTGGAAGGAGAGGATTTAAGAGAAAATGTGAGTCATGCAATAACCTTGAGGGACCAGAGAATTTTAATTTAGAAGAAAATTCAAAAGTGTAAAATATTCAATTCAGTATTTGACCTTAAAACATGTTTGTTAAAAATGCAAAGTTAATTATCAAGATTAAGCAGAAACAAACTGCTTTAGAAGTTCAGTGGTAAGTGAAGTGTATTTCTTCTTGGGTGTTGAGGGCTCTTATGTTCCGTGTGGTGGGAATGCATGACTGTTTTCCGTCCTCAGGGTTTACATTCTAGTATGAGAGACACAGATATTTACATACTTGATAAGTACCGTGATGGAATTAAAAAGGTGTTTATTAGTGTGCCCGCACTCTCAGCAAATATTGGCTGTGACCACCAACCAACCTCCGCCCTCCGTGGAGGACCAGCTGTGCGGGGGCAGGGTGGCGGTGCTCCGACGTGGTCGGTAGCTGTCCGCTGGCTGCACTGCCCCTGGGGTTTCCGGGTGGCGCAGGCCAAGGTCAGCCCACACCTGTGTTCTGCCCGGGGCCACCCTGCCTGAGCTATAGAGCATTCTGAGAAGGTTGTTACTTGTCCTGGGCTTGGAGATTCCCAGGTGAAGCCAAGCTGTGACTTTAGGCTGCTTCTGCTAGTGCCAGGCCTGGGGCCACACAGCAAGAAGTACGGGGGCGGAGGGCTCGCTGAGGCCGGCTGCTGCTTGTCGGAGAGGATTTAGGAAGTTGTGAAGCTTGAGCCAAGACCGCCATTCATATGGAAAAGCCTCTGTTAGAAGCTGTAAATGGGGTGGGCCGGAGTCTCAGGGGATCTCCAGGGCTGGACACAGTGTGAGCCAGGGTGATGGAGTCAGATATGGCCCCAGCTGCTGGCCCTGTGCCTCTGCCTGCCTTTCTGTCTGGAAGAAAACTGTCCCCTAGCTCCCTGCTTGATGCCAGACAGTTCAGGTGCTCCCTGGGTGCCACTGGAGCCTTTCCAGCTGCTCTCGCAGTGCTGGGGCTCAGAGAGAACGAGTCCGAGTAGGTGAGGCCCTGTGTGGGTCCTTCAAAAGGAACTGCTTCAGACTCCAGAAGTTTCTTCCACCGACTCAGTCCCTGCTGGTTTTTGCAGCCAGATGCTATGGGGACTTACCTTCCTGGCCTTGCTGCCCGGGGCTGGGGGCCTGGTGTGGGGCTGGGACTCCCTGCTCCAGAGATATCCCCCAGACTCTTTACCCATCACATGTGGATGTGGGACCGGCCCGTTCTGTGTCTTTGCCTCTCCTACCAGTTTGGAGGGATGTGATTTCTTTAATTCCGTAGTTGTTAAACTTCTATTCAACCCGATTTCTGACAGTTGTGAGTGATGGTGGTTCTATATTTTAGTTGTAATTTTGATGTGGTTGTGCGAAGAAGCAAGCCACGTCTGCCTACACTGCCTTCTTGACCTGAAATCATCATTAATATTTTTGAAAAGAAAAATTCAGCACCTACCTATTCAAAAACCAATCGCAGTCAAAGCCGATTCACATACCTTTCGATGTTGAAATTTTGCATACTCCTTCCTTTTTCTTTGCTTGCATGCAAATCTAACCTCTTTGGCCAAGTAACTTAAACACCTAGAGCCTGAATTTTCTCATCTAAATGGGACTTTTAACACCTACTCATAACCCTTTCAGGTCCATTTGCTCAAATCATAAAGCTCTTTGCAAACTGAAAATGAAGATCCAATCAGTCTTTCCTCTGTGCTCCTTCTTCCCCTTCTTCCCATCTTTGTTCTTTAACTTTATTCTTCTATGTTCAGCTGAGCTCCTTTGCCATCTCTTCTACCTCCTTAGTTTCCTGCTCCCTCTGGGAGTATGAGCAGGTGGTGCAGGCATCACCAAGCTGTGCACAGGCTGCAGCCCTTCCTGGAGGCTCCAGGGGAGCATTCCTGATCCTGCCTTTTCCGGCACCCTTGAGATCTAGACAGATCTTTCCTCTTGCAGAGTACTTCCTGGGAGCATTACCTCCCAGTTGCCAGCGAAGAACCTCATCCTAAAGTAAACAAACCTTTAAAGACCACAGGAGCCCTCCCCCTCTCTGGAGCCCCCCCCCCCCCAGCCTTCCGTCCCCACCCCAGGCGTCTTCTCCACAGGCACGTTTACCGCCTTTGACTTCCCCCTCCTCAGCTCCAAGCAGCCTTCTTTTGTTGCTGTAACTTGTTTCCTTGGCCCATTTCTTCCATGGCTCCCTTTTATTATGTCTTTAACTTTCCTAAACTTTCTTTTATAATTTGAAAAGACAAGATCACTTTAAAGTAGTCAATACATGGTCATATTGTGGAAATTACAAATAACTGTACTTGTTCTGTCTTAATGTTATGCAAAGAATTCTTGTGGTTTGGAGTAATTTCCATTGAGAGCATTATATACAGATTCAATATGTAATAGATTATAGATTCAATCTATAGTAGGTTATAGATTCAGTTAAAATGTCAAGAAACCTAAATAAAATGTTGATACTGAGCTCTGGAGAACTCTCGGATAATTCCAAGAGGTAGTTCTAAGGGTGGTGCAGTTACTGATATCAGTGATTCAGGTGATGATCTTGAATGAGAATTTTTTTAATGTAATGATAATGCAGAAAACTAGTATTTCTCATCTTTCAGATGTAAAGTTGATATCCTACATTTATTGTGCATTGTGTTCAGTATTTCTTCCTTTAAAACATTCAACAATGTGTGTAATCTCTCTCCGACCTATTAGTCTTCGTCTTCCCTGTATGGTAAGCCCTCTGATGCTGGAGCGCTCGCCTGCCTTCCTCCCAGTATTTGAGGAGCGATCGTGCCAGTGTTTTTTTATCTCATGGCCACTGTTCCTTGAATGCATTTCATCTTCCCCATTTAAAATTTAGTGTATTATAAACAATTGTAATTTTTAAAATCTAGTGTAATTTTTGTTAAAAGTTGTAATGCCTAATAAGTAGACATTGTATTTGGGAGATTTTAGGTGGGGGGATTAGTGGGGACTGGGATCCTAGGCTCCATTTTGGAAGTTTTATTTAATAAGCATACTCATTGGGGTATTTACACAATATGGTTCATTTTTTTCCTTTTTAGAACTCTGGCTAGATAATAATCTCAAAATGTGGCACCAAGATAATCAACACAAGCTTAAAAGCATGGAGAGAGGCCATGAATATGATGTTTTGGGTAAAATATTTCATTCAAGCATTAACTTTGTTCATTTAGGAATGAGACTCTGTAAAAGTGGCACTGGTGAAAAAAGTCTGAATCATCCTTTTGATTTTCTTCTTCAAAAAAACAACTGTGGAAGAAAGAAACTTGAGCTCAATAAAAAATTGTTATTCTTTATCGAAACTGACAGAACCAATGGTGGAATAAAGTTCTGTGATTGCAGTAAATGTAGAAAGAGCAGCAGTAAAGAGTCATGGCTCATTGCAAACCACATAACACACAGAGGAGTCTATTTGTGTGTGGAATGTGGCCGAGTTTTTAACAAGAAGTCACAGCTCATCATACATCAGAGAGCTCACACAGGGGAGAAGCCCTACGGCTGCGGCGAGTGCGGGAAGGCCTTCTCCCAGAAGTCACTGCTCACTCTCCATCAAAGGACTCACTCAGGAGAAAAACCGTACGGGTGTGGTGAATGTTCCAAAGCTTTCAGTAGGAAGTCACTGCTCATTTTACACCAGAGGACGCACACAGGGGAGAGGCCCTACGGCTGCAGCGAGTGTGGGAAGGCCTTCAGCAGGAAGTCGCAGCTGAAAAGACACCAGAGAACCCATACAGTGGAGAAGCCCTATGGCTGCACTGACTGCGGGAAATCTTTCTCCCAGAACTTAAAGCTCATTACACACCAGAGAACACACACCGGGGAGAAGCCCTATACATGCAGTGACTGCGGAAAAGCCTTCTTCTGGAAATCCCAGCTCATTACTCATCAGAGGACTCACACAGGGAAGAAACCATATGTGTGTGGTGAGTGTAAAAAAGCCTTCAGCAGGAACTCGCTCCTCATTAGACATCAGAGGATTCACACAGGGGAGAGACCCTATGAATGCAGTGAATGTGGGGAAGCCTTCATCAGAAAACCACAGCTTGTCAGACATCAGATAACTCACACAGGAGAGAGGAACTACCAGTGCAGTGACTGTGAAGAAGCCTTCTTTAAGAAGTCAGAGCTCGTTAGGCATCAGAAACTTCATTTAGGTGAGAAGCCCTATGGATGTATAGAATGTGGGAAGACCTTCTTTGGGAAGTCACAGCTCCTCACACATCAGAGAACTCACACTGGAGAGAAACCTTTTGAATGCAGTGAATGTGGGAAAGCCTTCACCCAGAAGTCCAGCCTGATATCCCATCAGAGAACTCACACAGGTGAGAAACCCTATGAATGCAGTGAATGTGGGAAAACGTTCAGTGAGAAATCAAGTCTCATTCACCATCAGAGAACCCATACTGGAGAAAAGCCCTTTGAATGTAGTGAATGTAGGAAAGCTTTTGCCTGGAAGCCACAGCTTCTTAGGCACCAGAGAATTCATACAGGGGAGAAACCCTATGCATGCAGTGAATGCGGGAAAGCCTTTGTTCAGAAAGTGCAGCTCATTAAACATCAGAGAAATCACACAGGAGAAAAGGCCTATGGATGCAGTGATTGTGCGAAAGCTTTCTTCGAGAAGGCACAACTGATCATACATCAGAGAATTCATACAGGAGAGAGACCCTATAAATGTGGTGAATGTGGGAAGTCTTTCACCAGAAAGTCGCACCTTATGAGACATCAGAGACTTCATACAGGAGATAAATGCTATGGGTGCAATGAGTGTGGGACTACCTTCAACAAGAAGTCACAGCTTGTGATCCATCAGAGAAATCATGTAAGATAGAAACCACATGAGTGCAGTCAGTATGGAAAGCCTGCTAGCAGATGTCTTGCCTCCTGATACTTCTGAGGACACAGAGGAGAGAAACTATCAATGCAGTGACTGTTGGAAAAAATTTTTATTAGACAAGTGTCACTAAACAGAATTCAGAAAGAGATTTGTTTTTTTAGTAGACAATACAAAAGCCTTCTCTCAGAAGACAAACTTATTATACATTGATAAGTTATGTGTCAATATTGTAACAGTACAGAACCTTTTGGTTAAAAGTGAAAGCTCACTGAACATTTAGAAGACCTAAACAGGAGAAAAACTGTATTGTCATAGCGAGTGAGAGAAAGATTTCATTAAGTAAGGATAACTCACAGTATACTAGAGAATATACATAGGGGAAATATTGAGTATGTCCATAGAGGTTTCAGATGGAGGAATAGTTGTAATAATTCAAGGTAAGCATGATCCTATTGAAATAATTCTATAAAGCAACTGTTTATTGTATATAAATTATATAAAAGATGGTCATTTTTAAATGGTAGATGTGTTTTAAGTGAAGCTTTCTTTCTGCCATGGTGGCAGAACAAATAGATTAACTCTCTTGCCTTAAACAGCTAAAAGCTGTACAATATATATGAAATAATGGTTTTTAGACATACAAGCCCGGGTTTGTGATGCATGGCAGAAGGCAGACAAAGTGGTGGCAGTTTCTAGGCTGCAGTTCAGGGAAGGTAACAGACGTGGTATGGCTGAACTGAGTAGAATTGTTGAATAGGCGTTTTGGGAGGCCGCCACAGCTAGAACGTGCAAGGGAAAGTACTGGGAAACAAGCAGCTTCTTAGGGAGAGGACTGCAGAAGTCTACGAGGCATCCCCTGGAGTCTTTAAACTTAGTGCCAATTTGCATATTGGTGAAAAGAAAATTCCTGAGATCAGATAAAGTAGGACAGAAAGCAGGAGGCTAAACAGTTCCTAGAACTCAGTGCAGCGCTGAGAACAGTTCCTACCAGCCAGAGGGAAGCAGCTTTTATCACAGGGGACATCATGTAGAATTCGCAGACAGCTGCTGCCTTGGCGGTGATGGTAAGTCACATCAGATTAAAAAATGCTCTGGACCCACAGTGTCTGGCATCTAAAAACTCACTGGCATGCAAAATAGCAGGAAAATGTGGCTTATAACAAGTAGAAAATTGGTAGACAGAGACCTAGAAAAGACTGAAGTGGTTGGAATTAGTAGACAAGGATGTTCATATAACTATTATATAGAAGAAAGCATGAATTTGATGGAAGCCGAAGTGGAAGATATATTTTTTAAAGCCCAAATGGTACTTCTCAGGATGAGAACATCTTAAAATTTAAAAATAAATGGTGCAATTAACAACAGATTAGATGTAGAAGAACAAAAAATAACGAGCTTGAAGAGTGAAAAAAAAAAAACTATCCAAATGATGTACCCGGAGAAAAAAGACAGACGGCAGAGAATGGTTACAGTGTGTAATATACATGTGATTGGAGTCCCAGGAGAGAAGGGAGAAGCAGCAAAAGAAAGTATGTGACTAAGTAATGGCTGAAAAAATTCCACATATGTAAAAAGTATATCTCCACATATTCAAGCAGCTCAAAAAACAAAGAAAATCATGCCAATGGACATCACGTCAATTTGATGAAAACCTGTATGAATAATAAAGAACCCAAAGAGGGGGAAAAAGGACAGAAAGGATGTCAGCTCACTCCCAGCCAGACACTGTGCGAGCCAGAGGGCAATGGAGTAACATCTGCGAATTACTGGAAAGGGGTGCAAAACCTTCACCCTAGAGTTCCATTACCCATTAAAGATGAAAGCAAAACAAGAATAAAAAAAGAGAGAGAGAATTTATATCCTGTAGCCCTGCCTTCAGGAAACATTAAAAGAAGGTTGTGGTGAGCAGAAAAATAACACGAGGTGACAATCCGGGTCTGCAGGAGGAAGGGGAGCGTTCCAGAGATGGCGGTTATATGGGTAAATATGAAATACATTTTTCTCATTTTAAAATCTTTTTAAGAGGTAACAGCTGTGCTCTGGCTGGTGTGGCTCAGTGGATTGTTGGCCTGTGAACCAAAAGGTCACCAGCTTGATTCCCTGTCAGGGCACAGGCCTGGTTTGCAGGCCAGGTCCCCAGTTGGAGGCCTGCAAGAGGCAACCGACTGATGTATCGCTCACTCATCAATGTTTCTCTCCCTCGCTTTCTCCCTCCCTCCCCTCTCTCTAAAAATAATAAACTCTTTAAATAAATAAATAAATAAATAAAAGGTGACAGTCCTACTTACAGCCAAAGCAATGACAATGTATTTTGGGTTATGAACTATTTAGAAGTGTTTGACCACAACAGTACATAAGTGTGAACCTTTAAAAACAGCTGAATAGACTGCATCACCTGAGTCAAAAGCCTGTTTGCTCAGGGCTCAGAGTGACTTGCATTTGTAGCAGCTGCGTGAAGCTGTTATGTGTGTTGTGCATCTGTGCGTGCGCTGGCTGTTCTCGGTGTCCCCTGTCCATTCTCCCCCCCCCTGCTCTGTGTCCCCGGGGCCGTCCTGCAGACCGCTTGGCTCGGGTTTCCGCTCAGGCTGAACACGGGAGGCACCTGTGTGAGAGAAGCATGGGAGGCAGCAGGCTGGAGTCCGCACTTGCCCCTCCTGCTGGCCCACCGCGTGGCAGAGTCTCTCCCGGTGTCGCGGCCGTGCCCGGTGGGCGCCTCAGCTTTAGTTTGTGACATCCCCCTCCCCCCTCTTCAGGCTGCTTCCCCTGGTTGGTTTCCTTAATTCCAAACACACACTGTAAATAGTCCCTTCGTCAAATGTTCTTGAGCTAATACTTTCAGTGCCATGTGCTACATGATGAGCATCAGTTACTAGTACTTGAGTCCAAGGGGGCACAGATGGACAACTATCAAGATTTCCCACATTAAATATCAATATTTTGTGTTTTAACAACTCAGTAGAAATTACAGCTAATATCAAAGTGTGTTTTGTTTCGTTTTGCTACAACTGGGAATGCTCAGAAGGTTGCCACCTATGCGAGTGGTCTGGCAGCTGCTATCCTCCTTCAATAATAACACCAAGATATTTATGACCTCTCATGCTATTTCTGGGTTAAGCAAACAATGTATAAGAAAGCAGTGTGTTAATTATGTATGTGTAAGAAAAAACCCATTGTGTGAAGAAAGGAGTGATGGACTGTACTTCCCAGTACTCCTTTTTAAAAATTGTGCTGGGCAATCAAACATCCTCATTCCATATTCCGCCATTTTTATTCTGTGTAATTCATTGTCTGTAACCACAGACAAGATTTTCACTTCCGTAGTCACACTTACTATAGAGAAGCTCCTCAAAGGCGCCACGCGTTACCGTCCCAGACTACGTCAGAGCATCGACCCTGCCCGGGCCACACGCGTGTTGCTGCCCTCCCCACCACGGGAAGCGCAGTGAGTGTGGCCGCAGAAGAGGCCCGACACCGGCAGCGCCGTCCGTCCGTCGTCAGACGTCTCTCTGCCATCTCACCTTCCTGCACCTTCGCCAGCACACGAGCCTCATTTAAAGGGCGAGAACTGCCTTCCAGCTGCGTGCACAGCAGTGTCTTCTCTCCCACTTGGTTCTGCACCTCAGTCTGCTTGTTGAAGGAGCTTTTCATGCAGGTTTGCCTTCTGTGTAAGGAGGCACCATTCACAGTGCAGTCTGTGTAAATCAGCTCATGTATCACTCTGGCCCGGACTTTACGGAATCAGCTAGTGAGTGAAATAAAAATTCTGAGAGTTGGGCATGATTGGAATACAGCTTGGTGACAGCCCCCTGCGACGGTCTGTGTGTGATGGTGAAGTGGTTTCCACCGCCAGGATGCTCCCTGCCCCATTTACGCCACGTAGAGAAGGGACATTATCTTAAGACATTTTATTTATCTCGTGATGTCTGTCTGCAACTTAGAAGCAGGCAGTGTAACAGCTCAAGACCAGCTCAAAAGAATATAACTGAACTACAGCTAAAAAATGCTTTCCCTGTGTTGCTGTTTCCTCCCATCATCTCACGGACCTTAAACATAGTCAATTTGTCCTGAGGCCCAATCTGTGGGTTTGGAGGCGCCATCTGATTGTTCTTTATTATCCTTGCGGGGTTTTTGGAATCTGGATCAGACATTACTCATTGTATCCAGGTAGTGTTGACCTCTTGTCATTGAGGCTTACTTACAGAATTCTAATATTAAATAAACACAAGATGCTAAACTTACTTTATACTGAAATTGTTATGTTTAGGTATTTATCAATGTGTAGATTGTTAAAGGTGCCCAACAAAGACAATGTAGCGATAGAGTAGTCACTGCTGAGATGCTAGGAAGAGAAATACAAGTGACGTTTATAACTGGAGGTTCTCATCTAAAGCGTTCCTACCATAGAAATTATGTATTTAAAAGAAATCAAGCTCAGACTCCCACAAAGACGACGGAAGCAGATTGACTTTCTGGTGTTTGCTATGATCACGGGACAGGGGAGTGTTTCCACCCCAGGTGACTGCCCTGCCGCCACCCAGATGGCTGGGCACGTTCACCCCAGGCCGAGGCCCCAGGCCAGCTCCAAGGGCATAAGCGAGCTCCACACATTCATCCTGCTGGGTGCAGTGGTGGCACGAAGTGGAATGTGTCGAGTGACGGTGCCCGAGGTCTGGGGCCGGCTGTGCTCCCCACATGAGAATGGGGTCAACAGCTGAAAACAGAGGTCAGGCTGCTGCTCCTTCAGTGAGGTACCACCTCTGTTAGCTGCTGACGTTTGCTCCCTCCGACGGTGCGTCTCGGAGTCGGGGGGCTGCCCCAGCTCGGACCTGTTGCCAACACTTCCCTTGGTGCTGTACTTAAAAAGAAAACTTCTGTGCCCACGTGTTCACTGAGTAAACTGTTTGATGAGTTGATACGTGTGAGTGTGATCATTACGAACAATAAGCTCTGGCTTCCATTCCAGCTTGGTTTCCCAAACCTTATCTGAAGTCTTACCACTTTGCAACGTGGATGATCAGATACCCCTAAAACATCAAGTGAAAAGCACCTCACGATCCATTTTTGTTGGCGGTATTGACTTAACATCCCACCAAGCCCTTCACTCACCTGGCTGGGGTCTGGCATCTGGGCAAAGGAAAACTGCTTTTTTGCAAACTAAACTTGGGGATTCCCTTAATTGTCTGTGGCTTAAAAGAGTAGAATACTTGCAGCTTAGCCATACCAAATATAATTTCCAAAAAAGTAGAGATGAGGCACAACGTGTAAGGTTTAGCCACACCTACGCTGTGCCTTCTGAAGCCAAGCGTCTGGGTAGGACCACAGACGGTTAAGAGCTGGAAACTCCATCGATGTCACCTAACGCAAAACCCTCTTAAACAGATGGGCAGTGTCTTGCCAAAGGTCACAGGGTGGCGGTGTGATCCCACACCCCCGGTCCAGTGCTCTGCCTGGGGACACACAGCTGCCCTCGGCGCTCTTTCCGCTCTGAATGCCTTCCACCTGCTGCCGCACACACACACACAGCCAGTTCCCAGCTTTGATTAATGCCTGAGTGTGGGTGCTAAATTGCATGTTTTTGCCTCGCTGAGAGGGTTTCCTATGGAAGGACTGAGAAATCGTGAACTCGCGTTTGTTAATGCAGCGGTACCTGCGTGTGTGCAGGGGTGGGGTGCTTGAGCTACATGAGCTCTGTGCTAGCACTTCACTTTTTTAGGCTTTTAGCAAGCGCATCACTAACTCTAAGGTGCTTTGACATACCAAGGCCACTCAGCTGCCAGGTGGCAGAACCCCCCCATCTCCCTAGAAATGAAGCACTCTTTATGAGACTACTATTACTCTGTAGTTATCCCTGTTCAAAACAGCACATTTCTCCGAGTAGCTCAAAACCCTTACATTTACGATATTTCACAGACTAAAGCTAGGAAGACTGAGGGGTCTGAAAAAGTCAGAAGCACAAGAGGCATGTCTCATTCGCATTACTAGTTATTTTACTACTGTGTAGTTTTCAACAAATAAAGCTTTTGGGGGCTCCAGTTTCCCAATTGGTAAAATTAGAGTGGGACTGTGGTAATCTCACAGAGTCTGGTCCATCCATCCTGTTCCTGGGCCCGCAAACCATGGCCCGACTCTCCTTCCTGCAAGTGTGATTGTCTGACCCACTGACCACAGCTATGTTCTGTCCTTCTGGACACAGTGACCGCCCAGGCTTTGAGTGTGCGGCTCAAGTGTATTTACCAAGATAGCGTGAAATGGATCCTGGAGAGCAGTGGCCTCCTCTAGATTTGAAAACTGGAAAGCGGAGCTGATCTTGGTCATCCTCCCTTCTTGTATGGAGAACTGATCTTCAGGATAAAGGATCCTGAGACCTAGAATGAAGAGAAGCAGGAAAATGAGCATGTAGGGAAAACGTCTCGGTGCTGTCCTTTGAGGTATGGTCTGTTTGTCCATTTTTCATGATTGTCCATTGACCAAAGAATGTATTTAATCTATCAGATGTTTTCTGATTTTCATACAATGTTTCATGTTCTGTATAACGGATATAAAACAAGAATTCCTGTCAGTTAAACAAATAGGTTGATGTTTTAAATAAAATTGGTTGTGTGTGAAATACAGTCTGAACAGCACCAGGGAAAAGAACTTGGCACAGGCACTGCACTGCTTGGAGGTCCAACCGCGACTGCACCTGCATCTTCCTTCCTTTGTGGCTGCCGCTCTAGTTGTCTTGGAGCCATTTGCCTCTCGACAATGGAAATTTATTTTTGCTTACATTTTAACAAATATACGTTCCCTAATTTCATTACCTGGTATTTCCACAAATACGAAAACTGGGGAGGTTTTTTTTTTTAGACTTTATTTATTTACTTTTAGAGAGAGGGGAAGGGAGGGAGAAAGAGAGGCAGATAAACATCAGTGTGTGAGAGGTATCAGCTGCCTCTTCCAAGGCCCCCGCCGGGGAGCTGCTTGCAGGCCTGTGCCCTGTCCGGGAACTGAGCCATTGACTTTCAGTTCACAGCCCAGCATTCAATCCGCTGAGCCACACCAGCCAGGGTGGGACCTGGGGAGGGGTTTGTTTTTGGAGAAATTTTTTAATACTTTACTAATCGGTCATCTCCACATTCGCATTCTATGGATTTTCTCATGGTCAACAAACTGATTCAAATGACATTCCAGCACATAAACAGAAAAATCTCTGCAATACTTTGAAACCATGGGTCATCTTAATTTCACCCCGGCCCCTTTTTCAACATTTCTTCCACTTCTTTCTTTGACAGGCAGGAATAGCTTTTAATCTCATTGGGATCTGGATTCAAAGTCGTGTTCTTCCTCACAAACAAAACGTAATCTATTTCGTGTTCTTCCCAGATACTATCAGACTGAGCCTTGTAGTGAATTTGGGTCAGATAATTAATTTCTTCTGGAGGAACCTGTTCCATGGGACCCCTGTTTCAGCCTTTAAATGCCTGGGGCTGCTCGCCTTATTCCAATTGCTTCATTTTCTTCAAGCTCTCATGGGTTACTTACAGGATGAGCACAACAACTACTGGTAAAACAATGTGGAAAAGTAATTTTAGCATCTGATCTCTGTTGTAATAGGAGCTTATTTTCAGTGTTTAAGAAGACACTAAAAGCTTGACGCAATAATCCTTTCTCAATGTTTTCATTCAGGTGACAATTCTTTTTGGTCTTGGCCCCAATTTATTGTCATTTTCATCAATGAGAATACGTATCTCTGCCAGGAGCTGACCCTGTTGCTTATCGAGATTGTTGGTGTTGATTTCAGGTATTTTTACAAAATGTCTGATCTGTCCTAGAATCCTGAGTCTGCACACTTGAGATTTTTTATAGGCTACAAAATTATCAGTTTTTATATGGGCAAAAACTATATCGCCACCTTTCGCCTAGTGCCTGACTTACTGGTAATAATGGCCAAGGTTATGGGTGAAACTTCGTACGTGTGTAATTTTGAGACCCCCCCCCCACCCCCACCCACCGCGTGTGCAGCCAGAGCCGTGGTCCCAGCTGGGGACTTGGGAAGAAGCCTGACTGCTGTTTCGACAGCACGGCTTGTCCACGTTGGGGAAGTTCTAACCTGCACACACACATCCCCTCCAGCTACCCTTCAACTGTCCCCTTCAGCTAGTGACATGCTGTGGACACAGAACATCCTCTTCTGTCACTGATTCACCGCTTAGTCAGTGAATTTTAAATTCCCTCAATAATGTTGTTGCTACAGTCAGTAGAACACCTTCCTCCCCCATCTATGGTTTGATCGTTTTTGGTGAGGCTGAGAAATGGACTGGACAAGCAGGGCTGACGCTTATTAAGCTTCCAAGAGCAACACCCAAAGCTGCATTGCAGACCTGGCAGTTTGTAAAATAGGACTTAAAAAAAAAATCCCTCTTGGTCTCCCACCAGGTTGCAGAAAAATCTATTGCTACCATAAGATCGTCACCGATACCGCAAAGTGACAGAAAAGAAACCTGCAGGAAAGTTACGGCCACTCATGTGTCCTCCCTGCATCTTTAAGTTGAAGATTGAATTATACACACTGAGTTATTACTCGAATGATTTATGAGCAAAGCCTTAAGACTACAGTATATATCTGATGTATGTATACACACATGTACATACAATGGATTATCAGCCATGAAAAAGAACAAGAGCTTGCCATTTGCGGCCACATGAACGGACCTAGAGGGTATAATATTCAGTGAAATAAGTCTAAGAAAAACGAATACCATATTATTTCTCTAATATTTGGAATCCAAAACAAAACATAAATGCACCTCATAGACCCAGAGAACGGACTGGTGGTTCCCAGAGACGGGTTGAGGGATGGCTGAAGTGAATGAAAGTGGTTAAAAGGTACAAATTTCCAGTTATAAAGTAAGTCATGGGGATGTAATGTTCCGCATAGTGACTATAGATAACAATACTGTATTGAATAATTGAAAGTTGGTAAGAGAATATATATTAAAAGTTCCCATTATATGAAAAAAAAGTGTATGGTGACGAATGTAACTACACTTACTGTGATCCTTTCACAACAAATATACCTAAAACTAATAAGATGTTTTATGTTAATTATACTTCAATTTTTAAAAAACAGTGCTGTATATAATAGCTTCAAAAACAAAATGAGACCCGTGTAAACAGCCATATTCAAGATTAATGATTAACTATAAACTGCTTGATTATGGTAACTAACATAAGTGACTGAAACAACCTTCTATTTTATTTAAAGGTGGTGTTGTGTATGGACGTATCTGTGAGCTCAAAAGTGAAGAGCTTTCCCCGAAAACCGCTCAGTACATTCAAGACAATTCACCACGGGAAATAATAGTTTTTCTCCTTACAGAAAATCACAAACGTACAGTCTGCAGAACTAACACCATCAATGCACAGGTACCCACTAATTATAGATGTAACAATTGCCTCTGTTTTCCCTATCTTCTCATATTATTCTTTAGCTAAAGCATTTTAAAGAAAATTATAACGATGACATTTCGACCCTAAGTAGTACTCTCTCTAAAGGAACATTTTCCTACATAATCACGATACTGTAACTACACCCAAGAAAATCAACAACGACCTCATATTGTCAATAGCTCAACAGAGAGCATTTCTCAAGAACTTACTCTTGTAAAAAGGGAATCACTGTACCCGGGATACAAGCCGGGGGCGGCGAGAGATACGTAAATATTTAACCATTTACCAGAAAAGGAAAGACTTCCTTCTGCGTAAAAGAAAAAACTAAGACTCCATCACACCGTAAGAGGAGGCAGCACTGACCTGAAACTACTCCCTGTAATGGGGCAGAAATGAATCTCGAGCTCTAACGTGTGTCTTGTCTTCCGGGAAACGTGTCAGAGCCGATGAACCTCGCGTGCACCTGGGCACTTCCTAGGCGGCTTTGAAAACTTGTGCGGGTGCCCAGCCCCCAAGAGACTCCATCCCTTTTGCCCGGGCGTAACAGGACGCCGCCGGCGGCTACTTCCCGGATCTGCGACGACGCAGAGGTCCCGGCCAGTGTCAAAGATGGCGCCCGGGCCCCCTGCGCACGCGCCGTCGGCTCGCACACGCCCACTCCAGCCGCGGCGCTCGGTGGGCGCCACCGCCAGCCAATTGCAGGGCGTGAACCTCGCTGGCCCGCGAGGGCTGTTGACAGCGTCTGCGGCGGCGGCCGGTTCCGGGTTCAGAGGAGGCTGCACGCGGGAGGCGTGCGGCGGGGCCATCCGGGTTTCAGCAGATGTGAAGCGAATGGAGCAGCCGCCTCAGCAGCCGTGGGGGAGGCTCCTCCGCCTGGGCGCTGAGGAGGGCGAGCCGCCTGTCCTCCTGCGGAAACGGGAGTGGACCATCGGGCGGAGGAGAGGTGCCGGCGGGGGTCGGGACGGAGGCGGGGGTGGAGACGGGAGTCGGGGACCAGGAGCCGGGGACAGGGTGGGGTCAGGGGCGCCGGGGGCCGGGGTGGGGCCGGGATGGGGACGGAAGTTGGGGACCCGGAGCCGGAGCCGGGCCGGAGGCCGAGGGGCCGGGGTGGGGCTGGCATGGGGACGGGAGTCGGCGAGGTGGGGTCGGGGTGCGGACGGAGGCCGCGGACCGGGAGCCGGGCTAGCCGGGCCCGCCGGTTGTGAGGAACAGTTTTCCCCGGGAGAGCGGCCATTTACTCCTGGGGTGCGCCCCGCCGCTTCGAGTGCCTCCTGCAGATGGTTCAGCCCTCGGGAGAACTTTACGCAGGAGGAGCGCCCGTTTGAGCCCCGGGTGCTTCGGCTTCACGGCTGCGCTGAGCGCTCCTCTGACCTCCGTGGAGTGAGGGCAGTCAGGACGGGGGAGTAGCGGGAGAATTCCCAGCTGCGTGGAACTTCAGGTGACACGCTCTCCCGCGGGAGAGGGGGCAGGTGGGAAGAGTCGCCGCGGGGAAGTGAGAACACAGCCCAAGATGAATAAAAGGAAAATAGGCGAAAACGCACGGGGTGCAGCTCAAGCAGTGCTCCCAGGGAAACCTGCATGGCGGCGGGCCCCTCATTTGTCCCCTCAAAGTCGCAGCTGCGACGACCTTTGAAATACTGGGTTGGCTAAAAAGTACGTTGTGTTGTTGTTGTTGTTGTTGTTGTTGTTTGTTTTTCCGTAAGATGGCTCCAGTAGCACTTAGTTGTCTCTAACTTCACTCGAAACAACTGTGTTAGGTTGTATTGTGTCAGTTGTCCCATCCCGTGCATTTTTAAAAACTTAATCAAAATCGGTAAATTTTTGTGTAGCCATCTTAATAGTGACGAGGAAACAAAATGTGCAGCATTTTTGGCATATTATGCTTTATTATTTTAATAAAGGTAAAAACGCAACTGAAACGCGAAGAAGAAAAAAAAAGATTTGCGCAGTGTTTGGGGAAGGTGGTGTGACCGGTCAAGTGTGTCAGAAGTGGTTCGCGAACTTTCGTTTCCTGCCGGGGACCGCTCCCTGGACGACGGGTAGACCAGTTGACTGAAGTTGAAAGCGACCAAATTAAGACATTAATTGAGAACAGTCTGCATTATACCCCGTGGGAGGTAGCTGGCCTGCCGAAAATGGCCCCATCAATAGAGTTATTCGTGGAAATGGAAAATGTGTCTTTTACTGGAAGAACCACATGGGCTCTCGGGCCCACCCAGTGTTTGCTGGTGTGGGGGCCCCGGGAGCCGCCGCCTGGGGTGCTTTCCCGCGGGGAGAGGGGTCGGCCGAAAAATACTTGGTTTGGACACTCTGACTGGATACTTTACACAAGAGAAGAGAAAGATTACAGTTTAAAAGCAGATGCTTTTGGTTTCATTTTACTCCTTCTGATGGGCCTGCAGCTGTTTTTGTTTACCGGGGTTTTTTGTTTGGTTTGCTTTTTTGTTTTTTGGTTGTCTTAAATCCCAATATCAAGCTAACTTTTTTACAACTGTGGAAGTGCTTGCGTAGCATTAGAAACTTTTGAAAAACAAGCTCATTGTCTTTAACTGAGGCAGTTGGAAGTCTGGTGAGGAGAGAAGCCGGGAGGCAGACTGCGCCCCCCCCCCCCGCCCCCCGGCCGCTCCGGGTCCCTGCTGTGTGCTGCCTCCCTACCTTTCTGTGCTTCGCACCTGCGTCTGGGTCGCAGGGAAGGTTAAGTGAGGGATCCCCTGTGTGCAGTGCTTAGCAGAGGCCTGACCTAGACTCAGCGCTTAACGTTAGCCATTGTTATAATAACAGTATTTTACACGTTTTACAGGGAGCAAAAATGTGATGTTGAGTTAATCTGCTTCTTAATAGAAGTTCTTCCCTTGAATGCATTGAACTTTCCAGCAAAACCTAAAGTAACAAAACCTGAAGTATCAGTAACTCGCATCAGGCTGCTGTAACAAAGCACCACAGACTGGGCAGCTTACGCAGAAACTCATCTGTCAGGGTCTGGAGTCTGGGAAGTCCCAGATTAAGGTGCCAGTCGGTCTCCCGTCGAGAACCCTCTTCCTGCACAGCTGCCTTTTCTCTGTCCTCATGGGCTGGACAGACAGCCGTGGTGTCTCTTCCTGTCCCTGTGAGGTCACAGGCCTCTCAGATTGGGGCCACCCTCACTCCCCACAGGCCTGTCTCCAAATACAGGCTCATCAGGGCTAGGGCGTCAGCACATGAATTTGAGGGGCACACAAACATGCCATAAGAGCTGTAGGACTGTACTAAAAAATTACACACCTGCTATGTACAAGGCATTGTTTGGGGTGAAGGGGAGAGCCCAGCTGATGTGTGGCAGGGGGGATGAGGACCTCCCCTTCCCAAACAGATCCCATTTGGGGGAGCGGCAGAAGTGTGCGGCAGCCGCGGGGGAGAGGTACCCAGCTGAATGACAAGCACGGCCCACGCCAAGAGCAGGAAGCTGAGCACACAGTGTCTCAGTTCCAAACTAGAGTGGTGACGTTGTGGTGTGCAGAGCCTGTTCAAGACCCACAATGGTGACGGTGTGACCCGTGCAGGGTCTGGGCCTGGCGGAGATGCTCAGTGCAACGGGGACATCTGGAGCACAGGTGAAATGCACCTGGACAAATGTCACAATGCTTCCCGCGCTGTAGAACGCTGGTGCAAATAAGAGTTGTAATACTTGAGGTTTATAGAGGTGCGGTTCACACATGGTAAAATCTACCCTTTTGGTGTTTGATGAGTTTTGAGAAGTAGCACCACCATGACTCACCCCAGGAAATTCCCTGGTGGCCTTTTGAAGTCATTTCCCATCCCTGAAGTCCAGTTCCTGGCAACCACCAAGCTGATTTCTGTCCCTGTACTTCTGCCTTTTCCAGACTGTCTGCATGGAATCACACACTATTCCACTGTCTTTGGTGTCCGTCTGCTTTCTCTCACATGAAGCTTCTGAGACCCACCCTTTGCTCTTGTGTATCTGTTGTTTGTTCCCTTCTATCACTGAGTAGCATTCCATCGTTCAGATGCACCACCAGTTGATGGACACTGTATTGTTTCCCGCTTTAGGTTATTAAAAATAAACCTGTAACTATAACATACACACCTATTGTAAGCACATTAATAATTAGATGTAAAAACCTCCTGGAAGCTTTTATCCTTTAGATTTAAGGAGAGACAAACTATCTGAGGATTCTCTCTTTGCATTTAATGAGGATATAGGATTGTGTTTAGCTATAACTGCATCTAATTTCTGTTTTTAATTTTCTTAAACATGTACATGTGCCTGTGATAATTTCCTCAGTCATATATTCTGTGACTCTGTCATTGCTTCAGTTTTGTATGGTTTATGAAACTTTAGCTTACACAGAGAAGAAATTGAGTAAGTTACAGTACTGAAGAATCACATAACTAAACCCCATAGTATTTTTTAAGTTTTACACTAGTTTTCAGTTGAGCTGCATACATGTGCATATTGTGTAGTTGTCGCCTAGAAGCTGCTGCTGTTTATTTCCAGGTGTTGGTGGGGTGTCCTGTCCCCTTCATGGGGCATGAGGAAGGTGCAAGACACAGTCCCTGTCCCTTTACTTTGGATTAACTCTTAAATCCTTTAAGAAATTTTCTTTGTACCTTGCTTGATTAGGTGTCTCCTTAAGTGTGGACACCGTGGGCCCTGATTTCCAGTCTCCTGCGAACATGCCCGGGTTAAGCAAAGCGCAGTTTGTGCGTGGTACCCGCAGTCACATTCAGGTGTCCCCCTCTGTGTTTTAGGTTGTGACCTTTCGTTTCCTGGCAATAAACTGGTCTCTGGAGATCACTGTAAAATTATAGTGGATGAGAAATCCGGTCAGGTGTCACTAGAAGATACCAGGTAAGCTCTTTCTGAACAACTTTTCTCTTTCCTTTTGTAGCTTCAGGAGCCTGCCTTGAAGCCAGTGACTGTGGAGAAGAAACGAGGGTTAGTTTTCTGTGACCTGGCAGTTGGCCAGGCCATCAGGGTGTCAGGAAGTACACTTCCTGCTCCCAGCACGGGATGCTCAGTGACAAGTGGGTGTCCGTGAACTTTCTTGAAAGTATTCAAATTAAAGCAACAATATCTTAGAAATAAGATTTAAAAGGAAGTGATACATTATTTTCTTCTTGAAAACCTACTTAATTAGCCCTGGCTGGTGTGGTTCACTGGTTTGAGGGTCGGCCTGCAAACCATAGTGTCGCCAGTTTGATTCCCAGTCAGGGCACAGGCCCGGGTTGCAGGCCCGGTCCCCAGTAGGGGGCCTGCAAGAGGCAACCACACATGGATGTTTCTCTTTCTCTCTTCCCCTCTGTCTAAAAATAACTAAATAAAATCTTTAAAAAAAAAAACACCACAAAACATACTTAATGTAGACTTCTTTCCCCAAAATAAAAAAAAATCTTTCCTTTTAAAAAAATTTTTTATTACTTTTTTACAACATAAAGAGTATGTAAAAGAGGAGAGCTTTGGCCCCGGCTGGTTGCTCCGCCGGTTGAAGCGTTGGCCCAGTGCGCGCACGTACGAGAAGCCACTGATGAGTGCGTGAATAAGGGGAACAACACACCCGTGTTTCCCTCTCTCCCTCTCTTTCTCTCTGTCTAAAGTCAATAAATTTTTAAAAATGTTTTAAAGAGAAGCTTTCTGAAATCCCACTTGCCCATGAAAAATATGTATATATTTATTTTATATTAATGGGGTTTTATTATGTTTACTGTTGTATCTGCTTTTTTCACTTGTCATGTCTCTGGAGTGCTTGACATGTCAGTACATCTAAAACCATCTCATTTTTTTTCATTATTGTTATATAATAACTGATGGGAATTTATTATTTTGCCTTTCCTATAAGTGATACTGCAGTAGTTTTCCAAAACTTTGCATTCCTGTTTCATTATTTCCTTGGGATAAATTTTTGGAATGGAGTGCTGGGTCAGGACGTGCCTATTTTAACTGCTGCAAGTGGCAGACGGCCTTCAGCAGTGTGTGCAGAGTGTCCTTCCTATGAGATGAAGTTGGGGTTTTTTAATATTTTAAGATCTTATTTATTATTAGAGAGAAGGGAAAAGGGAAGGAGAGGGAGAGAAACGTTGCTCTGTGGCTGCCTCTTGCCCAGCCCCCAACCCAGGCCTGTGCCCTGACCAGGAATCGAACCAGCGAGCTTTCAGTTCGCAGGTCAGCACTCAATCCCCTGAGCCCCACCAGCCAGGCCAGGTTTTTGTTTTGTAAAGCCAGGCACTGCGGGGACAGAGACTAGGACCTGGGTCTTCCTTGGAAGCACTGGCACTCGCACCCCGCGTGTCTGGGCTGGCAGGCGAGGTCTGTGTCTCATCACAGGGGCCACGTCGCTCCCCCAGCCAGCCTCCTGCGTCGAGTCCTGGCTCTCCCACGTGGGCCCGGGGGTATCAGCTTCCCGGGCTGCTGTAACAAATTAGTACAAACTTAGCGGCTCAGAACAACGCAAATTCGTGACCTTACGGTTCTGGAGCTCCAAGTTCAACTCAAGTCTCATTGGACTGAAGTCAGGGTGTGGGCAAGGCTGGCTCCCACCGGCTCCAGGGGAGAACCCCCGCCTGCCTTTCCCAGCCCCTAGTGGCCACTGCGTTCCTCGGAGAGGTGCTAGAGGGGAAAGGGGTGTTCCAGGCGGAAGGAACCGCAGGTGCTCGGTGCAGTCAGAGTGAGCGGGGGTGCAGGTCCGGGCAGTGGACCAGAAGCAGCAGGAAGACCCAAGGGCCACGCTCCAGCCTGAGAGCAGCGGGATGTAGCCAGGCGTTCTGTTCAGGAAGAGTGTGCGGGTGGGTTGGGAGGAGAAGCCGCACAGCGCAGGCCCTGGCAGTGTGTGGCTGTGCTGCCAGCGCCAGTGAGCGCGGCTCCCCTGGGGTGCGGCCGCAGCCCTGCGGTGACCTGCTGGCAGAGCCAAGTATTCGGGGTGGAGGCCACGCGGCCTGCACTGCCGGCCGGCGGGCCTGTCGTGCGTCCTGATCTTGTGTCAGAGCTGCACGCGAGAGTCTCTCCTCCGTGCAGGGCTTCCTGTCCCATCTGACTCGGGGCCCTGTCTGCCCCGCCACACCAGCACCTCTCCCATGCAGCAGGGTGTCCCAGAGTAAATGGAGTGACCTCCCAGCTGGCTGGGCCCCAGCTGATCACCCGCTTTTAAGAGAGACCAGGTCTATTTGAGGAACGGACTGGCCCAGGTCGTGGCTCCTGGAGGGAGGGCCAGCCCTGTGGACAGAGCGAAGTGCAGAGGCAGGAGAGCAGCTGGAAACGGGAGCCCAGAGCTGCTGGCACAGGCCCAAGGGCCCGCCCGCGGACCATGGTGCTGCGGGCGCTGGGACGCTGGACCAGCCTGGCTGGCTGCCGGTCTGGTGCCAGGAAGGGAGCGACACCTTCCCTCAAGAGAATCAAAAGGTGGCCCTTGTGGCTCTGCCCTGTTAAATGTGTACATCATTCCTCTGAGTATTTTTTCATTTTCAAGGTGCTAATTTTTTCTTGACATAATTAACATACAGTATTTTATTAGTTTCAGGTGTACATCGTAGTGATTCATTATTTACGCACATTCTGAAATGATCCCCACAATAAGTCCGGTTACCATCAATCACCATACAAAGCTGTCACAGTATGACAGGCTGTATTCTCTACTCCATACATGGCATCCTGTGACTCGCCATTTTATAACTGGAAGTTTATACCTCTTAATCCCTCTCGCCTATTTCAGCGTGCCCCTCAGCCTCTCCTCGCTCTTGTAACTCTTTTGTTTTTTAGATTCTACAGGATCAGTGAAATCACATGGTATTTGTCTTTCTCTGTCTGATTTATTTCACTCATCACAATATCACCTTGTTGACTATTTTGACCTACCAGCCACTAACAACATTCACCAGTTTCTGTCTGTCTGTCTGTCTGTCTATTGACACAAGTGACAATATTTTGTTCTTTTTTACAGCCGAGTCATATTCCATTGTATAGATGCACCACTTTTTCTTTATCTAGTTATCTGGTAGTGGGCACTTAGGTTGCTTCCACATCTTGGCTTTTGCTGTGATCAATATAGGGGTACATGTATCAAAGTGGTAATATTGAACTGCTTTCCTAGTAGTTATAGAAAAAGACATTTTTAACGCCAAGTGACTTTAAGTAGGATAAATTGCATTTTTATTTTCTCTGCAGCGCCGATGGAACAGTAATTAACAAGCTGAAAGTTGTTAAGAAGCAGACTTGCCCTTTACAGACGGGGGATGTCATCTACTTGGTGTACAGGAAGAATGAGCCAGAGCACAGTAAGAGCGAGGCTCCCTGGGCGGACGCGTGGTGCTGCGTGGCAGGGAGGTCCTGCTGTAGCTGGGACAGTTCGTGCAAAGAGTCTCTCTACTGTTTATATTATATAGAGTCTTGGTGTCAGTCGTGTGTCCATTCAAGAGCGGGGCCCAGCCCTTCAAAAACACCCCCGTGGGTATGAGCCCTGAATCTCAGAACAGCAGCCGTGGGGAAGTGAATAGGGAGGGATTGGGTACATAGCAGAAGAAACCTGCGTTGTGGGTAATAAGACCTAGAACGGGGACTGGAGGCCACGGGTGGTCCTGCTTTGCAGACTGGACAGGAGATAGCAGCTTAGACTGGGTTCCATTGGGACTTTTCCAGCTCTGAGTGTCTGTGTCTGGAAGGAGAACGATACTGGACAAGGAGAGTCAGGAAGCTTTGAAAGGTCACCCCCGAGACAGGGAGCGGGGACGGACGGGCCCTGGGCTGCCCGCAGCATCACCACCGCCAGCCACGGCCACGCGGAGCCCGGGCCTGCGCCTTCTGTGGAAGGACAGGAAGGCACAGGCTCTCCGCCTGGTCGTTGCCTTGCCTCCCTTTCATCTGCCTCCTGACACAGAACTTCCTGACTCCAGATGTGTTTTCCTGAGGCGTATGTTAGAGTTGGCTAAGATGTTCTGAGTCATTTGTTTGAAATCCCTGAAACTGGTGAATGTCGTTAGTGGCCGGTAGGTCAAAATAGTCAACAAGGACAAAGTGACTGGGGAAGGGAAAAACGAGCTCTGGCTCAGTGCGCGGGCCCGCCCTGCTCTGACCGGGTTATTCCTTCCAGACGTGGCGTACCTCTACGAGTCTTTAAATGAGAAGCAAGGCATGACCCAGGACTCCCATGGTAAGTGAGCTCCCAGCGGAGCGCTGTCCCCGGTGACGCGGAAGCCTCCCCACCGGCTGGCACGGAAAGCGGCGGCACTCTGAGCCCTGACTGCTCCTTCTGCTGCTTTTGTGCTTACAGCGGCCAGTGAAGAAACCATGTTCCACGTGACCAAAGATACCTCAGGCGCAGGGCAAGGGGATGAGCCCCAGGGCCTGCTGCTGTCGCCCACCACTCAGGCGTGCTTTGCAGAGCCACAGCCATCGACATCGGCATCGGCATCGGCATCGGACCTCTTCCCCCCGGCTGCTGCCTCTTCCGGGGAGCCCCCTGCCGGGCGAGCACCGCCCTCCAGCTCTGGTGAGATGGGGTCTCGGGTGGGGCTGCATCACTCGCTGTTCACTGCTCTGGACCTGGGTTGTCGTGAGACAGATCAGCCGCTCAGGAGCTCAGAGGTGGCGTCAGGCTCTCAGTAGTAAGCGTTCTGTGCAGTAAATGTCCTTGTTCCAGACCCAGGAGGACTGCGGAAGGTCAGAGACCGGCGCCGTGGTGCTTTCTGCCGTTCTCTCGGGATACAATTCACACACCACAAAATCCCCTGGCAGCTACTAATCTGCTTTCTGTCTCTGGATTTCCCTGTTTGGACATTTCGTATAAATGGAACCCTACGTTACATGGCCTTTGTGTCTGTTCACTTTCACTGAGTGTCGTGTTTTTAAGACTCATCTAGAGTAGCATATTTTTTGAAACCAATTTTATATATTTTGGTCCTTATAGCGTGAATTCTTTGCCTTCCTTCCTGGTTACTAGAAAAGAAAAATCATACTATCTAGGTGAAGTATCGTTACAACATGGAAATATGTGTACATTTATTTTCTAAATTGAAGCACACTGTACATATTAGTATTTTTAGCTTATTTTCTTAATTCTTCCACTGTATTTTTCTTCCAGATTATCTTTAGAATTACCTTTTCAAGTTAGAAAAAAAGTATTTCTGAGATTTGTTTTGAAAAGAATTGATGTTTTTCCTATACTCAGAAAAATGCTATTTTCCCCTGTTTTATTAAGCTCCCTGATATTTGTTAGTAAACTTTTACATCCTTTTTCACCTAGTTTTTGGATAATTATTTATCTCTCAAATGCTTGTTTTCTGATTCTTACATTATAGGCCAGTCTGCAGATTTTTTATGGCCAGAAACCCTCTTAAATCTCAGGGAGGGTGTTTGGATGTGAGAAACAGAAAACCTGGCTTCTGGAACAAAGTCCAGAGAAACACAGCCCACCACGGCTCATCAGCTCAAGATGTCACCATACGCTGTCGGCCACATTTTGCCTCTTTGTCCTCTTGCTTTATACTTTGTGGTTGCAAGATGACTGCCACAGCTCCAGCCATCACAGCCACATTCAAAGGCAGGAACCAGCAGAGCCTCCACATCACGAATAATCAGAGAAATGCAAACCAAAATAACAATGAGATGTCACCTCACACTTGTTAGGAAGGCTGTCATCAAAAAGACAAGGGCTAACACATGCTGGTGAGGATGTGGGAAAAGGGAGCCCCATCCCGCCCCGCCGGTGGGGCTGCACGCTGGCGCAGGCACTGGGGGGGACAGTGCAGGCTCCTCATAACACTAGACGTAGATCTGCCATAGGACCAGCAGCGCCACTTCCGAGTCTGTGCCGGAAGGAAGTGACGTGCCTCAAAGAGGCCTCTGTGGTCCCGCGTCCATTGCAGCGTTATTGGAAAGAGCCGAGGTGCGGGGACAGCCAAAACGCCCAGTGATGGCGGAAGGTGGCACACGTGTGTATATGGTTGTAATGGGATATTGATCTGCCGTAAGAGGGCAGCGCATTCATCTACTCCTTGTGTAATTTAAAAATACATAAGCTTAAACAGCAAAACTGTTCCTATAAGCAAACTGTTCAGGTGGAAACTTAGCTCCAATTACATAAACTTAGGGGAATTTTCCTACCTGTGCACCTAAATGTGTACATACTCACAAAATAACCACAGTCGATACGTCCAGGGCGCCTCCTAAATGTGAAGCAGGGGGCCCAGTGCCTTTGTTAGCGTCAGCTGGCCCTCGCCGCGGGCACCGCTGTGAGCGCCATGCGGGAGCGAGGAGCCCGACCGCTAGGGGAAGGCCCCCCGGACCCGGCCCAGGGAGCTGCCGCCTTTCTCCCTTAGCAGGCAAGGCGGTGTGTTTGCAAAACACTCTCAAGTTTTTCCTTTCGGCTGCAGTAGGCCCATTTTTAAAAACAATTAGGAACACAACCATTTGAATATTATAGATTAGTTATGTATTATACAATTACATGATGGAAGTCTTTATAAAGATAAAGGTTATTGGAAAGTTTTTTTTTTACCTTTCTGTCAAATTCATTTCGATTTATGAATCTGCTTCTTGCTCATGAAGACCAGTCCTTCCACCTGGCCGGGCAGCTCAGCTGGTTACCGTGTCGTACAGTAGGCCTAGGTTGTAGGTTCGATCCCCGGTCAGGGCACGTACAAGAAGCAACCAATGTTGCATGAGTAAGTGGAGCAACAAGGTGGTGTTTCTTTCCCTCTCTCTCCCCTCCTCCCTCCCTCTCCTTCTTCTCTCTCCCTTTTTCTCTGCAATCGATAAATTAATTAATTTTTAAAAAACACCAGTACTTTTTGCCAGGAGCTATTTCTCCCTGTTTCCCTTTGTCTCCCTTGGAAAAGTGTTCAACCTCTCTGTCCCCACCTGTCTGTCCTTCCTCTTGCAGTGAGGCCTGCTGCACTCTCGTCTGAAAGGTCTCTCTGTGAACTTGGGTGTCAGCAGTGAGAGAGACAGAGAGAGAGAGAGAGAGAGAGGGAGTGTGTGTGTGGTGACTAGCCCGTGGACTGGCCCCAGTTAGACTGAAGGCTTGAGGCCGATCCCTGTCACAGACGGGTGCGTCTCCCTGCTGCGTGCCCCCCATCCCCACCGAGCACGGTGACCGGCACAGCACGCTTCAGGAGTGAGTGGAAGAGCTGGGTATTCCCTGGAAGCACATGGCATTCTTTCAGGCTGACACTCAGCCCGCTGAGCCACACCGGCCAGGGCCGCGCGTGTCATCTTAGACTGCCTGCGTCTGGGTCGGGTCATTGCAGCTTCACTTCCACGCTCTCTCCTTCCAGGCAGGTGGTTAGAACCTCTCTCATTTGTCTGCCTCACAGCCGTCGGAGGTGCCAGCATCTCCTCGAAAGCGTGTGGTCCACCAGTGACAAGCGAAGACACCTCCAGTGTCCCTTCAGCTGTCCCCAGCAGAGAGGGAACATCCTTTCCTCCATCAGAACCGCAGGATCCGGAGGGTCTGGAGCCTGTTAAGAAGAGAATGAAAGGAGGTCAGAGTCTCACGGTTCCCTGTGCCCTTGGCCCTCTGAGCACTGCAAGGCCCAGCTTGGCCGCAACCTGCCCCGGCAGGGCCTCACCTTCCAAAGAGGCGCAGGATGTGTCTCTGGCTGAGCCTTGTCTTACCCCAGTCTTTTCTGAATGGAATTCAGGCCTCTTCTTTCCTGTTTATTGTGAGGAGGTAGATGGTCTTGATCTGGAAACAGTGCATCCCGAGTTGTATTTCTGTCCTGATAACCACCAGTTCTTAGGAACATGTTATCTCTAAGCTAGTCTGAACCTTCATATCAAAGGTGACTTAGAGAAAAACCTCTACTTTAAAAGACAAAAGTTAAGAAGCCTGTAAAATATACCCGGGCTCATGCGGCAGGACAGTGGCTGTGTGCTCGTCAGCGGCCCACGGGGTGGAGGCCTGACGGGAGGGCCCTGGGGCGGGGCCTCGGGGGCCAGGGCAGGCCTGCCCGGCTGACACAGTTCAAGCTGCTGAGGAGGAAACAGCCACAGGTACGTAAAAAAATAAGGAAGTGTAAAAACAAAACCATTTTTAATTTCAGTAATGATGAAAAGTTGTAGATAGAGGAAAATTAATGATCATTTACTGTATATCACAGGAGTAAATGCTTAAGCAAATAATCCACATGTAATATACTGAGCCAACACTTGGACTACAGTAAATTGGGAAGGAGGCCCAGGGGACAGAACCCTTCCGTACCTTAGATGTCAGGAGAGGGCTTCCGAAATTGACATAAACGTAGCATCGCAGTCAGAAACACCAGGTCCCGGAGAGGAGAAATGGCTAAAACACACAGCAACCCCTTCCTTGGAGGATGGAGCCTGGCAGTGAGGAGAAGGCTGGGCAGAAGGTGCAGCTTCTGTTTTCTTTGAAAAACTTTTAGACTTTTTAACAGTGTGCAAGTTATTTCTTTAAAAATAAATCTATGATTAGCAACACCTGAGAATTACAGGGAAAAAAATCCCACCAGCAGAAGAAGAGAAACAAAGGTTTAAAGCTCCTGGGAATGGCCCTGGCTGGGTCCCTTAGTTGGTTAAAGCATCAGCCCCATACTCCAAGGTCGTGGGTTTGATCCCCAGTCAGGGCACATGACAAGAATCAACCAATGATGACGCATCAATAAGCGGAACAACAAATTGATGTTTTTCTCTCTTCCCCCTTCCTCTGGTAATGTCTGAGAGTCCATACTTTTCAGCAGTTTCCAGTGTATATGAGTCATGTTTTTGTTGGTTTAAGCAAAAATGATGTTAGACACAACTACTGTTTGACAGCTGGACCTTATCTCAACACTGCCTCCTGAGTGTCTTAATGTCATTAGCTGTTTTTCTAAAACAAGACTTTACTGCACTGGAAGATGAGACTCACTACGGGCCTTGTAAAAAGTGCCCTGGCGAGGACTGTGTTCTGTCTGCAGGTTAAAACTTTCATAAAACAAAAAGAGCAAGCGTCAGTTTCCTCCTTGGACATGACGGCCACAACATGTCCCTTTCTTTTGCAGATGAAGAGCCCACCCCGAACCTACAGTTGTCGGTCACAGACCAGGGCAGGGACACCCACAGTGCCCCTGAGGAGGTCAGGGCTGCAGCCGAGAAACCCGACAGGATGGAGGAGCAGCTCACGTGCTGCATCTGCCAGGACCTACTGCACGACTGCGTGAGGTGCGTCCAAATGCGGGGCCGGGGGCCGCAGGTGCAGCCACCCCTGGGTCACATTGGGGGTTGAGTCTGCTGATGTTACCATTGTCATTGCTCTTAAATGGCCAATCCAAAAACCTGACCCCCATTACCAAGGCAACAGAAGAAGCCACGAGACGGATGTGCGGTGGCCGTGGTTGACACGGCCACGGCTAACTTAAGTGCTGGTCCACCTAAGATGCAGACCAGGTGAACTGTACCTCGTTGAGGACGTGCAGTAGGTGACATGGAAGGAAGGTCTCGGGAGTGGCTGTGGGAGAACCCTTGCACCTCGCTTTTCTGTGGGAAGAGTTGGAGCCTGTCCGAGTCTCAGCTTAAGTACACGCCTCTTGTGCTCGGCGTCTCTGTTCCTCGTATTCCTGAAGGACAGTGTGCTCTCTGAACCTCCTGGGACACAGAAGTGCCACGCGGCCTCGGTTTTCTTTTACTCGACAAGGACTGAGTGCATGTAGCTTAGGGCGAATGCTGTGCTTTCACTCGGGGCTGTTTCTCGGGTGGGATGTGGGAGTTGGGCGGCATTTCTGCTCGTTAGCTCAGGATGCAGATGCTTCCAGCGTGGGCACCACACAGAAGTGTAGGCTCCAGGCCCTGCCAAGGTGATAGTGTGCTCGATTCTGTTTTTTGCCAACTCTCAGCTGGGGCAAGGCCACGTCCTCCTCTGGGGAAAGAGGCAGCGTGACCCGGAATCCCAGCTTCTAACGCTCCAGGCAGGCCCTGCCCTGGGGACTGGGACTGCCTCAGCTTGGTGGGCAGAAGTTCCTCCGCAGGTGCTCTGCGGGGTCCCCTGAAGGCCTGTCCTCGCTCTGCAGCCTGCAGCCCTGCATGCACACCTTCTGCGCGGCCTGCTACTCGGGCTGGATGGAGCGCTCCTCGCTGTGCCCCACGTGCCGCTGTCTGGTCGAGCGGATTTGTAAGAACCACATCCTTAACAACCTGGTGGAGGCGTACCTTCTCCAGCACCCAGGCAAGTGGAGCCTCCACCCAGCTCCCTCAGCCAATGGCGTGTCCTCCAGGTGCTCCCTGCCAGCAGAGCTGTGTCCTTTGAATTGCAGACAAGAGGCGGAGCGAGGAAGATGTGCAGAGTATGGCTGCCAGGAACAAGATCACTCAGGATATGCTGCAGCCCAAAGTCAGGAGATCTTTCTCAGATGAGGAGGACAGTTTGGAGGACCTGCTGGACCTGTCAGATGAGGACAGCGAATCCTCGGATGTTAGGTGAGCCTGCACCTGGCCGGGAGTGGGACAGGCTCTGCACCGAGTGGTCAGCTGCCTGCTGTTCTGGGCTCACTTCTGACATGTGACTTGAGGTAGTGATGTTCCCTGTCTTGAGTGTGGCAAGGAGGGGCGGGTACTGAGAACAGTCCCCAGCTCCCAGACTCTGAGCAGCGTTGGCGGCCTGCCTCCTCCAGTACCGTGTTTTTGTTTTTAAGTATACATGGAGCGTTCTGTTTTTTTTGTTCCTTATCTGTATTTGTGTCCAATTTATTGAGAGGTAATGGACATGCAGCACTGTGGGAGTTTAATGTATCTGGCATGATTGGACTCATGAAACAATCACCACAGTAACCGATACCCTTTCACGTGCTGACTTCTTATCCCTTGAGTCCGGCTGTGACAGGCGTGATTCAACATAGTCCTTGTCCCTCATAAACATGTGTACTCTAGCTTATTTAGTGATCATGAAGTCCTACAGAGTAAGTGCCAGTGCACCGTCCGTCAGGATATTGATGCAGAGAGGCCACGATGCCCTGGCTGAGAGGATGCAGTCTGGGGAGACCGCACCTCACCTCCTGTGGCTCCGAGGCTCCTGGCTCAGAAGACCAGGGTCTGAATTTTGACCCAAGGCCATGATACTTAAAAGACAACAAAACCTCCAAATTTATCTTTATTTCTTTTCACAAAACTTTGCAAATAATGGTCAAGCAAAAAGAACCAAAAATCAGTTCAGGTGAACACCTTGTTTATCCATCTGTCCATTCCTACATATATGTCACACACACTTCTTTTTTAACTAAGAAGGATGCACTGTACTTTGAAGTAAGTATTTCTGTAAAGGTGGGATTATACTGTGCATGAGACTTCCCATCTCCCGATGTTTTGTACTCAGGAGCAGCGCTGCAGTGAGTGGCTGCGTTTGCAGTTTCTTGCAGTGCCCAGTCAGGTCCCTGTGAGGAGCAGGTGGGAGGGACCACCCAGGTCAGAGAGCTGAGGGCCCTTGAAGGACTCTGGCGCGGGTGTCCTCAGACACCAGGTGGCAAGGTCCCGGCGATGGCACTCCCTGTGGATGGTTTTTATTTTTCTAGTCAGGTTTCACCTGTTCTTTCCTCACTGGTTCCCGCCGTTGCCGCAGGCTCGGGAAGGCGTTTTCTGACTACACGGAAGGGAGTCCCTGTCCGTCTTTCTGTGGGTTGTTTGTGTCATCTGCAGCGTGAAAACTCAGCTGAGCTGCGGGGGGGCGGGGGGGGGCGGGGGGGGCGGCGGGGCCCCTGCCGGCCCCTTGGGGAGCTTCCTGAGGGCCGCAGCGTCCAGCCACGGCGCAGTTTGCTCTGATTTTTTGTTTTTTTGGAGAGATTTTGCAGTAATCCTACACCAAAAGAAATTTTATTGAAGTATAGATTACTGGTTATTTAAAAATACATGGGAAAAGACAAAAATACAAAGAAATTATCATACAACTGATTTCTAAAGTCAATATTCTTGAAATACAAAACAATGATCCTTACCCCCAAAAGTCAGTTTATTGAAACAAATTGATTTTTAAGTTGGTCTATAACTCTTTCTCACTCAATTTTGTTTACAAATGCTACTGGTTTTTTTCAGTTTCATCCCATATCAGAATTACGGTTTTTGGACATATTTACTTCTCAAAGTTGTATATATTTATTTCTTGTAACTAATTGCAGCAACTATAGGAAGTTGCTCTAAGTGACAAGAATTCAGTATGGTTGCTGCTCTGGAAATAGTTACCATATTGAGTTATCTACACAAAAATTCATGTATTTAAAGTCAAAATATTATTGGGTAAAGTATGAAGACTGAGAGCAGGAGGACTAAGAAAAGATGCTCTTATCTTGTACTGCAGATCTGCTAAAAAAGACTCCATTATTTACTTTGGTACTATTGCTAAAGCAGCAGTTGCTGCCAGACCACAGGTTGGCTAAATAGTAGTCCATTTTATATTTACTTTTCTAGAGCATGGCAAACTTTAATAATTAGATTGCTTAATCAAAGAAGCAGAGACTTTTAAATTATCACATACTTTAACTTGAAATAAGTTATTTTCTGAAATGGTTTAGCAGCCTTGTGTCTGCAAAGGCAGCAAAACCCAATTTGTTTCAAAATTAGAAGGCTGGCTCAGAGGCTGTTTGTAAGATGCCTACCTATCTTCTATCACCGATGGGTCATGAAAGTGGACCTTCGTAAACTCAGTAACTTTACAAATGTAAAAATGATCTTATGAAAAAAAGTACATTCATAAGATACAAACTGGCTTGTATAAAACAAGAGGGTACATATATCCTCTTATGTAACACAAGAGGAATATGTATGGTAATCAAAGCAATCTACAATAAACTCGTAAAGAGATGATTTCAATTTACATATAAGTCAGCTTAAACTAACCATTACCGAACGATTGGAAAGTTTCTTCTCCTAATCAATGCCCATTCATTATAAGCTAAGCTGGTCTTAATGTCTTATAAATCTCCTATTTCCTTGGTTTTATCTACTACGCCCTCACTTCATAGACATTTAACTTATAAGCTGGGCCTTCCCACTCTGCCTATAACGCCTCTTGTCGGAAATGTACCAGACGCATTAAACACAGGCCCCCTCTAGTAAAAATCTGCACTTCAAAACAGCACGGGAAGGGCAGCAGTAGGCTCCCCAGTGTGAGTACTTCTCATTTCTCACCGTCATGGAAACAGTGCGGTTTACTGACCGCTCCTTCACTACAAGCAGCTCAGTAGCTGTAAAATCTTTTCTTCCGTTTCAAAACCTTTCAATACTTGTTAATTCCAAAGATCCGAACACCATGTAGCTGTGGCATTTTGGGAATTAGCACACTCAGGAGAGAAGCTGTGTTTAGGATGAAGTGAGTTGGATAATACTTCGTATAGAAACAGGCCAGAAAATATAGAATTATTGGAGAAATTGTGAAAAACTTCCATGAAGATGTAAACTACTCCATAGTCCAGTTGTTCCCAATGAGTTAGGAGCCTTGCTTTTCCCTGGTCAGGAGTCTCCAAAGGTGTTCCTTTCACAGCAAAAATGCATACGCCCCCAGGTTAGGGCTGGCATTTGTTAAGGTCCAAGCAACGGGAGCACTGAAGAAGGGAACACTGAGTAAGACAGCGTACCCCAGCTGTTCATTCCCCGGGTGTTTGGATTCACCTCGCTGTGTGCGACGCCAGCATTCACCCAGCGTTCACCCAACGTTCACCCAACATTCACCCAACGTTCACCCAACGTTCACCCAACGTTCACCCAACATTCACGTTCGCTCCACCGCCCCCACTCCCGGGGGCCGACTCAGAGGAAGATCCGCTCTGCAGCCACAGCGTCTCCTCAAGGCCGAAAGCGACTGGTCCGCCAGTTTGCTCTGACTTTAATGTGTGTGGACGTGTCCTGGGTGGCCAGGGTGACCGTCCCGGGTGCCCTGGGGGGTCTGAGGGTGCCCCTGGGTGCAGCCGCAGCTCGCCCAGCATCAAGCCTTTGAGAGCACACCCTGCTCTTCTGTGGGGGCCGAGTGGCCATGCCCCTTCGGTGGCCTGTAAAGCGAGGGATGGGCAGAAGACACCTCACACCCCAGGAACAGCTGAGGGGCAAGGGCTTTGGAAACTGTACAGGAAAGGGAGCCGAGGGGTGGCTGAGCGCAGGGCCCAGAACACTCGGTGGGAGACAGCAGGCGCTGCAGGGCTGAGGTGTGACGTGGAAACGAGGCCCATGGGCAGAGAAGACGCTGCTGGGATCGGGGATCTGGCCCTTGTCCTGTCACCACCACCCCGCCCTCCCCGAGCTCAGGCCCCTGTGCTTGTCCTCGCAGCCAGCCGTACACTGTGTGCAGACAGTGCCCCGAGTACCGGCGGCAGGTGGGGCGCCTCTTTCCCTGCCCGGGGCCTGGCAGCGAGCCGCGGGCACTGCAGGCGTCCGGGGACACGCCGTCGACATCCTCCAGTGTCACACCAGGTGAGACAGCTGCGCCTTCTGAACTGTGGCCCTACTGTGACCACTCGGGAGGCGGCTCTTCTTCGCTCTCCATCCGCTGCCTCTAGTGGTCCCATTGCCTCTCATAGCATATTGCTTCTTATATCTGTTTTGGGCTAAGAAACTAGGTAATTACCGTATTCACCACTCGTGGACACTCGTGGGGACTCAGTCCTGATTCTCTCTTTCGGCCCCCACAGCCGCTGGCCTCGGGGCAGCTGGTGTTCCCAGTGGTACCTACCAAAGCCAAACAGCCACACATGGGCCCCTCCAGGGAGAGACCGGACTCTCTCCGGCAGCGGCCCGTGCTGTCCCTTGAACTACCCTAAGCTCTGTGTGCCCATTTCCATGTCCGGAGGTGCCAGCCGGAAAGGGAAAGCAGACACGTGGCATCTGTGGTTCGGGGCCCCAGAAAGGCCTGGCTTCTTAGCCACTGTCGGCCTAAACCCTTCCTGAGGTCACTGACCCAGGATGTCACCCAGAGCCACATTCTTAATCATCTGCCACCACGCCACGGCATGGCTCTCAGTGAGTGTCTTGGCCATGTGGACAGAGGCGGGCAGTGCAGTGCTTGATCTCCTGCTGACCCTGCCACTCACCAGGGGGGCCCCACCATTGGCAGAGTGCACACACTAGTCCCTGCTGGGCTGCGGCCCGGAGCTAGGGTGCCGGTCAGGGTCCCAGGTGGGTGGGGAGTGTCCGGCTGGGCCACGCGCACCTGGTGCGGGTCAGCCAGTGCTGCCGGCCAGGCCTGTTGTTTTTTTGTTCGGAGGATGCAGAGATTAAATATAGAACTTCCTGTATTGTTTTATGGTGTATGCTCTTTGGCCTGTCCGTCCTTTATAGGAAATGGCAGAAAACCTTTGTGATTTTTGACATCTTGATGCAACCACTGAACCAAAAGATAACTGGTTGCTTTCAGTTTATTTAAACTTCTTCATTTCAGTGGTACACTGTTAGTTGGCTATTGAGGGGAGGGGTCTGAATTCTCCTGGGTGTTCGTGGAGGTCTCTCTGTCCTTGTGTGGAGTTTGTGGTCGCCCCTTAGACATCTTCTCATCTGCTCCTGCCTGTGTCCCAACACACACTGTCTGACGTCCTTTCCCTTCTGCAGCCCAGGACTTTGTGTGCACCCTGCAAGGGAGCCATGCCATATGCACCTGCTGCTTCCAGCCCATGCCTGACCGCAGGGCAGAGCGTGAGCAGGACCCCCGCATCGCCCCCCAGCAGTGTGAGTATGGACGTGCATGCTGTCTGCCTGAACAACCTCCTACCACAAAGCCTTGCCTGTGTGTCCTCTAGGCTCGGGTTTCAATGTGTGGCTGACGCTTGTGTGTGATAGGAAGTAAGGACCCAGTTCTGTTTTTCCATCGTGTAGTTTGTGGTCCCTGCCTGGACAACTGGCTTTTCCCACCAGTTGGTGAGGCCGTCACCACCGCACACCCAACGTCTGTATTCGGTGGTTCTTTCTGGGATCTGAGTCTCATATCTGTCCCCAGATGTGGGCCACGGTCATTCTTTCATGTGTCACTTTTAAACCTGGTAGATAAATACAATGCTTTACTTTAGAGTTTGGGGGTTGCTAATAAAATCAAGGTTGTTGCTTATTTGATGGCCCTTTGACCTGGTTTCTCACGGAGACGTCCCGCCTGGCACCTGTGCTGGGTCTGCAGGTGCCATCTGTCTGCAGCCCTTCTGCCACCTGTACTGGGGCTGCGCCCGGACCGGCTGCCTCGGCTGCCTGGCCCCCTTCTGCGGTAAGGTGCTCTTCAGCGGGTCGCTTCCGCCTCTGCACGTTCTCGTGGTGCATGTGAGGGTGGGGCGGAGTGGTGTGGCTGCTGTGTGCCCAAGGGTGGGAAGGCCACTGTAGGTCCACGCGAATTAACTGCCTTTTCCTGACATGCTGCGTGGGCTGGCCATTTAAAATGCTGGCTCAGAACCAAGCAAAGGAGGGGAATTTGGGGGATCTGGAGTTCAAAGTCAGGAGGGTTTGTTTATGCACAAGGATCATCACCCCTAAAAAGGCACAGTCTGGTGACAGCCTTCAGACTTGTGACAGCAGACCAGACACAGCAGAGACCGGAGAGCTGGCCACCTCAGGAAGCGGGGGGGGGGGAGTCATTTTTTTGTCCTCGGTGTAAGTGGCGGGTTGTGGTGGAGCTTGTTACTTGCAGGCTCCACAGTGAGGGAACTGGGGCTGTCTTGGCTGTCGGGGGAGCGGTCCTCTCACGGAACGTCTGCGCAGCGGGTGACGTTGCTTCCCTCCACCTGACAGAGCTCAACCTGGGAGACAGGTGTCTGGACGGGGTGCTGAACAACAACAACTATGAGTCCGACGTCCTGAAGGTACCTGGGCCAGGCCGGGGCTGAGGGGAGGCTTCCCCGGACCTTTTCAGTCACCGTGATAACTTGGCGTTTTCTGACTCATGCCAACGCTGGAGATCAGCACCGTGTTTGGAGGCATCTCTTTTCCCTCTTATTTCAAACACTAGGTGCTTCCTTCATGCCCATCGTGCCAGGAACCCATGGGAGGTGCCTCTGTGGCTGACTCCTGCTCGCCCCACGCGCAGGGTGGGCTTGGCCGGGGCCTTCTCCCTGGCTCTCTTCCGATGATCTCCTTCCCCATGTCAGGGAGTGAGCACAGCTCTTAGGGTTTCAGTATGTTTAACGTGCACGTCAGTCCCGCTCACCCCACTTACATGCAGAACTTCACACAGGGTGGAGGGCCTCCCAGCTGCGGGGTGCGCCCCTGAGCACCACTGCCCCCGTTAGATGTGCACGTGGCGCTTTCCTGTAGGTTTGCCCAGAAGAAGCTGGGCAGCTCTGTGTGAGTGGAGGGCAGAGCACAGTCCAGACACCCGGCTTCCTGGCCACGGGCCGGTCACTGTGGCGCCGCTGCTCTGGCTGAGGTCGGCGTCTCACACCCCTGGGCTGGGGCGTCCTGGCCAAGTGTGAGAGAGCATGTGTCACTCCTCCCTGGAGAGTCTGAGGCTGGCCTGCTGGTGAGGGTTAAAAGAACCATCTGGGCAAGAACTCCGTGCACTGGTGTGCGGGTGTGTTGCCGTGTTGACCTGGAGGGCCTGGTGCCTGGGTCCTCCTGGCCATCCTGAGCCGCGGCCATGGGCGCAGGCCCCCGTGAAGGTGTGCGGCTGCCCTCTGCACAGACCCGCCACGTTTCGGTTGTTGGGCTTTGGCTTTACCCCCTTTGAGGGCCTTTCACGAGCCATTTGCCGCCTCGTCCACACGCGTGTTTCTCCTGTTGCCCTTGTTTCCCTTCCCCATCAGAATTACCTGGCAGCCAGGGGCATGACCTGGAAGAACGTGTTGGCCGAGAGCCTGGCGGCGCTGCAGAGGGGAGTGTTCCTGCTGTCCGGTAAGCCCCCGGGGCCTGCCGTCCCCCCGGGGCCCCCTGTGAGGCAGGCACCCCTGCAGGCCCTGGGCGGTGCTGCCCGTCTGGTCTCCCACGTCCACAGCGTTGACCTCTGCCCACCCTGGCAGAAAAGGGAAGAAAGGTCCTAAAACTGCAGCATTTTTTAAAGTGGGGTTTGAGTCCACATGACCCGTTCCAGGACCTTTTCTCCCAGACGGGAGGGAGGCCCAGCAGGAAAGATGTTGACTCCACTGCTTGTTAGCATAGAGGCCCTGGGGTGGGCTGTTCCCGAACCCCCGGGGCCCTCGTGGGCCTGTCACCCAGTGTGTGGGTGTCTCTGAAGCCTTGGCCCTCCGCACAGGGACGCCTGATGCCTTTGTCAGATGGGGTTTTATCACTGAGGGAGGCTGCTGAAAAAGGGATCGTACCTTTTTTATTTTAATTTTTTTATTTTAATGATTTTATTGCTTTTTAGAGAGAGGGGAAAGGAGGGAGAAAGAGAGGGAGAGAAACATCGATGTGCAAGAGATACATCGATTGGTAACCTGGCGCACGCCCCCAGCTGGGGACCTGGCCCACAACCTAGGCTGCGCCCTGACTGGGAACGGAACCAGCAGCCCTTTGCTCTGCAGGATGACACCCAGCAAACTGAGCTGCACCGGTCAGGGCTCAAGGGATTCTTTTATGAAAGACCTGAGAGGGTTTCTGGGAACCCTTCCAAGCTGTTGCTGTGTCGCGGACACACTCCAGGGAGTGTGTCAGGAGCTCCCTGCTGGGCACTTGCGTGTGGTTGCCTGAAGCTATCAGCTGGGCCTTAACTCCTTTCACTTAGTAAGACTGACACAGCTCACAAAAAAATGGAAGTATATGGGGAAGTATGAAGGATAAAGTAAAAATCATTGGAAATCCTACCACCTAACAACATATACCCAGTGATATTCTCATGACCACATATACCCATGTGCACATAACTCGCATGATAAAATCCTACCACATATGCCATTTTATAACCTATGTACTCAGCAATATATCTTGGACCCCTTATACAGTAATAAAGATCTATATACCTTTGCTTTTCATTATTATAGTATTCCAACCTATTGGGTCAGCCAAAAAGTTCGTTTGGTTTTTTACGTAAGGTGGCTCTAGTAGCACTTGGTTGTGTTTAACTCCATTCAAAACAATTTTGTTGGATTTGTACTGTGACAGCTGGTACATCAGTGTGCATTTTAAAAAAACATCAAAATTGGCAAATTTTTGTATAGCCATTTTAATATTGAAGATGGAAGAAAATATGCAACATTTTGGCATATTATGCTTTATTATTTTAAGAAAGGTAAAAATGCAACTGAAGCATGAAAAAAAAGATTTGTGCAGTGTGTGGAGAAGGTGCTGTGACTGACTGGACATGTCAGAAGTGGTTTGTGAAGTTTTGTGCTTGAGGTTTGTCGCTAGGCAGTGCTCCACGGTCGGGTGGAGCCGCTGAGGTTGGCAGTGACCCAGCTGAGACATTAGTTGAGAACTGTCCACATTGTACCATGCGAGAGACAGCTGACACAAAATACCCAAATCAATGAAGTTGTCAGTGAAAATGAAAAATGTTTCTTTTACTTTACAGAAAAAACTAAACGGGCTTTTTGGGCAACACCATAGTTTACTTGCCCAATTCATAAATAAAGAACGTTTAGGTTATTTCCCGCTTCCCACTCTCAGAAACCACACTGCGACTGCCGAGCGCGCAGCAGGTAGGTTTGAAACTGGTCCCCTTGGCTGAGTAAACAGGGTTGCTGGTGGTGCACACGGCTGAGGCTTTGTCATGGTAACTAACTCCTCCCGGGGCTGTGCCACCAGAGTGGGGCCGCAGCCACGTTTGTCTTCCAGGTCTTGAAAATAAAGAGGTGACCAGTGGCTCATCGTCATTTTATTTTCCCATGTTTGATTATTCAGAGAATGGAGGATCCTTCTATTTTATGGGTCGTTTGCTGTCTGTGACATCAGCCCATGTTTGCGTTAGGCTGTTTGCACTTTGGGTATGGATATGTGTGACAGCTTTGTCATGTGTGGGCTGGCACGTGCCCTTGGAGTTGCAGGGTTCCCGCTGTTTCCTTGGCCCTCGTGTTCCTTGCTCGTGTCTCCGCTGTGATGTGTCCTGTGGGCACTCAGAGGTACCCTCATGTGCCATTCGGTTTTCCTGGTGTACTTGGAAACAACTTGAGAAAAATCATATTCATTTCCTTCAGTACTTTTTTGGATTTTTTTTTAAATACTAAAAAATTTAAGTGGACTTGTTTTGCTGTAAGGAAATAAGCTGGTATCTGGATTGGTTTTGTTCTTGTTTCCCAAACACTTAGCCCCCTCTCTCCTCCATTTATGGATCACCGTGTTAGTTCCCACTGGTTTGCATGGCCACGTCTGCCCTGCTGTTTTGGACACCGGTGTTCGCGATGTCTGGCCGTGCCTCAGGAGCTGTGTCTTCCAGATTACAGGGTCGTGGGGAGCACCGTGCTATGTTACTGCTGCGGTCTGCGGAGCTTCCGAGAGCTGGCCTACCAGTACCGGCAGAACATTCCCGCCTCCGAGCTGCCAGGTGAGGGGCCGGCCCCGCCCCCATCTCACGTCTGTTTGCTGCGGCTGCTGTGCTCCTGCACAGCCGGTCAGCGCTCTGTGGGGCCAAGTGCAGTGCATTTCAGCTGCAGAGTCTCTGGGTCTCTGGTAGCTTCTCTGAGCTGAGTGTGTGAGTGTGGTGCACACACTAACTTTGTGATGTTCCTCTCTTTCCAGTGGCTGTAACTTCCCGTCCCGACTGCTACTGGGGTCGCAATTGCCGCACTCAGGTGAAGGCCCACCACGCCATGTGAGTGGCGCTGTGCTCTGCCGGGCGGGGTGGCGGCTCAGGCCCTGCAGGCCAGGAGGGGGCTCACCCTCGTCCTCCTCACGGGGTTTTTCTAGTGTTTCGTCCCACTTGATAGCTCAGCTTTTAAGGACATTCATGGACTAGCCAGCTCCCTGCTTGTAAATATACTGTTGTAGTCATGGAGTCTACAAAGTGGTGTCGTTGTTTAGAAACTCTACTCTCCCGTTACCTCATTTTGTAAAATGCATGGGAATGTCTGCCTCCGCCTCCGCCTCCACCTCCCGCCTCCCATGCGTGCCTCTGCACACCTGGGTCTGTCGTCGGTACTCTGAGCAGGTGTCTTCGCTTGCTCTGCATTGGTCACTTGCTGGGTGTCCCTACGAGGACCTTAAGGTCTCATCGTGGTGGTGCCCACTGAGGTCATCCTGAGGAGTCAGCACGCCTGCGCTTTTACACTGTAGGGACGGGGGGACAGTCACAGAATCAGGCCCAAGGAGCGATGCTGTGTGAAGCTGCTGGGATTCCCAGTTGCTCGTGGTTCAAAGTACAGTACAGGTGACCCTTGAACCACACAGGTGTGAACCAAAGTGGTTGTTTGAAACCTGAGTGTAAAGAGACCCCACAGTCCAAACCCGCATCGCTCGAGCGTTGGCTGAAATTGAGAGAGTGCGTGCAAGAGACTAGCGGAACTTGGCTGAGAACAGCTCCGAGGAGCGACTGGAATAAGAGCCTTGCTGTATATTGGATCAGAAACAGCCTGTGGAACAGACCCTTTTATACAAGAAGGGTTCACTAGGAACTGGCTGACCCTTCTTGACAAGGGCCTGGGTAAAGATAGCAAAGGTGTAGCTCCCTCCTTCCAGGGACGCCCTGCTCTTCACAGGGAGGGAGGTGGCCGCGCCGCCCCTTGGCAGCTTTGAGTCTCTTCTCCAAGAAAACTACCTGAAATTTCAATTTTTGTTTTAAAATTTAAAAAGGAGAAAGAAGGCTGCCTTTGGGGGTTACTTTTCTTAGTTGGGTTAAACGTATGCTCTCATGTGTAATTGGACTCTTTTCTCCCTGCAGGAAATTCAATCACATCTGTGAACAGACAAGGTTCAAGAACTGACTGTCTGCAGAGGCACCGGGCTGGCTCGGGAGCATAGGGGTCAGTGACTGCGTGTTTCAGGAAGAGCTAAATATGAACATTGTAAGGGCATTTTACCCTCCCCTCAGGGCACGCTGGGGGTCTCTGCGTTCAGCACTCTGGTGTGACTTTTTCTTCTGTGGAGGAGACCCTCTCGGTGAGGCCCCAGCAGCTGCCTGGCAGGCACGACCACCCTCTGAGCTTGGGGCCACCTGAAGTGCGTCCGCCAGTACAGCCATCAGCCGCCCTCCACCTGAGACGGCGGCGTGCAGGCTGCAGGTTGCTCACTCTACCTTCCTCACAGCTGTGGTTAAAACGCACGTTTCTCTTCAAGAAAAGTCTCATGGGGGAGAAAGGAGAGTCTATCAGAAACGTTCTATTCTTTAAGGAAAACGTTTACAGCCCACAGGCTTTGCAGTGCTCCGCAGGGAAAGCCACAGCTCTTTAGGAGCTTTTATTTTAATAGGGTTGGTGCTTATCTTTTAATAAGATTTAAATACCACAAATTGTAGCACAAATAATATAATTTATAATTTACAAATTGACTAATATTGGGGATAGTATGATATTGGAAAAAATAAACATGTTTCTGTTTATTAATAAAAACATCAGGTGTCCAGAACTGCTAACCCTGGACACCAACACTGAGTGCGCGGCCCCTCCAAGGCGTGGGGAGCTTGGGGTGCCACCACCCCGAGCCTGCAAGCAAGCAAAGCGCTGGCCCTGCTGCTCCTCCGTCTGCATCGCTGCAGGCCCCACCCACTGTCCCCAAGCTCTTTATTCCCTCTTGCGGGGCCCTGGCCGTGGGCAGCCACAGTGGGGTGGTCCGACCTGCTGGCACCCTGGACGCCCCCCCCACCCCCGGCCCAGAGCAGCCGCCTCCCACCGAGAGCTCAAGGGGCCTTGGCTCCCACCAGTCCTTGCCCTTCCCTCCTGCATTGGGTTTGCTGTCATCCGGAAGAATACTTGAAATTTTGTTCTTTGTAAAAGAAAAAATATTTTTTATCTTTTGTTAAAATCACCTGTTAATTTTGTTTGCAAAATTGTAACTTTTTTGCTTCTTCTCAGGAATACGATTTTCAACTGTTGTCTTGCTCTTGATACAGACTGAGAAGCAGCACCTGTTTGTGAGAGAAGGCCTCCTTCCCGAATTCTAATAAACAAGCCGTGTCTGTTTCTCTTTCCTGCATATTTGTTCATGTGTTGGTTACGGTGTGCTCCTTCCCATCACAGGGACAGACGGCTGCAGGCGTCGCTAGGTACTACTAAGGAGATTCTGCTGAGCTAGCCCTCGGGCACAAGGGACCTGGGCCTGGGCCGGGGGTCTAAGCACCCAGGAAAAGGCACAACGTCTCTTGGATCCGCCAACCCGTGGGAGCCACAGCCTGGTGGTCTACCTTGAAGCCAGAGCTTTAAGTCCAAGCCCCTGGCTCTGCTTGTGCAGGAGTGAGGCCTGACACTTTAGGACATTGGCTCATCACCCCTTCGGCCCGCCCTGCCTCTCCCCAAAAGTGGGAACAAAGGTACAGTCCCTTGGAGGAGGTACCGGCTTTTTTTGCCTCGGTTTAAATAACATGGAACTCCTCACTGTGCTGGATCCATCCATGAAGGGGAAGGTGTGTGCCACATCAGGCTGCAGGGTCCACGCTGTGGGCCGACCCAGTGGGTTCCCCATTTCTAATGAGTGCACAGGCTAAGAACAGCTGTCAGCTGTAAGTCCTGGGCGGAGCCCTAGGACCAGGGCAGCTGTTTTCCAGAGCTGGGTGGGTGTGCATCACGTCGTGTTTTTATGACTGTACTTCCTGTTCCTCAGCACCCTCCCAGCCCACACCTGGGGTGGAGCCCTGCCTGTCCTGCGTGTGCCCAGCTTGTGCAGGGGAGACTCCCACATGCCATCTGGTTCCTTCTGCCCAGCCCCAGAGCAGGTGCAGCTCCATGCTTCAGCCTCCCTCAGCCTGTCCCTAGACCCAAATCCCTTTTTGGTTCCCAGTACCACGCATCAAAAAAGGGGCCAGCCCTTCCCACACCACCGCCTACTGCGCCTCTTCCAAGAGGCTGCCCTTGAGCCCCTCCTGGTCTGCAGTCCAAGCTACAAGGTGAGTGGTTGATTCTAGGGAGGCCTTGTTGGCCAGCCTCCGTCAGCACTCCTGGTGTAACCAAGAACCCAGAAAATCATCCTAATAACGTCAGAGCTAACAGAACGGGAATCACAGGCCCAGGCCTGAGAGCGGCAGGTGACAGTGGATTTTGCCCTAGGGAAGTGCCCAAACCAGGGCAGGCTAAGTTGGGCTTTTCCAGCAAGAGTCATGCTGCCAGGTTAGCTCACGTGCTGCCCAGACGAGGCCCAGAAATGCTCAGGTTCTGGGTCAGCCAGGATGGCTGCTGTCGTGGCCACCAGGAGCCCTGCACCGGGAAGGAAGCAAGAAGAGAACTCATTGGACTTAGAAAGTCCAGAGTGGCCCTGACTTGGCTGGATGCAGGAACCTGACCGCAGTGCTGGGACCCTCTTCCCCTAGAGCAGTAGCTGACCAGACCTCAACTCCCATCGGGCAGAAGCAGGAGATCTGGCAGCTGCCCACTCATTCACAGGAAACCCTGTCCTTGGCCCCATCACTGACTGCCAGACCTGAACCACTGCACCCCACCCCCCGCCCTGCCACTAGCACCCACAGGCAGGTGGGATGGTTCAGGGGCTGTCCTGGCAAGAGGAAGACAAATATTGAGTATCAGGTGTCACCGCCAAGAAAGCAGAGGCCACCCCGACCCCAGAGGCCTCAGCTGCCCAGGCCTGACCCTGGTGGGAGCCTGGAGAGAGTTCTGGCCAGGTCTCAGCGGTTCCCCTTGGAAACACCAGCTGTGTGCAGGGTGGGGACACAGAGGATCCCAGGTGTTCTTGGTGGGATCTGTAGCTCCCTGCAGAATCAGGCCCACCATCCTTGGTGCAGGTGGAGTGCAGCCAAGTCTTCTGGCTCTGTCACACCTGGATTGCTTCAGCCTCAGTGAGCCTGTTTACTCTTCTGTGAGATGGAAACAGTAAAGTACTTAAAAGCTCAGAATCGACTGGCTCCACAGGAAACTATCTCCTGGCAAAAACCACCCTTCCCTTGGGCATGCCACAGTTGGCGCTATGTCTCTATCACAAGTGTGTGCCTTTTGCTTGTTACCTGCCTTTCTTTCCTGTCCTGTGGGAAGTCAGCAAAACTGAGTGCAGCAGAGATAAGTGGCTTTTGTTAACATGTACAAAGAAGACCTAATGTACAGAGGCATACTATGTTCATGGTCTGAAAGACTCAACATAGTAAAGATGTCGATTCTCCCCAAAACTATAGTGTTGTTCTAATTCCCATCGAAATCCCCGGAAGGATTTTTCTTTAAAGATTTTATTTTTAGAGAGAAGGGAAGGGAGGGAGAGAAACATTGATTGTTTGAGGGTTGCCTGTCTTATGTGCCCTGACTAGGACTGAAACCTCAAGCCAGGCATGTGCCCTGCCTGGAAATCAAACCGGCAGCCTTTCCCTTTGTGGGGGGACATACAACCAAAAGAGCCATACCAATCAGAGCACAGGAAGGAAGGATTTTTATGGACAAGGTTATTCTAAAATTTATACGGACTAGCTCCAGAATAGCTAGAACAATGAGGGAAGATGATGAAGTGGGAGGAATTCCCTTACGGATAGTACAGCTTTCTGCAAAGCTCCCGGGATAGGCAGAGATGACAGAGCAGAGGCCCTAGAAACAGACCCACACAAGCGGCCAAGTGTGTTTGACAAAAGTTCCAAAGCAAGTTAATGGAAGGACAGTCTTTTCAATAAAGGGTGCTGGAACAATTCGATATCCATAGGCAAAGAGAAAAGAATAAACCTAAACCTCAAGGCATATGCCAACAATTTTTTTTTCCCCAAGGTAAAACGTTGCTATGGCTCCAAAGCCTCAGTCAGTTTTGCATTGGCGCGCAAGAAGGTTTGGGGTGTACCGGCGCCCGAAATCCCGCCCCCGCGCTACCTAGCCACGCCCCCAACGGGCCAAGCAGCCGGGAGGTGGCCACGCCCACACCTTGACAGATTGGGCGGGGCGGGGCGGGGTCGGGACCCTGGCCACGCCACTTCCGCCGGAAGCTCCGTTGTCCTGCTTTCTGTCCGAGTTGGTCCTACGAGTCAAGAAGGTTCTTTTCTACACGGGGAAGACCCGCAAACTCATTTTCTGAAACCCTCTTCGGGCCAGATGTGAGTGACCTGGATGCCGGCCCTGCGGCCGGAGAAGCCCCGGCCCGAGGGCGCCTGCTGACGAGAAAAGGTCGTCCTCTCTTCCGGAACGAAGGCAGCGCGCACAGTGTGTTTCCTGGAGGGGCCGAAGCGGTCGTTGCGTCCCGCCCCGCCCCGCCCCGCCCCTGGCGCGGCCACGTCGCCGCTGGAGCCGCCGGTCCGTGCCGCCGCCGCGGTTCCTCAGCTCTGGGGTGAGGGTCGCGGGAAGCTTCCCGGCCGGGACTCCGCCGGGGAGGGCGCGGGGCCGCCGCAGCCACGGCGCGGTCGGGGCGGAGGCCGGGCGGCGGGCGAGGGGCGGCGGGGCCTGGGCGGACCCCGAGGGCAGGCCTCGTTCTCTCCTGAGGCGGCGACGCCCCGTGCCAGCCCCGTTCCGCAGCGTCGGTAGCCTCGGGGCCCGGAAGCCGGCTTCGTGAATGTCCCTCCACTGGAGCCCCCGGAACGCTGTTCGCGTGATTTGTGGCGGAGGTGCCCGCCGCCGCTCTGGGGCTGCTGAGGGACCTCGGGCAGCCCCGGAGCCCTTCTGCGGACGCGCCGTCCGGATGACAGGCGTGACACGGTGTCGCGTGGTTAGTGTGAGGCCGGGTTGGGAGAGTCCGTGTGGCCCTTTGCCTTTCCCTCCACCTGGACTCCGTTTCGTTTCCCCGCACTAAGAGCTGTTTCGCCGGGGCGGTGACACTTTCCAGCGCGAGTGGGCCAGGCAGCGACGCCAGTGTCGAGAGGCGAACAGCTCCGACTTCCTGCGGGTATTTGCTGAGTGTCAGCCGCGTGCCAGGCACTGGTCGTCGTAGGGCCTGGGACACGGGACCCTGCCCTCGCCGAGCTCGTTTTGTCGCGGAGGGACGGGCACGGCCAGCGAGGTGATTGCCGAGAGCAGGGGCTGGTGCGAGGGCGCGTCTGGGAGGGGGCTTTGGAGCGACGTCTCTGACGGGAAGCTGGCGGTGGAGGCTGTGGGGTAACGGCCGCTGTGAGGACCCTGAGGGAAGAGCCGGTTTGCTGTCCGTAGGGCAGGCGGGAGGCCGGCGTCCTGAGAACGGAGGGAGGGGCAGGCACGCGGAGGCGGCGGGGCGCGGCGCCCCGTCTGTGGCGGGATTTTATTGTCAGTGTGACCTTGTCAGCGAGGTATGCAGGTGACTCCCGGGTTATTTAGGTTTTCGAGTTGTCCCGTTAATGTTGCGAACGTGACCCTGGACGGGAGTGAGCTCTCAGGGTAGCGAGGAAAGGAAATAAAAATCATCTGCCATCGCTCAGGGTTGTTTTTTGTGTTTTGTTTTTTGTCTTTGGCTGATTGCCTTAAACAGCAATGCACTTTAAGTGAGAAGGCGAGGCTATGTTCAGTTGGCTTGTACCTATCAATTCTGACGGGCACCCGCTGAAAGGAAATGACACTAACGATTGCGGCGACCGTGTTTTGAGGGCACGGGGCAGACCCTGCGGGTCCGCTTGTAACCCTCGCGAGAACGTGGCGTTGTTTTCTCGTCTCACCGACGCGCGGGTAACCGCGCGGCCGTCGGGTTTGAAGCCCAGATGCCTCTGCGCGAGCCGGTGCAGGGGGGCGCCCCGGGCCTGGCTTCTGCTGACTTTGGGCCTCGGCTAGACGGTATCTTCTTAAGGGAACTCCGCTTCCTCTTTGGCCGTGCTGCGTGGTTTCTCGTTGCGGACGCTGAGGCGGGGGGCGCGGTGCCTGCGGCAGGGCTTTCTCAGCGCGGGGTCGCCTGGTGTCCGGCCGGGCCGGGCCGGGAGTCCAGAGCACTTGGCGCAGTTCTCCGCCAGGGCTTGGCCCTGGGTCTTCCCTCTGGGAAACACAGAACTCGGGTAGCCAGAGAGGGCGTTGTGACAGGACCGATCTCTTTGCTTGTTTAAAAATTACAGAACGGAGTGCACGTTACCTATAACGGCTTCCCAGCGGCCTGACCCTCCTCCTTGTCCTGATCTGGTCAGCAGTCGGAGGTCCTGGGGCCCTGGGTGCCGGGGTCACGATAAGCGAGACGCCGCTGAGCGGAGGGCAGGCCGGCACCGCCCGTTCCTCCCCGGCGGGCGGGCTCCTGTGGGCAGGCAGTGAGCCCTGCCCCTCGTCCGGCTGCCGGGGCTGCGCGTGACCAGAAGCCACCCTCCTGAGTTGCCACAGCGAGTCAGTCACGGGGCCTCACGTTCTTGGGGGGTAGGAGGACTCGGGAATGAAAAGGTTTCTTGTTTATCAAGAAATCCAAATAGAGGGAGTCAACGGAGTGAAGTATGTGATGGCATCGGGCGGTGACAGCGGCACCTTTGTCTGTGTTTTTAGTAGCAGTGGAATTTTTCTGTATCCAAAAAGGCAGTGTTGATGCTCACAGATGCAGACACTGAATCATTTTTTAATTTTTTTTTTTTTTTTTTGAAACTGCCAGTTTGGTCTCTGAGGGGTGGAACTCAGCGGAGCCAACGATTTGAGCCAGTGGCCTGCCTTGGACACCAACTCTAAGCAGGGGGTCAGAGCAGACCCTGGGTGGTGGTTTCTGCTGCCAAGGACCTCACAGTGCGATGCAGGAGGTGGGCACACGCGCAGTTGTGCTGTGATGTGCACAGAGGTGTGCCCTGGTGGCAGAAGGGAGCGGACCTGGCCAGGTTCTGCGCCTGAGGCCCAGGAAAGGCTTCAGAGCAGCACCTGATGGCACTTGGAAGGGATTTGGGGGTTTACTTGGCAGTCTAGGGGGAGGGTGTCACAGCAGAAGGACCAGCTTCTGCCCGAAAAACACTCAGCTCTCATTGGTACCCTGTCATGTGTCGTGGGGAGCGTGGTGGTGTTATGCACATCTTCACCCACATTTCAGAGCAAATCCAAATGCTTTTGTCTTGTTAGGGAACTTGGGCTGGCCGCACATGCCGTATGTCGCGTGTCGTGAGCGTGGATTCCATATTGGTTCTTGCCCATTGTCTGTCATCATCTATCCCTGTGCTGTAGGGGACAGCCTTGCCTGGCTTTGTGGGCCCTCCTCTGTAGCATCTCATCCCGACCTGACCAGTGCCCAGGAGTCCGTGGGACTGGGGCCGAGGCGCGGGCTTGGTGGGCATTGCAGTGGTTTTCCACGGAGCCAAGACCATGGGAATAGGTGATTTTCGGGGGGCCTGTGGGACTTGCAAGTTCAGGAGAGCCTCCAAGGACCTGTTTCTGTCCCCTCCACACATACCATCTGGAAAGTCAGGGAGTGAAAGAGATTACTGGTCACTGGACGTGTGATGGGACACTCCCATCACGAGAATGAGACTGAGAACTCCCTGCACACAGGGTCATGATTTCTCCAGCCTCAGCACCTCCCCTCCTTTCTCTCACGCTTTCAGCCTGGAGCCCGGTACCCTTGGATGGGCTGCAGTGGATTGTAGTTCATGTTTTCACGCACGTCTATCAACAGTCCTTTCTAGTGCAAACCTTTAGTGCTAGTTTGATGCTTAGTAGTAGATACAAGCTTTTTTACAGAGTGGGGCAAAAGTAATTTAGGTTTGCAGCTGTTTGTATGGAAAATAATATAATAAATAATAGATAATAATACAAGAATAAACTTTTGTGCACTCAGAACCGTAAACAAACGTTTGCCACAGCCTATACTGTTAATGGCGCTGTTCTTAACCCACAGTGTTTTTGGCCTGCAGGTATCAGGCAGCAGGGAGGAATGTGTGCGTTTTCAGAGCTTGAGCCAGCCAGCCTCTCCCTCCCCATTCCCCCAGAGGGACCCTCCCATCACTAGGCATTCCCTGTGTGGGTGGAGCAGGTGATGCGACCCCAGGGTACCTGTTCATGAACAGGGTGAGGAGGTGTTCGGAAGCACTGCCCTTGGAGGAGCAGGCTCACCTGTGTCAGCCCTCCTGGTGGGGACCTCTGCCTGGCTCCTCGCAGAACGTCAGTGGGATTTGTAAGCTGGAGAGGAAAGCCATGAAAAGTTTTGTCCTGAAACGTGAAACACAGAGCAGTGCATAGGATAATATTTTAAAGGAACTAAATGCCAACATCCCACAGAAAGAGTAACAGCTAATAACGCCTTATCTGTTGACGAGGAAACAAGGTGGTAATGTCCTCAGCCAGTTCACAGCCAAAGTTTTGCTCCCTTAAACTTAGCCTCGCAAGATGGGCTCAAGGACACTTCCCCTGCTGGAAATGCAAGACGGGGCTGGCCACCTCCTGCGAGATGCCCTCTCTCTGCCCCGGCTCCGCAGTGGCTCCCTGTCCGTGGCCTCGACCTCTGTGCTCCACCAGCGTAGTGCCCACAACTGGTTCTGGACAGTGGCCTCGGCACTTTCATGCCAGTTCTCCTGGAAGGGGAGCCCTCTGAGTGCTTAGGCCTGCGTGTCCTGCACAGAAGTCTCTGGCCACAGGTGGCTGCTTACACCCCAAATACCGTATTTTGCCGTGTATATAGCACTCCTGTGAATAATGTGCACCCATGTTTTTGGCCCAAACTTTGAGGGAAAAAATCTTTTGTTTTAATTTTTTAATTCAATTATTTATTTATTTATATTTAGAAACAAAACCGATGATCGTATTCCAGGGTATTATTTGCATACAGATATGTTACTACTTTCTGGAGTTCCACTTTTAATGCATAAGCATAAATAAAAGAATTAAAAACATTTGTATGGATACGGAATTAGTACTACCCAGTATAATGTGCATCCTTATTTTTCCTTCAAAAATTTGGGCAAAAACGTATGCATTATACATGGCAAATTACGATAGTTAAATTTAAACAAAAACTCAGTTCCTCAGTTTCCATGCCCTCCGTGCCCCTGCCCCTGCTCAGTGGCCAGTTGTGACAATTACAGTGCCAGCTGATGGACCGTCTCTGTCCTGGCCTGAGGATCTTTGGCCATCACCAATAACAATAATAAGCACCTTCAGGAACAGGCCTGGGGGGTGACTGGTTCAGCATTTTATCCTTAAAACCTAGGATGTTGCCACGATGTCTAAAAAGATTTTATATATTTATTTTTAGAGGGGGGGAAGGGATGGAAAAAAAGGGAAAGAAATACCGATATGAGAGTGAAACATGGATTGGGTGCCTCTCATACGTGCCCCAGCAAGGGACGGAACCCGCACCCCAGGCCTGTGCCCTGACTGGGAATTGAACTGGTGACCTTTCGTTTGCGGAGCGACTTTGCCCAGCCGACTGAGCCACACCAGTATCTGCATTTGTTTGTTAGACAGATGCAAATGGGGAAGCAAGGGTTAGTCTTGGAACCGTTCATTCAAATCTGACAGTGAAGTTTCATAACATTTTCTTTCTGTTTTCCCCTCCTATCAGGTATCATGCTATTCCTTGGTTTGATTTCCAGCCGTTTATGAGACTTTAAATCCCTTGAAAATGGATACCTAGTGCTGTCCTTCTGAGGGGACCCTGACTGTTGGTGATGGCAGAGGTCACGCCTGCGCACAGCTCACGTGCAGCCCCTGAGTGTCCACCAGTCTGAGTCGTCCTGACCATGGACGGAGCGCCGGCCGTGCAGGGTGCCCTCTTGGAGGATGGGTCCCGCAATGGCACCTCAACTCTCCCTGACGCCCTCCCGAAGCCCCTGGACCCGCAGGTGGTGCCGCCTGACCAGTGGGACGAGGCCCAGTGTAAGTCACCAGGCGCCCTGTATGCTACTGACACTTCGCCTTTGAACGGGGAATGTGGGTTGACTTGCGGTTTGGAGGCAGGCTGTGGTGTTTAAGAAGATAGTGAACTTTTCATTTGAGGTGTTCTCAGCGGTCAGATGAGTGTCTTTTCTTAGTTGATGCCAACTTTATAATCAAGTGCCTGTTAAACAGAATGGCAGCTGCCCCAGCAGCATGCAGCTGTGATGGTTTTCCTAGGGTTTCTGTGGGTCTTTCTCGCACGTTAATGTTCCCGGCTTAGGCTCCTACCTTTCTGGTTGGCTGGCTGCCAGAATTAGTATAACGGGGACCCAGAACGGTTCAGTAGTGATTGAAGGGTTATCGGATCACGTGTGTGTGTGAGCTGATGGGTTATTTGTACACCTAAAGTACAGGGTGAATTACTCACTGAGTCCTCATGCCCCTTCCTGGTCAGGACGCTCATTGCAGTGTGTGCTTGAAAAGAGTATGTACATACTGATTTACTAGTGGAAACTGCATCCTGGTTCTTCAAAACGATGTTCAAAGCACCGAAAACGGCTTTGCTGGTGACTGCCCGTAAGCGCCAAGTGAGGCCTATGACAGCGTGGGCCCGAGACGGAGGACCCCACAAGGGGCGGGTGAGGAGCCAGCCCGTAGGTCCCCCATGAAGAGCAGGGAGGCCTGCAGAGGGTGCGTGGTGGACCTCGGGGTCACTCTCCTCTTGTGTGAAAAGGAAGGTTAGTGGAACCTGCTTCTCGGGGCCGCTGTGGGGCTGGGGGAAAGGGGTGCACATGAAACAGACACGGGCACGTGGGAAGCACCATTGTCACCGACACTTGTTCCTGCCTAATTAGGCCTGTGTTTGGAAACAGAGTTTTATTTATTGGGCCTTCTCACTTTTAGATATTTTTCAAGTGCAATATGATGCTCAAATATGATTACTTTGTTATATAATCAGTGAGGTTTGTGAAACTCCCAGATCTGAAAACTCAGAAAGTGGTATTACCCTGATTGTCTTGTATCTGAAATGCAGGACCCGCTGCGCCCGCCCCCGCAGCCCCGCACAGCGGAATTACGGCCTGGTCTGTGTGGGAGCAGACGCGGTGTTAGGGTTGTGGGCCACCCCCTTGTTCTGCTGTGTCTGTGGCACATGTTCGTATTCTGGTTTTCCTTTCAGGGAGGCATGACTGTAAGTAGCTGTGTTAGTTGGGACTCACATTTCAAGGGATAGAAGCCCATTTTAAATTTGCTTGGGCAAAAGGATATTACGGGCCCCCTCCGTCTACGTACCACCTTGGTTCTTCAACCTCTGACTGGCTCACTCGCCAGCGTGAGGGGCAGGGAAGACTTAACAAATCACTGGAGTATAAAAAGTCTTTTCTTCCTTTTTTCCTTTCACGAAGGAAATAGTTTTTAGCTAAGGCATAAACAAGTATGTGTGTGATAGTGTTCATGGGTGAAACTGAGATACGTCATCATTGGTAAATCTGGGGCTTTTACCTGACAGGTGTTTGTCCAGCGGAAGCACAGACTCAGGGCTCAGCTTTGCTGCAACCATTCTGATTCGGCTAATCTGCCTCTTCGCCTAAGATTTCTCATTTTGGAGGATGAATTTATACTTTGAAATGACAGGGAAGCTATGGCTCTAATGAGCACTGTGCTTCCTGGTGCCTGTTAGAAACATGGTCAGCTGTATTTTAAGCATTTGTTTTCTTTTGCTGTCTATTAATACAAATTTCACAGGACTTCTCATTGGTCTTATTTAAATAAAAAGGAAACGATCCTAAATTCTTCATCCAAAATGCAAGAGCGAAGGCATTCCACAGATGAGGGTGGCGGGCTCTGCGCGGCTGAGGGGCCTGTGCCCGCCCCCGGCCGGGGAACCAGGGCCCGCCCTCCTCCTGGAGTGAACCGGCCTCCGTGTGGAGATTGCGCATGCTCCCATCCCTAGATTCCCTCTCGCCTTGTTTCAGCTGAGCATCCGCAGCATGACCTGATGGCCCAGTGTGCCCTCTCTTCCAGGTGCCAGCGCTGAGGCGAGCGGAGCCGTAGATGTCGGAGGAAGCCCAGACGCGCCCAGCGAGGGGGGCACCCATCAGAATGGGCCGACGCCACAGCCCCCAGGCCCGCCGTGGGCTCTCGGTCCCCCGACAAGCCCCATGGGTCCTGATGCCCCTCCAGGTGTGGCTGGTTTCCATGACAACCTAAGGAAGTCTCAGGGGACTAGTGCTGAGGGCAGTGTTAGAAAAGAAGCTTTGCAGTCTCTCAGACTCAGTCTTCCTATGCAAGAAACGCAACTGTGTAAGCATCCGACCCCCGGCCCCACTCCCTGCCCTCCCCCGGGTCCCAGCTGCCACCACCTTCAGAGGCGTTTTGCTTTGTCAGAACAGTAGCCTGTGCGTTTATCAGATAGCTCCATTTAGAGAGAAATGACACATCTTCGTCCTCTGATACTGGTGCTGGTGCTCCAGGTCCAGATTTAAAGGGCCAGTGGGTGTCTTTTGTCATCCCGGGTGGGGAGCAGAGGCCTGTGGGGAGTGCATCTCGGCAGTTACACGTTGGAAGCTTTCTCTCGTGAATTATTTTTATCACCACTGATTTTGTGCTGATCCCTGGGGATTCAGGGGTCACAGGCTGGCAGCCTGTGAGCCACGAAGCCTCCACTGTGCCATCTGACGCCAGCCTCCTCGCGCCCAGACACAGAGCTGCACACAGCGGGTCCCGTCACGCGCTGCTCTTGCCCGTCCCTGGCCTGGTCGGCCACGTTCCCACGGCCCTCCCTAGGCCTCTGTCAATGGCTGGGTGCGGGCCCTGCTTCTTCAGATGGGACTGTGTTACTCCCACTGCTGAAGACTCTTCTCACTCACCGCTTCACTGCCGCGTGGACACGGCCCCAGCACGTCTGCGGCAGCGCTTGTCTCGTGCTCGCGCCCGCGGCATCGCCACTGTAGCTTCTGGGGCTGCCTCCCAGAGGCGGCTCCGTGGTCCAAAGCAGCGGGCGGTTTTGTTTATTTCCACCATGTGGTCATGGGTCGGTGCCACCAAGGGTCTGTGAGAGCCACCTGTCACCCAGCCCCCTGCACCCAGACGCTTTCTCTCCCACGTGTACCGGTCTGGTGGGTGCACCCCAACGCTTCCTTGTTTAATTCGAAACTCGCCCTCCCCTGATTAGGGTTTGCGCATCTTGTTCTCTGTTGGCCATTTGGTCATTCCTTCCTGTGGGATGTCTGTTCGTATGTTCGACCCACTTTTCTTTAGGATTGTTTGCTTTTTTCTTCATAGGCATTATTTTTGTTTAAGGCCATAGTGTGTTTTACAATTTCTGTAAACTCCTTGTCAACACTTCAGTCATTTTCAGATTGAAGGTAGTTCTAATGCAACAGGACTTGTTTTTATAACTTGAAGAAAAATTTTAAGAGGTGTCATGTAAAAGCCTGGTTCCTGCTCGCAGGCACATGTGAGCTCGTGCCTGAGGGTGCCCACGTGGCAGGGACCTGCTGCCCTTCCTGAGGAGTGTTCGCTCGTGACCCCACCCCTCGGGCTGTGTCTGTGCTGTCGAGTCTGCCGATCTGGGTGCCCTGCCTGTAGGCACCAGCCTCTGGGTTTCTGCCTTCCAGGCCACTTGGCCTTGAGACGAGTACTAGAGGTCTGGTAAACGCACAAAGTAGTAATGACGTTGGCGAATTCCCCGTGAATTTCTTGGAATTCTGGTGCTCAGGTGTTGGGGGTTATTTAAAACATCAGCTGTTTGTCCTCTGGGACTCCGCCTCTGAAGGTGGCCTTGCTTAGGAAGTGGTTAAATTAGGACATTTATCTGCTTTCACCGCATATCCCCCAATGTGCATGTCTGTTGTATGTGATGGAAACCTGCAACTTGCGTCATTGCACTCACTGTTCACCTTTATTACCCAAAATAAAAGGTTTGGGTTTAGGTGTTTTAAATTCTGTTGTTGACCAAACACAGAACATGAGTCGTTATTGCAGGGACGTAGGTAAGCGGTGGATCATAGCCTCTCTCCAGATGTAACTGCATAAAGCAAGCAGGCTTAGCATGGCACGCCCACATGGCTGGACGTCATTCCACCAGGGCTGCTCTCCTCTGGTCCCTCTGTCACTTCTGAGGTCTGAGTTAGAGCTCGGGGAGGGGTCGCCACAGGCACCGACTTGGAGTTCAGTCCTTTTGTTACTTAGGGGCAAGTTGTCCATGTCCTGTGGTACCTGCTGGATGCTGTGTGGAGCCCAGGCCCCAGGCATGGCCAGGGCATCTTCTGCCACTTGGGTCTCCTCTGCGGCCAGTGTCTAGGGCTCACGGTTTTTCTCCATCTGGAATTAGGCCTTTCCAACTAGATAGCATGTATTGTTTAGAAGCTAAATCATATTGGTAATCAAATGCAAACCAGCACAGCTGCTGTTCTGATTGGTCCTCTGTGCCTGGTGCTTTATGAGTTTCCAAATGGTCATTTCCCCATCCCAGGCTCAGCAGAGGCGTCGCTGCCCCTGGAGAAGGAGGAACAGGTCCGACTTCAGGCTCGGAAGCGGCTGGAAGAACAGCTGAAACAATACAGGGTGAAGCGGCAGCAGGAACGCGTGAGTCCCGCTCCCGAGCAAGCTAAGGGGGAGCGTTCGTGCAGCAGGCGTGGGCAGCCAGGCGCCAGGCTAGGGTCTGCGGCGCACTTCTCTGTGCTCCTCCAGGAAGGCCCTGTCTCTTATTGGTTCCGACCCTTCAGGGACTGTCTAGCAGGGCTCTGGTTCCCACCCTTCAGATTCCTGTTTGCTTGGGACAAGCACGTTTCACCTGCCGTTTGAGCAGGAGAGCAGAGGCAGCCAGCACGTGGGTGTCGCTGCTCTCCGTGTTGGAGCAGCCAGCCGGCCTGCACCTCCGAGCAGGACTGGATTACTTGCACCTCTTGGTGACGCCTTGGAAAACTTTAGAGACTCAACTAAAAATCGTGATAAATTTGTAAAAACATAACATTATTTAAATAAATAGGGATCATAAACTTCCTTTAAAAATACAAGTATTAAAAATCAATAGCTATCCTAGTAAGACCAATTATAATATTAGTGGGAAGAGATAATGTTTATAATAAAAGTGTTAACTGTCTGAGCCTCACATTGAAATGGCAGTAAAAGTGGCCAGAATCTGGGTGAACTCCCTGTAGCTCCCCCTGCAGGCAGTTGTGGATAAGTAGAGGGAACGACTCATACCTGCTAAGTAATGACAGATGTAAGGTAGTTCTAATGCAACAGGACTTGTTTTTATAACTTGAAGAAAAATTTTAAGTCTATCTAAAAGTATAAAAGTGGGAGAACAACCAGGAAAACATGGTAAAGGAAGTGTGATGAGGAAGGACTTGCTAATGGCTGTTTTTCATGGCAATCGAGCCCCGGAGGCGGCGGCGTGCTTGGGTGCTCCCTGGGCGTGGCGTGGGGACGGTGGGCTGCAGAGCGCAGCGGGCCGGGGCGGCGCGTGTGCCGGGAGTGCTGTGTGTCATCTATCTGTGCAGCCTTGGTGGGCAGCACGTCTTGACTGCTGTTGCCAGTTTCAAACATGCTTATTGTGCTTTTATTTCCTTCTCAGTCCAGCCAACCTGCAACTAAAATGAGACCTTTCAGCACACTGGATCCGGAACTCATGCTGAACCCAGAAACCTTACCAAGGGCCAGCGCCGTGGCTATGACAAAGGAATATTCCTTCCTCCGCACCAGCGTGCCTCGGGGGCCGAAGGTGGGCAGCTTAGGGCTCCTGGCACATCCTAAGGAGAAAAAAAGTTCCAAATCAAGCAAAATTCGGTCCCTGGCAGATTACAGAACTGAAGACTCAAACGCTGGGAATTCAGGTGGAAATGTTCTGGCCACAGACTCCAGCAGGGGCTCCCTGCAGCAGAACCGGAGCAGCTCGACGTCCGTGGTGTCTGAGGTCAGCCTGTGCCCCGAGGCCGACGACCTGGAGAGCTCGTCGCTGACTGGAGACAACACATCTGAGGCCGACGGGAACGAGAGCGACAGCTCCTCCTGCAGCGGCGTCTCCACCCGGGGGGTGCACCGCTTGCCGGTGAACCGCGCCGTCATGCGTGAGGCCTCCTACATGGTCAATGGCCAGGAGATTGCTGCCAGTTCCCTGGGCCAGTTCCCATCTATCGCAGATGTCCTCCAGGCTGCCGCAGCTGAACACCGAGACAGGGGCCCCGAGGTCAATGGGGAGACGCGGAGCCGGACAGACAGCATCTGCAGCAGGTGGGTGCCACGCAGGGCCCGCTCGCCAGGGCAGGGGCTGCAACACCGAACACCTCCCCAGTCCTTAACGTTTCATCAACACACACACGTTGCTTTGTAGAAATGGAACTAGAGCTACTCAGTCGTCCTTTGCAGTGCTACAACATTCTGTCTTCCAGCATCTCTGTAAGACCTGCCTCGAAAAGGCCGCAGGTGCTTACCTTGGCTCACTTTTCCACGTGCGGGTCCCCACCACGTGGGGCTGAGCATGGCCGACTGCAGCAGGGGTGTTTTCTGGCAGCTCTCCGTTGGGGTCTTATTTCCTTCCTTACTCTAAGCTTTTGGGGGAGAGCAGCAAGGATGTATGAGGTTTGGAAAGTGTGGGCACATGTAAAAGTGAGGTTCACTGGTGTTCTCATCGCCTGACCACACGTGCCTTTTCCTCTAGCGTGTCCATGGAAAGTTCTGTGGCTGAAACTCAGGATGAGATGTTGCAGGTTCTTAAAGAAAAAATGAGACTCGAAGGACAGCTGGAAGCCTTATCCCAGGAGGCCAGCCAGGTAAGAGGTGCCTAGTGGACATGTGTGCTGTGAGCTTCCTGGCCACTGGGTAGAGTTTCACTTGTCCTTACAAATAAGCTGTGGCAGCAGCCAGACCTCTGTGCCTGTGTCCTGTTGGCCTGGTTTGTCAGCTCAGAGGCGTGTGTGTAAGCTTCCCCCGGCATTTCCCACGTCCCTCCCGTCTCTGTCGGGGTTTGGCTTACAGAATTCGCTCACTCTGATGTCAGATGCCTGAGCCATGCTTAAGAGTCATACTGGTTCGGTGCACCTCACCTTTTTCTGGCGTGGTGAGATAGTCATTTTCCCCCCTTCTGGGGCAACATTCTTTTTACTGCAGCTTCTGCTTTTTCTTTCCTTTCTTTTATTTGAGGGGGTTTGGGGGAGTTCTGCTTTTTCTGATAAGAACTTTCCTTTATTTGGTTAGCATATTCCTAAAAAGTCATTTTCAACTCAGGAGCTCCCTGGCTGCCTTCTGGATGGGTGGGGCGCATGCCCTTCGCTCCCAGGGCCGTGCTCTGCTCTCCCTGGGGCGTCCCGAGGCCCTGCTTTCCTCTCTTGTGCTTTATCCTGTGGGCAGTGGTCCCTGGGGCCTGCCACCCAGCCCTGGACAGTGCCTCAAGCTGCCCACGGCCCCAGCTGGCCCTATAGGACCCCTGTGTAGAAGCCTCTCCCTGACGATTTAGTTCCCCAGAGCTGAACCCAGCTCTCTGTCTTTGAGGATCCCCCAGAGCTCCTGGTATTCTTTTTGAGTGTGGTGTTGGGGGTGCTTAGAAGATTTTTGTTTCCGGACAAATAGGCTGTTGGCGAGCCAAGGGGTGAGCAGGCGCTGCCAGCCCTTTGTGTGGAAACAGGCAGGCACGTGCCCCTGTCCCTGGTTGTCTGGACGGTGCGCCGCCTCTGGGGGAGCTTTCGTGTCAGATATCTGGATAGTTTCCTAGAAAGCCCACCTGTCCACACCTTTCTGGTTCACTGGGTGGTGTGGCAGCGTCCTTAATGCACTGAATTTCCTGACTGGGTTGCCTTCTGGCAATCTCTCCAGGCACTCAAGGAAAAGGCGGAGCTGCAGGCACAGCTGGCAGCCCTGAACACACGGCTGCAGGCCCAGGAGGAGCACAGCCACAGCAGCCGGCAGAAGCAGGACGCGCTCACTTCGGAGGTGGACACGCTGAAGCAGTCATGCTGGGACCTGGAGCGGGCGATGAGCGACCTGCAGAACACGCTGGAGGCCAAGAACGCCAGCCTGGCGTCCTCCCACCGCGACCTGCAGGTGGCCGAGGAGCAGTACCAGCGCCTCCTGGCAAAGGTGGAGGAGATGCAGAGCAGCATGCTCAGCAAGGACAGCACAGGTGCGTGTGCGACCTGGCGTCTGCAGGTCAGGCCGGGCGGTGGGGCGCATCTCAGGTGCGTGCTCTGGACACCGGTGTGATGTCACAGGAGTGTGCTGGGGGGTTGTGCTCCCTTCTGACTTGTACACGGGGCCCACTTTTCTGACGTGGAGGTTATTCCTGGCACATTTGTGCAGGTGCATCAGGGTGGCCTTGACCTCAGAAGCGGGCTCTGACCCTGAGTCAGTTGTCGGAGCCGCCTGCTTGTTCCGCAGATTTGCAACCCCTACGGAAGATATGTAGAACCAACACTCACGGTGTAGATGAGTAAACCTTCGTCGTTCCTACCTTCAGTTCATCTGTGGGTCTAGCTGGGTCCCTCTGGGAGTCCCCTGCAGAAGGACACGTGGAACAGCAGCATCCGGGGAGCCTGGGGGGGTGCCCCACACCCAGCCAGGTGCCAAGAAAACGGGCTGCCAGCTCAGGCCACCTCGGCATCGGCCGGGCCTCAGACCCTCCGGTGCAGGCTGCGCAGCTAAGCCTCTTCTGGCTGAGTGGCTATGGGGGCGCTGGGAGCGGCCTGCGGGGCTGCTCTCAGTGCGAGTCTTGGCCGTAAGGCTTGTGATGCTGGGTTTTAGGTCTGATGACATAAAAGAGAGTGACAGACTGCTGTCACAAAGGCTTTATCCCAAAACTAGAAAAAATACAGTGCAGCTGGGAGACAAAATGGTAGACTGTGTTCAGTTTCTTGAGCATTCTGTGTACCCAGTCCCTTAAGAAAATTACAAAGTCCAGAAAGTTCTGAACACAAAAATAATTTTATAATTTTGGGTTACAAGGCCTGACCTGACCAGAGCTCATCAGGCAACAGGAGGACCTACACTTACACGAGGCTCAATGACATGTTTTTTGCATTTTTGTGCTTTTTTGCGTGGTTTGCTGTATGAAAACAACCTGAAACACTATTGTGTTCCTAAATACAAGGAGGCTGCTGTGTCTTGTGGAGAAAACATTTATTAGTTGAGCTTCATTCCACAAGTTCTGGTGCTGATGAATCAGCCATGTAGGTGATGCTGGGTGTCGTAAACAGACGCACATGACACGGACGAGCTGACGTAGTGCTGAGACAGGAACCTAATTCTGTACCCCCAGGAGCCGTGGCTCAGCACCACACCTTTGAACGTCACTGCTGTGTGTGGTGGGAGTGGGCTGGGTCCCTGCCTGGATGTCTGAGTGGCGCTGCGGACTCCCTCTGAGGGATGGTCTCAGCGCTGTGCTTTCTTGCTTCCAGTGCACGACCTGCGACAGCAGATGACGGCCTTGCAGAGCCAGCTGCGGCAAGTGCAGCTGGAGCGCACGACGCTCACCAGCAGGCTGAAGGCGTCCCAGGCGGAAATCGCGTCTCTGCAGAGCGTTCGGCAGTGGTACCAGCAGCAGCTTGCCTTGGCCCAGGAGGCACGGGTCAGACTGCAGGGCGAGATGGCGCACATCCAGGTATGGCCCCAACAGTGCCGGGCAGCTCATGCTTCGTGTTCCACGTGAAGCAATTGCTTTTCTCCAAATTAGAAAGACTTCTGCTTCCTGGATTTCACAGATGCATTTTTTAAAAACCTGCTAACCAGTCATGTAGCTTGTACCTACCCTGTAGAGTAAGTGCCTTCATGACCTTCTGACACAGGGCGTCTCACAGCCTCTGCTTTAGCACATCTAACACTAAAATGCTCCTCTCTGGAACGTCCTGTGTCCCCAGTTCCGACCGCTAGGACTCATCATCAGGACTCAAAAACAGCTGAGTCTGCCTGGTCTCCGCCCTCCTGTGACTGGTTTGTGACATGCACAGGGCAGAGGTGCGCCTTCCTTTCCCAGCTGGAGCTTCTCCCTCTCAAGCTGCTGGATGGCCATCGATAGGCAGAGACTCTCGCCCTGGCGGCCTGGGGCGCGGGCTGGTCTGCACTTGTGCCTGAAATCTAGCAACTCTCCACCTTATGTTTTCTTTGCAGGTTGGACAGATGACCCAGACAGGCCTCCTGGAGCACCTGAAGCTGGAGAATGTGTCCCTGTCACAGCAGCTGACGGAGACCCAGCACAGATCCATCAAGGAGAAGGAGCGCATAGCCCTGCAGCTCCAGGGCATCGAGGTGAGGACCAGGCCATCCTGCGGTCTCGGCATGTTGCTGGGTGTTTGGTTTTGGGTTTTTTGTTTTTGGATTGGGCTTTTTTTGGACACTGGTTAAGGTTAAAATATACAAATACATACCTACACATAAACAATATTTTACATATACATTTGTATATCTTTTAAAATATCAAACAACCTGCAGTGGTTAGGTGTCGGGATTCAGTTCCTCACATCCTCTCACAGAATGGTCAGTGGTAGCTCCTCCCCCCTGACCCACGGGGGGCGTGGGTCCCGGCCCTCAGCCCAGTGGCAGGTGGTGCTGGGCGGAGAGTGGGCAGGGGAAGGGGTCTAGCGCAGTGCATGTCTGAGAGTGCTGTAGAGCCGGGCGGCAACAAGTGTTTTCGTGTCTGGGAGCACCCAGCCTTTGTTACTCTCCCATCCTGCAGCATGTGCAGGGTCAGGGTCGGGGTCGGGGTCGGGGTCAGGGCAGTGGCCCCACAGGTGGTCTCCAGGGCAGTGGGACGCTGCAGCTTGGCCCAAGACCCGGTACCTATTCTTTGTCAAGCTGTGAGACCGTGGATGACTTCTTGACCTTTCTGAGCCTTGTTCCCTTTTTAATAAAGTAGAGTCATAGTACCTACTTCTTAGGCTTGTTGGGAGAAGTGAAGCAGAGAAAAGGGCCTGTGGCATTTCGGGGGTGGAGCGTGGCAGTCTTGTCACTGGCCTTTGAGTCACACAGAAGGTCAGTGTCCAGCACCTGGTGTGGCCCCTCTCCCCCGCTTCTCTGCACGTGGCCTTTGTCCTCACAGGTGGTGTGGATGAGGGGAGAGTCACGTTGTGAAAACCGTGTTCTTCACAGGCTCTAGCCTCAAAGAACTGGAAGCTTCTAAGTTACAAGCTAACATTTTTATCCCTGTGAGACACACCTGGATGTTGGGTCTCATCTTCAAAGTCAGAATGTAAGGGCTCCCGTATTGTCCCACCACCCTGGTCTCTGGCTTTACCAAGTGGCATTGAGCTCGTCCTGTGACAGGGGATGTTCCCTGTGTCACGCCCCAGTGTCCTACCTCTGGGACACACTGCAGCGCTTTTTCATGTGACAGGCAGCATGAGGTGTCATTTGTCACTTTATCCCAGGTCCTTAGTTGTCTGCTTGCTTCTCCTTCCAGCCGGACCTGAGGGTCAGCATCGAGGAGGACCATGGGCAGAGAGCAGGCAAATGGCCTGTGTGCAGTGGGAGGTCACCAGCCTTCCACTCCGGTGGCCCTTGGCTCCTCCGTTCACAGGTCATAGGCGGACGGTGATGTGGACGAGGACCCTAACCAGTTGGAGGGTTTCCTGTCAATCTGCTGCGGCCTCCAGGTTATCCTGTTTTTAAAACACACTCTCTTCGGTTCCAGGCTGACATGTTGGACCAAGAAGCTGCCTTCGTGCAGATTCAAGAGGCGAAGACGATGGTGGAGGAGGACCTGCAGCGGAGGCTGGAGGAGTTTGAGGAGGAGAAGGAGCAGCTGCAGAGCATGGCGGCCTCAGCAGCAGCCCTGGAGCAGCAGCTGGAGCAGGCAAGGCTCTGCCGCAGCCCCACAGAGGCGCCCGGGCCGCACACGGCGGCCTCGCGTGACTGGCCTTGCCGTGTGCATTGGTGCTGGTCCACCTGCCAAATCCATTTCCGTGTCACGCCACCAGACCGGGCTGCTATCGCAGACCCGGCCGAGTGCTTGCTCCTGCAGGTGTTCTTGTACGCCGGACCGTCACGCACAGGACGCTGCCTGCACAGCGTCCATGCAGGTTATCTCAGACCTGAACAGGGCAGCAGTGTAAGTTCCGGAGTGGGCGGTCACACCGAGTCTGGTCCCTTTTACAGGTGAAGTTGACCCTGCACCAGCGAGACCAGCAGCTCCAGGCCTTGCAGCAGGAGCACCTGGACCTGCTAAAGCAGTTCACCTCGACCCAGGAGATGCTGCAGAGCCGGGAGCAGGCCCTTGGTGACCTGCAGGTGCGCTACGATGATCTGCAAGCGCGGCTGGAGGAGCTGCAAGGCGAAGCCACCTCCAAGGACGACACCATCCACTTCCTGCAGAAGGAGAAGATTGTCTTGGAGGTGGCCCTGCAGGCAGCCAGGAGCGGTGGGGAGGAGCTTGACAGAGGAGCCAGACGCTTGGAAGAAGGTGCTGAGGAGACGTCGGAAATTTTGGAGGAGCTGAGACAGGAATTAGCCGTCAAGTCCAGCCAGGTAATGACACTTGCCGTCATTTTGTACAAGTTGCAATCACGCACGTGAGTGTCGACACTGATGGTTCGGTGCTTTCTTGAAACGCCCTGTTTTACAAACGTGAAATGTGCCCAGGGCTGGGCCCAGGGCCTGGAGGTGGAAGGGCTCTCCTGCTGGTGGTGGGCGCCAGGCCTCTTCAGCTGCTGGGCGCGCAGAGGCTGAGAGCCAGGAAGCAGTCGTGTCTGGGATTTGAAAGTGACCTGCCAGTAAACACACTTTCTGTCCATGGACGATGTGGAACTCATACAGGGAAAGTTGTGTGGGACTTCCGTCTTTTCCCTCCTGTGTGCCTGCGCAGTGGGACCCACAGGACACGGATGTGGGACAGTCTGATGTCGGCAGGTGAGGCGGGCGGATGGTCTGAGTGTCTGGGTGTGTGGATGTGACCTGGCACCCACACCTGGGAGCTGTTACGCCAACAGCTAACACGACTGGATGGAGACAAATGTTAAAAATAAGGACAGAACAAGAAAGCTGCAGACTGTGCAGAACTAGAGTTGGAGTCAGGGAGTGCTTTTGTCTTCAGGTCCCACCATATAAGCAACAGGGCAAGAAAAAAAATCCATGGTATTTTCCTTTGGGGAAATAAAATCGGGGGAGGCTGTGTTTTCTCTGCAGACGATGACCAAGCTAAGTTACCTCCAAGAACAGATACAGAGGCAGCTTTTCAAACCAGCAGGGATGTCGTTATAGGAGTTGTGCAAATTCTTTGGGTAAATTTAAGTTTGATTTTACTGAATGTTAGTAAGGGGGACATCGGCTGATACTTGGAAAGCTCTGGAAGAGACAGTTGTTGGTACAAGGCACTATTGATCATGCTTCAGTTTTGCCTGTGTTATTAACCAAGTCACTGGTAGCGACACCTTGGATTAAAGTTATTATTTTAAAAATAGCGGACAGGAAGTGCGGTGACATTCCTGTCGCACTGGGAGCTGTTTTTCCTACGTTCACTCGGGAACCAAAGTGCTCGTGTGTCCCCGGTAGACACAGGGCCCCGGGAGCCGTCAGTAATGCCTGCGCATGCATGTCCCCCGTAGGTGGAGCACCTGCAGGAGGAGGCTGCCTCTCTGAAAAAGCAGACGCAGAAAATAAAGGAACAGTTTCTTCAACAAAAGGTAAAGCTGAGTTGTTGGTGTCCTTTATGTGAAACAAGTGTGTGAAAACAGTCTTCCAAGTGGTTTAATTACATCACTAGGACAAGTTGATCAAGACCAGGGTAGCATCTAGATGCCTTCAATTTTTAAAGGCACTTCCTTGATCCTGAAACATGCCCCTTACCCTCCCGTGTAAAGTCTCCAGAATCAGGTGGGTCCACAGTGGGGCTGGTGACCGATCAGGCAGACCATGCCCTGTGGTCACAGCAGAGAGTGTGCATCACCACCACACAGGCTGAGCTTCTGTTTATCACACGCTTGGAGAGCGACACTTGTGACCCAGCGTTGACAGAGGTCGTGGTGCACACGTGGTACACACTGGTTCGTGAAGCCCATCCATGTGGGGGCATGAGAGTGTTGCCAGCACAGGGTCTGAGGAGGGCTGGCCCCTGAGGGTGCGCCGAGTGGTGTGGGTGTTACTACCAGCCAGGGGCGCGGCTCGGAGAAGGGATTGCCACGCTCTCGGGAGGACGGGTGACGAAGGCGTAACGAAGGCTACCTGGCATAGTAGCTCCGTGCTTTGCCCAACGCGTTCAGGAGCAAAATGGTGGGTGTCTCAGTTGACAGTGTCCTTGGCTTGGTGAAGTGTTATCTTTAGCCCCAGACAAGCTATGAGCATTTTTTAAAATATTTTATTCATTTTTAGAGAAATGGGAAGGGAGGGAGAGAAACATCAATGTGCGAGAGAGACATCCATCGGTTGTCTCTCGCACACCCCCAACCAGGAACCCGGCCTGCAACCCAGGCCTGTGCTGACTGGGAACCCAGCCAGCGGCCTTTTGGTTTGTGGGGTGGTGCCCAGCCCACGGACCCTCGCCATGCAGAGTCTATGCGCATTTTTGTGTAAGCTGCCTGTCCCCGGGGGCCCCGGCCACACTGGCTGCAGCTCTGTCCTGCCAGGTGATGGTGGAGGCCTACCGACGGGACGCTGCCTCCAGAGACCAGCTCATCAGCGAGCTCAAGGCCACAAAGAAGAGGCTGGACACGGAGGTGAAGGAGCTGAGGCGAGAGCTGATCCAGCTCCAAGGGGACAAGAAGTCCGTGGAGGCGGAGCGGGCGCGCTTACAGAAGGAGGTCTCCCAGGCCCAGCAGCAGATGGCAGCTCTCGAAGGGCAACTGGAGTCAGTGCAGCGGGAGCGCGACGCGATGGAGACACACCTGCAGGTCTGCAGATGCGCTAACGCTGAAGGCTTGGCTGTCCGGGCTCTCTTGGGGGTGGGGCAGGGGGCGTTCAGCAGTGAGGGCCACAGGCCCCTGCAAGCAGGTGACGTTGATTTGCGTGCAGGAGAGTTGGCGCCACGCAGAGCCAGGGGTCAGCTGGGCCTGAGGGACGACAGGGAGCCCCAGGCTGCAGCAGCTGGTTCAGCCTCTGGGAGCGGGGGGCTGGTGAGGGTGTGGAGGGCCGCCGGCGTGGAGGGGCCCCCAAGCAGGTCTTGCGGTGGAAGACAGCCCAGGGCGCAGGCAGGAGCCTGGCGGAGATGGCGGTGCTGCGAGGGCCACGGTGCCTGAGAGGGTGGGGAGAGCGAGGCCTCCGCCCGGGGTCCTGTGGGGCTGAGGGGCGTTTCCTGAGATGAGAAACGCGGGGACACGGCGAACCAAGGCCTTGGGTGTGTGAGGGTTTTGAAGTCGCAGGAGAGGGCCAGGCAGGATGCAGGTTGGGCAGATGGGCTGGAGGCTGCAAACTAAGAGTTTTGGGGAGAGACGGCGTCAGAGCAGTGTGTGTGCGGGTGGAGCTGCGGGAGCGGGGCACTCGGTGTGGCCACGTCCTGGGTGTGCTCAGGGCAGCAGGCGGAGCCGGGAGGAGGCCGAGGCTCTTGAACCAGTTTGCCGTCCCTCCCACAGGGGCTGGGGAGCCCGGGTGAAGGGGTTGTTCCTGGTGTTCCTTCCGTCACTGTGACACGGGCAACTGGGATGCCTGGCCTCTCTGACATGGTCCGTTATAAAAGGGCAGAGTTCTCTGTCAGGACCTTCAAACCCCATGTGCTCAAGGCTGCCCTGAAATGGGACCTCGTGCCTGGGGTGCATCCAGAATTGGGTTGCTATGCAGGTGTGGCTTTGCTCTCACTGGCTTCTCCCTCCTGTGAAGTCTCTGCAGTTTGAGAAGCAGCAGGTGGCTGCACTGACGGAAGCCAACGAGGTGCTCAAGTCACAGATTGAAGAACTGCGGCAGGGAGCCGCCAGGTGAGCCTGGGCCTCACCCTCCCTGTTTGTATTTCTGTTTTTGAGTTTTGTGTGCTCTGCTTGGTGGACACCAGCCCCCCACACACCGCCCCAGCACACCGCGCACGTAGGCTCTGCTCGTGTCAGCCCATGATGTACTCGTGACCCCATGGTCGGGTTCATCGCTCTGTTGTTTTGGAGGAGCTGGGTGGGTTTGAACAGAGTGCTGGGCGCTGTGGGGCTGCAGATACCTGTCACGTCCAGGGGTCTTGGATCTGGGGATGCAGGATCAGGAGAGATGGGGCTGGGGACAGATACGGGGGATTTAAGCCTGTCCCCTCCACCACACCCCAGGGCGATCACCGAACAGAAGCAGAGGGTGACGCGTCTGGGCTCGGACCTGAGCAGCGCTCAGAAGGAGATGAAGAGCAAGCACAAGGCCTACGAGAGCGCTGTGAGCATCCTCAGCCGCCGCCTGCAGGAGGCCCTCACGGCCAAGGAGGCGGCCGAGGCCGAGCTGAGCCAGCTGAGAGCCCAGGCGGCTGGCGGCCCCAGTGACCTCACGCTGCACGTGCGTACCACATCTGCTCCGGCCGTCATGGGTTCCCAGGGTGGGGATGTGAAGGGACACGAGCATTTCCCCGGAAAGCCTCGCAGAAACCCCGGAGGGGCGGAGGGCAGCAGCAGCAGTTCGCTAAAGTCCGACATGGTGTCGACGTGGCCAGAGACGGGAGCTGCACTCAGGTCCTCTCACTCGGTCCCTGTGAACCTGTGGGGCGTGCGGGGTCGGCTCAGGCACTGGACACCCGGTCTTCAGGCAGGGCCCACGGTGCACTTGCCGCGTTGGCTCCTTCGTGCCCCTGCGGTGTCTGGGGGGATTTCTGTGAGCAGTGTTGGGGGGCTTGTGAGGGTTTAGGTGTGTGGGGGACAGTCAAGAAAATCTTTTTTTTTTTTTTTTTAATTTATTTTTTCAAATAAGAAAATCTTTTCAGAGTAGTGGGCATTTGAGTGGCCCTGAACAACCAAGGGGTGGACAGGTTGGCATCGCCACAGAGGAAGGGCCTGCGTGGCGTGAAGGGGTCAGGCCATGTATCACGCTGACAGACGGCTCGGGGGGCGGGCCTGTGGCTGTCTTGCTGAGGGACAGTGATGACAGGAGAAGCTGCGATGGGGAGAGTGGGGAGTGGGGCACTCGGGCCCCCTGGTGTGAGCCAGCCTCCAGGTGCAGGCGGGGCAGGCGGCTCTGCTGGGGCGAGGCCTCGTCCTGGAGGAATCAGAAGGGGGTCCGTGTCAAGAGCCCAGAGCCTTCGGCTTGCAGATGGCTCTTACGGTCCAGGTGGGCTGGATCCTGAGCAGCGCGGAGGACAGCAGCAGGCGGGAGCCCCCTCTGCGGATGGGTGGGGGCGCCTGAGTTCATACGTGAAGGCTCCCAGGCTCGCTTGGGACCCCTGCCAGCTTTGGTTCCGACTCTTTCACGTTTGCTACTCCGTAAAGTTCTGTCTGAGTAAATTAATTCACATTTCATTTGTTACTCTCCAATTTGAGTTACTTCACTTAACGTTTAGTAATTGTATTCTCACATGAAGTTTGTTTCTGTCGCCTTTGTTTATCATAGCATGATTTTTTTTTGCCAAGTTAAATACTCCTCATCTGCTTACTCTGTAAAATAATCAAAACAGAATTTATTCAATTACAGTTTCCCTTCCACTGTAAAACATTTCTGTTTTTTTAATCCCTCAGCTTATGTGGTAGGTGGGAGGGTGTAAAGCCTGGAGACTTTGCCCTCTGCTTGCTGCACGAGCTCAGCTTGAGCTCACCTGAGAGCCACACACAGAAGGTGGGCTGTGGGCAGGTCACACACCTTCCTGAGTCTGAGTAAATAGGCCCCTCATTGGGAGGCTCACTGAAGAGACAGGTGTGAAGATCTCAGAACAGCCCTGTGCCCTAGCAGCAGCAAGAGTGTGTGTGCACGCAGTGGTTAGTTAGGTCCTGCTGTTGATGCTGTTGATGTGGTCAGCAGCCTCTTGGGTCAGGCAATGCAGGGCTACACAGGACGGAGGTCAGCACCAGCCATGGCCATATTGAAGCCTGTGACTCTGTCTATTTTCCTGTCCTGCTGTTAGGAGAGAATCCAGGCCCTGGAGTTGGAGCTGCAGACTGTGGGCCACAGCAAGGTGATGCTGGAGAAGGAGCTGCAGGAGGTCATCGCACTGACCAGCCAGGAACTGGAGGAGTACCGGGAGAAGGTGCTGGAGCTGGAGGACGAGGTAGGTGAGCTCGTGGCCGTGCTCCCGTGCGGCTCTAGAGCAGAGAGAAGGGGCCCAGGAGCATCAGCCTGGCTGGCCTGGGTGCCCGACCTGACTGCTCTGCTCTCCACACCCATCTGACCACTTCTCTGGATCTTTGACCACCCAAGTATAGGCTGCGCCCCTCCCCCTGAAACACACGGTAACACCAGCCCCTAGCAGGGACATGTCCACTGCCTCCCGTGTGATGGGCATCAGGAGCCTTGTGGTAGCTGTGTTCCTCCTTGCAACATTCTCGTTGTCAATTCCAAGAAGCACAGCTCAGACGGGCTGGACCTTGAAGGCTCATAGGGGAATGACTGTCAGGCCCTGGGTGTCTGTAGCTGCGTTTTATGTTGGCTGTTCTGTTCCCAGTGGGTGAGGGCTCTGCCGACCAGAACACGTGACTGTATAACGTCACTCGGACTTGTTTCAGCTTCAGGAATCCAGGGGCTTTAGGAGAAAGATAAAGCACCTCGAGGAGTCAAACAAGAAGTTAGCTCTGGAGTTGGAGCACGAGCGAGGGAAGCTCACGGGCCTCGGCCAGTCGAGCGCGGCTTTACGAGAGCACAACAGCGTGTTGGAGACAGCGCTGGCCAAGAGGGAGGCCGACCTCGTGGAGCTGAACCTCCAGGTATCAGGCTCAGTCATCGCAGCTCCTCCAGGAAGAGCACGGCACCCACCGCACATGTGCCCAGGGGCCTAGAACCAGCCCACCACTTAGTCCCGGGAGGGCTTGGAGTGGGCAGCTCGTGCTGGACTGGGGCAGTTGCTTGTCTGTAAGGGACTAACCCCAGCAGGGGTCTGGCTCCAGACCATGCTCTCGGCTCAGGCTCCAAAGCTTCTGGGGTCGGGGAGAGCTGGGTATTTAAGGGATGTCCTCCTATGGCTCTCAACGGCCTTGGGTTTTCCAGCCATCAGAGACCTCACAGATTTCTGTTTGGCTCTGGTCCCCCATGTGACACCAATTGCGGTGGCCCATGCTTTGTCCCAGGCTCTGTAGGCTGTGACATTGGGGTCCTTCCTGACTGATCTCCTTGGTGCTGCGCTGCAGGTTCAGGCCATCATGCAGCGCAAGCAGGAGGAGGACCGCCAGATGAGGCACCTGGTGCAGACCTTACAAGCCGCCCTGGAGAGAGAGAAGCTGGAAGTGCACAGCCTCAGGGAACAGGTGTGTGGCTGGCGTCTGACCATGTCCGCAGCACAGCCGCATGCGGCCTTTGTGGGGCACGTTTTCAGTGTCTAAAACTGGGCACGGGCCCCTGACACAGCCATTTCCTCCGGGAACTTAATGTACAAGTACCTTTACGGACAGGTCCCAAGCACAGAGGTGGCATCGTGGCCTGGGTGACGGGGTCTGCAGAGCCCTGGTGCCCCTCCAGATAGGCGAGGGCAGAGGGGACACTGCACCTGCCGTGACTTCAGCTGAGGCCAGTGTGCTGCTTCCAGGTGGCTGCAGCCAAAGCAGAAGCAGGGCATAACCGCCGCCACTTCAAGGCCGCCACCTTGGAGCTGAGTGAGGTGAAGAAGGAACTGCAGGCCAAGGAGCTTCTGGTGCAGACACTGCAGGCAGAGGCTGAGCGTCTCCAGTGAGTGTCCTTGGGCGGAGGGCCGGCCACCACAGGGTCCCCACCAGGACTCTGTCCCACGTTGAGTTAGCACATTGCACACTCGGAGGTCACCATGTGAGCAGGCCTGGAAAGCAGATGTCTGATCTGTCTCAAGATGTCTGTGCTTAACCCCCACATTACAGTCACCATGCTGCTGTCCCCTCTGTGCCTCCACCCGCCCCTCCCTCCAGCCCTTCATTGAGGACAGAGCTTTTGGTGTGGGGGACGGGCCCCAACGGCTGTGCCCGCCTCTGAGACTCACTGTCAGCTCCAGCAAGGGCAGCCTCAAGTCACATGGGTTCAGGTCTCTGATACTGCCCCTCCTTCCATAATCTCAGGGGGCTGTGAGGCTCAGTCAAGACAGTGCATCAACCACCCCTAGACAGTCCCCACCCAGAGTGAGCAGCACATGGGCTCCCCCAGGACGGGTCACACAGAGCCGACGTGTTTGGGCTGAGGGGTAAGGTGGGCAGCACTCTGTCATTGCATCTGTCATGTTCTCCGTGCCAGGCTTCAGGAAGGGACACATGCCCAGGAAGTCGCACAGTTCCAGGCAGAGCTGGCAGAGGCGCGGACGCAGCTGCAGCTGTTGCAGAAGCAGCTGGATGAGCAGCTGAGCAGCCAGCCAGCAGGAAACCAGGAGGTAGGCGGGGGTGTGGCTCTGCCTCATGGTGACAGGACCTGCAGAGCTGGACTCTGCTGCTTCCCTGCCTGGTGGTACAGGGACAGTCATGTGTCCTAAGCGTGGCACTACACAAGACACAGAGATAAAGCACTTCTTGTTTAAGAAAGCCACTCTGAAATTCTTTTGCTCGTATGACTTTTTCCCTCCTGTAGATGGAAAACCTCAAGTGGGAGGTGGATCAGAAGGAGAGAGAAATCCAGTCCCTGAAGCAGCAGCTGGACCTGACTGAGCAGCAGAGCAGGCGGGAGCTGGACGGGGCTGAGCGGTCTCTGCAGGTACTGGGAGCACAGCCCGGGGTTGTTGGGCAGACTCCACCTCAGATAGCCACGGCACAGGCCGTCACTCCTGCCGCCGCTTCGGCGGTGACAGTGGGCCACGGGCCACGTCACCCCATCTCACGGGGATGTCCGGGTCATGCAGCGGGCAGAGATCGAGGACCCCAGAGCCTGGTGCTGTGCCCGGGCTGTGCTGGGGATGTAGCAATGCGTGACACAAAGACGCCCACAGGACAGTGTCCGGGGCAGTCCTGATCGCCGAGGGGGTTGGGAGCGTGACTTGTCTGTCGCTGCTCGACTGGCCACCAGAACTGACTTTCAGGCTCAGGAGCTGAGCGTGAAATTCGCACCGGGGACTCGGGCTCGTTGTGGGTGTGGTCATGGCAGCATCAACGGGGTGAGGGCACCACAGACTCATCTCCAGGAGGAACTGCAGCCGGGTGGGGGCTCCTGCAACAGCGCCTTGCTGCGTGGTCCCCTTAGACGCGCAACACGCAGGCAGACGTCTTGGGAGTGCATTTCAGACCCAGCTGTGAAAACTCTGCCGACTTGACTTCCCTTAGAACATCAAGTCTGAGCTGGAGATGGTGCAGGGAGACCTGTCCATGACCCAAAAGGACAAGTTCATGCTCCAGGCCAAAGTGTCGGAGCTGAAGAACAACATGAAAACTCTGCTGCAGCAGAACCAGCAGCTCAAGCTGGACCTGCGACGGGGTGCGGCCAAGATGGTAAGCAGGCCGTGGTGTCAGGCACGGGAACTGCAGGCTTGTGGAGGGGGCTGGGGGGGTCTCAGACGTAAAGTTGTATTCGACGCACATTCAGCAGCCCATGTGAAAATGTGGTGGAGAATTCTGCTTGGGCACCGGACCAAGTATTTATTTTGGTGCCTTTTCCAACAAAATGTTTGCTGCTTTTTATGATTTCGGGTACCATTTGTTGCCTGGGCTTTATAAACCAAATGAGGTCATGGTTCGCTGTGTTGACAAGATCCCTAGCCCCTCAGTGAGCGCGGCTGGGATGCAGCTGGGGCGCCGAAACCCCGGGACCCTGAGGCTGTGGTCACAGGCCCCTCTCAGATTGTCCGCGTGCCTACTGTTTGTCTCTTCTCGGCATATACTCCTGCTTTCCTGGTCAGAGAAGTAGCACAAATTCAGGGTTTTATTTAGCATCATTTGTCTATTTGTGCAGAAAGTTTGAAGTCTAGAAAGGGGAGTCATCTGAGTTGGAAAATTGACTTAATTTCTTAGGGAAACTCAGAGTCAGGGATGTGTTCTCTCATGGAAAGTCCTGCACGGGAGCTGGTGTTTAGGGCTCAGCTCTGTCCTGAGGAGCCAGGACCGTGTGTGTTCTGTTGTGAGCAGCAGGAAGGTTTTTCTCTGGCCAGCACTTGAGCTCCTGCAGCTGCCAGCTCAGTGGGTGCAGAGGACCCGATGTGCCTTCCCAGGGCCGTGTGAAGCGGAGACCACAGGGTGGGTGGTGGAGAGCTAACTATGTGCTATTACAAACAGAGAAAGGAACGGAGAGGCGAGGCCAGCCCTTCCAGCCCTGTGACGCCAGTGAAGATCCCCGACTGCCCGGTCCCGGCCGCGCTGCTGGAGGAGCTGCTGAGGCCCCCGCCCGCCGTGAGCAAGGAGCCCTTGAGGAACCTCAACAGCTGTCTCCAGCAACTGAAGTAAGAGGGGCTCTGTCTTGTGTTGCTTAGTCTCTGAGTCACCTGTTGAACTTGGCAGGGCCCCTGTTGCAGCACTGAATGCCCAGCCAGGGCTGGGCAGCTCTCTGTTAAGTGGGATCACTTTGTAAGGTGAGAGTTGCTTGCAGCTAAATGACCCTGAGAAGCCCTGTCACCAGGTCCTGAGCTCTTAAACTCCATTGGCTGAGGCTGTTGTTCAGAGGGTGTCGCCATGTGGGGACATGATTTATAGACCTTGTAAGGGAAGCCACTTATGAGTCCCTTGGCTCTGTCTTCCTTATGTCCCCAAACAGAAGATTGTGTGTGTGTGGAGCCTTGTGGCCTGTTGACCTCCACATGGCACCAAGAACAATGTCAAGAGTCCCTTAAGTTCTGTGCCTCGCGCGCCGCCCCCCGTCCCCAATCACCTTGCTGGTGCAAATAGAGAGGCTCCTTTGGTCCCTGAAGGCGCCAGACGTGTGAGTGAATGACCGTCCAGTTAAAGCCTGTTACGCTTCACGTCCATCTTGGGGAAGCGATGGCATCTGTCCTGGCTCGTCTCTGACTGGCCTTCCCACCTTTGCTCCCTGTGTTCCCAGGCAGGAGATGGACAGCCTACAGCGCCAGATGGAGGCACACGCTGTCACTGTTCATGAGTCGCTGTCCTCGTGGACTCCAGGGGACCCCGCCACCAGCCCTGCTTCCCCAGGCACCCATGCCAACCCCGGAGGAGACACAGAGCCACCTGATCCCAGCAGGGCATCCAGAGAGGGGCTGGGAATGGCAACCCCCAAGCATCCCCACCCTGAGTGTGTGTAACTGCCCGGATAGTCCCTCTCAAGGTTACGTATATGACTAAGCTCTGTTTCTTTTACCAATGGAATTTAAGTTGTGTGTTTGCCTTTATAAGGGGCAAAATAACAAGAGCCACCTGCAGACCACAACCACCTTCCCCACAAAGTGACCAAACCTTAAAATCCTGGGTGAGCTTTTGGTGACGGTGTTGGAAGGTCTCTGAGGGTCACTTGCAGGAGACAAAACCTCACAAGTGACCTAGACGCGGCTTTGCAGCCACTGGTCCTGGGGAACCTGGTCGTGGGTCTACTTCCTCACTCCCCGTGGGACCCAGTACAAGTTCACCTCCTGCGGAAGTGAAACTTTATTTGCACCTTCGGTTTTTATTTTATTTTCATAGCCATCCCACCATAGGACATGTATGTAAATACTGAGAATCATAATCTAATCTTTAAAAAGTATGTCCTCAAATTATTTAAAAAGACCTAAATTGTCTGCTTTTTGATGATTGCCTTTTGAAAATCTGCTGTTAGGAAATAATGTACATGTAGGATTAAGGGATGTCAGTCAGAAAATTATATTTTAAGAAACAATTATTTTATTTACCTTTAAAACCAAATATTCTTAGACAAAGAGCATTCTGGTTTTTGTTTCACTTTGAGTGTCTTTTCCTTGTCATAAGTGCACAATGTCCACCTGTCCTGATTCTGCTTGACCTCACCCTGACCATCCCCCAGGGAGGCCCTGTGGTCACCAGGGGCGCCCAAAAGGATGCCACAGTCCCCACGTGTGGGCCTGACGTGTGAGGTCAAGGCACAGGCCGGGGGATAGGTGGGGCTCCAACCCAGATAACAGCTTCTCCAGGCTGCACCTTCTGTGCTCTGGGTGGCAGTATGCACCGAGACCTGTGGTCACTGGAGACATCAGAGACATGTGGGACTTGGTGGTGACCGCTATCAGGAAGTCCAAGATTCTTTAATGTCTCATCTGGAGCACAGTGAAGTTTCTGGAAGAGGCAGGTTGCCCCAAGGGAAAAAGGTGGTGAGGTCCCCACGCTCTCTCAAGTTGGAAAATCTGTCTGAAACCGGGCACCATGAGTATGTGAAGTTTGCCTGCACCTGTGGTTCTACCTGAGGCACTTACACCCAGAAGAAACTGACTGGTTATGGGACTTGAGAGCTGTAAACTTGTCCCCAAGTTTGCTAGGAAAACCTAAAATATTTATTTTAACAAGTTAGATCTGCTGCTCTGAAGGTGAAATGATGTGTTCAGACCCAGCATCACGCGAGCCTTGTGTGACTTGTGTCTCATTTGTGGAGAAGAGGCTGTTTTTAAGCTGTGTTCTCTTACGCTGTCAGAAGGTTCATTGATAAAGTAGTGTTAACACAAAGATGTTGTTTAAAAAAGGTTCCCTAGCAAGTATTGGGACTTCTAAAAAACGTGTCTCATTTGTACAGGGTCAATCTTGAATACTTGAAAACTCATCATAAATGTATTCTACTTTGCATAATAGTTGGAAATCATCTTTGAAAAAAATTGTTTTTCTACCATTGGAAGAGAAAGATGATAATTTATGTTATTTTGGCTGCATTACCCTTGTTTTAATTTTAAAACCAAGAAATGGCCCTCAGCTCCAGATGCCACGGAAGGCCCGCCAGTCGTCATTGCGTCCTTTCTCTTAGGAAACATTAATTCTGAGTGTGTCCGGCAAGGGGAGGCCAGTCTGTCCTCAACCCCTTCCTTGGTCTGGCCACCCTCCACATGCACGTGTGCACACGCGTTCTCGGGCTGCTTGTCCTTGCTCTGTGCCACCTTCGTCTTCAGTTCCCATACTTCAGTCCAGCCAGCGCCCGGCTGGCTTTGGGCTGGAATTCAGGAGCTCACGTGATGTTTCCTGCGGGCTCCTGCTTTCTTATCTCCACGGGACTCTACTGTCACTTCTACCTCCCAACGAGTGAAACATTCTTCTGTGTGGGAACAAGTGGGAATTAGGAATTGACTCGTGAAAACCAGCAGTCGCATCCAGAGTATCTGTAACGACAAGCTCCCCACTGCACTGGATTGGTGTGTCTTTTTCATCCTGTGTGTGAACACGCCGTCACACCCTCACTCAGAGGATGCTGGCTTGGACACCTCATGATGTCATTACTTGCTTTTCTTAAGTTGCAAAAAAATACTTACTGCAATGAGATTATCATTCATTTCTCCACAATATGTATCAGGTCGATGCCACAGATCTGACAGGTTTTGTCCTACAGGGTGGGGCGAAAGGAGGTTTATAGTTGTTCGTGTGGAAAATCATACACGGCCGCCGGCACGGGGGTCAACTTGCTTCCGGCACTCAGAGCTGCAGGCCTGCCCTGCCCTGCGCTGTGTCTGGCGGGGAACGGGCTCCAGGTCCCAGGGGCCGGGCGCCGGTGGCCTCACCGGGCCCCTCGCCGCGTAGGCCTTTCCTGGTCTAGGGTTACTGCAGAGTCACCGCGACATACATTTCTACTTCATGTGTATTTTTTTAACAAAAATTAAATGTGTAAATATTTCTGGCAGCAAGAGGGACCAGCGTGTCTGAAATGTCCCTTCTTGAGGGACCCCCGCAACGTGGACAGTGCAGTGACACGCGGGACCCTCAGCCTTATTCACACACGTCCAGTGACCACGTCCCAGGCGAATCCCGTGTGTGGTGGTCTCAGGTTATAACAGGGTCCTCGGGGAATGCTGGAGAGTCTAGAAAGCGCGGAGGTCCTAAGTTATTTATTTCGTTAGAAATTTCCTCATAAAAGGGAGTCCTCAGGTTGGGGCTGTTCAGGAGAAAGCTGTCACCATGCACAACAAATTGTAACTTTAAAAAGCATGTTGATTTTTTTTTTTTTTATAAATTTAAGCGTGCTTGGGAATTCCTTAAAATTTGTGCAATAAACTATTTTTTGTTAAAGATTTTCAAATTTCATTGGGTTCATATGTGGTCATATTTGGGCGTGACTTTTATCTCATGTTATTACGCAGTCTGTTCCCATACTTGAAAGAATTTACTGTTTTGCCCCAGTTTCAGACGGGCCGTGAAATCCAGCTCTGGCGGCGTGGCAACAGCGCCACAGCCGCTCTGACCCGTGGTGGCCCTTCCGGTCCCCACGTCGCTGCTGCCACGTGCAGTCGGTGCCAGGAGGGGCGTCCGCACAAGCGGGAAGGTTTCGAGCGAGCGAGAGGCGGCGGCGCCGCTCCCACGCCGCACGCGTGTCCGTACACGGGGGCCCTGCAGTCGCTCGCGCTGACGGCAGCGGGACTGAGTCTCAGTTCCGCGGCCCCGGCTTCACCCTTTCCATGCTCACTCCTGGGGAGGAGAGCGGCCCAGACGGGAGTCGGGGGCAGCGCGCCGCTCTCCCGCTTCCGGGGGAGCCCGCCGCACCCGCGTCGGGAGGCCCACCGGCTCGGGCTAAGAGAGCGACGGGCACGGCTGCACCGCCACAGGAAACGTTCTCCCGAAAACGCGCTGCCGCCGGGGGCCTCCGGCCTCCTGCGCGGGAGGTGGACCTGCCGACAAAGCCGAGGAAACAGCGCCGTCCAGGAGCGCAGCACCAGGGAGACCGGAGCCGCCCTCCGCCGCGAGCCGCCGAGACACGCCCCCTGACCGCGCCCGCCTCAGGGCCCCGCGTTTCGGGCTGCCCGCGTCGTGCCTAACGGCGTGCGTTCGCCCGCCCCCAGCCCTCAGAGGTCGGGGCCACAGTCGCACTTCCTCGCTGGTCGCCGGACGCGGGTGTGAGCCTTCTAACCCGCGCGTGTAGTCGCGGCCCCGCGCCGGCCGAGCCCCGTGAGCGGCACCGTCAGGCAGTGGTGTGGGCAACCCGGGATGCGGGGTCCTAAAGGGCGCGAGTCTCCTCGGCGGCGGCGGCGGCGGCGGCGGCGGCGAGGAGGGCGGCGGCGATGCTGTGGCAGCGGCTGGTGGCCACAGAGTGGGCAGCGCTGGCCTGGGAGCTGCTGGGGGCCTCGGTGCTGCTGTTCGCGGTTCGCTGGCTGGTGTGGCGGCTGGAGAGGCGGCCGCGGGGCCTTGGCCGGAGCGCGTCCGCCGCCCCGCCTCCCCGCGCGGCTGTGGACCCGGCCCCCGACCCAGGTAAGGGCCCTCCGCTCCCTCCTCCCGGGCGGGCCCCGCCCCGGGCGGTTCTGGGGAGAGACCGGGAGTAACACTCCGGTGTCCTTAACGTGCGGACGACGGCCCAGCGCCGAGGCCGGCCGCCCGCGCCGCGTCTGTGGGCCGTTTTGTCTGTCTCTGCCTGTCGGAGCCTCGTTGCCCGGGAGCCTCCCGTCCTTTGTCTGCGCTTCCCTTCGTCCGGTGCCCACCCGTGTCCCCTTCCCGCCTCCCGCACCCGCCTCGTTCTCGCGTCCTCGCCCTGTGCCTGCGTGTCACGTTTCTCGAGCGTTCCTATGGAAAAGTGAAGTTTTTTGAGCAGAAAGCGGAATTGACGACCCCGCCTTGGAACCTCGGGGCCGAAGGGTCCTTGGGGGTGACACGTCGCGGCTGAGGGCCGGCCCTGCGGGGCGACCCCGGGTGTCGGCGAGCCCGGCGCGGACGTGGCCCGTGGACGCCGGGTCCGGGCCGCGGTCCGGGCCGTTGCGTTGCCGGTTGTCCGCCTGCTCTCGCCCGGGAACAGGGCTTAGGCGGCGCCTTTAGCGACGTGCGGATCCGCCCAGTGACGCGGTCGGCACGGCCTGGAAACTCGCTGCGGGACACACGACGAGTGCGGCTGAGACTACAGTGTCTTTTTGTAGTAAAATTTCTTCTTAAATTTTTTCTCCTTTAATTTTAAACCATTTTCGACTTCTAAGAAGTTAACGGAAGTCGTGCAAAGAAACACATGGAAAAAGGTGTTCAGCATCACCAGTCACTGGCCACATGCAAATGCACGTACGCGATTAGAATGGCTTAAAAAAATGGCCTATATTCCAAACGCTGAGAAACAGGGTCTCCTTTACTGCTGGTGAAAATGCTGAACGTGCAGCAGCTCAGAAAACGTGCATTTTCTCAAAGCATTGAACCGGCCCTGCACTCCGGAGCGTTTCTCTAAGGAACTGATTTTCACTCAGAAACCCATACGTGACTTTTAAAACTTTATTCATGACGGTCAGAAACTGGAATCAGCTCAAATGTCCCTTGAGGGGTGCGTGTTAACACTGTCACACTGACTGGTTCATACCAGGGGATGCCACTCGGCAGCGAAACAGCTGCCTGTCCCCGCAGCAGCCTGCCCAGTTCTCGGGGGCGTTGTGCTGCGTGACAGAGCCGTCCTCCGAAGGTCTGCAGCGTGTGACTCTCTTTATATAATAGTCTCGAAATGACAGTAGCAGTAAAGAGCAGGTCAGGGCTGGGGACAGCGGCGAGGAAGTTGGCCGCGACGGAAGGTGCCGCAGCAGGGAGCGGTGCGCGGGCACTGAGCAGTTCAGAAATCGACTGTGGACCTACGGGGGTGGCGAAGGGCCGCGAATTCCATACAGGGGCTCACAGAAGGCGGCCCCCAGAAACGGGCGAGGCCGCCGTCTGGTCGGGTGTCAGTTCCTGTTTTGGGTCACGCGCTACAACGTTTAAGGTGTCGCCACTAAGGAAAGCTGCGTGATGGGTCCGCGTGACCTCTACTGTTTTTCAGCTTTTTGCCTTTGTAATTAGTTCAAAGTAAATAATTAAATCTGTAGGTGACTCGCTTGGATGTTAGTACCTTACACGATCACACTACAGGTAGGAAGACCAGGAATTACCATCCCGGGTCCCCAACCTTTTTGGCCCCAGGGACTGGTTTTGTGGAAGACGGTTTTTCCATGGACCTGGGGGTGGAGAATGGCTTCGGGATAATTCAAGCGCATTCCGTTCAGTGCTCGCCTCCTGCTGTGTGGCCCAGTTCCTAGCAGGCCTGCACCAGGACCTGTCCGTGGCCTGGAGGTTGGGGGCTCCTGAATCTGCACACCTAACTGGATTCCTTTTGTCTTTATGTGCCTGTCAGTCCGGGTTGGGCAGATACATCCGCTTCTAGTCCAAGGGTCCGCACACGATGGCCTGCAGACCACCTTTGTAATGGGGTCTCTCTGGAACACAGTCTCTCTCGTCTGTTGCTGTTCTTGACTGATGAGAGAGACCTACGGGTCTCAGAGCCTCAGCATTTACTCCCTGGCCTTCCAGAAATTTGCTAACTGCTGTTCTAGCCTCCCTCCCCTGAGTTGTAACCTCAGGAGCCACGACGGATCCTCACCAAGCCCAGAGTGCACAGAGAGGAGCTTCTAAACCACGAACCAGAGCCACTGAAAACCACATACCAGCTCCAGTCCGAGTCCCCGGCCCTTCTGTGTCCCTGTCCTTACAGTCACGTGGGGCTGCATGTCTGTTGGTACTGCATAGGTTCGTTCACCCTGTGTACTCTGTTACTAGTTTGTCATACGTTGGAGCCTATTTGTTTTGGCTTGGATTCCATTTGGGGGTCACCCCCCATCTTTTTGTTTGTTTACTTATTTTTGAGTATGTGAATCACAGACACATTTCTAGAAGTCAGAACATAAAGGCATATTCTCAAGTGCTGCTCTTCCTGCCCTGCAGGTAACTGGTCTCATAGGAGTTTCTGCTTCATCCTTTTTTTCTTAATATTAGTAACAGAGTGTGCTTTTTTACAGAATTAAACGCTTGCATTCCTTGATAGCTTATTGGCCGTGACTGGTGTCTGTGGATAATTTGTTCATGTCAAACTCAGTGGCATAAACTTTGCATGCATTATTGTATCCAATTTTCATTATAGCCTAAGAAGTAGAGCTAGTATGTCCATTTTGTAGGTGAGGAAGCTAATGAGTTTACATAACTTGCCCATGGCCACCCAGTGAGTGAGACGACACAGTGCGGTGTAACTGTCCTAGTTAGGGGTTGCCTAGTTACAGGGACCAAGTTCCCTTTAGGCATCTTAAAAGGTGCCTTCAGAGTAAGGACACGGGGATAGTATGAAACACAGAATATTGTCAGAAAGGGGTTCAGTTCTTCTCCATTCATAGCATCTTCTCCAGTGTCCCTACCCCTCAGACTTTGCTTTGCATGTGGCTCTGGCCTGCCCTGTCCCTTTCCGGTCAGGTCCCTATCACTGAGCCACCTGTGTGGCTCTCGTATCCCAGTGGGCGGAGAATTCCAGAGATGGAATCCAGCGCTCAGCCGCCCCGCCTTTAGAGGAGGGCTGTGCATTACACTCCTTGTTTATGAGACTGGTTCTGCTTTGCAAATAAGTAACAGCCGTTTTTGAAATCTTGGAGTTGGGGAGAGGGGCGCATCATAAAAGGTTTTTTTGAAAAGAAACAAAAATAGGATAATGTAATGAACCCCTTGTACCCGTCATCCAGCTGCAGCTGGTATTAATATTGTTTGCATTTTGTTTTCTCTGTCACTGATCCCTCTGTTTAGCTCTCCTGCTGGAGTAATTTAAAACCAATCCTGGAAGGCCTATTAGTTCATCTGTAAAGGCTTATTAAAGCATCTCCTCCTCAATAGTAATATTTCGTGTTAATGAAATTTTTTAATCTCCTGTCTTTTAATCTTTGGTGTTACTCAGATTCCCTTTTAGGCTCATTGTCTTTGTGTATTTGTTTCCCTGGATGAGTCCCTTCGATACTGTAACCACTATCTAGGTGCTAAGGACTGTGGATCTGTTTTCCTCCTCTCACCTTCTTGCCTTCTAAATCTCGACGTGAAAACTGAAGTGCCCACGTGGTGTGCAATAGGTGTTTCTGATGCTCGGTGCCGAAATCTCCACTTGTTCTGTGTCTGACATTCTCTGCTTCAGGAAGAATCACTTCCTGGACACCTGGGCTGAAGTCTAGGTGTCATCCAGACCAACTGCAGTCCCTCAGGGTCCTCGCGTGGCATCTGATCTGTCCACCTAAGAGCCCCTGTTCCAGGCTGGGCCCTTGTCTCGAGCCCCATTAATCACAGTGGTCAGCTGCCTGCTGATTCTTGCTGACCACACTTAAACCCATGTGCCATAGATTTAATTGCTGTTTCTGCAAGTGTATTGATTGGAGTGTATTGGGCAGCTCCAGCTCAAATCCATTTGTTTGGTAGCTGTATAACTTGAACAAGTTACTTAGCTTCTCTTTGTTTTGGGTTCTTCATCTGTAAAGTAGGGGGTGAATAGTGGTAATACTACCAGAGTTACTGTTTCTATTAAATAACTTCAGGTATATCGAGTGCTTGCAATAGCACCAGGCACATGGAAAGACAGACAAAAAATTAAACGAGCTATATGTTGTTACTAGGAGCAAAACCACTGCTAGAGCTATGTGGCCCCTCTGTTTTAAATCTTTGCATAATTTCTGTCACTTACAGAATAAAGTGCAAATGTATCTGTAGCATAAATTTCTGGAGTGGAGCTTTGATGGAAACTGTTCAGTTGTCTTCCTTGGTATTTGTTCCAAATTACAGTCCAATTAGCAATAAATGAGTGTGTCTGTTTCCCCTGCGCATTACCTGCCCGGAACGTTAGTGTGGCCCTGTTGTATAATTGTATTAGGTTATAAGATGCTTATCCAAATGAGCCAGAAACTGTGTGTCTTAATTTTGTTAATGTTATGATAGATTTGGAAACAAAAAATATAATGAAAATTCTCATAGGGAGTTGTAGACTCCAGAGAATATGGAGAAACATTGGATTGAAATGAAACTTTGAAGCCAGCTTTTTTTGCCACTTTTTTAAAAAACTGATTTTAGAGGAAGAGAGAGGCACCGATTTGTTGTTGCACTTACTTATGCATTCTTTGGTTGATTCTTATGTGTGCCCTGACCAGGCATTGAACCTGCAACCTTGGTGTTTCTGGATGATGCTCCAACCAACCGAGCCCCCCGGGCAGGGTGCCCCTTTTTTAAATGAGAAAACATGTACTAAGGGCCATCAAATTGATTTGTGTTGTTTTGGGCCTAGGTGAAATGGCAATGGACGCGGTCCTAGCCAGATTGAAACTCCTTAATCCAGATGACCTTAGAGCGGAAATTGTCAAAGCCGGATTGAAATGTGGACCCATTACCTCAACAACAAGGTTCATTTTTGAGAAGAAGTTGGCTCAGGCTCTCTTAGAGCATGGAAGCAGCCTGCCTTCACACGCTCCCGCCCAGACCCCCGCGGGTGCCACAGCTCTCAGCCAGAACACCCAGAGGGCTCCGAAGTTTGCCGCGGGGACCTCACCTGAGCAGGTCAGCTTTTCCGAAGACAGAGATTTTGGTCATAGCGTGGGCTTGAATCCTCCAGAGGAAGATGACCTGAAGTCGGAGACCTGCTCGGTGCCCCTCAGTGCTGTGGCTGCAGTTGACGGCCCCCAAACTGTGGTGAGGGCCTCTGCCGAGCCGCCTCTGTACTATGGGGTGTGTCCAGCCTACGAGGACGCCCCAGCGAGAAACGGTAATGTGACAAGCGCAGTATTTTTTACACAGGGAGGGGGTGCTTTAACCGTAGGGGCAAGGTGATCTTAAAAACCTGAACACTAGAGAGGAAGAAAGAATAATTTAGTCACCATAACCACACCATCCCAAGGTAACCGCTGTTGCATTTTTACATAGAACTCTCCTCGAAGTTTTAAAAAATCTATGTATGAATTTTTTAAAAAGAAAAAAATATATTTATTGGCTGGCTACTATTTGCGAATTTTTCATCTCCCTCCTTTTTTTCTTTTTCAACATAACCTGAACCCTGTTATGTTAATGAATGCAAATGGCCAATAAAGGTATAAATAATTTTCAACATCAAAGAATTGCAATTTGAAACCCATTAAATAGCATTGGGAAGAATTAACGAAAACTTGTTGCTTAGAATGTAACATATACAATACATAAAGTAAATGTGAAATTTTTTCCTCTTCCCCACTGAAATCTTACTGGAAGTTACCACTTAATGCCTGCTTTTGTGTATATAGGTGTATATAAGTGTACATTGTTTTATTTTAGTAAAAAAATGATTGAGTATAAGTGTCAAGTCAAAAAGAATACATTTTTAAACTGAAAGCTACTGCCCTCCCAAAGATGTTGCCATTTGTGGTGTGTAAGTAACTTTTCCAGTCTCTCTACAGTAAATATTGAGCTCATGTTTTTCTCTAAAAAGGTAAAATGGGTATCTTGTATCCATTCTGTCAGTCGTACTGCATGTTTCTGAATTTTCCTTTCTGTCGCTTGCATGAAGGAAAGTTCTATCTTGATTTACATTTAATTACTTTTTAAAATGTTTATAGTCTTCTTGTATTTATTTGACAAATTGCTTGGTCATACCTACTGACCATTTTTATTATTTTTTTAAACTTTTTAAAAATTTTATTTCATATATTTTTAGAGAGGGGAAGGGAGGTAGAAAGAGAGGGAAACATCAATGTGTGGTTGTTTCCCACACATGCCCACAACCCAGGCCTGCGCCCTGACTGGGGATCAAACCAGCGGCCCTTCTGTTCGCAGGACGGTGCTCCGTCCACGGAGCCGCACCAGCCGGGCCCTACTGGCCGTTTTTACTAGGCATCGGGCATTACCATTCTTCACTTATGTTGGTCAAAAATGTTTCCCCCCGTTCTGTCGTTGGTATGTTATGTGTTTTTGAGAGTCTCCTAGAGAGCTTGATTGTGACAGTTCCCTCGCAGAACTGTAATATTTTTATACAATCAAAACTTTATTTTTCTTCATGTATTCTGGGTTTCTAGGCTTCAAAAGGCATTCCCCACCCAAAATAATGTTTAAAATTCTTCTACATTGTTTTGCTAATATGTTCATAGTGTTAAAACTTGCTTTCTTTGTTATTTTTGTTTAGATCATTAACCCATGAATTTTATTTTTTAATATGGAGTTTTATATCCTTGGGTATAAAATTACATACATGTAAAATATGTATCATGTCACTTATATCCACACACATATATGATCAAGCTTATTGTGTTCTTTTGACCAGCCAGGGCCCTTTTCAGGATTAAAAATATGAAACGTTAATGTAAGAGAGAAGTCAGGCAGCCGGGGAACCCCTGTTCACCACTAAGCACAGGCCCTTTAGTGTGACTGAGTGACGGTGGCTCGCGTCACTTGTCTTCATGTTCCGCCTGTGACTTTCCACACAGAGAGGATTCATGTTTATGAAGATAAGAAGGAAGCATTGCAAGCTGTCAAAATGATCAAAGGATCCCGATTTAAAGCTTTTTCAAGCAGAGAAGATGCTGAGAAATTTGCTAGAGGAGTTTGTGATTATTTCCCTTCTCCAAGCAAAACTTCATCTCCACTTTCTCCTGTGAAGATAGCATCCCTCTCTAGCAATGGTGGGTTAAAAGGTACGTTATTGAGGTGTTTAAAACTTGACATTACTCTCAGATTTGTCCAGAAGTATTCTGTGCTCTCTTTCCTGATACATGGGAAATAGCTTTCTCTGCCTTTGGGAGAAGCCCAGCTGCCAGGAAGGGGAAGCCCAGGTGCGGAGCAGCTGGAAGGGGAGGGCTTGTTGGGCTGGTGTTGGGGGCCCAGGACCACGAGGGCAGAGGGGCGGGCTGGACCGGCCGGCAGCTGCTCTAGACCTCGACGCTGACGCGCTGTGGTTCAAGCAGCGGGAGGACCACCATCACCTCTTCTGTCCTGTCCCCTCTGTCTCCTCCTCTCCCTGTTGCCTGTTGCATTCAGGGGCATTTTGGTGCCAAGACCGGTCTGTTTCCCACTTCCGCCACACCTGTTTCTAGGACTGTGGCGCCAGCTTTGACCCAGACAATCCCTTTAGTCAGAAACCCGACCTCCTGGCTCAGAACCGGGTCTCGTGAGGGTGCCTTTGTCATCAGCTTTGTGCGGAGCCCTGGCTGCTGCCTCGCTCTCGTTCACTCTGGGCACTCCTGGCTGTCCTGCCTCCTAGGCGGGCCGGGCTTCCCGAGGCAGCCCCTCCTGGCAGGCACTTGGCCACCCGCCGAGACTCCCATCTGCCTCCTTTGCTCTGGCCCCGTTCTTGGCTGCACACGGGTGCGTCTTACAGGGAAGCCAGAAGGGTTCCAAGCCCCTGCAGGTCCCCCTCTGCACTGTTCGTGAAAATCTCCCCAAGCAGCTCTCTTTCAGACATCTTCAGGTGCTGCAGGGAAAGCGACGGAAGCCGCTTGGCTCGCTGCCTTTATGGGTGCTCCCTGCGCTTTGCAGATCTGGGGCAAGGCTGGTGGCCATGCGCCCCGCCCTGCTCCACCAGCAGAGCTCGATGCTCCTCCGCAGCTGGAGTCCTGGCCAGAGCCCAGCGCGCTGCTGCTCCTCGGGCACATGCTGCTGCTCCGTGTCGGTGCCGCTGCTAGAGGCCACGGCAGTGCCCTGCCTGCCCTGTTTCTTTGCTTTTTACTCCCAGCCTGATCACAGGCCTCGGGGGGCAGGTTTTTAGTGCCCTCAGTGCAGCCCATGGGGGTGCTGAGAAAATGTGTGTGAAATTGAATTTTTAAAAATATTGTATTTATTTTTAGAGAGAGGGGAACGCAGGGAGATAGAGAGGGAGAGAAACATCAAAGTGTGGTTGCCCCTTGCACGCCCCTCACCGGAGAGCCTGGCCCACAACCCAGGCCTGTGCCCTGGCTGGGGATTGAACTGGCGACCCTTTGGTTTGTAGGCCGGTGCTCAATCCACGGAGCCATTCCAGCCAGGGCAAATGATTTTTCATGTTTTTTGTTGTTTTTCTTTTAATAAGGTTTATCAAATGATTCTGTGTTACAGGTTTTTTCAGCTAACTGGTTTTTAGGTTTCATTTAGCTGTCCTATTGTTTTATTTCTTGTTGCCGTTATTGTTTGTTTTCTATTTACTTCAACCTTTGTCTTTATTTTTTTATTTCTCTTTTCTTTATTTTTAGTTTCTTTTCAAATCTGCATTAACTGTATATGTAATTTATTGAAATTAAATGTCCTTAAATTCTGTCCCTTAACAACAGATGGCTTGTGCTTATCAGAGTCAGAAACAGTAAACAAAGAACGAGCAAACAGCTATAAAAATCCCCGTACACAGGACCTCACTTCCAAACTGCGGAAAGCTGTGGAGCAGGGAGACACAGGCACCTTCCACAGCCTCGTCTGGAGTAACCCCCGGTACCTGATTGGTTCAGGGGACAACCCAACCATCGTACAGGTGAGCCTGCGTCCAGAACCATTTGCTCCACAACTGGGGGTAACGAATGAGGCTCAAAATCTGCGCTTTTCCTTCAGGAGGGATGTAGGTACAACGTCATGCATGTTGCTGCCAGAGAGAATCAGGCGTCCATCTGCCAGCTGACTCTGGAGACGCTGGAGGACCCTGAGTTTATGCAGCTCATGTACCCTGATGACTCCCCGGACATGCTGCAGAACCGCATTTGTTACATCCTCGACCTGTACCTGAACACGCCCGACAAGGGGGTGAGTGCGCCGCCTTCTCTTTCTCCAGAGACATCACAGCCAGCCTCACATTTAAAACAAGACCTGTGCACCTGGCTTTGAGTATGTGCTGCATCCCTGCACCGTGTCTGTGCACGTGGAGCATCAGGAAGGAGTTGTGCATCCACTGAGCTCAGCGAGCTTGGAAAGATGGTTGGGAAAGGAGCCGTTCACACACACAGGTCTGCCCGACCAGGCAGCCGCTGCGACCCTCCGGCTGCCGGGCTGCAGGCGGCCGTGGAGCACGGCCAGTGGCAGCCCGGGGAAGGGGGCCCGCGGCTCGTCAGGGACGCAAGAAGCGCTGTGAGCTCGGGCCGAGAGGTGTCCATTGTTTTGGGGTCTTTTGGAATATTTTCTTTTTAAAATCTTTTTATTAAATTTTATTTTTCAATTGCAGTTTGCATTCAGTTGTTTTTGTATTAGTTTCAGGCGTACAGCATAGTAACTAGGCATTCATGTAACTTACCAAGCGATCCCCCCGGGAAGGCTCGCGCCCGTCTGACACCAGACGTGGGGGTTAGGATCCTGTTGACCGCGTGGCTTCTGCTGTCCTGTACACCCAGACTGGTTCTATGACTGCTGACTTAGACATATTGATCCCTTCACCTTTTTTTTAAGAAGGCTGTTGTTCCCCCTGCTTTTTAATTCTTTTTTTTAATGTGTTTATTGGTCTTAGAAAAAGTAAGGGAGAGAAAGAAACATTGATCTGTTGTTCCACTCACTTCTGCCTTCAGTGGTTGATTCTCACACGTGCCCTGACGGGGGATCGAAACCTACAGCCTTCGTGTATCAGGATGAAGCTCCAACCAGCCAAGGCCCCCTGTGCCTTTTACATCAAGCCCCTTAACCCCCTGTCATTTGGCAACCATAAGTTTGTTTTCTGTACCTATAAGTCTGTTCCTGTTTTGCTTGCTTGCTTGTTTTGTTTTTTAGATTCCACATAAAAGTAAAATCATACAGCATTTGTTTTTCTCTGACTGACTGCACTCAGCATAATACCCTTTCAGTCCATCCATGTTGTCGCAAATGGCACGATTTCGTTTTTGTTTTTGCTTTTTATAGCTGATTCACATTTCACTGTACGTACGTACCACATCTTTGGTATCCACTCTTCTATGAAGGGACACTTAGGTTGCTTCCATACCTTGGCTGTTGTAAATAATGCTGCAGTGAACATAGAGGTGCGCATATTTTTTCAAATTAGTGTTTTGTGGTTAGTGATTAGTGATTTTTATCTTCAGATAAAAACCCAGAATTGCTGGCTCATAGGCAGTTCTCTTTTAAGTTTTTTGAGGAACCCAGGAGTGGATTGTTCAGTTTGCGATGGCATTCGCTGCCAGAGGGTCTTCTTGAGCACAGACCAGTTTCACGAGCTTCGCTTTGTTCTGGATCTTGCCTTCATCTGTTTATTTCACATTGTGAGCATTGATTGCGAGTACCAGGCCCTGAATTGTTAAAGCTGCTGTTTTCTGGACACATGTCACCCCCCCGGCTTCATGGGGTGCTCCCGCTGCACCTGGGTGCCGGGGCACTGTGCTGGGCTCACACCCTGGCACAGAGCGGGCATGTGGTGTAGCTGCCAGTATCTCCAGTTACAAAAACAGTGTCTTCTGTTTTTGAGGGTTTTGTTTCTTGTACTAAATAACTATTTTCATGATAAATCAACTTCATGAGACAAAAGAGGGTAAATAAGAAATGTGTTCTTCCTCCGCACCCCTCAGGGCTACGACACACCATTGCATTTTGCTTGTAAGTTTGGGAATGTAGATGTGGTCAACGTGCTCTCTTCACACCCTTTGATTGCAAAACGTCCACGGAATAAATGCAGTAAAACACCCGAAGATGTAAGTACCTGTTAAAATGCTTTCAGTGTGCAGTGTTAGAAATGAAAAAGTGAGCCTTTGTGCTTCGTGCCCCATAGGCGTGCGCCAGGCCCGCCGGGCAGTGGGCCCCCGGCCAGCGGCACTCGGGACCGAACGCCACGGGCCTGTCTGCGCCTTTCCACTCTGACTTGGCAGTGCCCCAAGGGATTCTTTCCGCAGAGACAGCTAATGTGGAGCAGCGCGAAGAGAGGGGGTACAACTCACCCATGAACTCAGAGCTGCTCTTGTCTTGGCCCTGTAAGCTGTTACAGGGTGTTTTGGAAGATCTTAACTGTTCGAGACACAATTGTTGGGGGTTGGCTTTATGAAATATTGAGTATTAGATACGATTCTTACTTTTTTGACTTAAAACCTTGCATTTATAGAATTTTAACGATAAGAAAATGTGATAACCTAAGATTTAGAGTGAATTTCACGTAACTCTGTTTTTTTAAATAGGTTATTTGTGAAAGAAGCAAAAATAAATCTGTGGAACTGAAGGAGCGTATTAGAGAATATTTAAAGGGTAAGGAGGGCGTGGGCGCTGGAGCGCGAGGCCCGCGGATGGGCAGGTCCTGGGCAGGCCCATGCCTGGCCGTGTGTAGGGCGTGAAGCCAGGGCTGCGTGAGCTCTGCCTGGCCGCCCTGCGTCCTGAACTCCCCAGCTCATGCCCCACCTCAGTCTTCACACAGGCCCTCCTTTGATGCCTTGAGCTGTTCTGTTTTTTGAGCATGTGGCTTGCCCCTTACCCTCTGCAGACAGCTCACGTGGCAGCTGCATCTGACCTTTCTCAGGAAGACACAAGCAGGAGGGCCTGTGCTGAGCTCTCTGTCACCTGTTTCTGTGCCGGGCCCGCATCTTGTCCCTCTGGACTGGGAGTTGGTTGCCTGCTCAGCTCTTGAAGGTGTAACCTGCGGTCCTGTGGGGGTCCTGGTCAGGAGCTTGTGGGCCTGGACATCTGGGCTGCCTAGCTGTCAGGCTTCTGGACTGGGAAGATGGCTGGTTTCTGAAAGCGGCCATTCCCACTGTCTTGCTCTGTGTAGTTCCCAGGGAGTTTCAGGCAGCGCGGCAGAGGGGCCTTTCCTTGTCGTCTTCAGCCAGAGGTCTCTGACCTCCACTGGCTGCTTGTCTCTTTCGGTTTTCCTTATTATCCAAATCCCTGTCACTTGGTCTCCATTGATCAGGCGCTGCAGCCACCTCCTGCTTTCATAGAAAAGGCTGGTTGGCCCTCGACAGCCAGCCCTCTGTGTGCCTGTGACGTCCCCTACAGCTTGACCGCACTGTCCCTTGCGACCTCGCCGTGCCCTCCCTCTGTTCTTTCCTGAGTTCCCATCACAGTGTCTGAGTGCACGTCGGTTTAGAGGTGTGTGGCCACCGATCAAACCTGTGACGCACTGAAAGGCTCGGGAGTTGGGGAGGAGATGAGAACGTACCGTCTTTCTGATGTTTTCCTGTGCCCACTTAGGCTGGTCTTGCTCCCACAGTCTCACCTCTCGATCCTTTTAAGAGCCTGGGGCGAGGAGGTGTTTATGCTCCCCTCCCTCCTTTTTTCCAGCAGAGGAAGAATGTGGGGCTCACCCAGTGATCTGGCCAGCTGGCCTCTTGTCTACTTCCTAAGCTCCAGAGATTTGCAGCCTTTTTGTTGTTACTGTCATGGAATCACTTGGGTCATTTCTTGGACTGTGGACGGGAAGCCCCCCCATAACGAGGTGAGGAGCTGTCTCAGCAGATGCAGTTAGCCTCGTTTTCTCCGCAGGTCACTACTATGTGCCTCTCCTGAGAGCAGAGGACATGTCGTCCCCGGTGATCGGGGAGCTGTGGTCTTCAGACCAGACAGCCGAGGCCTTTCGCATCAGCCATGGTGGAGGCGGCCCCAAGGATCCTGTTCTGACCCTGAGAGCTTTCGCGGGTCCCCTGAGTCCGGCCAAGGTGAGCTGCTGTGGGAGCTTCTAGAACGAGCTCTTGGCTGGGCATTCTGGCCGCTCCTCTGTGGTTGGTCCTCGAGGCCGGGTTGCAGGGGACTCCAGTGAGTGAGTGAGTGGCAGGGTGTCAGGATGTTTGCTGGGGAAACAGGCGTGTCTGGGTCCTGCCCCTCCCCGGTCGCCAGGCAGACGTGGTGGGGAGCCTGCACCTCAGAGAAGCGGCACTTACCTGGGCTGGCCCTTCCCGTGCCATCGTCACCATGCTCTCCCGCCTGTTCTGATGACCCTTGTCACCAGGCGTGGCCGGTCTAGCGGGGCTGTCCTTTCCAGTGTTGCAGACCAGCGTTGTCACAAGGAAATGTCCACTTGCAAGTTTTGAAGTTCCCCCTGTGGACTGAGCTGTTACATAGATTGGCCTGTAGAATCTTCCTTTTGTTGAAAAAATTCTGAATAGTTACCTGCAACTATAAAGCATCTCCAAAAATAAGTGGTATCAGTGGGATTAGATTCAGTTGCATAAAACATAAAACTCTAACGGGTCAAAAGCATAGGCATTAGTTTTTCTGTTGTGTGTGTGGCAGTGCAGCACTGTGTCCCTCGGGCAAGGCCTCGTCTCGGGCCTCCTGATGCAGCTCTGACCCCACCCCCACCCCCACCCCGGGCCCCCGGCCATGTGAAGGGCCCCTTGCCCGCCCCCGACCGCGGTCCGAAGGCAGCCCCACGGCCCCTCTTAGCTGCAGGGCAGCAGGCACGCTGTCGGCCGTGTGGGGCGGAGGGGCGGGAAGCCGGAGCGCTCAGCGGGCTCTGCGATGCTGGGGGTGCCGTGCGTCTTCCAGCAGCTTGGGTGCACAGCACAGCTCGCGGCTCATTTTCTTCATAGGCAGAAGGTTTTCGCAGACTCTGGAAAACCCCACCTCGAGAGAAAGCAGGCTTCTTTCACAGCGTCAAGAAGTCGGATCCAGAAAGAGGCATGGAGAGAGCGGGAAGGTACCGAAAGACGTCCTGGTGGTGACTGCGGGAGGAAATGCCAGGGACGTCCGCCTCAGAGTCAGGGTTCCCAGGAAGCGCTTACCAGGATGCTCCGGGCTTTCCCGGGAGCTCCGGTTCCTTGCAGGCCATGGACATGTGGCAGGCCCTCCGAGGGATGAGGAGGGTTTGGAAGGAGGTGCCCTGCGTAGGGTGCTTCCTTGGCAATGACGGAGAAAAGAGAACACAAGACTCAGGGTGGCTGGGAACGGCCAGTGACAGGGAGCTAAATGGCAGAGTGATCAGGTAAAGCCTCGTGGAATGGTGGCAGAATTTTTTCTCAAAATACGTGCCCAGTTTCAGGTTTACAGCTTGAACCTGAAAAGGACTCTAAATTTTTATGTGCCTGGCAAAACCCAGAATCATACCGTAATTTATATCACTGTTTTATAAAAACATGAAGGTCTGTCTACTTGTGGCGTCATGCGGTTTTGCCTTTTACCTGTACGGTTTGCAGGGGAAACCGTGTTTGGTTGTGGTCTCCTCCCATCCCAGCGACCGGCCCATTCCATCCTGTCACGGCGCCCCGAGTGAGCTGCTCAGCCTGCCTTAGAGGACGCAGAGTCCTAGCATGGCCCCAGGTTTAGGAAGACATGAAATCGTAACCAAGGTTCCGACCTTGGCTGGCTAGTCTCTGTGCTGTCAGTTCTGGAAGCTTTGTTGTGGTTTCACAGCTGATCACTTGTGCTTTATTCTCACAGGGAGCTGGCCCACGAGCTGGGGTACCCCTGGGTCGAGTACTGGGACTTCCTGGGCTGTTTCGTTGACCTGTCTTCCCAGGAGGGTCTGCAGAAACTGGAGGAATATCTCGTGCAGCAGGAAGTGGGCAGAAAGGCCAAAAAAGACGCAGGAGAAAATGAAGCCTGTGTTCAGGAGAATGCCTCTGCCTTTGGTAAGGACATGCGAGGCGCCCCTGCACCTACGTGACCTGGCCTCCGTCCTGTGGCTGGGCGCCCGCTGCTCCCCTCTGCCCATCATGTTCTCGGCGCCCTGTGTCCTCGCAGGTTAGGCAGAGAGGCGCCAGGTGCTAGCCCACCTCACCTGCAGCTGCCCTGGGCCTCGTCCTCCTCACCCTCCTGGAGGTTCTGCTTCTGTTCCAGGGTCCTGCTTGCCCTTTCCCTGGAGCATGGCGGGTGGTCCTGTCTTTCGTCTGAGGAGGGATTGGTTGGTCGTGGGGCCTGCACTGTGCCGGGCGCACGTTGTGCGGACTCCATTCCTGCCCCTGAGGAGCTGCTCTGTCTCCCTGCCAGGCTTCCATGGGAAGTGCGACGACTCTGCCTCTGGGCAGACCTTTCTGAGTGAAGACAACGTCCTGAGCTTGGAAGAGATTAAAAATCGCCAGAACGCAGCTCGAAACCACAGCCAGCCCACAGTCGAGGCTTTCGGAGACTTAGAGTGTGACATCCTTCCCTCGGAGCAGAGGCCCAGTCCCCCCAACAACAAGAATGGGCTCTGCAACCCCCTCAGTGGTGGCAAGACCCACGGTGGGAAGAGGAGAGAGGCTGCGAGCAGGGAGGAAGCCCTCCGGTCACCTGTCTCTGGCCTGACTGCTGAGTTCAATAAGCTCCGTTTGCAGAATCTAGGAAGTGGCTTTTCTAAGACACCAAACAAAAGCATGAACACGAGAGATGAGAAGACCCTGACATCAAGAATGGACACAACGGACAGTGACGAGTCTCTTGCGGCCGACAGACTCGGGAGCAGCCCAGCGACGGCTGAAAGCGACATGTCGGCAGGGATTGCCAGCCTGTGCCTGGGTCCCCACCGTCCCGGGCCCAAGGCGCCGCACTGCTGCGCTTCTGCGTCCTCGGGACCCACAGGCGTCCCCGCCACAGAGGAGCCTGGCAGGAGGCTCTTCCTTTTTGGGTGAGTTGAGTGTGTAAGTGCTCGAGGACATGGAGTGGGGAGTGTGAGCGGTGGGACAGCTTTCCTCTGCCCACAGCGTGGCTGCAGTGCAGCGCTTGTTCACACATGTCGTGCATGTGTGGCTTCTTGAGACGCAGCCTCTCTCAGCTGGATCTTCAGGTTGGTGGGAGATGCATCCTTTCCAGCCTGTCCTTGTGCTGCTTTTTCTGGGGAGGTAGTCACCCCAGAATGGCTGGAACCATCCTAAAAATGTCACTTGTTTTAGGAAGGAAGATCTGGGAGTCAGTCCCCGTCCCCCAGGTGGTGGCCTGTCCCGGGTCGATGGTTCTCAGAACTGAAACAGTTGCATTTTCACGGCGGGGCAGCTCCTGGAGGCACTCTCCCCAGGCCGGGGTGTCCTTTCTGCCACCTTAGCCTCGGCCCCCCCACAGCCTGGGTTGTGCCTGACAGCTGGTGCTTAAGGGGGTGGGGGGAGCCGCGTCTGTGCCTGTGCTGGCTTCGCGAGATAAGGACGCGGTGGCGTTGACCCACATGGGTAGCTCAGTTGGTTAGAGGCCGTCCCGATGCGCCGAGGTTGCAGGTCCGATCCCCAGTCAGGGCACATACAGAATCAACCACTGAACGCACAGATAAGTGGAACAACAAATTGATGTTTCTCTTCTCCACCGCCCCCTCCAAATCAGTCATTCAAAAGAAAAAGGAGTGCAGTGCTGTCCAAAGTCTGGTTTTAATCACCTGTGTTTCCCCTTTTCTCTGGTAATGCCTTCTAGGGAGGAGCCGTCTAAACTGGATCGGGACGTGTTGGCAGCTCTGGAATGTGCAGACGTGGACCCTCAGCGGTTCCCGGCTGTGCACAGATGGAGGGGCGCCGTCTTGTGCTACCCACCCTCTGACAGACAGAGGTACCCGTGGGCCCCAGGGCTGCCTGCTTCTGACCCACACGTGTGTGGTGCCAGGACACCGGCCAAGCCACTACATGGCTCGCCGACATGCGGCCATGGCTGGGGCACCTCCGAGGAGGAGCCTGCAGTGGGTGCAGACGCCAAAGGGGTGCTGCTGATGAGGGAGGGTGCGGGGGGCGTGGCGATGCCCAGGGTTCCTGGTCCTGGTCGCGTGGGGTTCGTGCGGACAATCACATGAGCTTTTAAACCGCAGGGCCCACGTCCCGAGGTTCTGAGGGCCTCTGGTCAGAGCCGCAGTGGTCCTTTGGGCTCAGGTGCAGGAGCCCAGGTCCTGTCATGGCCTCTAATCTCCCCACACGTTCCCCCCCACACACACCCCCCACCCCCTGTACTGACAGACCTTCCTGTTTCCTCAGTTGGCCGAGCCCCACGAGAAAAGGAAAGCTGACGTCTCAGATGCCCGATCTCAGTTGCTCTCCCAGCTGCAGCCCGGGAAGGAGTGGCCCCTCGGGGGGCAGCCCCAGGAAGCCTGGTCCTGCTCCCCTCTCCCCCCGCCTGGGCAGCCCCGGGCGCTACAGCCCTGCCAACGAGGGCCGCTTCCGCAGGATGGTGCGCGTGGCCCAGCCGGCCGCCTTGTAGGGCTGGCGCGCACCGCAGGGCTCTCGCTGCATTTTTAAAGAAAGAAGGGCAATGTGTTTGTTGCTAAAACTCACAAAAAAGGATATATTCTGATTAATTTATTAATCATTTTGAGAGTAAAAATATTTTAGAAAATACAAATGTTCTGTATGAAATTTGTACTTCTGATGTTTTGGGAGATGAGAACGAACTCAGATGCCAGTATTCTGGAACCTGTCACTGGTAGTAACGCGTTCCTGGGTACCATCCTGGTTGCTTGTGCAACTGACGGAGCCAAGGCCACCTGTGCTCCCACAACTCACCACCGGAGCCCGAAGGCAGGGTCGGCCACCTCGCTGCAACCCCCTTCCGAAGACAAAGGTGGATTTTGTCCACCTTCCTTTCCTGGGGGCAGTTTTCCCTTCTGGATTCTCCTTGGGTAGAAAGAAAGCTGCTCTCCCGGACAGAACTGGTGGCCGTCGGGAGGCACGCGTGCGCCCCACAGGAGCGGGCAGCAGCCTGAGCGGGTGCGTTCCTCTGCGCCAGCCCCGCGCCTCGGTGCGCTCTGTGCGCTGCGGGTGCCGGGGGGATGGGGTGCTCTGTGAGCTGTGTCCGGGCTTTGAAATTGTCTCATGATATTTTAGAACTAATTTAGAATATTTTAGGGTTCAGTTGGATGTCTGTTACAAAAAGCGTCACGTTTTAGTATACAAACTAGACGTTGATTTTTGAGGGGTTTGAGTCTGGTTCAGTTACTTGAGTGCAGTTTGCTTCAGCCGTGGGGGCCCCCCCCCCCCGGCCTCCCGTCAGTGCGTAGGGTGTGAGAGTCTCCCCCTCCCGTGCCGCGCCATGTGCCCAAGGACAGGCACACAGAGGGACAGGCGACACTCAGGGCCGTATTCTGAACGTCCAGAGCAGGAACCCACTGAAAACTCCACCAGCACTTTTGCTACCTTCAGTGCCTTTTGTAGATCATTTTTTGTTTTCCTCAACTTGATTTTTGAGAACGCAGTGATACTAAGTAGGCATGAGATTCTTTCTCATTCATAGAAGTGGTTCTTTCTTTTGAATCAAGATGTAGGTTTAAAATTTCTAAAGGTGGTTACACAGGGTGTTTTCATGTGTGTTGTGGCCAACAGTCTGTACAAGACTCATATAAAATCCAGTGGCACTTAAAAAGGCATCTTTATTCTCAAAGAAATCAGAATACAGACATTCACAGCACTGATGTCGTGTCCAGAATCTTACCCTACTGCCCTGTATGTTGCTGTAAATATTCAGATGGAAATTAAAAGAGTGTTTTTGCCCTGATTTTGCCGACTGCTGTTACTGTTCTGTGAAGTTCTCGTCTGTGTGTGCGATTTGTGTCTGTCAGGCAGCCCAGTCCCAGGGAGGCCTCCCGTGACGATGTTCTTTTAACACCACTTAATGAAATGAGTTGTTTTTAAAACCACGTGGCAATAATTCTGAGATTTCAGAAAGACCTCCCACCGGTGGCCCAGCAAAACGCTGCCTGCGGTCGGACCTTCAGCAGCGTCGGCGAGGCCGTTCCTCACGGCCGTCTCCCTGCTGCTGGGCCCTTGCTGTGGGGCCCTTTCGTTCCCCACAGTTGGGAACGACACCGGGTCTCGGGTGAGTCAGCGCAGGCCTCCCTGCTGTGCGCTGTGATGCTCACTGGTGTGTGGCCTCTGCTGCTGGACACGGGTGACAGGACCGCTCTGCAGGGGCGCGGGGTGCCAGGCCTGGGGGCTCCGTGTGGCGGGAAGCACCCGCAGCTTCCAGAGGGAGGGAGGGGCTGGTGGGGGTGCCTGCCTGCCGGGCGTGGTGCGAGCGCTCCCCGGAGCTCCCCGAGCCGGCTGGGCTCCCTGGGCTCCTGGAGGCGCACGCTCTTCCTGTGTCTGACGCTGGTTTTGCATGTGCACCGACACTCGCATGCTCCCTGGCTTACAGAGCACACATGCTCCCGTCTCAGCAGAAAGGTTCTAGAATGAAAAGCCGCAGCACCGTGTGAACTGCCCGCCCGCCGGTGTTGCTTCGGGCCCCATCTCATCATGTGCGTTGCGGTGTGCAGCTCTGTTTTGGCCAAACTTGGGTTATTGTTACCCGTGTTTCCCAGGACCATTTCCACCAATGTCACTGGGACCTGGAACTGTCCAGACACCCTCCTCCCACTCCTCACCTGTGTCCCTCTTGGGTGGGCTTGGTTCTGGTTTCGAAATGCTGCCCTGCTTCTCACATGTCACGTGAAGAGCAGAAATGCCACCAAAAGGCAGGCCTACACCCAGGTCAGGAAGGAGGACCTGCCACCTCCACCCTCAGGCATGTAGGTCCCAGGGCCCAGGGCTCCCTGGCCTCATCCCGAGGTCATACATGAAGTTGGCACCAAGCCTGGCTTAGTTGTCAGAACTATTCCTAGGAAATGACAGGCGGTTGCTGCTTCTAAAAAAGCATTTACCAGGACAGGCGCATTGTCCTAGGTCAGGGCCTGACCCCGAGGCCCTGGTGGCAGCTGCCCAGCCAAGCCGTCAGCCTGGGTGCACAACACACTGCAGAAAAGGGCTTCCTACTGAAAACACTCAGCTCAAGTGGGGCTGTCGCTGCAACTGTACAGACCTCTCTTCTCGAAAACATTTACAATTAGTACCTTGGAAACCAGTAAAATAAAATTTTATTTTGTAGTTATTTGTAAAGTTGACAAACAGATCAAGTATCCTATTTAGTTGCACTGAGTGCAGAAAATATTCATAACCACTTCATAGAAATTGTATTGTTTTTGTAAATTAATAGAATATTTGGGATGGGCACATCATGTCCAAATATTTTAATCTGTAAGCACAAGAGCTGAACAGCCAGAGGCAAACAAAGAACGAGCTGTCAGTTGGACATTTTACTTAAACAGGACTCTCTTCTGGGCTGTTACACCACCTGGCCCCGCTCCCAGGGGAACAGCAGGTTGTGTCCCCTCCCTCACCTGCTCGGGTGCCCCTGTGTGTCCAGAGAGGCCGGTCATGTAGGTGAGTTCAAATCCAATTGCGTCAGGGGTGCGTGACTTAAGAATGAGATACAGTTGTCACTGCAGGAACCGAGATGGAAAATCTTTTAAGTGACAGAAGGGCTTTAAGAACTCAGAAGAATGTATGAAGCAAAATAAGTTATGAATGGAAATGCTGGGCCCTCCTCCAAGTCCCCGGTGCCTGACAGGTTTTGCTGACAGAGGTTCAAGGGATCGCGTGGCCAGCTGCAGTCAGACCAAAGACCGGCTGGCGGGGACCTGCCGTGGTCCCTGCCATGACACCTGTGAGGCCTCTGCAACCCCGCAGGCTCGTCCTGGCGGAGGAGACCTTGTGAAAAGATCAGGCTGGTCTGACCTGAATGTTCCCCTCTCCATCCTGGGCCACAAGGAAGGACTGAAACACGGTGCTTTAGACACTTCTCTCCGCCGCCGCCTGGTCCTGCAGAAAGGAAGTGACCACAGTGCAGCCTGTGGAGGGGACGGCAGGAAGGCGTCTGTGTCCCTGGTGGCTCCCACGCCAGAGCCGGGCTCGGGTGAGGAGAGTGGGCCTCAGGAGCGGGAGATCTTGTCGGGAGGCATGAACCCTGTGTCCCCAAGAGCCCGGAGAGCCACGCGGCCATCAGGCCGGACCACCAGGTGGGTGATGCTGCCATTGTTGAGGGAGAGGCGGAGCCAGCCTTCGGGAGGGAACTGCAGCGCCCTGGGGGGAAGAAAGGACAGGCTGGGGGGCTCGCAGAGCTGCCGGCCCCCACCTGCCCGAGCAGACGCTGGGCCGGCGCCAGCACAACGGAGGTGAAGGCCAGCCACAGCCCTGCGCCTCTGCCCAGGGACAAGGGGCGGTGACAGCCCACAGCCCCATAAGAGCATTTCCATACTCTTTAAAAACGCTGTTGGGCATGGTGAGCCTTTGCTACAAGGCCCAGGGTCCCTGGGTCACCAGGCAGCCTCCGTGCCCAGAGCTTGGTGGGGACAAGCAGCGTCGTCTCAGCTCACCCTGCAGCCAGCAGTCGCCGTGAGTTCTGTCGACCCAAATGAATGAGCTTCGTGCTCCTTCAAGCCTCAGTGTCACCCTTGCTGTGCAGAGTCAGCAGCAGAGTGCCCTCTGCCTCAGTGGACACTGTGGCTCTTTCTGGCCTTTTAGTTTTAACTCAGGTCACCTCTGCTCCAAGCCCTTAAACACTCCCGGTGCGTTTTCTGCACAGAGGTCACTTAGCAGTGACTGCTGAGGTCGGCCCTGTGCTGAGATCTGGAACCCTGCTGTGTCCACGCGGCCAGCGAACAGGACGTGCACAGCGTCGAGGCTGGGCCTGCCAAGCCCTCGGGCTGGAGGCTGTGGAGCCCAGGGGCCCCTCCATCCCCAGCGGCGCTGGTCCAGCGTGGAGCCCCAGAGCGAGCTGGGACTCCTGGGCCTCTCGCTGGGGCCTCGCCTGTGACACCTGAGGAGGGATGCCTCCCCAGCCCTGGCCACGGTCCCAGGGGTCGAGCACGGCGAGCAGAGGCCATGGGCAGCTGGCTGTGCTCTGTCCTGTCCAGTACCTGCCAGACCCATCATGAGAAGGGGAACCCCTCGCGATGGAAGCACCTGACACACACACTAGTGGATGGTGTGGGGGATTCCCAGTTACTTTAAATACACGAGCACCCAGCTGGCCTTCCCACCTACAGGCCGCCTGGGACGCACGGGCTGCAGCTCAGGGCCAGTGTCACCAGGGCCCTGGGGCTGCGCGTGGAGCCAGGAAGGAAGGACACTGAAGCCCAGGCAGGCGCACCCGACGCCAGTGCTGCCGCGACAGCGCGAGACGACCGACAAGGCGCGTGCGACTCGGCCCAAAGCAAAGATCAGGAGCCCATCAGGGGCAGCAAGCGAGGCAACGCGCTCCTACAGACCAGGCCCGTCACGGGGACAGACCAGGGCGCACGCAAGGGCGGCCCCGCAGTGGGACAGTCGGTCGGCAGGAGCCCAAGGGAACACGATGCGCACACTGTCGTCACCGAACGGAAAAAAGACGACTGAAGTGACGAGTCCAGCGCATATGGTGCCTTCACCCGGGGACCACATTCGCGTCACCTGGGACCTGGGCTACTGCCGCCACACACACACAATCGTGAGAAACTCCACATGAAAGGCATTCTACCAGACGTGCGACCTCGCCTCCAGGGCAGTGTGAAGGCCAGAGAGGCGGGCAGAGGAGCTGGCACCAGCTGGCAGGAGGGGAGCCGCAGCCCAGGGCACCCAAGGGACCCTCACCGGCACACGATGTAGCGGATGACGTTGGCGTGGCAGATGAAGATCTCGTAACTGTCCTCCTGCTGCTTGGCGTCTGCCCGGTGGATGTAGTTCCGGAAGGCGGCCTCAATCCTGGCTCCGTCTTCGTAATACTGCTGGGGGCAGAGCGAGGCACCTGAGACTGGCGGTGCTGGACAGGAGTGGACGGGGCAGGGGAGCCGCCCCGGGCAAAGGGGCCAGCGAGGGACAGAGGGGGGACCACCGCCGTGGGGGTGTTTTACCACAGCCTCTGGCTTCCAGTGAGACACGGGCGGGTCAGGCTCAATGGGGGCACCTTCCCTCAGCAGGTCTGTGCTGACCGTGGAAACGCCTGTGCGGAGGCAGCGACTCAGCACAGGGCCGCTCCCTGCGTGTCCCTTCCGGCTGCTGAGGGGCCCAGGGTCTCCCATGCTCACCTGGCAGGTGTTTGCTGATGATGCTGGTGGTTTCTACTGCGCGGGTCATGGAGGAATGCACTATTTTATTGAATTTCAACCCCATGCTTGCAAGTCGGAGACCAGTTAGCTCAGCCTGTTCGCGACCTTGAAGGTGGAACACACTCAGTTAGAAGCTGCTGAGGTCCCTCCTGTTTACCCTACAAACGCCTCGGTCCTCACCAAGTACCACTAGGGTCGAGGGACAAGACAGGCAGGCTACTGCCTGCTATTTCTGCGTCCCTCACAGCAGTATCACTCGACTTTGTCCAAAGACTGAATACTGAGCACCTGTGACCCTCTGGCTGTGCCAGCACCACAGACACGGACACAGACCTGCCATCCCAGCATCGCCAAGTACAGCCTTCACACACGCAAGCACCTGTCCTCAAATGCGTCCAAGGATCGAGTGGGAACGTCCTCAGAAAGTCGTTCCAGCTGCACGCGGTGACACCAGCAGATGCAGCCTCGGTTCACATTTTCGCACGTGGAATGGCGCACGGAGCCGCTGCGCAGGCGACCTCGTGGCCCTGCGCTGCGCCACTGGTGTGCAGTTTTTACCAACTGTACGCTACACCCTCCACCAGCAAAGATTACAGTTGGCTTTACTGCTGTGGTCGGGAACCACACCCTCAGTATCTGAGGTCTGCCTGCAATATTTTTTAAAGTTGAGGACGTTTTCGAGGCCTATTCTGTGTCAGAGGCCGATAATTACTGATCATGACAACACTCGAATCTGGGCCAAGAGTCCCTGACGTGGGCCTCAGGAGGCAGCCGGGGCCGAGGCCCAGCCACGTACCCAGCGGTGTCAGGGTGCGGTCCTTGTCCCGGGAGGCATCCACGTGGTACTGGGAGTGCCGGATGAGGAAGATGTGCCGCGTGGCCTTGGCTTTGCAGTGGTCGATCCTGGACGCCACGTCGTCATCTCCAGAGTCTAGGTTCCTCTTCCGCAGGTTGACCAGGGACAGCGGTTCTCGCCTGATGTTGAGACAGTAGCAGCATGTCCCTGTGACTCCCGTCACCTGTCACCCTCATGCACTTCTGATACGATGGTCTCTCCTTCCTGGGAAAGCCCTGGGAGGGGCCAGGAACCTCGCCCACCCCACAGCTGTGCACCAGGCCTGCTGTGGGCGACCGGACAGGGGCAAAACAGATACAAAGCCCTTGTGTGTGCAGCTTGTTCTGCAGGCACAGACTGGTAACAGCAGGGCAGCCAGTGATGGAGAAGCAAGGCCAGGTTACAGGAGTGGCTGTGGGAAGGTGGCCAGATCGATGTCACTCACCGAAGGGTCACTGAGGCCGAGTCTGAAGCTGTGCTATGCAACAGTAGCCACTAGCCATGTGGCTACTTAATTCAAAATAACAAAAATAAAATAAAATTGAAACTCCAATTCCCCAGCCACACTAAGCACACTTTAAATGCTCAGTAGCACATGGGACAGTAGGAGGGAAATAGTTCTGTTATCAGGGAACGTATGGATGGCTCCCTGGAATGTTAGGAGCTGACGGGAGGGGCAGGGACTCATCCGCAAAGCCACCGAGAAGTGACAGGCGACGGGAGACACGTCCGGTGGCTCACAGAACGGAAACTGATAGAGACCAAATGCCTGTGATACTGCCCGAGCCGGCACAAGAACATCCTCGGCTGGAGTAAGTTCTGGGGCAGCAGCGGTGATTCAAGGGCTCTGCCTGCAAGGTGCCCGTAACACAGCCAGCCTGCGGCGCTGCAGTGGCAGGTGCGTGGGCACCGGGCTGAGCCAGAGAGGACACCTGGGAGCTGCAGGCAGACAGGCAGCCCTCCCTGGATGGGGCTCCCAGGGAGAGGCTGGAGGTTTGCACCTGCCCAGCACAGACAGCCCCTTTCCACGAATCTAGGCTTCAGCCTCAGAGGGAGCCTGTTTCCTTAAAAAGGCCTAAGACATGGGACAGACTGTCTTGACGTCTAAAAAAGATGCCCCATTCTAATCATGAGAAACAAATGCCAACTGAGGGACACTACAAACTGTCAAGGTCATCAAAAAAAGCGAGAAACTGTCACAGCCAAGAGGAGCCTGGGGAGACGTGAAGACAAACGCTCCCGCAGGACCCTGGAAGAGACCATCGACAACAGGTAAAACCTGCATTCACCTCCATAAAGTACAGGCGTCCCTGGTTGTGCCACACCAATAATAGAGGAAATTAGGTGTGGGGTACATAGGAACTCTGTCACCTCTGCAATTTGCCTGCAAATTTAAAATTATTCAAAACTAATTTTATCTCTAAAAAGTTAAAGGTTAAAAAACAATCCCCATTTCAGTCCTGATACAACCAGACTAAAAGTAAGTGTTAGTTCCGTGCCCTCTCCCGGCAGTGTCCACGGGGAGCTGCGGAGGTTCGTTCCAGAGAAACACCAGCGGCGGCGCTGGTGACAAACTTCCAGGCAGGGACACGTACAGAGTAGGAAGACACGGGCGAAATTTCGGTAACTCACATATTCAATCCAATGTACCACAAATGCTATGAGCACATAAATACTTAAGCACCTGCGCTGCTTTGGTTTTAACATTTGAGTTAACGTTAAATGAGATTGAAAATCCTTTCCTGAGCCCTGGAGCCGCCTTTCAAGCGCTCGTGAGAACACGTGGCCGCGGCCCAACACCGGGCCGACCCGAGGGCCCTGCGCGGCCCCTCCCCGCCCCCGCCCCCGCCCCCGGCCTCTCGGGGCGCCTTCCTCACACCCACACCCTCCTCTCAGCGCCTAAAATGCGACCTACGCGCCACACCCAGCCCGAGGACGGAAACTACGGGGGCGAGCCCTCAGCCTAGAATTGAAAACGACCACTGGCTCGGCCTCCGCGTACTCGCTCCTCAAAATGACCCTCTGAGCAGAGGGGGGTTGGCGGGGGTGGAGACCGCCCCACGTCACAGCCAGAGAGACCCCGCACGAGGCCCGCCTCCCTCTGCCAAACCCACCACCTCAACCGAGCGGAGCGGCAAAGGGCGGGGAAGGACCCGCCGCCCGGCACCGCACCCCTTCCCACCGACCCCGCACCTGTCCCAGTTGGGGTCCCAGACGCCGGGCCCGGGGCGCGCGACCCCGGCCCACGCCGGCGGCTCGACCACGCGCGGCTCCGCATCCCCGCCCGCGCGGGGCTTCCCCACCGCCACGGCCGAGAAGAGCACGGCGGCCGAGCCCCCCGCCAGGCCGCAGGCCGCCAGCTGCAGCGCCTGCCGGAACGCCATGCCGGCCGTCCCGCGCTGCTCCGCGCTGCTCCGCGCACGCGCTCCGGGGCGCGGACGGCGCGCCGCTGCGCACACGCTGCCGCGGAGCGGAAGTCCCGCCTCCCGGGGCGCGCGGGCCGGGCGGGCGGCTGGCACCGCTGACTTCCGGAGCCAGGCGCCGCGACTCGGTGGGTGGCTGTTCTGTGAGCCTTCCGCCCAGGGTCTGCGCGAGGTCCGGGCGCAGGGTCCTCCCAAGCCACCGCTGCCTTCGAGCGCGAGTATTCAGGCGGCACCGCCTGTGGGGCGCGACGGCAGCCCTGAGGCCGCGACTGCGCGGGGTCGGGGTGACTGCGCGGCGGGAGCGGAGGGGAGGCGGCCTCGGAGATAAGAGCTTAGGGTTCAGTTTAGTGAACTGTGAACCTCCGTGGGTCTTGTAGTTTTGATTTTACTGCAGTAAAATGCACACGACACGACATGAGGTTACAATCTTAGCCACGTACAAGCGGGCGGCTCAGGGGCGTTAAGCCCATTCGCGCTGTGCAGCTGTCACCTCCCTGCGTCCCCTCGACTCTTCCGTCTTTCCAGACTGACGCATTCAACCCTCCCCTCTGTGCGGTTGACTAGCACCGCCTGCAAGTGGAATCATAGAGTATTCGTTCGGGGACCAGCTTGTTTCACTGAGGGTAACATCCTCAAGATTCAACCACGTTGGAGCAGGAGGCAGGATTCCCTTCCTTTGTAAGATCGAGTAAGATTCCACTATATGGAGAGACCACCTCTGGCTTGTCCTCCCCTGCGTCCGTGGACACGGGGGCTTTCCACCTCCTGGCAGCTGTGACGATGCTGCTGTGAACATGGGTGTGCAGATCTCTCTTCGAGTCCCTGCTTTCTGTTCTTTTGGGGACACACCCGGAAATGGACTTCCTGGGTCACCTTTGCAGGTTTTTAAGTTGAGAAGTGATGTACTCTGATTTACATTTTTAAAAACACTTTGGATTTTGGAAAATGAATCTACTACCATGGACTACCCAGATTTTAGTTTGAACATGGTGTCTTGAACTCATACATTTATGTCTCCTCGTAGAAGGTGGCTTACGAAACCAAAGGTAAAAAGATTTAACAAGGAAAAGAAAAAAATAAATGCACAAGACCTGAGTCCACAAGAAAGAGTAAATCAGTTAACAAAATTCTGAAAGCTGAAAATCAAGTCTTTATTAACCTGGGAAGATAAATCACCAGTTGTCTGTCCTCAGGGCAGCCAGGAAGCAAGCTCACCTAGTCCAGTGAGTCCAGAAAGGCCAGGGAGTTACAGGCATTAGCCCCAACTCGGAGGGCAGGATGGTGGGCTGAGCAGGAGGGCTGTCCTCTACCTCCCCTCCATCACCTACACATTCAGGTGAGTGCTGCACCTCCATTATGGCAGAAGACTGGAGAAAGTTCATTACAGAGGATTTGGACCAGAAGGACTGGATTTGAGACACCAGGCCGCTGAGACGCATGCAGTAATAGTGACATATGAAGGTCATGCACTAATAGGACCTCTCACCCCGCTCCTGCAGTTAGACACGAGAATGCTGGCCACTAGGCTTACACCCTGCTCCATTACAAACACCATCTTTCCCCCAGGTAAGAAATAAAAGGATTCCTCTCTGGGGAAACTGACCAGCCCAAGAGAAAAGACTTCAGTTATTGAGCACTGGCGGTTCCCAGCAAAATCGGGTCAGCCCACAGAGAGATGACATTTGACAAATGCAGCCCATTCACACTGAGCTCCCAAAGAATTCTTGAGTGGCTTTAACTCAAAACACTGATGCATAATCAAGGATCAACAGACATTTGGGGGAAATCCCAACTGGGAAAGACAAAGACCTAAACAAGGAAAAACAAACTCTGATTAAATAGAAACAGCACATAGGACAGAAGAAAATTTCACAAAACAGGTAACTAAGATTCCCAAGGGATGGTTTGTTGTTTTTTTCGGGGGGGGGGATATATTTTTTTTAAGATTTTATTTATTTTTAGAGAGATGGGAAGTGAGAGAGAAATGGAGAAACATCCCTGTGTGGTTGCCTCTCGCATGCCCCCTGCTGGGGACCTGGCCTGCAACCCAGGCCTGTGCCCTGACTGGGAATCCAACCGGCGACCCTTTGGTTTCCAGGCCTCCACTCAAGTCACTGAGTCACACCAGTCAGGGCAGATTCCCAAGGGATGTATCCATGATCCCAGGGTGGGATCCCATCAGGAAGGAATGTTCTAGTGAGAAAAGGGTGGGGAGGGTTATCGTCAATGAGCAACAGGAGAGCAGGAGATCAGCTGCAGGTCGGCCTGTATCTATCACACGGCCTCAGAACTTCTGGGAAAGTCTTGGTCTAGAAGGGCCTTTTCCTGTGGTGCCGAGTATCTAATACAAAACTCCTGTATTGCGTATTTCACCATGATTTCTTTTTAAAGTACCAAAAAAGAGACAGCCCTCAGACCATGCATTTGTTCCAAAGCCACAAGAGTCATTCTGAGAAATTAAAATTACCACTGAAAAAGCTACGCTAGAGTTTATTGTGATTCTAATTCAGTCCAAAGTGGCCAGTGAAATCATTTTGACTGTATTTTAAGTTTCTAGGCAGCAGCGCCTGGATTCAGCTACTGCCTTTTTAAAGCACAAGGTTCTGACATGAAGAGATTGCTGATTCTCCATCATTTTAAGGCGTGTTGAATCGCAGGATCCGGAGTCAGATTAGCTGTGACCAGGCTGCTTCTGCTCGCACCCTGGGCAGGCGAGCGCGCCCCGGCAGCCGGCGGTCGCGGACGTGCCCCGCAGGCGCCTCACTCCCCCAGGGAGGCCAGGTAGCCGTACCAGAACAGAGCCGCCACGTTGGCAAAGAGCACCCGAAACTGCCGGAGAGAACACAGGCCGGAGTGAGCGCACCCCGGCCCCGGGGCAGAGTCCACTCGCCGGTGGGCCCCTCGCCCACTGCCGTGTTTCCTGGCCTTCCCTCCGCGCGACCGTTGCGCGGAGGCGGAGGAAGACAGCAGAGCTGCCGCCGCGCCGGGCGCCCAGGCCGCAGGCCGGAGTCGCAGGGCCTGTCCCTCACCGCCTCCGGGAGCACTTCAGCCTCGGGTCCCGGCTCAGCCTCTGCCTTCAGGAGGCGCCGCACGCCCCTTACTCAGGCGGCCGCAGGACATGCTAGCACCGCAGGCCTGAGGCTGCTGTCCCCGGAGAGGCCCAGCAGCACCCGGGAATCTGGATTTCGGGAGGGTCCCACCCTTGCCCAACTGGGACGACGGGCTCCCAGAGCCCGGCCTGGTCGCAAGAACAGCGTGGCTTATGCCGGCCCTGCTCGCCTCTGGAGCCTGGCGTTTTGGTCCCCAGAGCTGCCTCTTGACCGGCCCCCAATAAAAACCCCAGATGCTGGGCGTTCCTGGGCAGAACCACGGCCTCGGTGTTGGTACATTTTGTTGGTAAGCCAGGGCTCGCCGTGTGTGACCGTCGAGACTTGGGGGTCCCGGGGTGGGCGGGGGAGCCGGGAGGCCTAGAAAGTCTGCAGGGGATTCCTAGGACCCAGCTGCACACCCCAGTTTTGCTGCGCGGCCGCAGTCAACCCGGCCGAGCCGTTCTAGCAGGTGCGCACCCCTGGAGTGGCCTTGGGAGCCCCACCACCCAGGGCCGGACCTGGCGCGTCGGCAGCTGGGGAGGCAGGGCCTCCCGAGCGGGCGTTCACGGCAGCGTTCGTGCTGCGCCCGCGCTCGGGTGCGGCTCTGACCTCACGCAGGTGAGGCCTGGTCTCAGGGAAACCTGAGTGCGGCACCGACCGGGGCTTTTAGTAAACGTTCGCTTGATGAATGCATGTAGACGGGCACCCGCTGCCCATACGGGGTCTGGAACCTGGGTGACGCCGAGACCACGCAGACTGAGGCAAAGGGGGAAAAGGCTGGTGGGAAGCGGCGGGGCGGATGCCCTCACCTGCACGGGGACGTAGGTGACATTAATGAACTGCACCGGGGTCCAGACGCGCCAGTTGGTCTGCAGCGCCGGCCAGAAGGCGCTCCTCACCTTGGCGGCGCCGGCGGCCGCGTCTCCGCCCTGGAAAGGAGGGAAACGCAGGCGTGAGCGAACCCCACCGCCCCCGGGCTGAGACCAGGCACCAGGATCTGGGGGGCCCCACACCCTAACACAGTGGGCGGTTTAAAGGGCCGACTCTGCTCCATCTGCGGGCGCACAGCACACCCGGCGCGTCCCGCGTGGCGCAGCGGGAAGCCCACCCTCCGGCGGGGAAAGCGCGGGCGCGCCAGTCCTCGCCCCTCGCCCGGGCGGCCTGATGGCTGCTCCGCGGCGCTGGCCGGCCGTGTGCACCGGCTCCGTAAGGCTCCGCGGTCAGTTCTTTACAAAAATAGCCTTCAAAGTCGATGCGTTCCCTACCAAAAGCTGTCATTTTTTTTTTAATGGACCCCAATAAGTTGATCCTAAATGTCCTCTGCAAGGAAAGGTGCACAATAGCCACCTTGAAAAGGCCTACCTTTCCACAGACTTAAAATAGCACAAAATAGGGTGAAAAGAGTCTGGTAGCAACAGCCGAAAAAAAAGAAAGACAATGGAAATGAAGAGAATCTATCAAAAGAACAGGTAATGCTCTGAACATACAGGAATGTGATACGTTACTGTTTTAAAACACCAGGAATTGTTCAACAAATCCTAATGAGACAATCTGCTATTTAAGTGGAAAACACTAAGACAGAAGTATATATCCCACTATAAATATAAGTAAAACCATGAGAATACTAGAGAAAAGTAGAGCATTTTTTTTAGTTTATCAGAATGTACAAAATAAAATCATAAGCATAGAAGAAAGTATAGGAGAATATTTCCAGTATCTTCCTCTCAGGAAACCCTCAAGGGAAACAATGACAGAATCGACTGCCTGGATTTTAAAACTCCTGTAGGGGAAAGACGCTGGAAACCTCACTTATGATGCCAAAATTTTAAGCGCATGAAGCTGCAAGACAAATCCCTTTAAAAAATGGGGGAAATGTGTGCACCTTGTATTTGGCACAGGATCGATATCCTTAATATAAAAAAATATACAAATCAGTAAGGAAAAAGCAAGCACTCTAATAGAAAACAAACGAGGTTCACAGAATACAGATGTGCAGATAAAAAGGTGTTCAACTTCTTAACTCGGTGTAAGGTACCTGCTTTTCACCTATCGGATTGCAAGCTGTTTAACAGGAAAGTACAATCACAGTTGCCGGGCATGGGAAGTGAGCCTCTCAGAGGGAGTGGCTGGGAGATTTCGGAGCACGGGAGTCACACGCTTGGGCCTGATTCCGCCCAGGACCCCCGAGTTTCAGGGGCCCAGCAGGCCCGCTGTGCGCCCCGGGGCCTCGGCTTCCTCCGCTGTGGGACGGGGAGACGGGTCAGGACGCACCCGAGGCAGAGCCTGGGACACGGCAGGTGCTCAAGGCACCTCAGCAGGTGCTGCTCTGCGTCCCTGCGGGGAGGACGGCCTTTGCAGACAGTTCTAAGAATTAACCCACAGGAGGCCTTACAGAAAACGGGCAGGCATATGGCGGACACTGTCACATGGTGTTTGTGACCGAAGTGTTGGCTGCAGCGGCTGCAGCGTGCGTGTGTGAGCGTCAGTGTGGTCCAGTGCGGTCCCACAGGCATCATTTGCATGTGGGGTGGTAACACTTGACACATGTGAATGGGTTTTTGCTTCTTAATGAGAATATATTCCCTTCCTATTTAGAAGGAAATACATAGAAGGAGCCGTGGAATCCCCACTTCTAATGTGGGCACCCTTTGCTTCCTCCCAGCTCCGATTCCTAAGGACATTTTACGATCAGGGACTTACTAACAATCACAGTTAAACCTACACATCTATCCTACTTACCCCGGGGTCACTTTACACAACAAGGGGCATGCTCCTTAGTAGCAAAAATGTGTGGAGCTGCTCCAAAACTAAGCCTGAATGAGAAGCCTTTACCCTCTGTGACTGGCGGAGACAAATTTCAAGGCAGAGCATGACACCTCTTGGGCACAGAGCAGCAGGACCAAGAGCCAGAGGTGAGGGGTGGAGGCGCCGGCAAACCGGGCAGGGCCTGGCACCGGGCACAGAAGAGCAGACCTCACACGCTGCGCGGGGCCTGTGGCACCCTGTCTGTGCCGCTGAGGCAGCCCTTCAAGTGCTCAGGAGGCCCAGGCGCCGAACTACGCCGCCTTCTGCCACAGCCTTGGGCCCCAAACCCCGGCCATGCGCTCTCCGGCAACGCAGCGACGCACGGGGACCCAGTTCCCAGAGTCCTGTTCGTGACGTGTGAGACACACAGGGCTGCCGAGGAAACAGCTGTACCGAACACAGCTACCGACGTATTCGGAAAAGTTTTATGATGCACTAGTGTATGTGCGCTGTTAACATGCTCAGCGACAAGACCTAACAGCAGGTGCAAGGAGTGTGGAGCGTAAGTGACGTTCAGGGACATCTGCCTGGTGTGACTTCCACGGCGGACCCACGGGCACTGCGAACACAGCTGTGCTCTGCGCCCGACGTTCACCCAGGGAAATGGGAACCTCTGTCTGAGTGTCGTGCCAAGTTTGCACCCCTCCAACTCCCACCCCCAGACGCCAGGGTAGGGCCCCTTGGCCCAGGGAGGAGCTGCGGTCCCGGGACTCAAGAGACCAACCTCCAGGAAGCTCATGACGAGGAAGAACAACAACAGGAAGGCCGGCGCAAAGAGAAGGCGGTCCAGGAGGAGCCTCTTGACCCCTGCCCAGGGGACCTCGGGAGGGATCCAGTGCTCCATGAAGAGGTAGAAGAAGTGACTCAGCGGCCCTGTGAAGAAGAAGCTGAGGCCCCCAGGGGTGAGCTGCACTGCTCTTCTCGGCTCTGGGTGCACCCCCAATGCCAGGTCCCAACCCCGCCTCCCTGCGTCCCTCCGCACTGACCACACAGACCTGCGGTCGTCCTAGAAAGCACACTCTGTTGGACCTGGCTTCTAGTCTTCTCTCCTGCTGCCGACAGACCAGACCCTCCCTGCCTAGGGCCGCACCGCCTTCCCCTGCTTGGAGAGCTCTTTCCTGGATGTTCTAGATAATGAACCCCCTGCTGCCTCCACCACTCCGTTCCAGTCCCCGTCTAGCTTTCTTCATAGCACGTGTCACTGCACGTCCTGATCTCATTTGTTCAGTGGCACATGCCCTCTCTTCACGCCCCGAAGGTAAAACCGTCACGCCATCCCAGGAGAGGTTCGGGCCTGTCTGTCCACGGCTGTGCCCGCAGGGCCTGGCTCGGCAGGGGCTTGTAATGCGTAAGTGGACACACCCCGGATAATTAGCCAGGCTGAGCCCTGGGGCTGCACACCCTCCTCTGCACTGCTGCTCCTCCCTGCAAAGTGTGCGGAGACCTGGACCCGGCCACAGACCTCGAGGCGCAGCAGCAAAAACACGGGCGGCACCCAGGGTCTTCCAACTTCTGACACGGACAGCCATCTACAACCAGCTCCCAGCGGCCCTTCCCGCCCTGCCAGCGAAGGGCAGCGGCATCTAGCGGCGTCTCCGTGGGCGGGAGCGCAAGTTGCCATGGAAAACTGGTGGGTAAGGCCTCCCAGGGAGTTCTGACATGCTCCCCCTCTGTGGGGGGCAGGGAGTTACAGCTTTCATTAGATTATGGAAAAAAGTTGTGAATAAAGTCAACTATACTTCCAAAAGTGGTATTTGTGAATTTTGAATGGGAAAAAAGTCACTATTGCAAAAGACTTTAAAATAATCCACCTACACAGACACTGCTGTTGGCCAGAGAACTCAGGGTGGATTTCATGGGTAAAGCTCCTGAATCTCTGGGCTTTTGCAATTTAGTAAGTGGTTCCGATACTGGACATTCTCCAGGACCCCTCGGTATTGCTCTTCTGGATGTTTATGCTATGAAAACAGCTAACTGGCCGTACTTGAATCTGGCTTCCATTTTCACTGGTCCTTCCGTCCTTCAGTCTGACTGAGATTCAGGTGTGTTGCCTGCTCAGCCCAAGAAGAGGCCACGCCCACCCGCGTAGCTCAAAATAACTGTATATGACTAGAAAGTAAGTGAAGTTTACATTATCTGCTGTTCAGATTTTCCCCCACGATTAGTCCGTGTAAATTATTGATTACTCCAATAATTTTTAAATTATTTTTCCAAATTAGATTATTCCAGACACTTGATACCTTAGCTTTACTGCACTAAGTCTGCAGCTGGTTGAACCGACCCCATCATGGAACTCACCCGTAAATGGCATATCTGAGAGGCCCACTGACATCTAGCTTTTGAGAGCTGTTTCCTTTTTTCCGCTTCTTAATCATTTGGGCCAGGAAGTTCCCAAGTGCTGACATGATGCCACTGTGGACAGAGAGGCGGTAAGAAACCAGGAGCAGCAGCAGGTGGGCTCTGTGCCCGTGTGGAGTCAGCAGGCTGCCCTGAGGTCCCGCTGGGGGTGGGCGGCCAAGGCCTCAGGCAGCAGCAATGCAAGTCCCCGCGCCCTTGGCGGAGGGGACAGCAGGACACACACACACACACACACACACACACACGGGAGCACAGCTGATTTCCACTTGGTGGATGGTACCAGGGTCCACGTCCTGGTGGCAACATTATACTATAAATTCTGCAAAGGTCGCCATGGGTGGGAGGGAGGTTATGGGAGGGAAACTTACGATGAAAATTTTCAGTATTTTGACTCCAGTGGTGGAGAAAACCTGTGCACCTGATACAACGATAGCAGTAAACACACATACACACGGGGCGAGTGCAAGAAAAGTTGAGGAAATCAGTGCGATCGGTGGCCTGTGTCCTGGCCAGTGTTCTGGTTGGGAGATTGTATTCGCTTCACAAAGTATCACCCATGAGGGAAACGGGGCAAGTGTGTAAGGGATCTCCCTGCATCACTTCGTGCCACTGCAGGAGAATCTGCAATTACCGCGGCTGCAAGTTTCAGTACAAAGGTAGAGACAGGCCCAGCCGCCCCAAGGCTTGGTCCGCGGCTGCCGCCGGAGCAGCGCTCTGGGCTGCAATGTCCAAAGGCCTTCGCTGGGCGAGAAGGGCCCTGATCTGATCCGGGGACACTTCGCGTGCTCCCCCCTTGCTCCCTGTTCGTTCTGTCAGCGGCGCGGGCCGCTCCATCGCCAGCCGGCCGCTCCCTCCGGACCTTCGCGGGGGCCGTGCCCGCGGCCACGGAGCAGCTTCGTCCCTTCCGCTTCTGTTCAAATGTCGCCTCCTCAGAGAAGTCCCTGTTTTCTGTATTTACCTGCTTTCTGTCACTAGAACGCGGCGCCGGGGCCTTAACTAAACGCTGCTGCGGCCCGGCAGCGGGCAGCGCGCTGCGCACGTCTAGGGGAGGCTGGACCCACGAGAGGGCACAAGCCCGTCAAGTCGGTTGCTGCAAGTGCTGAGGACGGAGCCGTCTCGCACGGGGGTTCGCGCGGCGGGCCGAAGGGCGGGGCTCTGAGGACACGCACCCGACCCCTCGCCCCTCGAGCTCCGGCGGACGCAGACCCCGCCCCCGGCCCGTCGCCGCGAGGACGTGTCTGCAGGAGTCCCCCCCACGCTCCCCCGGTGCCGGCCCCTCTCCGGTCCTGCCCGCGGGGCCCAGGGAAGCGCCTGCCAAGGCTCGTGCCGGGCCCCCGACGGGCTCCAGGCCTCTGGGAGCCCGTGTCACACCCGCAGGAGCCTTCCGCTCTCCACGCCCGGGGGGGAGGCTCTGCGGCCGAGCCCGCCCGGCCCGCGCCCACCTGGTGGCCGCCTTGGTGAGCACCGGGTAGAGCTGCAGGAGGCGCAGGTACTGGGCAAGCGCCCGCCGCGGCAGCGCCGCGAGCCTGGGCTCCGCACGCAGCCGGGAAGCTGCCGGAGCCATCGCCTCCGGGTGCCCACCCCGCCCCAGGTGCGCCAGGCGCTGGCGCGGGGACGGCCAGACATTTCCCGCCCGGCCGCGGCCCGCAGCGCCGCCCCGGGCAGGGCCCGCTGTGCGCGGCGCGCACCTCCGCACACTTTTCCTCGGGTCCCTAATGGGCCACCGCCCCTCGGGCGCCGGCGGCGATTGGAGCCCGACGCGCCTGCGCACCGCCCTCCGGAGTCCCCCGAGGCGCCACCTCCCCTGCGGCGCCCGCGGCGATTGGAGCTCGGCGGGGTGGGGCGCGACGAGCCTCCTGATTGGGCGGCGGGGCGCTTCCGCTCTCTCGCGAGAGTTGGTGGGAGCGCGCCAAATTTCTCCGCGGCTGCTGTGGCGGCGTGATGGTGCTGAGGAACAGCGGGCGGCGGTACGCGGAGCCGGGCGCGGACGGCGAGGCCAGCCGGTGAGAGGCCCTTCCTCCCTGCGGGGCTCTGGGCTCACGCTGAGGAGGCGGCGGCGCGAGGCTGTCGTCCGCCCAGGCCCCGCGCTGGTCCGCACGCCGCAGCTCTCCGCGGCGGGGGCTGCCGTGAGGACGGGCGCGGCGGAGCTCGGCGGGGCGCGGCGCGGCGCGAGGCCAGGCGGCGCCGAGGGCTTCGCAGCCGCCGTGCCCTTAGGCTGCTCGCAGCCTGGGCCGGGCCCGCGAGTCCGCGATCCGCGCTGGCGTGCGGGGCGGGCGAGGGGCGCGCTGCCGGGCCCGGGCGGCGGGGTGCGGGCGCCGTCCGAGCGCGGGGGCGGCTCCCGGGCCGGCCGCGCGGCGCCAGGTGCGCGAGGCGCGCGGCCCCCTGAGCGCCCACCGCGTCTGCGGGAGCGGCGCCCGGCGCGGCCGCTGCTGTCGCCCGGCCGCGCCGCCGAGGTTCCAGCCTTTCCCCCGCACTGTCCCGGGCCGCGACCCTGCCGTTTTCTTCCTTTTGCTGAAATCTGCGGAATCTTACCGAAGCCACGGGTCTGACCGACGCGGCCTCCCGGGGAGGCGCTGGTGGCCGCGCTCGGGCTCGGCCCCGCGGGCCGCGGGGTCGCCGCCGCCGCCTGACGGCCGCCGCGGCCGAGACACGGTGGCCTCCGCTCCCCCAAGACACAGTCTGACGCTAGGTCTGGAGAAAATCCTTGGAAAGTAAATTTAAAAACCAGCTTTTTGTGTTGAGGTCGTTGAGGATTCTCAGGGCGGAGATGCCGCGCGCTTCCCCTCCGCCCGCCCGCCCGCGTCCCCGGGGCCCCCGCGGTGGTGACGGGCCGGGTGGCTGGACGCGAGTCCTACCCGGGCTCCCGGGGCGGGGGCGGAGCGGCCCGGTGACAGGAGGCCGCGCTTCCCGCCCTTCGCGCAGGGATGACGGCCCCTCGGCCTCGGCCGTCAAGCGCCTGGAGCGCAGCCAGTGGACGGACAAGATGGACTCGCGGTTCGGGTTCGAGCGGCTCAGGGAGCCGGCGGAGAAGACCGGCTGGCTCATCAACATGCACCCCGTGAGCGCCTCCCCCGGCGGCGGGGCCCGGGCGCGGGAACCCCTTGTCTGGGCGGCCCCGGGGCGGCGAGCTTGTTCGTGGCTCCGCGTTGCACCGTCTTTGGGCCGCAGGAAGCACGGAGGCTCCGCGGGGGCGGGGGCGGGGGGCGGGGGGCAGCCTCGCTGTTGTCGCGGAATGTCGCTCCCAGGAGGGCGGGAGAAACGGGGCCCGGGCGCGGCCTGCGCGGACGGATGGGGCCGCCGGGGCTGATGCCGGGGCGAGGGCACCCGGGTGGGAGGGCTCTGTCCTGAAGGGCGGGGGCCGCGGGCGTGACGCGGAATGGCCGGCTCTTGCAGACCGAGGTTCTCGACGAGGACAGGCGCCTGGTCAGCGCGGTGGATTACTACTTCGTTCAGGAGGACGGGAGCCGCTTTAAGGTGAGGCCGGGCCGAGGGAAGGCCCCCTCCGGCCGAGGCCCGGCCAGCCCAGAGCCACGGGTGACCGGCTAGCTCTGCCGCGTGGCCAGGGCCTGGGAGGGCTCCGGCGGGTCCCCTGGCCGGGGCGCTGGGAGGGCTGGCTGGGGAGGCTGGCGGGCGGCGGCCCGTCCTTAGCCCCTCGCCCTGCGGTGAGTGCAGGCCCTGCATCCCTGTTGCCCCGTCTCCCCTAAGAGGTGTCACGGTCAGGGGTGCAGGGGACCTGCCTGTGCGCCAGAGTCAGCAGCCCGTCTTCCCCATTTTCCCTTTTCCTCTCTGAGTGGATGGGTGCTCCTGCAGGTGGCGTTGCCCTACAAGCCGTATTTCTACATTGCAACCAGGAAGGTATGTCTGTGGCTCATAGAATCGGTTCCGATGAACTGTGCCTCCTTGTTCAGGGGTGGGGGGAGCGTCAGAACCGAAGATAAGGAGGCCTCTAGAGAAACAGCAGGGAAGGAAACGGATTTCACTGACGGAGAGTCCTTGCATCTGATCCTCAATTAGGGTTGTGAGCGAGAAGTTTCCGCTTTCCTTTCCAAGAAGTTTCAGGGTAAAATTGCTAAAGTAGAGACTGTTCCCAAAGAGGACCTGGACTTGGTGAGTGCCACTCAGACCTTTCAGGGCTGGGAAGGGGGGCCACTCCGCCGGGAGCGGCGTGGCAGGAGGCCAGGCTCAGCGCCTGCAGGTGTGGGGAGGTGCGGGTGGGGCCTTGATGGCAGATGTCCTCTTGCACGAACGCAGGGACGGGCTGGGGCCACACGCAGTGCTGGGCAAGGTGCTTCACTGTCGGCGACTCGTTGGCAAGCGTCCTCGCCTTTGAATCATCCTGCCCTGGTTTTCTCTCCAGTAAAATCGTTCTCTTTCATGATCTCTTCACTCTGTAGCCAAATCACTTGGTGGGCTTGAAGCGGAATTACATTAAGCTGTCCTTCCACACCGTGGAGGACCTGGTCCGAGTGAGGAAGGAGATCTCGCCCGCCGTGAGGAAGAGCCGAGAGCAGGGCCACGCTGGCAGCGCCTACACGGCCATGCTGTCCAGGTAGCTCCTCTCTCCCAGGCCAGGCGCCCACGGGGGGCGGGGGGGAGAAGCGGAGGCGGCAGGGGGGGGCTCGGCAACTCAGCAACCTTGACGGTTGGCTCTGTCCCGTGTGGAACACTTTTGAGCAATTAAATAGAGTTCCTTGTATGCTCCATTTGTGTGGAATAAATGGTGATTTCCGTGTTGTATTTTATTTTATGTTTTAGCTGTTTCTCTTTTCTTACACGGGGTGGATTTGCAGTTCTAAAATGGAGTTGTTTTAACAGTAAAGACGTTTTAGATTTCTAATTCTCCCCTTAACTCAGCCTGTTTTATAGTTTATGGCAACTATTAAGCTTTCTACACATTAAATGCCCGGATTTACATAGCACATTTTCTCCAGAGAACCTTGGGCCGTATGCAGAGAAATTTCATGTAAGACACCAAACACTGTTCACAAACCCTTAGACAGCAGTGACAGGGAGCAGGGCAGGAAGTCAAGAGGAGGGAGTCTTAGCAAATCAAAACTTACGAGAACTAACCGTATCCTCTGACAAAAGATCAGTGTGGGACCCTGGGCATTTCTGCAAACACTCCTTGCCCCTCAGCAGCCCATCAGTCGCTTTCTAGAATGTTGTAGGGAGTAGCCAGAGACCGAGTCCCCAGAATCCTGAGCCTTGTCTATATACAGCTCGCTGCCTTTCCCCACTCAGTGGTCCGTTCGGTATTTTGAAGTTCAGTGGGTTAATATTGGAATGAATATTTTCCCGACAATGATATCCTGCCGGAATATGGTAGGAGTAACTACGATACAGAAGTAGTTACCATTTATCTGTCACCTGACATTTCCGAGAACCTTGCCACTGTCTCCTGCATCCTCTGGGTGGAGAAACGCGCTCAGTGAGGGCAGGTCACACTTGCAGAAGTGCCTCCCAAGTAACAGCATTTCCTGTCTATTTTAATCAAGGTATGATCTGTGTGCTGTAAAGTACACATGTTTTAAGCACACACTGAATTTCCTTGTGTCCGTGCCTGCTGCTCAGCTGGGGAGTCATCCAGGGTTGCCCTTAAGAAGGGCCTGTCCCGGTCCTCATCCTCAGCCGCCTTGGTTTAACTTTTGCCTTTATTCCGTGGGGACTGTGTTCTCCCCGCCCTAGCCCTCAGACAGCAGAGTTGCGTAAGCTGCTCTCTCTCCGTTCTGCAGTGTCCTGCAGGGGGGCAGTGTGATTCTGGACGAAGAGGAGACCTCTAAGAAGACTGCCGACCAACTGGACAACATCGTGGACATGCGAGAGTACGACGTGCCCTACCACATCCGCCTCTCCATCGACCTGAAGATCCACGCGGTGAGTGGGCACGGCCGGCGGGGGTGCCCCACAGCCGGAGGCGGGACTGAAGGGTGAGCCCACAGAGAGCAGGTGCCGAGCTCTCCAGTTCACGGCTGCCCGTCCTGCAGGCCCACTGGTACAACGTCCGACACCGCGGGAGCGCCCTGCCCGTGGAGGTCACCCGCCGAGATGACCTTGTCGAAAGACCTGTAAGTTGCTGCCTGGGTTTCCTCCAGCGCAGGTCTCCCGCTGGTTTTCTGAGAGGTCTAGACCAGCGCTGAAGGGAGACGTTGATTCAGTGGTCTGTTTGCTTCTTTCCCCTAAGTACCTTCTGAAAAGAATAGTGGACTGTTATCCTGGTCAGCATCTGAGCTGCGAGTATAGTTACGCCTCTGCCTGTGTCCCCGGCGATGAGGTTTCTGGGCTGGGGAGGGTCGAGTGTGCAGGAGAGCGCCTGGCTTCCAACTGGGGAGTCAAGAGCAAGCAAAGTGGTGAAAAATGGATTTGTAACGGGAAGGCCTCGGTCCAGAGACCACGTTGCAGCCTTGCTTTTTCGTACCAGGATGCGCCTGTCGCAGTCTTTGGTCAGGGCCGTCGCAGAGGTCAGAATCGCGCCATGCGTTTTAAAGAGCCGTGAGACTCGGGTGCTGCACAGTCCTAGACCTTTCCTACAACCCGGCCTTCTCTCACGTGCGCCGAGTTGTCATTCCACCAGAGAATGATGGCCAGCCCCCCGGTGCCTGCCCTGCCTTGTGGG